AAATAAATATAAGAGAAAAATTAAAATTAGTCTTAAATGAATACATGAAAATCTCTATATTAACCGTGAGATTTTTAAATTATACTTATATTAACAATTTAGCCATTTGATTTAAAATGATCGCTTTTGACGGTCAATGATTTTTCGTTTTAAGTTAATTTCGGATTTGGATTTAATTACTTTCTTTTTTTTAGCTTGAAAAATTCAAGATTTATAATTTTTTGATAATAATTTTCAATTTTAATTAAGACTGTCTTATGATTTCCAGATTTAGTTTCTCTTTAATTTTCAAGCTTTCTGATTTAATTTCCAGATTTTTGATTTAATTTTGAATTGTGGATTAAATAATATTTTTTAACCTTTTTTAATTCAACAAATTGAAACTCCTGTAGTAGCTCCTGGAATTGAAATTACAAATTCGGATAGAATTGTGGCCCATCATGAGGGATCAAAGTAAAGCCCATTTAGCATTTTTTAAAAACGGGTCGGCTGAGCGACAAATTTATTGCCTATTTTAAATGGGCTTGGGTTGGGTCTGCTCAAATTTGAATTTGAATGTTAGGACAGAAGAAGCTAATCCCGCTATTCCAGTAAGATTTAACTTTTAGCAACTTAATATAAGGATAGTCAAGGGATGAGATGCCACACGTGCTCCTTTAACTTAGCAATAACGTACTTTATTGTCTTTAATCCATTAATCGGAGATGAAAATTTCTTTTTCTAATCCACGTGGTACAACACACTCCTAAATTAATCTACAAAATTTATAAAAAAATCCACAGAAATTAATAGTAAAATATTCCACTCAGAAAAAAAAAAAAAAAAAGATAATATCAGGACTAATAAGATCCATAATAATCTAATTGGTTGATCACAGACTAATTAAACCCACTGCACTACTCATGGATATTCACTTAATGGCTTTGCTTAGCCAACAGTTCACTCCCTCTTATCATTAATTAATCCACATCAATACCCATTAATCCTTTTGCATTAAATGAGAAAAAAAAATGAATTAATTGATATTTTCTTGAACTAAAAACGTTAAATCAAACTGTCCTAAATGGGCATCTATAAATATCTGTCTCTTTGGACTAAAGATTAATTAGAGGACTAAAACACGGCCAAATTGTGCTTAAAGTTAGGATGTATGAAACAAATGTGAAAATGGTTAAATTGAAAGGAGAAAGGTTAATGACAATTATAGTTAAGTTACATAATATTTGTGTGGAAAAGCAGGTTGAACCAACCTGAAGGGTTGAGAACAAACAAGCTAGCTTAAGTTCGCAGTACAAATTGTTATTGGTTAAAAGAACACGTAATCTATTCCGTTCCAGATTTTTGTCTTGTCCATTAGCATCTTGGATTTTTTTAAAAAGAAAATTTCCTACTTTCTTCGAAAAAAAAAAAAGTTTTAAATTTGAAGAATTGGTTTTTTACATCAAATTTCAATGAAAAAAAAAATGCTCGTATAGGAATTTGATTGCATATTAAAATGGAGTTTGAATATAAAATGGTCACAATTTTTAGATTGACTAAAATGAAATGAATCCTTACGGATTTCGCTTGAATATTTGAAAAATTACACAATATTTAAACTACATTTTAAATAACCAAAGACAGTGGAAGATTAAATGAGCACAAATTAAAAATTTCCACACAACTTTCTTAAATAAAGGACCAAGAAACAAATTTTTTCTCCACAAGTTAGAGCGTAAACTTTATTTTTTACAACTATATTTATTCTCTTCATTCCAACAATGCATTTAAAGATTAGGGGAAAATTGAAATATAATTTAAGGTATACATTAATATTAGTTATTCTCTTCATTTCACAATGCATTTAAGATTAGGGGAAAATTGAAATATATTAAGGTATACATTTAATAATCATAGAGGGAACACCATAAGATATAAGGGTAAATTAAATTAGGCGAAAAAACATGAGCAACAAACAAAAGTTGATTAGACTACTTTTCATCTTGTGAAAAATTATTTATTTTATATATAAAAGAACAAGTTGCACAGTATTATTTCATTTTATATTAGTAGGGCAAAAAAAAGAGTACTTTTTCAATCTTGGTGAAAAATTATTTATTTTTATATAAAAAGAACAAAGTGAGTATTATTTCATTTATATAGTGGGAAAAAAAAAAAGAGTACTGTGTGAAATGAGTTTATCCATGGAAAAACATTCCATGACCAAAAAATTTTTCAGCAATATTTGTCTCGGAGGAATTTGGGAATTCTATTATTCTAAGGCCTCATTTTCAACATCTATACACTAAGATGCCATGTTGTTCCAAACCCAAAAAATGACAGACCAATTGCATCATTATGATAAGAGCAAGAGAATTAATTAATTCTTCAAATGGAATAATTATTCCAAACCCTTAAACATTAATTAGCATTTATAAAATTAACATGCAAACTTTGACGAATGCTCATATTCTTTGATTCAACTACTTTAAGATCTATATTTATTCGTTGTTTGGGTCCTTTCAGAAAACGAGGAAGCTCAGTCATTTATTTCATTTGCCCCAACTATTCCTATATTTGCAAAACAAATCTTGCTTTAACGGGATTCTTTTTGTTTTTTAATATTTCATCCCCAGAAAGTTTTCCTAAAAGAGCTTGGCTTTAAAACGTTAAATGACAAATGTACGTGGCCCGCTGGACTTCAAATATATATATTTTAATTCATTGATGTGCCTAGTGAACTGAGAAAAAATATTTATATATATTTTTTAATCTCCATTTAATATTTATAGAAGTTTTTCGCTGAAATATTATTTATTTTCTCTTTTACATCTATTCTATTTTATTAATAATTTATTCGGTTTCATAGCGACCTAATCAACCAACGGAAATTTCTATCAAGGTTAATGCTGCTTCAGTAAAAAAGAATATAAAAAGTCTTCAATTTTTATAGTATATAGTACTCCTTACATTATATTTGACAGTTTTTTTACTTTTTTTTTTAAATTTAAATAATACTTTTAAAAAAATTAAAATTTCTCAAATTTAACCAAACACTTCATGTAGATTTCTCATATGAAAAATGATGGCCACGTGGATTCTCCTCACTGTTAAAAAAAAAAAAAAAATTCAATTCTCAATTAATTCCCCTTAAAGTCTCCCTTTGATTGCGATAACCACGTGGAATGTCTTCAAATATTGCTTGATTTACGTGACAATTTTTTTACTCAATAAAGTCATAATTATTTTTCTCCGTAGCTTGCTGCATTTTCTTGTTCCCAAAATTTTATTAAACCTGATAAATTTATCATAATTAATAATATAATATTCTTTCAGTTGTTTGTATCAATCTTTCATTAGAAGTCTAAATTTTGTAAACATTCTTGTCGCGTTAAATAAGGCCATATATATAAAAAGTCAATACGAAAATAGGAAATATATCATGTCAATTGCCTAATTCTAATTATTATTGTTATCGTATACAAATGCTTAACCCCAATCCCCGGCCAACATTACGCGCCGTAGATATTCAATGACGTGGACTAACACGTGGAAATGGGAGTATTGTGGATCGTCCGATCAATTAGCGGTTGAATTTTCCAACGGCAAAAAACCACCATTAACGGCATCATTAACGAACATCTTTAGCTTTCAATTACGAATTGAGAATCTTTTATTTTCTACGGGTCCAAACAAACCGTATCCCCTTGAAAACGGAACTGGGTCTCCGTATGACAAGTTAGGTAGGCCCATGAGTGGGATTCTACCATAACCGTCCGAGCAGGCAAACCTTGACAGTTGATGCCAAAAAAAGACAGGTTAAAGGCCGTTAGATTCCCATTAAGATGCCGGGTTAAACCGTATTAGGAGTTGATTATGATTATTCAGCCTAAACAACAGAAGATTTAAAAAAGATTTGGTAGGGTTTGCTCGTCTATTTGCATAACGTGGATTGAATTAACTGACATGAATTATATATGAGGTCCAAGATATGAAAATTAATTAATGAAAAATATGTTTTATAAAATGATTGGATTTTATATAATGATTCGTTTTATCTCTACTTTAATAATTTTATATTTTTTGTAAAAAAAAAAAAAACAGCAAAATGCATGTTTCATATTTCACACGTAACATTTACTTATATTAGACAATTAAATAAATTCATTGGATAATGAAATATTATGAAAATCAATATATATACTTATGGCAGGTATTTCTAAGTTATTAAGAAGTAACATTATTATTTTCCATGTATGATATTTTCAAAGTAATATTTTGACTTTATGTTTAGAAGTATGACAAGTGGTGTTTAATTAGTAATTGACAACTGATATTATTGCTCACTTGCCAAATAGAATTTCAAAGTATATGACTTTGCTTTACGTTTATTTGAAAATGAATTGAATTTATAATTATTTATTTATTGAATTAAATTGTGTTAAATATAATTGATTAATTGTAATATTAGAGAATGGTTAATATGTTAAGTGATAATTTATCTAGATTTTAATGATATGAATAAATTACTTAATTCATGGATTTTAATTACATGAGTAATTATTTTTTTAATTTATAGATTTTAATATGGGCATTTATTTTTATATTAATTTTGAAAATAAATTAAATTTATGATTGTTTACTTACTAAATTAAACTGTGTTAAATATATTAAAAAATTAATATTTTATACAATTTATATAGCTTTTAATTATACGAATAAATTGCTTAACTTATAAATTTCAACGATATGCACAGTTATTTTTTTTATATAGATTTTCTTTCATCTTATTTTATTTTATTTTATTAAACGTCAGGCAAACGGTTCATAATAGAATGAATTACATATATAATTATACACTTCGTAGTGGCTTCTTCTAAAGCAAACCTGACTATTTGACTACTTAACTGATCTTATGGTGACACGTGGCGATAAATAAGTGGATGCATTACAAGCCATGCACTCCTCATCCTCTCCTTCTATAAATACCACCGTTGTCTCATCCTCTTAAGCCCATCCCAGCAGGCAGCAGCCAAGATAGCGGTTATTTAATAAGTCGTTAGCTATGGCAAACCCATTTTCTCTCTCCATTCTTTTAACTTTGTTTCTGTTAAACACCTGCTACTGCTTCAGGCCCAAATTTTTTAATGTTTCGAAGTCAAACTCTGATTCTGATTGGGCACCTGCTGGTGCAACCTGGTACGGTAGTCCCACTGGTGCCGGAAGTGATGGTAATTCTAATCCAAACAAATTAAGAGAAATTAATTAATGTCGTTAAAAATCATAATCGTAACTTATATGTTTGTCGTAGGTGGAGCTTGTGGGTATCAAAATGCAGTAGAGCAACCCCCATTCTCTTCAATGATAGCAGCCGGAGGTCCTTCTCTCTACAAATCAGGCAAAGAATGTGGAGCCTGTTACCAGGTGCAATGCCTTTTTATAAATTTTCATTTTTCTGTAATATTAATTTACTTCTAAGTAATTCAATTTGATTGGACTTTGAAATTCAGGTCAAATGTACGTCTAATTCAGCCTGTTCAGGGAATCCAGTGACGGTAGTAATCACAGACGAGTGTCCTGGCTGTACCTCCGAGTCTGCTCATTTTGATTTAAGTGGTTCTGCTTTCGGAGCTATGGCCATTTCTGGTAAGGCTGATCAACTTCGAGACGCCGGCATTTTGCAGGTTCAATATAAAAGGTATTTTATAATTAATTGAATGAACTAATAAGAGAGAATAATATACTTACCAAATTTATTCTTCGATTCTATCCCAGTCTTCAAGTACGTATGTTTTAGTCAAATGCACTGATTGCCCATTAGCACTTTTTCCACTATATCAATATATTTGTCAAAATTTGCCACCTAAATCTTTAATCTTTAATTAGTATTAATACATTTTGATTAATGATTTGGCGGCTAGCAGAGTTGGGTGCAAGTATCCAGGCAAGACGGTCACGTTCCGTGTGGATTCAGGGTCGAACCCGCAATATTTTGCAACCCTAATTGAGTACGAAAACGGAGATGGCGATCTTGCTTCAGTTGAACTAAAACAGGCTCAAGACACTGAATCGTGGATTCAGATGGAACAATCATGGGGTGCAGTTTGGAAAGTTAACTCAGGCTCGGTTCTACGAGCCCCATTTTCTCTCAAGTTAACCTCCGTTGAGTCTGGAGAAACTATTTTAGCGAATGGAGTAATTCCTGCAGATTGGCAGCCTGGAAAGACTTATCGATCTGTTGTCAATTTCTAGTATCTATATTGGCATCTGAATTACTGTAGCATGTATATTTCCATGGAGGAGACATGTTCAAATCGGAGTCCACGTGGAAAGTTATAAATTGCAAGGATTTTAATAGAATATTTGTTTCTATATATATATAGATATATAATTATTTCTAATTATATCTTATCGTATGTGATAAGTTCTACTATAAAGTATAAAATATGATAAGTTCTACTATTTTTCTTCGGATTTTTTTTTGAAGGAATATATTTTTCTTCAGAGTTGAGAGCAGATAGTGTCATTTTCATATTACGTAATGCGGACATACGCATCTTCTAATAATGAGATTAGGGAAGGAGAAGGTGTTTAGCTACTTAGAAAAGGCTACTTTTTATTTGGAAAGGAAAGGATGGAAAATATTGGAGAAAGGAAAATAATAGAGAATTATCATTTTTTTTTATATAGTTATTTTTCACCTTTGTGTTTGGATAAGGCGAAGGAAAATTTTCTGTTTGAAAAGGGAAAAAATTTTAGAGGAAAAAAATATTATTACTAAAAATTCAATTATATCCTCATTTTAAATAATAAAGTATTTAAAGCTAAAAAAGAAAGGAAACATAATAGAGGAAAATTATCACAATTTTGTTTAAATACTTAGGTTATTATTTTCACCTTTGCTGCTTTGCGATAAGGCGACAGAAAATTTTCTAGTTTGAAAAGGGAAAAAAAAAAAATTTTTCAGGGGAACAAAATTTATTACTAAAAATCAAATTCATATCTCATTTTAAATCAATAAAGTAAATCTTAAAAGCTAAAAATATCAAATTATATACTCATAATTATTACTAAAAATTCAATTATATCCTCATTTTAAATAATAAAGTATTTAAAGCTAAAAATTCAATTATATACTCATTTAAATAATAAAGCAATTAAAGTTTATCACTTAATTAATTTGAAGTGTTTGAGTAACTTAATAAATTTGAGTAAAATTCTCATTTTCTTTTATTATTTTTTTTAAAATTTGAAAGATTCAAAACATGTAGGTCAGGATAGAAAATAAATAAAATATTGTTCAATATTTTTCTCCTATTTTATAAACAAGGAAAAATATATTTTTTAAAAAATTTTCTATAATTATTTTCCTTCTTTTGAAAACGTATTCTCATCCAAATAAGGGGAGAGAAAAAAGAGAAAATAAATAGATCGAAAGATAAAAGAGGAAGAAAATTTCGAAACAAAGAAAAAGGAATATATGATAGTTCATCATATGAGTCTCCATTTATCAGTGTCCAAACTCCAAAGGTAATCATTAATACAAATAAATATAAGGGAAAAAATTAATCCTAGTCCCTAATTTATAGTTAAATGAATACATGAAAACCTTTATGTTAACTGTGATATCTTTAAATTATAATTATAGTAACAATTTGGCCATTTGATTTAAAATAAGCTCTTTTGACGGTCAATGGTTTTTCGTTTTCAAGTTAATTTCGGATTGGATTTAATTACTTTTCTTTTTTTTAACTTGAAAATTTCAAGATTTATAATTTTTTGATAATAATTTTCAATTTTAATTAAGACTGTCCAGATTTAGTTTCTCTTTAATTTTCAAGCTTTCTGATTTAATTTCCAGATTTTTTGATTTAATTTTGAATTGTGGATTAAATAATATTTTTTAACCTTTTTTAATTCAACAAATTGAAACTCCTGTAGTAGCTCCTGGAATTGAAATTACAAGTTCAGATAGAATTGTGGCCCATCATAAAGGGTCAAAGAGAAGCCCATTTAGCATTGTTTAAAAATGGGTAGGCTGAGCGACGAATTTATGGCCTTTTTAGATGGGCTTGGGTTGGGTCAGCTCAAATTTGAATTTGAATGTTAGGACAGAAGAAGCTAATCCCGCTATTCCAGTAAGATTTAACTTTTAGCAACTTAATATGGGGATAGTCAAGGGATGAGATGCCACACGTGCTCCTTTAACTTAGCAATAACGTACTTTATTGTCTTTAATGCAATAAAGAATACCATTAATCCGAGATGAAAATTTCTTTATCTAATCCACGTGGCACAACACACTCCTAAATTAATCTACAAAATTTTAAAAAAAATCCACAGAAATTAATAGTAAAAAATAATCCACTCAGAAAAAAAAAATTAAAACAAGATAATATCAGGATCAATAAAATCCATAATAATCTAATTCACATTAAAAAAAAAAAAAAAAAAAAAAAAAAAAAAAAAAAAAAAAAAAAAAAAAAACTAGAATCTAGTGCTAGTAAGTACTTTGGTGCCACCAACCAGACTGCAACCCAGCACCTAAAAACTTCATAAGAGTTAATAAGCCTGTAATCATTAACATTTCTAATCCGCCAAAATAAAATGAAAGTGGGTCACTTGTAATGTAGAAAATAAAGCAAAATGACGTCAAAAAAAAAAAAAAAAATCAAATTCATAAAAAAAAAAAAAAAAAAAAAAAAAAAACTAGAATCTAGTGCTAGTGAAGTACTTGGTGCACCAACAGACTGCAACCCAGCACCTAAAAAACTTGCATAAGAGTTATAAGCCTGTAATCATTAACATTTCTATATCCGGCCAAAATAAAATGAAGTGGGTCACTTTGTAATGTAGAAAATAAAAGCAAATGACGTCAAAAAAAAAAAAAAATCAATCATAAATATCATTAGGTAATATTAATATCACCTGCTGCTCATTCAGTGAAGTGGTAGGTAGCAAATATTTTTCTTTCGATTTATACTAATGAAATTAGTAAACTGTCTCCATCATTTCTCAGTACTGCTACAGCAAAATTCATGAGATGTAGTAAAAGTATCTACTGGTTGCTTGAAGGCCTAAACTATAAGTAAGTGACCAGCTCTTTACTTGTCGCTATCTCTACTACTAAGTACTACTTAAGTAACCAGTTGGCTTTGTGAATGCTTTAAAACGAAGCGAGAATTATGATATAATTGATTGATCACAGACTAATTAAACCCACTGCACTAGTCATGGATATTCACTTAATGGCTTTGCTTAGCCAACAGTTCACTCCCTCTTATCATTAATTAATCCAAATCAATACCCATTAATCCTTTTGCATTAAATCAGAAAAAAAAATAAAAAATGAATTAATTGATATTTTCTTGAACTAAAAACGTTAAATCAAACTGTCCTAAATGGGCATCTATAAATATCTGTCTCTTTGGACTAAAGATTAATTAGAGGACTAAAACACAGCCAAATTGTGCTTAAAGTTAGGATGTATGAAACAAGTGTGAAAATGGTTAAATTGAAAGGAGAAAGGTTAATGACAATTATAGTTAAGTTACATAATATTTGTGTGGAAAAGCAGGTTGAACCAACCGACAGACAAGGAGAAGCATGGGTTAGTTTTCTTGGCTTGGAATTGAAGGGATATGAATAGGTATGGCAGTTAGAACCACTCTCTTTCCTTTCACTCCCTCACTCACTCTCTTTCTCTAACAAATATACACACACATGCAAAAAAAAAAAAGAAATAAAGAAATAAAAAAAATCATTAGGTGGTTTGTTTGACCGGCGGCGCCACCACCACAAAGTCGTAGAAAAAGTCCCTCCGACCACTTGTCACCACACTCATTTAGCTCTTATCACTTCTATCTCTCTCTCTCTCTCTCTCATCCACAAAAACAACCATTACTATATCTAAAAACTAGGACTGGTACTATTCCTCTTCACCATACAACCCTACAATAATTTTCACTACAAGAACATAACTCCACCGCTTTTCTTCTCCATTCTTAATTTTATCTTAGTCTGCTTCTTTTTTAATTATATTTTATCACTCATTCATTTTTTTTTCTTTTTCTCTAGTTTTTTTCTCGTTGTATGGCTTTGATTGTTGATCCACAATCAAACTTCAAGCATTTTTGTAAAATTTGCAAGAAAGGTTTCGGGTGTGGAAGAGCTTTGGGCGGTCACATGAGGGCTCATGGAATAGGTGATGAGAATAGTCATATGGACGATGAAGACCCAGGAAGCGATTGGGAAGATAAATTAGGAGGAAATATCCCTCCTACCAATAAAAGAATGTATGCATTGAGAACAAACCCTAATCGGTTAAAAAGTTGTCGTGTTTGTGAAAATTGTGGAAAAGAATTTTTGTCTTGGAAATCTTTCCTTGAACATGGCAAATGCAGTTCCGAGGATGCAGTTTCCTCCCCAGGATCCGATTGTGAGGATGGCACGCCGAGAAGAGGTTGTGGTTGGTCTAAAAGGAAAAGATCGTTCAGAGCTAAAGTTGGTAATTTTAGCTCAAATTGCCCGTCAAGCGAAGAAGAAGATCTTGCAAATTGTCTTATGATGTTATCTAATGCAACAGTTGACCTTTCAGTAGCCGAACCGGAAGAGTCATGTGCTTCGGCTAGTAAAGACGAGGAGAGAAGAAATCCGATGAATTTTATAGCTCCTATGGCCTATAGGGCGCCGAAAATGGATAAGGCCAAAGGAGTTGCTAACAAAGGAATGTTCGAATGCAAAGCATGCAAGAAAGTTTTTAATTCTCATCAAGCATTAGGTGGACATAGAGCAAGTCATAAGAAGGTTAAAGGATGTTTCGCAGCTCGATTGGATCAAGGACCAGATGATAGTCTAGTTGACGATGATGTTATTACACATGAAGAATTTTTTCCAGCAAAATCAACGTCAACTTTTCAATTCGATCACGGTCCCAATCATGCACCGTTGCCTTCTACTTCAAAAAGGAAATCAAAAGTACATGAATGTTCTATATGTCATCGTGTATTTTCGTCGGGACAAGCTTTGGGTGGCCATAAGAGATGCCATTGGATTACTTCAAATTCACAAGATGCATCTTCTTTGGCCAAATTTCATCAATTTCAAGATCATATAGAACAAATTCAACAAAGACCCAAGTTTATTAATAATCCTGAGACGCTTGATCTTACACTTGATCTGAATCTGCCTGCTCCGGCTGATGATCATAACCGGCGGGACCAACCTGCAAACCCTCCTAACTTTGAAGTTTCTACAGAAATTTATTTACAAACATGGATAGGCGTTGAAGCTAAAGTAAAAGGCGATAGTCACCACCAACACCATTCAAATGAGGATGATAATGAAAACAACATCAACAACAACAACAATAACAATAATTGTAATGGTAATTCAATGCAGAATGTGGATGATGAAGCAGACAGTAAGGTTAAGTTAGCAAAGCTTAGTGAACTAAAAGACATGAACATGAATGGAAGCTCATCTCCATGGTTGCAGGTAGGGATTGGTTCAACCACAGATGTGGGTGCTGACCCCTAAAAGTTTTGGAAGCTATATGAAGGTCTTCCCTTTTTACATTTTCTGGAATTTTTATTATTTCCAATTTTGTATTTAAAAACTGTAATTACAGACTTAACAGGTTCATAACTATAACTTTATACCATTTACTGTAACTTTTTTGATGGAGATTGTAGAAATTCCCATGAATATTAATCATGGAGAAGATTAATCTAAATAAACATATATACGTCATTATTGAGGCCGTAGAATTAATAAATTCTATTAATGTTATACATTCAATATCTGCTTTCATTTTCTTTTCTTTTTCTTTTTCTTTTTCTTTCTTTTTTTTGGTTAAAATTCTTATTTCCACTCCCTTCCGTGTCACATTTTGTGACTTGAGTTGAGAGTCATAACGGAGATTTGCTGTTTCCAAGCAGTTGCCATTGTAAGACAACATGATTTTAAAAATAAAAAATTCTATTTGATGTTTCAGGTGCATGAAAAGTCTGTACAAACTATAAAAGTTTTGGTTCATCTCTGGTGCTAATGTAACAAAATGTTTAACATTGTAAAAGTAATTATTTTCACTAAGATATCTATGTCGGAAAACTAGTATATATATACGAAAAGTATAATTAAGTTTGAATTATGTAATGCTCTTACTGGATTAAGGAGCGGATAGAAACTCTTGATATTTTCATCCTCAAGCAACCATCAGACAGAAAAGAAACTCTATATATAGGTGGACAGTGGGCTTTAACTTATTTTCAGGTAGGCCTATCACCAGAGATGAAATGAAGGTGGCTTGGAACTGCATGCGACGGCAGCAAGGCTCCGGACCATATGGTTTTGACCTCAACTTTTTCAAGAAGCGCTGGTTAGTTATCTGCTTAGTCTGTGCTTTTTCCATAGCGTTCAAACCCAATGTGGAGAGCTCTTCTGAATTTAAAGATTATAGACTTGTTAGTTTGATTGGTAGTATATAAAAGATCATATCATAGATACTATTTACCAGATTGCATTTGGTCATAGTAAAAGTCATATCTGCTATCCAGTCTGCTTTTGTCAAATACTTAATGGAGTACTCATTGGCTGTCCTAAGAAGAAACAAAGAAAGAAGAGTTATTTTCAAGATCTATTCTGGGGAGTATGTGTTTTTCCCCCATTGTTATTAGCATCCTTTTGTCGAATCTCTTAAGTCTATTGTAATAGGCGTGAAACCAGAATTATCAACTATGGAATTAAATGGTTTCTTTCCTTTGAATTTCATTAATCCATATATTAGTCTCGTTAATGCATTTCATAAGAAAAACATTGATCTCAATGTTCCCTTTTATTGGGATAATTTCACATGCTCAATTATTAAAAGAAAAAAAAAAATTGTGTTAATGCGAGTGCTAAGTCAACGTTGACCATAAGGTTAGGGATGGAAAAAAATATATATATAGACAAATCGTGTTGGGTGCGCCACCTGTCAAGAGAAAAGATCTGTATAGCGTAGCATGTCTCCCACAATCCACCGCGTTCCAGTGTTATTCTGCGGCCCAATGGGTACGGGCTTTTTTTTCACCCCAGGAAATTATATTCTGTATAGCATATAATATTTTGGTTAATATAAATGCGTATTATTCAATTTTTATTGTTAATAACATAAAATATTTTATAATTTTAATGGAATAATATTTGAATTGACCATTTTTCTCACATCTAGTTATATTAAAGTTATTGTACACACTTTTGGACAAGATGTTATTTAAATAAAATTTTCGAATTTCTTAAAATTCATATAGAAAAGTAATATATTCTCGTTGATGTTATTGTCTATTAAAAAAAAATCTCAATAAATTTAATTAATTTTTAAGAGCATTTTTCAAAAAGAAAAAAAGAAAAAAAACCCATTTTTTGTACCTTTTTTAATGAAAAAAGTTGGCTTTTACTTTTTACGTAACTACAATAATTAAAATCAATTATTTTACGATATAAAGCTATAAGCTAGTGAAGCTGACATTTCTCCACGTCCTATTTGTTCTTTAACAATATAAATTACAACTTACAAGAGCTCAAAAATGAGAATTTAATTATTCGACAAGCAAGTTTTAACTTGGTGGGAGAAAAGCTGCAGAAAAAACTGGAAAACCCTCATAATAATGGGTAGCCAACCTTATCTTCGAATAGAATATAATCATCTTATACATATAAAGTGGCTGCCACTGCATGTTTGACTCTGAAACTTATCTTTTATATAAACGTATTACGTATTTCTCTTCCCTTTTGTATATTCAAACAATTTATAATTCTTTTCTCAAAAGAAAAAAAAAAAAACTATATTTCATTATATAAAATTTTCAAATTTTAATTAATGCAAATTTGGATTTCAGTCGTTTATTATTTATATAGGAACCAAATTGCATGTTGAGGATCGATTATTTATTTGGTTGAATTGTGTGTATATCATCAGCAAAATTGGCCTTTCAATAATTAATGTGGTATACGAATAATTAAATAAAATAATTAAAAAATTATACAATGGTCTTGTTCAAAATTGGCATTGGGTTCTCTTTTATATGCCGAGTCGTTACACACTATCAAAGTTACTTTGGAAACTATAAAATTACAATTTAGAACCTTAATATATATCAATTAATTAAAATAAATAAGAAAAAAGTTGATATTATTTGAAATTATCAATTCCAAGTTTAAAATATGTGAATATTCTTCTTTGAAAAATATTTGAATAATTATTTAGCTAACTATTTGAAAAAAAGTTATCACATAATTTTTTTTTTCAAGATATTTTATTTTTTGATGCTAATAATATATACTCTATCTGTCCATTAAAAAAATAAAAAAGATTCAAGGCGTTATTTATTCTTTGGAAGGAAGATTCTCAAGAAAACTTCTTTTAAGAAAACAACTTTTATAAAAAAAACAAATTTAAATTCATTTTATTTTTTTTTTCACAAAATACAAATTTTCAATTTTACAATTTTATAAAGGAATTTACATTTTTTGAAGAAGATGTTTTATTCAAGTTCACGCGAGGATTGAGTTCTGGTACAAAACATCAGATTGGTACATTCAATATCAATTTCCGATTGCTATTTTAGCTGAATTTACTTTTGTTTTTTCGTTTTAACTGTCCGGAATCTGAGTTCTACTGGTCCAATTAATTTAAATTTATGTCGGACAACTCATAAGTGAGTAAAGCGCTCGTTCTCGAGTATTTAAATAAATTTATAGTTATAATTCAAACTTGAAATCTTTAGTTTAATAAAAAATGGGTTTTTGTACTCTCATCTTATTTCTTGCTGTGAATCTCATTTTGTTTGTATTGTTAATACTTGCAAGAATATATAATTCTTTCTTTTTCTTTTTCTTAATTTTTTTTTCCATGGGTGAAGCCTTAAACAATCAGAAATAGTTTTAAACACAGATTTGGACTATGCACCTTTAAACGGCTGAAAACTCCAAAAGAAGGATATCAAACAAATCCTTAATTTAAAGTGGTATCCATTCCTTGTGATCGATTTATGAGTTATGACAACCTTAATTCTGGGTAATAACTTGTGGCATAAAAAAGGAGAAAATTAATTTTAATATTAAACTATTAGTAGTTTTTAATTAATAAAAAAATAATGTTATTATTACATTTATCGGAATTATTAATTATTTGGTCAATCGCATGTTGAACAGTGAATTCTGACCAATGAGTTTTTAATGATACTAAACAAATTGAGATTGCAGTTTTGAATTCCATTTAAAGCCACATGCAAAAAATAACACAACAAATTTTTTTATTGATGAATTCACTCGCGAGTCAGCAACTAAATATAATTAAATAATATTATATCTGATAGAATAATTAATTAATATAAAATTTATTCGGTTTTAAATTAACGATAAGATAATATCACGAATTAATTTTTAATTTTAACTTCTTAGTCAAATACTGACCGTCAATATCTAAGGGGAAAAAAAATTCCTTCGTATATCATCATTAGCCTAAAAAAATTGAATGGTACATGTAAATATTTAGAAGACTTTGTTATCAATGGCTTAATTAGGCTTTTTCTTTTTATTATTTGAAAAGAATGGCTTAATTAGTTGAATATTTGTCAAGTAATTAGAGAGTAAACAAGGCTCCGTTTGTTTCCGTAAAATAACTTGCAGAAAAATATTTTCTACAATTTTCCGATGTTTGAGGCGCTCAGGAAAATATGTCAACATTCAATATTTTATTGGTCAAAAGAAAATTAAATTATTTTTTAAGGAAAATAAATTTCTATTTTAACAGAGTAAAACATTTTTCGAATATCGAAAAACCTTATAAATCATATTTTTTAATTTATTAATCATTATAGTCATTACTACTAATCACCGTTTACCACCGACCACCAGCAGCAGCTACCACCACTGGCGGCCACCATCACCAACCACTGACGGCTTTCATAATTTATGTTTTTTTTTCTTTCTTTTCATATTTAACAATAAAATTTTTAAATTATAAAATTTCTATTATTATTAATATTTTTATAGTCTTACGAGATAAAAACTTTAATATTTTTAACTAATTTTTAATAGTACAACCAAACAACCCGAAATAAGTTATTTGAAAATATTTTTCAAGAAAAATGTTTTCCATAAAAATATTTTTCAGTAAATTATTTTTCTACCAATTATTTTACGCAAATAAATGGAAACTAAAATTTAAAATATTAAATTTTTTTTTTCCTTAAAAAGATCTACGATGTAAAACTTTTTTTTCCCTAAGAAGAATGTGTAATTGGGTGTCATCCACGTGGCCGTGGCTTATTCGACTCAGTAGTTGGCACTGAGGACTCTGGACTGAGTCTATAAACCCCTAACAAAACGGCATTTACTACTCTCTCATGAAAAAACTCCTTTCTCAAAGGAAGGAAGGAAGTTACTTTCCTACTCATTTCTCACCCTTCATTTCCTATCGGACATTTCAACAAAAGATCCAATTTTTTAGGAAATTTACCCTAAATTAGGTTAGAATTACCTCATTTCATTAACTTTTTTCTTTTTTAATTACATAAATTAATTAATTTACTTAAATCAATTGAAATAAGGACTTAAAAAATAAAAAAGTTGCAGCCGGTCCAGCCGGCGTGCTAAAGCTACCAAGACTGACAGTTGGCCCCTAATATCACCGTCAAAAAGTTGACATAATCACAGAATCTCTAATTCATTCTTTTGAATTAGTGTAAAATAAATAAAAACAGTATAAATACCGGAATAGCGGGATATGGTGTATGACACGTGGACCACGTTAGTGAAGTGTACTGATTTGATTTGGATTTGTGAGCTTGTTACGCATTATATGTCACAGCGAGGTCGGATTAAAACCAGTGGGGTTCATTTTTATCGATAGAGGACGGTCTGTTGGTTTTATATTTGTGCTTCGTCGTTACAACCAACCCAGCAGTTTTCTTCACTTGTACAAGTAAGCAAGCCACCGGTTCGTTTTCTGGTAACCTCTAATTTAATTTCCAAAATACCCTCCATGGTTTTACTAAATTAAATTGAAAGAAAAAGAATTTCTTATTCAACTTACGTAGTAAAACATAAAAAGAATGGTTAGGAATAAATATACAGAAACGGGCAAGCCTCGCATGTTACATGTCGTTCTTTCTCCATTCATGCACACGCTTTTATTAACTTATATTTAATTGTTTTAAATTGCCGTTTTAAAAGAAGAACAATTACTCCTAAAATCAAAATTACCATTTTGGTTTTTAATTCTGAAACTACTATTTCTTTTTCTTTTTTTTTTCTTTTTTTTTTTTTTAAACCTTTGGCGATGCTTCAGCAGCTTTCCCTTTCCAAGAACAATATAAGAGGCCGAGAACATAGGCATCTCAAAAGACGAAGCCTGAGTTAAACTTTACACACAATTAGCTGAGAGATCAAATTGTTGTGGCGATGCCCACTCAAGTGGGATTTTTTTTTTTTATTTTTCTTTTTTTTTTCTTTTTTTTTTTTTTAATTTTCTTCTTCTTTTTTAACCTTTCATATATATCTCTTGGTGGAGGAACGCTTGTCACCTACTCTTTTTAGTTTTTAGTTTTTCCACTCTCTCTCACAACTTCTTTAAAACTCTTTTTCTGGGGAGAAAAAAAAAAGAAAAAAAAAGAAAAGGAGAAATCCAGAGCTCAGAACTTTTTCACGAAGAAAGGAGAGCTAGCTCTGTTTTTGGCTCTGTTTCTTTCTGGATAAAATGGAAAGGCACAGATGTAAGCTCTGTTTGAAAAGTTTCTCTAATGGAAGAGCTTTGGGTGGTCACATGAGGTCTCATATGTTGAATCTTCCCATTCCTCCCAAACCAGAAGAAGACCCGACCATTCAACTCAGCGAAGAGACCGAGTCAGCTTCATCTTCGTCTTCATCTTCAGAAGAAGAAGGAGAAGCAGAGGGTGATGATAAAGGTGTTTATTATGGATTGAGAGAGAACCCAAAGAGAAGTATTCGGTTGGTAGATCCTGAATTCTCTTTCGCTGTGGATGCTACGTCTGTTGTTCTTCAAGACAGAGAGAGCGAAACTGAGTCATCCAAGAACCCAACTCGGAGACGATCCAAAAGAACTCGAAGTTTGTTAGAGCATCAATATCACCACCACCAACAACGGCAACAAGAACAAGAAAACAATTTTAAAAAGCTTATTTTTAGCAAATTAAGTAAGACCGAGTCATGGGCTGAGCCTGAACCAGTGAGTTCAATCTCTGACACGACCGCAGAAGAAGATGTCGCTTTCTGTCTTATGATGCTTTCAAGGGACAAATGGAAGAGAAGAGAACAACTACTACAAAACAATCGAGAACAAGAGGAAGAAGAAGCTGAAGCTGAAAAATCGATTGAAGAAACAGATGAATCGGATGAGTTCAAATCTTGCAAAACAAGAAATCGGGGAAAGTACAAGTGCGAGACATGCAAGAAAGTATTTAAATCTTATCAAGCTTTGGGTGGGCATAGAGCAAGTCACAAGAAACTGAAAAATTATACACAAAACAGAGAAACAGAGTTGGAAACAGAGAATGCAGGTACTTCAACTTCGGCGGTAGAGAAGAAAGTCCATGAATGTCCTTATTGTTTTAGAGTATTCTCATCTGGGCAAGCTTTGGGTGGTCATAAAAGATCTCATGTAACTGGTTTAGGAACAACTCCTGCTAGAAGTTCTACGAAAGTAGAAGACAATTTGAACTTAATAGATCTCAATCTTCCAGCTCCAATTGAAGATGATGATATTAGCCAAATCGAGCTGTCTGCGGTATCTGATGCAGAATTTGTCAATCATATCAAGAGGTGAGTAATTTTGGCTTACTATACTATAGCTATGATCTTCGATAAAAGAAGATTCGATCCAAAAGTAGATAGCTTTTGGCTACTTTTGCGTTTTGGGATCTAAATTCATGCGAATTTGTTAGTTTTAATTGAGTTTTATGCTTCCTATTTATCCAAAGACTATTAATTAATTTCTTAATTAATTTCTTGGTTGAAATTCTAACTCCAATTCATTTCTCCCGTCTGTGTCTCCTGTGACAAGCTCAGTTACTTATAACATGAACATCCAATTATTTATACTTAAATAATAATTTCTTCGTTTTGTTTATAAAGAATTATAAACAGTTATCAATTTCTGGTTATTTCTTATAATTAATAATCATAGAGCTTTAGTAACCAAGTGCAAAGAATTCTTGGTGATGGGTTCTGTTTAAGATTCCAGCTGTTAAGTAGCTAGTTGTTTCACCAGTCATTTTCTTGAAATCTTTTTTTTTTTTTTTTTTTTTTTTTTTTAAAATCTTTTTTTTTTTTTTTTTTTTTTTATTTTAAAGTTTTTTTTTTTTTTTTTTTTTTTTTTATTTTAAGTTTAAATATGTAGTCATTCATCTTCGAAGAAGGGAAGCTGATCAAAACCGTATGTTATTTTATTAATTAATAGAAAAGTAACTTCCACCACCTGTCAATACTGGCATTGTACAGTTAACGAGAGGAGAGAAGCCAATTCTTTGTTTCTCTTATCTGCAACTGTTTTCTTTTCCTTTTTACCTTCTTCTTTCTTGCTCTCAGCATTTTCTTGCTTCTCTGTCTCGGGTCTGTGAATATTTGAAACTGTACCTAAAAACAGATCTGCTAAATCAACAGAGAAATAGCATTTAATGGCATGAGCATAAATATATAGCCTCGAAGCAGCATCTGATTTTACATTAAATATTTTTCAATGTCGGAAATCTGAAAAGCTCATAGAGAGAAGCAAAATCTTCTGTTTTTACTGGGAGAGAATAACATGTTTGGTTTGGCGTGACCAAAGCAATATTCCTCAGTCAGGCTCACTGCAACCATATGGAAACTACAATCACATTCGTTAAATTTGTAGTAAATGAAAAGAACTCGGCGCTGGTTGAATTGATGAACAATATTAACTTCCATCCGTAGAGGTGAGAATAAATTTGATCTCGGGAATATAATCTTTATGATCTATGATCTAAGAAGGATTACACATCTTGATCATAAAAAGAAAAATTTGTAGGAAATAAAAGAAAATAAGTGCTGTTACCTTTTAGACTTTTCTTCTTAACAAAAATTATATATATTTTGTACCCCTCTGTTATTTCTAGAGTTCCTGGAAAAAAATTATTTTGAGAGATCTTTTCTGTTATTTGAGGAAAGTTTCTAGTTCATATATCGAGGAAGATGAACTTGAGATTGACCCGGATAAAAATTTTAGTTTTAATAAATACTGTATGTTTGGATTCACATATTGATTTTTATATCTAGAATTTTAAAATGTGGAATTTATTTGAAATGATACTTGTTTTTGAAATTCATAATGTTTAAATTTTATTTCATTTAGATTTAAATCTATAAATATGTAATAATTCGAATAACAAATTTTAATAAAATTCAAATTCAAACATTCAAATCATGGATTCAAAAACCATATAATTAATTTTTTTTTAAAAATAATTTTTCGGAGTATAAATTAATTTAAGACAATTAGCCTAAAATCAATGGCTATGTAACTAAACTGAATTTCGAAATTCGAATGGAAGCGTTGGCAAGGGTCACGATTCATGAAGCGGCAGGTCCAACATATCAAGTTGTTGCAATTTGATATTATCATGAAATTATCTTTTTTTTTTTTTTAAAGCATGAAATTATCAATTATTAATATGTTTATATTAGAGAAAGAGTTACTATCAATTATGCAATTATTGTGCTCGACAAATGCAAACTAAATGAACTTTAATTTCATTTTTTTAAAGAAAAAAACTTCAATCCAATATCCTTGTAAACTACTAGTGCAAAAAAAGTTTTCTCCCCAATTATATAATTTATTTTGTAAAATGCATCAATATTGCAATCACGGTAATAATATTAATAATAGCCATTTTACCATTTCTTCTATTTAGAAATGGAGTGAATATGAATTTTAAAAATAAAATGCTACATGCTTTGTAAATATATTTCTTTAAAAAAGTGGGATTTTTTTTAAAAAATAAATATTTTGAATAAAATCTGGCCCCAAGCCGTGAAGAATATAAAATCGAGGCTTAGAATGGCTTTCAATTGAAAAAGAAAAGTTCACATTTTTCAATTTGATCACATGGTTTCATGCATGAGATCCCCGATCTTCCATGATTAAGCTTATTTAATTTTCTTTCTTTTATTTTTAATTTCTTATATATAGTAGGAATAAAGAGACAAAATGACTTTTATAACGTTTGGAATTTAATCTAACATAATTGCAAAATTGCATGCATCTAACCTAGAACTGAAATTATTCCACTCAAAAAGGTTTTTGAGTGCAAGAATGGAACTAATAAAGTATGTCATTACTCATTAATATTAATATCAAGATTAAAAAACATAAGTAGAAATCCACTATTACGTGGTCAACATATATTGTGAAGATGTGCAAAAATTATTATTCTATATAATCATGCTTCACTTATATATATATATAAATACTTTTTTTAATAATTCCAAAAAAATTAATATTTTAATTTTAAAACTTTAGTGAAACCTATGAGGATTGGAGTGAATCTCTACATGTGGCATTATTATATATTAATGTGTTATTTTTTAAACTTGAAAATCCTGCATTAGGTCAAAATTATCACATTCATATTGAAAATCCTGCATTAGGTCAAAATTATCACATTCATATTCTTAGGATGATGCCCTAATATATTCTCACAATAATGACCCGTCCTTTTTACAGAGAGACAAGTAGCAATTAAAGTTATTAAGTGGTAACTATCATAACCAAATTTATGAAATCCTTATTCACCATCCTTTTTTTTTTTTCTTTTAAATTGCTTTATTGATCACAGATATAGCCATGGTTTAGTGGGTTTTGAACTTGCAATTAGTTAAGAAATGTGCCCCAAAAATATATTTATGGTTTTGATTCCTTACCCATTTAAAAAGGGCATATGTCCTCTTCATCAAGACCTTTGTGCTGGAACTTCAAAAACCATTATAGGAAAAGAAAATTGATGAGTTTCTCCATAATGTACCGTTCGTATTGGCTGATCACTGTTTAAGATGCTTGTTATCTTTAATGCTGACCTAATCGCCAAAAAACTGTAGCAATTAGAATTGGCCACAACTTGGGTTGGTAGCTGCTACGCATGACCTTTATGGTTGAGACTTTCAGCGAGAATTATATATATGGCCATTTGATCCAGTCGGTGGGTCGGTTCTTGGTTCCATTCCGACCATCAAATTAAAGATTAAAAAAAAAAAAAAAAAAAACGACCATCAAATTAAAGATTAAAAAAAAAAAAAAAAAAAAAAAAAAAAAAGTAAAAGTGTACTTGCAAGAAGGGTGAAGGAGGATAGGGTTATGACTTATCAGAGTTAGTGCCACTTTACGTCTCACTCAAAATACTCTTTAGCGTTTTAAAACTATTATTATTTTTTTTAAAATAATTGAATCATATATATATATATATATTTTAATATTGAAGAGTTTTAAGTTCAAGTATATATAGTTTGAACTGAATTCCAATTGATTAATTAATTGATAATAAGAATAAAGATAAGTGTTATTGTGGGGAATGGGCGAAGTTTTTTGAATGATGAAAAGAGTGAAACAAACAAAAGAATTGTTAATTTGCCGGCTAATGGACTTTCAAGAAGTCCCAAAAAGAAAGAGTCAACAATAAATCAATAATGTGATCTTTTTTCCTCTGGTCTTTTTTTTTTTTTTTTTTTTTTTTTTTTTTTTTTTTTTTTTTTTTTTTTTTTTTTTTTTTTTTTTCTTGAAAGTCCTAAGTCATAACAAACACTACATCATCATCATCATCATCATCACCCAAAACCACTTTCCCTTTGTTACTTACCCTCCAGTGATTCCATAGGCTACTGTGTTGCTTCTTCTTGTATGGTTATGCTGCAAGTTACCTAATTGGCGAAAGTATATTCTTTTTCTTTCTTCCTTCGTTGTTAGATAAATTAAGCTACATGTTCATTGAAAATAACAAGTATCTAATGGCTTAATTAGTTGTGAACTTCTACTTTTAGTTCGTTCTCTTGTTTCTTCAATTCAAAATTTCTTCCATTTGAATTAGAGTCTTCATATCTTTTGCATCCTATAGAGAGCAAACTTTTGTGTTGATTGATTGGCTGCGTATACTTTTACTTTGGGCTTGAATCTTCTTATTTATCCTCTTTCAGGATTCATCAATGGTTAGATCATGATAGTCCTGGAGTGGCTTAACCTAAATGGTGCAAATAGCTAGTGTTCTTTTTCTCTCTTTTTTCTAAAAACAAATAACGTCGAATTGAATTAGTAATTGAAGTAAAAATTAATTAAATGGGTTATAGATGTATTTTCATTTTCTTTATTGTTGGAGAATTAAAAAATATTAAGAAGGTAATATGATAATTACATGGTAACGTGCAAGAATCATTAATTGACAATATTTGGATGAAAAATACAAACTGCAAAATCTAAGAGTCATCATGTTGTCTCATTTTTGGCCACTAAAATATGTTACGAGACAAAGCAAGAAAAGAAGTCAAACAAGTTCACTTACAGATATCCTAAATGACGCCTTTATAATTAATTAAAAGGCTAACTACCACTCAAAAGAAAGATCTTCATGTTCTATTGTAGTAAGATTTCCATCACCTAACATGTGACCAAAGTACTCAACTGCCAAACCCATGAAAAAAATGCAAACCCTTTTATCTTCAAGACTTGGATCCAAAATGAACTTTTGTTTTTTCTTTAATTTTAAGTTTGAATCATCATTTTCTTTGCAAACAAACAAGAAGTAGAGCTCGAAAGTTTGGCTTGTGTCTTAATTATAACAATATATAAACCATAAAATGATACTAACCCACTTGAAGCATGCATGGAAGACAGCTTACCCTAAAATCTTTTCTTTTTGGGTAGCACTCTTTTACACATGTTTTGTTTCCTTGCTTTCTTTTTTGGCTCTTTCTTATTTAATTTTATAAACTAGAAATATTTTTAAATCCTTGTTTATGCAATGCGTGGGCATCGCCTTTGGTTCACGCTACAAAAAGCCATAATTTCACATAGACACTCAAAGCACTAGCAAGTAGCAGCAGCGGCGTTGTTTGTGTCTCACATGTGACCTCTCCGCTGATATCAAATACCTGCAAATCCACCCATGGTTATAAAAAAAAAAAAAAAGAAAATACTCTGATTTTGAAACTAGTATCCGAAAGGAATAGCACGTGTGGAGCGTGTGACACGAGAAGCGGGAAATTTGTGACGATGGTTGCTTTGTACTGCTCAAAGACATGGTGCATGTATATCCTTGGGGTCTGGTTCTTGGATCAGTTCTTCTAGTTTTCAAAATTGCACATGCATGTTTCCTTTTTATACCAACAGAAGCACCCGCCAAAAAAAAAAAAAAAAAAAAAAAAAAGCACATGCATGTTTCCTTTATACCAACAGAAGCACCCGCCAAAAAAAAAAAAAAAAAAAAAAATAAAAAAAAAAAAAAAAAAAAAAAAAAATCACAGTTTTATTAATTTTTTTAAATGCATGCAAGGTTACCATTTTGAAATTCAAACCTTAGACTGTATACCAAACTGTTTGGGTTCTAACTACGTTTGGCACCTGCATGAGACCATTAGAATATTATTTGATTGGAAATGGACGGTTAAGTTCTGGGTTTTTCAAAACCTAAATAATTCTCCCAACCGTTTAGCCAAGCTTTTGATCATTAGTACATAGGGACAGACAGCACCATTATGGATTCCACCGTTCAGAAAAGATGGAAAGGTCACAGCACCGAAGCATGCATGCTTATAAATATAATTAGTTGTTTCCTATCCTTTTTTTTCCCTGAGGTACTGGTTAAAAATATAAATAATTCAGATAAATTAAAATAATTAGTATTAACAAGTAAAGAATAAAAGAATAGAGATTTTAATAAATCAATAGTTTTTATTTTTCCGGTAATTATCATTTTTTTTTAACTTTAGCCCCCCTTATTAATTCAAATCATTTGAATTCCAGCCGAATTAATAAAAAAAAGGATAAAAATATAAAACACCTCCATGAAAATTCTAGGCTTGTTGTGTATTGTTTTTTCTGAAAACGAAAGCATTCAATGAATTGTGAAATTTTAACAATGTCTGGGCTCGCCAGATGAACCTTTTTTATTGGCATTGACTTGTTAATGCCATAATCAATAATGTGTGGTTGTCTGCTGTGGTAATACAGTGAGACCATTTATTGGGGTGTCACTGACTTTGCCAATGAAATGCAAATTGGAAAAAAGAAGAAAAAGAAAAATCAGCTCTTATTAGATGCTAATTACATTTATGTCCTCAAAAGACTACTCCATTTTATTTCATATAAAATATCTTGAATCGTGCTCTCAGGAAAAAAAATAATATTCTCAATGAGTATGTTAATCACGTAAATTATAATTAATCATATAAAAAAAAAATACCGGATCAAGAGGGGAAAAAAATGTTCACCTACTTTTTTAATTGACCAGAGAAATAGTCAAAGCACTTTCCTCACTGATATTCTTATAAAAATAATCAATATATAAAATTCTTTAAATTATGGAATAAGTGCAATTTAGTGCCTCGGATCTCACATTCTTTTAATATGTCAAATTTTTGCCTTGTATAGGCAACCTAATAGTATATGGTTAAGAATGTTTCTAACATGAATAATTTCCACTTGAAGTTGTAAGGAACTATCAAGTGGCTGTAATTTAGTGGTAAGAATTTCACGTTGTGGCTGTGAAGAACTGGGCTCGAATCTCAGCAGCCACATTTTTTCCTGTTTTTATCCACTTTTATGCCAATGATCTTATTCATGTTCATTAGTAGGAGCTGAAATTAATTGTTCTTTGAACACTTTTTCTTTGGCGGAAGCTTTTTTCCATTCTTTTTTTTTTTTTTTTTTTTTTTTGCTTTTTTCCCATTCTTTTTTTTTTTTTTTTTTTTTTTTTTTTTTTTGTTTCCCTGAAAAGGCTTTTCCTTCATTCTTTTTACAAACAGTACAATTTTTCGGGAAAAAATAAATGGAACTAGGGATTTGCCCAAAGGCAAGCCTTGGTCAATCCAAAATCATCTTTCAAATCAAAACAGCTTTCCTTTTTTTTTTTTTTTTTTTTTTTTTCCTGAAAGGCTTTCTTCATTCTTTTACAACAGTAAATTTTCGGGAAAAAATAAATGGCAACTAGGATTTGCCAAGGCAAGCTTGGTCAATCCAAATCATCTTTCAAATCAAAACAGCTTTCCTGCTTGGCCCAACAATTAAAAACACCTAGAAATGGGTCAAATGGATATGAAATTACATGGAGGCCCAATACCTAGGTGCGATGGACTCCAGTGGGCTGGGCCTGTAATTCCAAGCTAATTCTCAGACTGTCTTCCCCACGTACACTATGCTTGCTCATAGTTGGGCAGTAAGTTTTTGTTTTTATTGTGAGAGAAATAGGTATTAAATTAAATTAAATGCCGATCATTTAATATACCGAGCCGCTAATCTTAATTACGGAATCTATTACAAAGCAACAAATTCTCAGTAGCCGCATTTTTCTCACAACCAGACGCAATTTTTGCCTTTGTTTTCTCTTCTTCTGTGCTTTCCCCCACTCTCATGCATTTGCTTTCTTGACCTCTGTGTTTCTTTTTCTTTCTGCAGAGAAGAAAAAAGATGAAAAACAAAAAACCGGACGACCTTACTAATTCATCTAACAATCCGCCACCTTCTCCAACCTCTCTCACCAACTCGCTTATGACTCAGAACCAACTCTTCGATTCGCTCACTGCTCACATCTCTCTTTACCATTCTCATTCTCTCCTCTCCAATCTCAATCCTAACCCCAATCCAAGGTCCTCGATCCTCAGATGGTTCTCATCTCTCACCGTCCATCAACGCCAAGCTCATCTCACAACCGTCGATTATAAATTCACACAGCTTCTAATTCAAATGCTTGGCGAAGTCCGTAAACAAGGACGCGGCCGTTTCATCATTCTTCCTGACCTGCCCTCACGTGACCTTCCTGGCCTTTGTTACAAGAAGTCACGGGGTCTCTTGTCTCGAACCGCCGAGTCTAACGAGTCGGAGCGGTTAATTTTTGAGTCAACTCGGATTTTTGGGTCCAGAGAAGGCGAGAAGATCGCGGAATGTTGTTGTTCGATTTGGTGTTTAGATTCAGTAACTGTAAGCGAAGAGTTGGTGGAAAACGTAGACAAGTTTGTTGAAACAATGGATAACATATCGAATGGAGGATTTTTGAGAGGAGAAGAAAGCGAATTAGGATTTGATTGGGCGGAATTTGAGTGGTTAAAAGCTAAAGGTTATTATAGCATTGAGGCTTTTGTGGCAAATAGGTTAGAGGTGGCTTTGAGGCTTGCGTGGCTAAATTGTAGTCATGGTAAGAAAAGGGGGGTGAAATTGAAAGAGAAAATGATTTCTGCAGGTACAGCTGCTAATGTATTTTGGAGAAAGCGAGGATGTGTTGATTGGTGGCTAAATTTGGACGCTGAAACGAGGAGGAAATTCTTGACTGTATCGCTTGGGAAAGCTGCAAAATCACTGGTATTATCCGCAAAATTTGGTTATTTCAATATGAGTTGTGTTATTCTATTTAATATCTCATGTACTTAAACAAGTTGTATGTTTTAAATGATCTTGACGCGAGAATGTTGATATTATCCTGTTATCTAATTTACATGTCAGTAATAAAATTCTTTTCTTAGTATAGTATGATTCTTTATTAGTGTCTCAGATTGCGGGGATGTCAAATATTAATGATACAATGAAATCTACAATTAATGATATTTAAGAGCTTTCTATGAAAAAAGAAAAAGGAAGACAGAAAGAAAACTGAATTGTGGCCTAAACTTGTGGTCATTTACAAGTTCTCAGACTCTAGAGATTGTGAAGGAAGCCACTGTTGCAGTGGAGGATGAGACAGGGCCATTTAGAGCAGGAGAAGGGCAACAATTGGGGTACAGCTATGGTGAATCAACACAAAAATCAACCATAAAACTCTCAGACGATGTGAATTTTGGTTCAACTGTTAAGGGCGCTTCCCCATCTGCGAAAGCTGTTTTGTTGGCCAATCAATTTAGTAGTTTGTACGTACTTCGGGATATTGTTACTTTGATGTTAGCAGATTGGCATACTGAGTATGATATATCAAAGATATTCTTTAGCACATTGGATTCTGTCAGTAGCCTTTCTGATTGCATATTAAGAAAGCTACGGGGACTTGTTATGGTTATTTCACTTGATTGCACAAAGCTTGAACTTCTTGGAGAAGGAAATTTTAAGAGTTCAACCAATAAACCAAAGGAAAAGCTTAGTGCTGGTAAACGTAAGAAAAAGGGAAAGACTCATAGCATGAAAAAGTCAATTCCTGCTACAGGGATAGGTGTCAGGGAATCTTCTTTCAACAAACCTCTCAAGGTACCTCTTCCCTTGTTGATAATTGCTAGCAGCCTTCAAAAAAATTATTTTATTTATTTGCATTTAAATGTTGGTTGTTGATATTTTTTTGGTAGTGACTGGTTTAAATGATTCTTAGGATCATGACGATGCATTGACTTATTCTGAGAATATGGAGTCAACGGCGGTCAGTGAGTTACCAAATATGCCTCTTGGAAGGGAAATACAAGAAGACACATTATCATCAGCAGTTGAAATGGTTACATAATTTTTCATTTGGATAATCTTTCTTATTGATGATTTAAATGGTTTATAACTGGTAGCCTGTCATCAGGAACACTCCCAAGGATTGGTTATTGGGAAAGGTCAAACTGCTGCGAGGAAGAACAGAAAAAGGAAAAATAAAAGTAAAACCTCTACCTTAAACAATGTGGTTGAAGTGAAGAATGCTGAAAGCTCAGTTGCAGAAGGTCCCTGCATGTCCATTATCTGTTCAGAAGAGGCAGCAAAGCTTGATATGGTATCTGATAATTCGGCCACTCAGAATGTATCAAATGATATTTTAGTTGGTAGCGAGTCCTTTGTACCAAATGTGAATCTCAATACTTCTGCTAGTGAGCCCACTAAGGAGGGCATTGGTGTCCAGAGCATTCAAGAAGATGGTGTTGTTGGGCAAAATGAAGGCATCTGTCATATAGGCTCAGAGCATGAACAGTCCTCAAACAATATGATGGAGGATGAATCTATACCTTCCAGAATAGAAACACTAAACTTCAAGACGGAAACTAGTGTAACATCTCATGTAGTGCCTATGCTAAAGATTAACACTAATTCCAGCAATGAAGACATCAATTTTCAGAATAAAAAATCCAAGGCAAGATCAAAGTTTTCTGATAGATCAGTCAGAGACCTTAATGTAAAAGATGAACCCACCCTAATTCAGGGACAAGGGAATAAAAAATTTAATGGTGCCAGGCTCACAAACTCTTCAGAATACATTTCATACGAGTGGCCTAATTTAGCTCCTGTCTATTTTCCATCTCTTAATTCACATCTTCCACCCGCCACTGATAGATTGCATCTGGATGTTGGTTGCAACTGGCAGAATCACGTTCGCCAACCATTTGTTCCCACTGTGCATCAGGCAAGAAATTCTGCCATTGAAAATGGTTACAACAGGACTCTGTCTCGACCACTGCAAATGAGTTTAGATTGGCCCCCAATGGTTAGGAGCAATTATGGATTAGCTCCATCAATGACATGCAACTATGATTCTGGATTTATCTCAAGACGTCAGTCTGTGTTTCAGCAGAGTTTCACTGCTCATAACATGCAGTTTAATGCGAAAACCACTGATGAAGAGAAAAAGTATTCTGGGGATTTTATAGACGCACCTGAATCCGCAAATGCACAGGAGCTGATGGATGATTATGAAAGCCACTGGATATCAGAGGAAGAATTGGAGGTTCATGCAGTATCTGGGATAGATTATAACCAGTACTTTGGTGGTGGTGTGATGTATTGGAATCCTTCTGATCATCCAGGGAAAGGTTTCTCTCGACCCCCTTCTCTTAGTTCTGATGATAGCACATGGGCTTGGCATGAAGCTGACATAAATAGGGCAGTTGATGACATGGTTGCCTTCTCTTCTTCATACAGTACAAATGGTTTGACTTCACCGACTGCTGCTTCATTTTGTTCTCCTTTTGAGCCTTTGGGCGCTGGACACCAGGCACTTGGCTATGTTCTACCTGGAAATGAAGTATCTGGCAAGGTACTGCATTCTTCAACAACGCCAACAGACTCCGCTACAGAGGAGGAGGTCACTGGAACTTTAGCTAATTTGTCAGTTGATGTTGAAGGGAAGGTGGGAGATTCACTTCCTTACCCCATATTACCTCCTATCATTATTCCAAATATGTCAAGGGAAAGGTCAAGATCTGATTTTAAGCGTAGTCATGATCATAAAAGCCCATGTGTTCCTCCTTCTAGGCGGGAACAACCTCGGATAAAGCGACCACCTTCACCTGTAGTGCTCTGTGTTCCACGGGCTCCACGGCCACCACCACCCTCTCCTGTAAGCGGCTCTAGAAAACACCGCGGGTTTCCAACTGTTAGGTCTGGTAGTTCCAGCCCAAGACATTGGAGTATGAGAGGTTGGTACCATGAGGGAACTAATTTGGAAGAAGCTTGTGTACGCTTGGATGGTACTGAAGTTGTTTTGCCTTCTTGGAGGAATAAAAACCTTTCAACCCATCCAATGATTCAGCCTCTCCCGGGAAGTTTACTGCAAGATCGTCTTATTGCGATGTCCCAGCTAGCACGTGATCAGGAACATGTAAGTATGCTTTTGTATTACTTTTTTTATATAAGTTAAAGGGAAGGAAATGAAAAACAGGGATTTCAGGTGAATATTTGAACGTTTACTGGCCCAATGGCTATGTTATAACATTTTAAATTTATTGTGGGATATGTAATTGTTTAATTGGCTGTAACTGTTACACAGCCAGATGTGTCATTTCCGCTTCAACCGCCTGAGATGCAGAATTGCCCAGCTCGAAAGGCATCTCTTTCTTTGATGCACAGCCTTCTTCACAGTGAAATCGACTTTTTCTGCAAGCAGGTACGAGGCTTAGATGATGTTCTTCTTTCTTTTTTAGATTTCTTCCCAGAATCAGGAAGTAAACTTTCTTTAGAAAATTGTTGCTTAGCATTTTTACTTCCTTTCATGGATGCAACTGTGATTGATTACTTTCCTGGCATGTTTACATCCAAGGTTGCTGCAGAGAATATGGAAAGGAAGCCTTTCATTAATTGGGCTGTCAAGCGAGTTACCCGATCTCTCCAAGTTCTATGGCCTAGGTCCAGAACAAACGTCTTTGGATCGAATGCAACTGGTTTATCCCTTCCAACAAGTGATGTTGACCTTGTGGTTTGTCTACCTCCAGTGAGGAACTTGGTAAGGAATTTGTTGATGCATTATTCTTATTGCTGTTGTACTTTAAGGGGAGGAAGTTTTAACTGTGAATGTTTTTTATAGGAACCTATCAAGGAGGCTGGGATTTTAGAAGGCCGTAATGGTATTAAAGAAACTTGTCTTCAGGTACATTAGTGCCATCAATTTTTGTTGCACTGCCCAAGGCAGTTGTTCCATGACTATGGTGACATTTGTTTCTTTAATTTGACTTAAACCAATACATTCCTATCTGTTCTATTGTTCGCTTCACTTGGTGTTGGCCTTGTTGATTAGGTATTTGATCAGCTATTGTACTTTCATGCTACTGGTCATAGTATCTAACCATGTTACCACGTTAAAATTTCACTTTCACTCTATGGTTTTCTGGTATTTGGTAGAGCTTTCATTCCAACAATTAGGCATGCTAGAGGTCAAGCTTCAAATTTCCTTTTTGTTGTTCCTCTAGCTAGGGATGACCACGGTTCGATTTTAAATCGGAACCGAACTGAAATTGAACTGGTCAAAACCGGCCCTATACCGTAGTCAACGGTTCTGGTTCTAAAACCGTAACCGGAACCATGAACTTAAGGTTCGGTTCCGGTTCTTCATTTTTTGAACCGAAACCGACGGTTCCGGGTGAAAAAAACTATCAACTTATTTTTATGTTTTATATAGTTTTTTAGAGTAATATTTAAGAACTTTTATTAAATTGATTTAGTTTTTTTTTTCGATATTAATATTTGTTATTATTATTTATTCAAGCTACAAATCTTAAAAAAACATTTTAAAAATTTTTAAATATATTATTTAGTTTCGGTTCAAAACCGGGAAGAAACCGAAACCGGCGGTTCCAAAACCGTCTAAAAGTGGTTGGGTTCCGGTTTCACCTTTTTTATAACCGGAACCGGCGGTTTTGAAACCGAAACTTGCGGTTCTGGAACCGTGGTCGTGTCTACCTCTAGCTAGTGTCTTTCCATAACAGACATTTCTGTGGTGGTTGTTAGCATGCCAAATTTTGGTCCAACCCTGGCTGTGAGGGTGCTTATTATGAAAGAAGAACAATGATGATGCATGATCTATAGTGCTTAATGTTTATCTAAGAATGTCAATTCTCATCATAAATGCTGATGCTAATTGTTATAGAATGCTCATAGTAGCATATTGCATAGCCTTTTCTAATGATCAGTTGAATTAGATTATAAACTTATTTCCAGCAATAAAAGATAAAAATTGGGAGAACAAAGTTCTAGAAGGAAAATAAAATTCATGTATTTGGTCCAACACTGGCTGTCAGGGTGCTTATTCTGAAAGAAGAACAATGATGATGTATGATCTATAGTGCTTAATATTTATCTAAGAATGTCAATTCTCATCATAGAAAAAGAATGTTGATGCTAATTGCATAGAATGCTCATCGCAGCATATTGCATAGCCTTTTCATTTTGTCCAACCAAATATATGGACAAATTTTTTTCCTTCTCCCATTACCCTGGTTGTAACACTTTTGGCATAGTATTCTAGCATTTTTAAGTTTGGCAATCAAAATAAGTTGTAGTAAGCTGTATTTGTTGGTTGAATGCCAAATACATGAATTTTATTTTTCTTCTAGAACTTTGTTCTCCCAACTTTTATCTTGTATAGCTGGAAATAAGTTTATAATCTAATTCAACTAATCATTGGAAAAATGCTTTTATTATTATTTTCTTGGGGCTTTTTGCAAAACTGAAATTGCTACCTTTATCTTCCAGCATGCTGCCAGGTATCTTGCCAACCAGGAGTGGGTGAAAAATGATTCCCTGAAGACTGTGGAAAATACAGCTGTAATGGCTCATTTTCCTAACCCTGCTAGTCTTGATGGCTCTTGTTGCTGTCTTCCTTGTTCTCTATTTCATCTCACACTGGTACCTCTTTTTCTTTCAGATACCTATTATTATGCTTGTGGTGGAGGTCCCCAGTGATCTGATTATTTCTGCCACTTCCAATATACAATCACCAAAGGAGGAGCCAACTCGTATGACTGGTGATCACGAGAACAATTATCGAACTGATGTGGTTGGTTCAGAAGACTCAATTTCACCAAACTGCTCGCAAAGTAATTGTGATAGTACGAAGGATGTGAAATCAATTCGTCTTGACATCAGCTTCAAGTCTCCATCACATACAGGGTTCCAAACTACAGAGCTGGTAGTTTCTCTTGGTCAAGAATGTATTAATTATCAACTAGAATCTTTGTGATGTTTCAAAAGTTTTATGAGTTATTCAAACACATAGTGGGCCATTTTCCAAAACAGACTTGAGAATTAAATAAGATGGTATGCTAAAGGTCTTAACAGACGGCTGCATGTATTCCTATGTTAATATTTTAGCCTCTTGCTTGACAAGGTGAATGGCTATTTAAGTAAATTTTTAGCTGGCAAAGAGTGTACAGGCAGGGAGTACTATTTCATCTATCCAGGTTTGAGATTTTCAACCAAGAAATGGATGTTACAACAATGGATTTAGTATTTATATCAGGAAAACAGTTCTCATACTTTGCAACTTTTGCTCACTTCAGGATGGAATCTACATGTCAAAAGGTTGGTGAATGTTAATGGGTTCCTGGGAAGCTACAAAAAAAAAAAAAAAAAAAAAACACTAATTTCATCTATCCAGGTTTGAGCATTTTTTTCACCAAGAAATTGCGATGTTAAGACAATGGGATTTTAGTCATTTATATAGGAAACCAGTTTCTCATACTTTGCAACTCTTGTGCTTCACTTCAGGATGGAATCTACAGTGTAAAAGGTTGGTGAATGTTAATGGGTTCCTGGGAAGTCTACAATCAAAAAAAAAAAAAAAAAAAACTCTCAAATGCAAAATCATAAAAAAAAAAAAAAAAAAAAAAAACCTCAAATGCAATCATAAATAGTAGAAGCTAACCTCGACCATCATTCAACTGACTGACTCAATAGGATTTTGAGACTGAAATAAAAGTTCATTTCTGTTTGTTTTTCCTTTTAATTGCGTCCCTTGGACAATGCTGGACTTGTTTAAACATTAGAGTCTTAAGTAGCTGTTTTTTCCTTCTAATTTGAGATTGTTTTTGATAAGTATGTATTTGTGTATTCGCAGTTCATTTCATTTGATAAAATCTTCTGTTCACTATATTATTTGTTTCACATCGTGAATTGTTGGTTATTTTCTTTCCTTTCTTATTACCTTTTTGTTTTAACAGGTCAAAGAACTTACCGAGCAATTTCCAGCTGCAACACCACTTGCTTTGGTACTAAAACAGTTCTTGGCAGATCGTAGTCTTGATCAGTCCTACTCTGGTGGCTTAAGTTCCTATTGTTTGGTAATTATACTTCCTTGCCTTTAGTGGTGTAAGGTTTCCCAAATAAATATTGGACTGTATTGTCACGGAGGTTTATATTTTCATGTTTCATCTTCTAGGCTGAATTTTTATATGAACCTGGTTTGCCCCCACCCTCCCTTCTCTCTCCCCTCAAAGACAGACAACAATTAGATAAAACTTTGCATCCATGCTCTTTTCATGATTTTATGAAATTAGCTGCTCTCTCACATTGGGTATCTAATTCTCGCTTATAAACGCTCATTACAGGTGCTATTAATTACACGTTTTCTGCAGCATGAGCATCATCTTGGCCGGCCTATTAATCAAGTAAGTTTTATGTTGTGAACTCTGCTATATTTTGTTTCTACATTGTACACATTTTTCTTATGATACCTCAGTTGTTTCCTGGATATTCTTGCAGAATTGGGGAAGCCTTCTGATGGATTTTCTTTACTTTTTTGGGTGAGTTATATGTTTTTCCCCACATTTCATAGTTGGGAGTGTTTCCGACCTGATTTTAACACAGTACCTTTTTTTTTTTTGGGAATTCATCTTTGGCTTTGAACTAATTTGTTGTCTCTCTACAAGGAATGTTTTTGATCCTCGCCAAATGCGGATCTCAGTTCAGGGAACTGGAGTCTATATAAACAGGGAACGAGGTTATAGGTAATATTAGCAGTCTTTTCTTTTTCCTAGAATCTATAAATAGCATATCCTGTTAAATCTTTTGTCTCTACAATAGATTGATGTTGTACCACCTGGTGCTGTAGCATTGATCCAATTCACATTGATGATCCACTTTTTCCAACAAATAATGTGGGGAGAAACTGCTTTCGGATACATCAATGTATCAAGGTAAGCCTACACAATAGTTGCACTTACCATTGGGATTGGGTTTGCTATTTCTATTGCAGTTGAAAAATCCTTAGTTGACATCTGTGTTAATATTGATACTCAATAGGGCAAATAAAAGGACTTTCTGATTTGTTGAGCAAATTTTTCTAATTTTGCATGATTCTGAATATTTAAGGGAATGGTTTTCTATTACCTTGTAAATGACTCTAAACAGTGGGAATCCCCTAAAATGGAATTGTCGTCTTTGTATCATGGTACACCCTTAGTTGGGTCTTTATAAAGAAGATTAAAAGAATTGTAAATTGGTGAGCAAGGAATTCTTGTGAAAAATTACGTACAAATAATTTGAAATCATAAATTAAATTAAATCTCAATTCTTAGTAGTTGGAATCATATAGTGGGATGTTATTCCCTATTCATCTTTTGTACAGCCTAACTTTTTATCAGATGTCGAAATGTCACCCATGTCATATGTGGTCTAAATATGTTATTCTTCTCTGATTATACTTCAGGCAACTTGCTTGACAGAGTCTTAATATCTATTGCCAGCTCTCATTCCCTTTGGTACAAATCCTTGTAATAAAAATGGTTAAAGAGAAATAAATATTGTGTGGTGCAGGCATTTTCAGAAGCTTATTCCATTTTGGAGAACGAGTCAACATCACTTCCTGATGATGGTGATGCATGCTCGAGGTCACCATACAAACTGCTTTCTAAAATTATCCCAAGTATTAATTCATTACAGGCAAAACAATGAACTGGTTATAAGGTATTATTTGAACTGTCTGTAACATTAGTAACTAGCTTGAATTATTGAGAGCCTTGGTATTAAATCACTATAAAAAATTTTCTTTTCCAATGCAGTGAAGGATATTTCCAAAATTTGGCAATGCTGCTGTTCAATTCACCAAGTTAATCATTGCTCGATCAATCGAATGATGTCACTTTAATGCTTACAACCCAGATTAAGACTTAGTAACATGGATAGAGGTGGGTATTAATTTTCACGTAGAAACTGCATTTGAAGAAAGATAGTTGCCCCATTTTTGGGAAAATGATTTTTTCTGAATTTGATTTTCAGTTTGTGAAAATGATCTATGGTTGTCCTTGCAAGTTTAAGGTTTGGCTTGTCAAAATGGAAGCTGCCTACATCTTTCAGAAAGTAGTTCATGCCTGCTTGAGTCCATTTGTTGAGTCCGTGTGGTAATATATATCAAATGTAGTAGTACAATCTCCCTTCAATTTTAAAATAGGAATGAAATAAAATAGAAATTTCAATACTTAAATCAAATCCAACTTTAATTCCTACTTATTTATCATGCAGTTTTCCCATTGATACACATGAACTGACATGAATACACCAGTGACTTCCACTTTGATTCAAGTCTCTTCTGAATTTCATGAGAGCTTCCTTGATCTTCACGACATTGCGTCATGCTTCTGCAGTTATTTTCATGAGAAATTGCCTCCCAGTATCTGTCTTCTATGTTGCAAGGAGTTTTCCTATATTGTACTTGCCTGGTTGATTTGGTGGCGATATTGCTTTCTCTACCTTCTGGTTGATTGAGAGGATGAATGATATGACAAAAATGAAAAGGAAAATCGGCAGCAGCCGAAGGCAAGGTGCAGCCAACTGCAGAAACAAGTCTGTTGATGCGTCTCATACTGTTGTTGCTCTGCGTGTACTTGTGATGAAGGTATTGTATTTCAGATAGCGAATTACAAATTGTAGCTTAATGTTCTTCATGTATAGTTTGAATCTTCAGTTACAGGTTCGGATGAATGACTTGAACATGTGGGAAATCAGAGAGGGACAGGATTCTATTACTGTGAATATTTTTCTGTATTTGTGGAAGCAAGTCGGATTGAAATTAGTTCATCAGGCATTCACTTGACAGATTCCGCAGACAGAGACCTGTAATGAGAAGGATTTCAATGGTTCCTGCATGATGAGAAGGAATATTGAAATTAGTTGTTGTGCTCATAGGATTAGGACAAATAGTTGGAGGGATTTTTCACATTTGACTGGCCCTATGACCTGATTGAAAAACATGTATTAAAGCAATGTTCGCCATTACATGAAGGAAATATGATTTTTACCATCCAAAGCAGCCTTGCTCTCTTTTCCCTCACTCTATTAATGGTAGGATGTTTTTGATATCGATCAAAATCCAAACAATCCAAGGTGGATATTCTTACATATAATAATTGTCATCTACTTAATATATTAATAATGCCACGCAAATTTGAAATAAAATTATTTTAGCGCTTTGATTTCGGGAGTTAAATAATATTCATGTGCGCTGGTAATATTTCACTAAAAGATAAGAGTGGGAAAGAAACCCAATTAGCAATTAGCCAATTCCTAGTTTACGGATCAAATTCTCCTTTTCCTGAAATTGTTTTTCTCCAGGTCAAAGTTACATAAAACGCAATTCAATCTCCATTTCTAGAGAAGATTCTAAGAAGATTCTTGAGAATCATTCCCTCCAGATCCCTTCTTCTCCTAGTACAATTACTCGCGTGACATGCATTCACTCACCCATTAATTAACCAGCAATAGATAGCTCGCAAAATCATTTCAACTGCAGTAATGACACCAATCAAAAGCAAACAAAATTGCACAAGCGTGTTAACTTTCCATTACCCATTTACTACAATTTAACGTCACACCATTGCATTACATAAAAGTCATAGTTAGATGAGAAAGCTTTTGGTCATAAATATGATAAGAGTAACCGAATATGCTTAGAATTGTATTTACTTCAATGACTCATTTATACTTTTTTTAACTGCCACTTCATCAAGCTAAGCATATGCTCTCTAATATTCTATTAATCTTTTTCCTCATAAAAGACCTTCATACCATTTTCTTGTTCTCTTGCTCCCCTCTCTTTGCATTCTCCATTTTGTTTTAGTTTTGGTTTACATTTAGGTTTGAGTTCAGAGTTGGAAATGAAATTCGGAAAGAGATTGAAGCAACAAATACAAGAAACGTTGCCGGATTGGCGCGACAAGTACTTGTCGTATAAGGAATTGAAGAAGCTGGTTCGGTTGATCTCTTCGGCCCCGCCGTTGTCCAGTGGATCAATTGAGTATGGAAAAGCCGAGGCTGAGTTTGTGTATTTATTGAACAATGAGATCGACAAGTTCAATGTTTTTTTCATGGAACAAGAAGAAGATTTCATCATTCGACACAAGGTAATTAGTTAACCTTCTTCACTTTCTCATGTGTGTTTAGATTTTATAAACTAAAAATTTCAACAACTTAATGCAGGCAAATTAGGTAATTAGTTTTGTGTTAGAGTCGAGTTAATCTAGTTCCTAGTACAGTAAATTAAAGATGTCTTTATTTAAGACATCAATTGCCTTGTCACGCGTACGAACGTTTATGATATGAATAGCACAGTTTATGTTTGATTGTTACGAAATTAAAAGTCCGGGTGTTTGATAGTAATTTTTAAAGATGTAAGATTTTACACTTTTTTTTTTTTTTTTGGAATAAAATCTTAATGAAAAATATATTCACAAATGTATGAAACTGTGAGTTCAGATATTACAACAGAGGATTGAGAGTGTGATCGAGATATGGGGGCCAAATGGAAGTCAACCTTCAAAGGCAGAGTATAAAGAGGAAATGGGCAAGATTAGAAAAGACATCATCAATTTCCATGGCGAAATGGTGCTTCTTGAAAACTACAGCAATATCAATTTCACAGGTACTTAAACAAACTTAATTAATAAATTCCTTTCGTGAAATGTGAAAAATTTAATTAATTTATAGGATTGGCAAAGATACTGAAGAAGTATGACAAGAGAACTGGTGGGTTATTGCGGTTGCCATTCATTCAGAAAGTGTTGCAGCAACCTTTTTTTACTACTGATCTAATTTCAAAGCTAGTCAAGGAATGTGAAAATACAATAGATACAGTTTTTCCTATAGAGAAAGAAGAAAGAGCAAGAGGAGGAAGAGAAGCAATAATAGCAGCAGAAGAGGGGATTTTTAGGAATACAATTGCTGCCCTAATGACCATGCAAGAAATTAGACGAGGAAGTTCTACTTACAATCACTTTTCTTTGCCTCCTCTCAATTTACCTGACTCTGATATCATCCAATCATTACACTTCACTTCTCCTATACCCATTGTATAATGAAATCTGAATTAATTGCTGAAAACTTATTTACATTATGGGGCATAGCAACTAGCTAATAATTGTTTTTTTTTTCTTCTGTATTGATGATCGTATAATACTATCTACGTCGAAATATACTTATAAAATTTGTTATATATACCTCTTCGTCTCAGTCTCATTTTATTCGTATGATTTAACAAAATACCCATATTAAAAATTTAACTAATAAAAATTATTTTTTTCATTCTTTATCCTTAATTTATTAAGATATTAATAAAAAATTTTCATTTAATTAATAATTATAAAGGTTTAATCGTGAAAAAATAATTGTTTATATAGATTTAGAAACCTTGTAAATATTTTGGGACATCCATTAATGGAATAACAAGAAAACAAAATGGGACTGATGGAGTATTATATATTCAGCAGATTATCACTGGGCCGAGCCGAGCTTCTGGCCTTCTATTTTTTTAAGGGTCCAGCTTATGTAAAATTTTCTATTTACTTGGACTTGTAGAATACTCAAAAAGGTATTGCAACCGAAAAGGGCCCAATGAATTAAAACGGAATAAAGGATCCAGTGGGCCGCGTAACTGCAAATTAGTAAATGAAAAGGGCTGTAATAAAAGCCCAAATGCTTGCTAGGTTTGTTTGAAACGGTGGGCGGTCGAAGCCGTTTTATATTTCACTTGTATGTATGTCTTCAATTAGCCATGGATCCAAAAACGAAAAAGGAAAAAGATTTTTAATTCAAAAAATGATTATTTAATTCAACTGAGGAAGAAGATTTTTTTTTTTTTTTTCAATTTCATGCTCTGATTTTATAATTATTTTTTAAATATTTTTGAAAAAACAAAACTAGCGTCGTTATTATTTTCCAAGAACGGATGGTTCTGGTCTGTAATTAGTGATTTCGATTTTGCCACGTTGGTGTATCTGCCATTCAATCCCTGCGAACTGAAAGCAGGTCTCAATCGTCGCGGGTAGTTTCCCATCCTTCCAGAGAGAGACGTCTCAACAAGGGTAAGCCTCAATTCGATTTATGCCCTAACATTTACTACCAATTTATCGAAAAAGAACAATTCTGCTTTAGTTGCTCAGAATCTGTTGCAAAAGCTAGCTTAAGAAATTTCCCAATTCTGGAATTTGATTTTCTTGAGAGTTTCAATAATAGAGTCCTGCTTTCAATTCATGTAAACATTTGATACTAGTGATTAGAGCTTGATTCAAGCACTGCATATGTCAAAGCGCTAAGAATGTGCAGAAAATCTATAAGCTTATAGAAAGATATCATTTTTGTGTTGGGTTAATCTGTGTGTTGTTAAAATTTGTTGAATTCAGATTAGTCGATAGGATATGAAGTATGGCTTCTGAAGGGGTTTCGGTTCCCTGTCGTCTTATGGTATATATTGGCATTTCTTAATCCTAGTTTTGATGTCAAGATTTACGGTTCCTAGGTTTGATGTCAAGATTTACGGTTCCTAGGTTTGATGTCAAGATTTACGGTTCTTGCATTTTCAAAATCTTTGTGTCCGTATGGTATTCCTATTTAAACTTGAACAGATTTATGTCTTTTTAAGTAGTTGATGTCTTCAGATTTCGTTCTTGCTTTCATCATATATTCCTTCAGTCAAGTCCCATAGTTTATTGTTGCCTTATGATATATGAAATTGCGATATAGGTATTGGAAGCAGTTAGAAGTAATTTTTCATTGTAAGATAATACCTAGAATACTTGTGTAGTACATTGAAGAATCTATAATGACCAGCAGAGGCAATCTTGTAAACAAATTGTTTACCTTCTAGTATTAACCTTCCTTTAGCTGAGGGAAAATTTCAGTGCTGAGCTGTTTATTTATTTTTCACATTCATGTCTTTCAGTGCTTGAAAAGCAGATCTTCTGCACAAAATTGGTTGGTTCAACTGTAAACCAAGTGATGACAGCAATAGCTAAATCTCCTTCCACACTATCAAACATTTTGGTGCATCGAGTGCATCCCAAGAGCCTGAAGTTGTTTAAATCCTCAAGTACAGACTGTATAGGTGGCTTCCCTAAAATCCGTACTAATTATACTCTTGTTTGCTGCACAAAATTAACTCCATGGGAATCTTCACCTGTTACGTATGCTCCACCTGATGATTCTGCTGGTAGCTTTTTAAAGAAAACCAGTGACATATTTGAAACTATGAATTCCGATGACAGAACTGAAGCACCAGTAGCCAACAGCGAAGAGCATGCAGATACAAAGAATCAGCCATTCATGAAATTTCAGTTTCTTAAATGGCCTATGTGGCTTCTGGGTCCTTCTCTTCTTCTAACCACGGGCATGGTTCCCACACTATGGCTACCGCTATCTTCTATATTTCTAGGACCCAATATGGCCAGCCTGCTTTCCTTGATCGGACTAGATTGCATCTTCAATCTTGGTGCTACCCTTTTTCTTCTCATGGCTGATTCTTGTTCTCGGCCGAAAAACTTGGTACAAGCCAGCAATAGCAAGCCTCCTTTCAGTTACAAGTTGTGGAACATGGTTGCATCTATCTCTGGTTTTATCTTTCCTCTGATCTTGCTGTTGGGATCCCATAATGGCACTCTCCAGCCCCAGCTGCCTTTCATCTCATTTACAGTTCTATTGGGTCCCTACCTCCTGCTTCTCTCCGTACAGATTCTGACTGAGATGCTAACTTGGCATTGGCAGTCACCAGTATGGCTGGTGACCCCCGTTGTATACGAGGGATATCGTGTGTTACAACTGATGAGGGGGTTGAAGCTTGCAGCTGAGCTCAGTGCACCAACATGGATGATGCATATGATTAGGGGACTTGTATGTTGGTGGATCCTGATTCTTGGTATTCAATTAATGAGAGTTGCTTGGTTTGCTGGTTTCACTGCTCGAACTCACCAACAACACTCTTCTGTTCCTGCTGATAATAAATAAATTATTCATTGTTGCCAAAGGCTATGGAAGAACAATGGCCTTGAAGATTCTGTTATCAAATAATATATGTAGATTATAAGATTCCTGCGTAATCATTCTATTTTGTTAAAATGAATTCGAGATGGTGTCATGTACATCAAACAGGTTAGGTAACATAATTTGTCATGTGTCTTTCAACAATAACAACATAAATAACAAAATAATTAATACTCTTCACGAGTTTTTATTAATTCGAAAGAGTTTTTATCAATTTGGGAAAAATTATATATATTGCGTATTAGAGTATTATTTGGCGGATTGAGCCTCTCATTTAATAAATTAAAAAAACACACAGATTGGTCCGCCTTCCATTCGTTGGAAAAGTCGGACTGGATAGTCAATAGTCAAAAATAAAAAATGTGGGCTCGAAATTGAAGGCGTAATGAGACGTTTATACCCCTGTGCCACTTGAACCGAACAAGCTCGACTAAAGATTCTAACCGGAAAGTAAACAAACGCAACCCCGGATCGACTTGCCACCAACGTTACTGTCCCACGTTGTTACTTTGCTACACTTCGTCTCTCTCTCTCTCTCTCACATATACATTCTTACATCTTTTTTTCTCTCTTTCCGGCGCACTTTCACCGATCTCATCGGCATGAGTACCGGCGAGCTTCTCAGCATCGAGCCTCAGGAGCTCCAATTCCCATGTAAGCTCCTTTGCAACTGAGTTTTTGCGTTACTAAGCTGTTTTCGGATCCTTGTTTTTTTGCTTTCCATTTATTTTTAATTTTTTCTTTTTTAAAAGTTGACTTGAGGAAGCAGATCTCGTGTTCCCTTCAGCTGTTAAATAAGAGCGACAATTTTGTGGCTTTCAAGGTATTAATCTTAGTTTCTAATTTCATGCATTTCTTATAATCTTCGTTACTCCCTATTCTTTTACGAGTTGTTTTGTCCTAAAATTTTGTACTTTTGATTTGGCTGTTAATTTTTAGGTTAAAACAACGAATCCAAAAAAGTACTGTGTTAGGCCTAATACTGGAGTTGTGTCGCCTAGGTCCACATGTGATGTTATTGGTATCTTTCTTTCTATCTTTCCATCACTCTGTTTAGCTCATGTTTCTATATGGTCAGTGTCTGCTTTACTGATAAGTCATAAACATTCTTTCTAAGTTATTCAGTGATTAATTGCTTGCCAATTTACCTTAAATCAGTTACAATGCAAGCACAAAAGGAGATGCCTCCCGATATGCAATGCAAGGACAAATTTTTACTTCAGAGTGTAGTTGCAAGTCCTGGGGCTACTTCAAAGGATATTAATGCAGAGATGGTAATGATACAAGTACTCTTTCCCTTTTGCAGTTTTCCGTTTTTGCGTGTAATCAACTTTATTCATCTGTGGTCCGCACTAATGGGTTTTGGTTATTTTCCAATTCTTAGTTCACTAAGGAAGCACAGCATCTTGTTGAAGAGTGCAAATTGAGGGTTGTTTATGTTGCTCCACCTAGACCACCATCACCAGTTCGAGAAGAATCAGAGGAAGCTTCTTCACCTAGAGCTTCGGTGTCAGACAATGGAAATCTGAGTGCTTCTGAACGTACAATTGTGAGTTTTTGGTGTCTCTTTGTTGCTAAATTCTGTTATCTTGTAATTTGATTTTTATGTTTTCATCTTTTTAATAGATTGCCTTATGACTGTAACTTTTGCTTATAGGTTTCAAAAGCTTATCTTGAGAGACACGAGCCTCAAGATAATTCATTTGAGGTATTGCTTTTTCTTTTTCTTTTTCTTTTCCTTCAATCATTGAAAAAAAAGGCTTTTTTGACTTGATAAAAAAATTATTTAGTGATACGATTGTGATGAGTGCTTGAATACAATTCATTTTCTCATTTGTTTCTTGGGTTTGATTTGACTATTCAGTTCGGTCACTTGTGAGGATTTCTTAACAGTTCACATTATGATAAATGCTTGATTTGGTCAGACATGTGGTGTGCACCCATAAATTTCTCTTTGTATATACTTCCCCCCATCTTATAATGAGTATCTGCATGATTGACTTAGGATGTCTCCTACTTTCCCATTTAAGTTAGAAGTCAGCAAGTCAAAAGATTGTTTTGTGAATGATGCCCTCCAAATCACTTTGACCTATCTTTTTTGCAACCTCCCCACTAAAATAACAAAATTGGTAAAAGGAAACCTGAAGTCAAATGACTTCGCATTCTCCATGCCGATGTCAAAGTAGATACTCATTGTGGGACGAGGGAGTTGTATTTTGGTATATATATATATATATATAATTTTTCATGTTATCTGTTATCTCATTCCTGTATAATTCTTTTCTATTCTCTGCAATTACATGAAAAGTAATAAATTTTACAGACAATCTTATGGTCTGTCAATCCTGTGTCGCGAAAATTGAGTGAACTTGATAGATCATTGCAATATCATGTTGAGGTCCTTTACTGGGAGTAATACTTCTAATTTCAGGCAAGCTCCCTGATTTCCAAGCTGACTGAGGAGAAAAATTTTGCTATTCAGCATAACAAACAGCTTCGACAAGAATTGGTAAGACACTTCTTTTATATCGATTCATCATGCTAGGTTTTGTGCTTTAATGCCTCTAATACCTTTACATTTTTAGATCTTCTGCTACTGGCATTAACATTAGGTATGGAAAAAAGGTAGATGTAATTAACCTCTCCAAATAAATATCACCCAACAGGAGAAAATAATAATGAACACAATTTAGTGAATACTTAAGAAAAATTATACAATTCTTTTGCATCAATTAAGAAGCTCATGAAACATGTTACATGGGTTATTCACTAAATAAATATTAGATTAGAAACTTTCATACCAGCTGAAGTTGGACTAACAGTGGTCACGTGGCATCTGAATCTTTGTCATAATAATATGTGCTTTTTTATATTCAGTATGTGGGAAGGGGAGACAATTAACATGTGTTCTCATATTATCTGTAGTATAGATATTAACAGAAATGCTTGACCTTTGTATGATGTTAATATTGGCTATCCTAATATATTTTTATATCTACAGTATTTCATGCTTGTACACTTTATTCAACTATCAGAATAGATAACAACTATAATAAATTATGTTTCCAGTTCATCGGGGTACCAAAATTAGAATCACTAATATGTGATAATCCATTGTATTGTTGAACTAATAAAACTTCAACGCAATTGCTATGGGTAGAAGTATTAGCGCCTTATCTTAAAACTGAATGTGTGCACAATTCTGTGCAGGAGCTGTTGAGGCATCAGTCCAGAAGAAGTCGTGGCGGTATCTCATTTATATATGTTGTTTTTGTTGCCTTGCTGGGTGTCATTTTGGGGTACCTCATGAAAAGGACATGATTAATCAAGTTGCTGCCATTGCCTTCAGTTTCACATCCTGGAATGTAAACTGTTCAAGACATGATTGGTGGAATTCCTCTTTATTGGTCTATATGGTTATGACCCAAGAGAAACATGATGTTGTGACCGGTGACAGGGAATTGTTGTTCATTGTATTATTGTTACCAACTGTTGATGGTAAGTTTAGAGAATTTAATAGGTTCTGTAATTGCTAGTCCAACCTAACTAAATTGTGACCTTCTGATGAATATTCCTTGCCCATCTTTCCTCTTTCCACTTTATGTTGATAGCGTGTTTGTAATTTTCACCTTTGCTTTTTCTATAGTGTGTTGGGAGTAGCAATAGGCGAGGAGAGAGCAGCTTGAACAGAGTGATTTAGTTATAATAGATGGATAGTGCTTGATGGATTGGAAGTTTCAGTTGCTGGATTCTTAGTTTGGGGGGCTAAAAATTTTCATTTTAGAGTTGAATTGCAGATTACACAGATCCTAATCCTAAACTGGATAAATCTCATTTGATTCAAAACTTCCCAGCATGGCCTCACATACCCGAGCGGCGATAAAAATAAAACGGTCGACCATGTACTGATTGAAAATTGGCAGCTTTTTGTTCCAAAAATAGGTTAGTGTGACGGAAAGGAAATTTAATTTGCACTTCGAGCCTAAAAGGCACCTCAGAAACCACCATGCGTAGAATCAAAAAACAAAAGGCATCAGAACGCTACACTCCGCATGGGATGGCCCATCAAGCAGGAATACCATATTCGGGATTTCAATGTCTGTTATCCCAGAAGCTTAGAACTTTCCTGAATCAGATTAAATTTACATTTGGTCATCCGACTAGACCAATCACAACAAATACCCATACAATTACACATCACGTGTCAATAGATGACAACAAAGGAGGCACAGAGAGAGAAATGTGAATGTCATTTCCTTGCCACACCTGGAAATTGAATGCTACATCATAGTTCATAAAGATTTCATATTCATCAATGATTTTCAGAACCACGGATCATGTTGCAACGGCTAACAATCTTACGGAAATCATCAAGATTTAGCTGCAAGGATCCATAAACAACAATCAGTTAACTTGAGAAGCATTACAAAGATAATTGGAATAATACATGAATGCAGACGGCATTCACAATTCATGGTTACGTATCTGTGATAAAACGACAAATAAAGAGAAGGCCCTGATATTAGCAGGCTAAATATGATGTACATTAGAGCAACTGGTAAATCAAGCTGTGAACATTGAATCACCAAGGGACCTGTAAACTTGGAACTGTACAACAATACTAACCGGCTTGCTTTGCCAAACTAACATATTAAAGAGACAATGGGGAAAAATTCCAGCAAACCTTGTTTCAAGATTAACAAGGAACTAATGGTCAAGATTAACAAGGAACCTTGTTCCAAGCCTTTGCATGAATTATCAATCTTAGCCAAGACTTATAATCTTACCAAATTCTACCTCAACTTTTGACATCAATGTTAACTTTACAAAATTTAATACTTGGCATGTTCACGATATCTTGAGATCCATCAAAGGTTGCAAATTAAACTGCTCAAAAAGTCCCACTCTATTAAGAAAGAGTCCTATCTTGCCATGACTTTTTGCTTTTGTTCCCTTTTTCAATCGACTATTACGCCTACTCGATTATAGTATGGCTGCATATTTATTAACCGTATAAAATTAAGGAAAATGAAGAGAGCAAGAACCAACCTTAGCATCTCCATCACTATCAAAGCAATGTATCATAGCAGCCAATTCCTTATCTGTCCATGTAAAATCATGTGCAGTTGCTATATTTCGTAGATCTCTAACTGTTAGACACCCATTTCCTGCGGCTGCATGCCAGAATCACCCCATTTTAATGATTCCAAGAAATTCAGGAAGCTAAGGAATTAAAAACAAATAAGGACATGCGATTCAGAATACTTGCTAAAGTAGAAAGGCTAAATTACAGTGATAAATTCCACAAAAAAAGAAGTATCTCCTGAAGTTTTTGACACCAAAACCTTAAGGTGGAAGCTTTTATTGGAAATTTACGGGCTAGAAAATTAGTCATTTTGTAAAGAAGTGAGATTGATGAGATATCAGGAACTTTCTTTAGGAATATATAGAAAGATAGGAAGGCATAGAAGATAGCATGTGTCCAATCCTGATGCTTTCATTCACATACTAAGAACACACCTTGTAAGATCAAGTACTAACTTAAAGCCTATCTGTAAGCTCACATTTCCTTTGAACATAGTTAATGTAAACATTCATGAAGGAATTAAAAGTTCTGATATTTTAGATCTTTGAAAATAATATTGATGCAGAACAACCACATGGTGCAAGACTTATGTAAAAGAGAAAGGTGTTATAAAATACCGTCAAGCTGAAAGAAATGTAAGACCACTTCATCCTCAGTCATCTTCACCCGATCATTGAACTAATCACCCAAAAAATAAAAAGAAAATGGAGGAAATAAAAATTAAAAAAAAAAGAAAAAGAAAAATAAAACAGAACGTCCCAACGGTAAGAAACCGAATGCAATCTACATACTGATTTTTTTCTCTTCCTTTTCCCTGGATCCTCTTGCATGTTAGCATTTCCCTTTCTTTCTTTAAGTGTTGCATCCTCTACGGAATTTTGTAAGGAAAGAGCAATTGCCTGTATATGAATGCTCACAATTAGTTTACCAAAATCCATAAAATTATGAAAATCCAAACAGCTCGAAGTATAAAAGAACTACTCGACCCCTTAAAGTTAACCTGCGTTAATTCATCATCAACTTCACCGATGTTATCTGCACTGTCAAAATGCGGTTGACAAGGAATTTTCTTCTTAGGTTTAGAACCTTTATTCTTAACCTGTTAAAAGAGAAAGCATATAGAATGGTCATTAGGTTATCAACTGGATTGAAGTCAAATAGACCAACCAACAACCTGAAATGAAACAGAAACAGAATTGGAGCCAAGCTAGCACTAGTGAGCTACGCAAATCAGGTGTGCAGTAGTACACACTTTCAATCCTTGTCCAATTAAATGTCTCAAATAATACTGAAATGTAAACCGGATCCACCATATTAAACTGCTTAAAATAGATTTTACTCTTTCTGAGTCAAATATGTTTTCTCTTCAACAGTAGCTGTCTAATTGGCCATGAGCACATGAGCGAACTCTATAAAGGAGTAAACTTTACAATACCTTGTTTCTACGAGACTTTGAAGAAGTTTTACATTCTAAAAAATCTTCATCATTCTCGTCCTCTTCAAAATCATCAACATCTTCATCTTGGTCGTCAGCAACATCATCATCATCATTGGGCCTATAATCGTCATCATCATCAATGACTTTTCCTTTCCCTTTACGGTGATTCGTTTTCCGAGACTGAATCGATTTCTGAGCAGAACCCATAAAGGAAGTGGCCATTTTATGGAGTCCTAAAGCCTCCATTCTGGCTTTGTTTTCTGCAATTCTCGATAACCTCTGTTTCTCATAGTGTGATATCCCCTGCTTCGCCACATTCTTGCTGGGATTCACAGGCTCCTCCTCCTCTTCTTCTTCTTCACTTTCGCTTAACTTCTCCGATTCAACTTCTGAATCTGACGGTTCATTTTTTCCCATTCTGATTGTACCACTACTATTAATATTCGCGGGATTAACGAATTGAAACCGGACGGTCGTTACTATTGGTTGATGACCAAACCCAGAGGCGGAGCAGAGCAGGAAGCGTGGGTTTTTGCTCTATTGTATATGCATTTATGAAATGACAAATTTGCCCTCCAAATTTTGCCACGTAAGCAATGGAGGATAAGACGGGTGGCATAATTTTCTCCGCTGGGGGAACCTTCGGTGTCTACGAAGTCACGCGCATCGCAATGGTCGTGGCCAGTGGGTGGTAGTTCTGAGCTCCAACATGCTTCTAAATTTTCCGTGACCATTTTTCGATTTTTTTTTTTTTTTTTTGCTGAAATTTTAGGCTGTTGCTGATTTCTATGGCTTCTCTGGTGGAGATTGAGAGGTACAAGTTGGTACCGCTGTCAGTGACTGGTCTATGCTCACGCCCCTGCCTTCCTTTATCGAAGAAAACCCTAATTCTCGATCGACGGTTTTCAAAAATAACACTTAAGCTCGTTTTGAATGGATCCAAAGCTGTGTTTCCGGCCCACTCAAACGGCATTTCGGCGATGCGGCACTTGATTACGGCCGTTGCCAGAGCTGAGCAAGATAGGCTTGGCCAGGACGATGCTGACGAGGTACTTTAGACTTCACCTCATTGAATTACTCATATTGAATATATGTTTCATACTGCGTTTGTTGGCGTAGCTATTAAATTATGATTTGGAAATTGTTTGGTATTGCAGTACTGGATGATTTAAGGGTATGCAAATTTTACTTCAAGTGCATAGATGTTTTTGTCATTTTTCATGTCCATTTTCGTTAAAAGAGATTAATTTTTTTTTTTTGGAATTTTGTGTTGCAGAGAGATTGATGAAGAAAATTAATTTTGAATTTGAGGATAATTTAATTTATTCCATGCATTTCATTTATTCGTTGTTCATTTGCTTGTACATATTAATAATTGATTGGAATTTACCGAAATGGGTAAGCTGTAGGAAGTTGACAAAGGGCATAATTTAACAGCTAAAGAGGAATCTGTTTCAGAGGCTCCACAAAAAGGGAGTCAATTGAAGAAAAGAATAATTTTTGGGCTTGGAATTGGAATTTCCGTTGGAGGTGTTGTATTGGCTGGTGGATGGGTTTTCACTGTGGCTTTGGCAGCTGCTGTATTTGCTGGTTCACGGGAGTACTTTGAACTGGTTAGAAGTCGGGGAATTGCTGCAGGAATGACGCCTCCCCCTCGTTATGTGTCACGAGTTTGCTCTGTTATATGTGCTCTCATGCCAGTAATTACCTTGTAAGATTGGCAATGTTCCTTAATTTAATGCACTAGCTGAATTGAGAATCTCTTTCTAGTGCTTTGGTAGTTCTTCTTTGCTCTTTGATTATTACTTTCTTGCACTGTATTTTCTTTTCCTTTTAATTTTTCAATCGTTCAAAGACAGCCATCTTACTGAGGTTCAAAGCTTCCTTCTTCGAAACAATTCAATCAAAAAAGTTGGGTTGAAATTAGTGTAATGAAATCAACCTTTCAAGAGTTATGTACATCGTCTCCATGTTTGCTATGAGTCACATAATTTGTTCAATAACACTAAGATTATATGGCTATGGTGAATTGTATTAAAAAATTTAAATTCAAATGTGGACAAGATAACTTTTAATGATGCTGTTTCTGCCTTTAACATGGATAACCTTTCTATTTCCTCTAATTATTAAATCAACCAACTTACAAGCTTAACTAAAAAATGAAGTCTGACTTCTAATGAACAAAATTGTAGATATAATTATGGGCATGTGGTAATACTTAATTCTATCTGTGACTTTGGTGCATCTTGTGTTTTAAGTTTTTCAAATTTTGTTTGATTCCAAACTTGTATATATTTAGTTATTATTAATCAGTTGCAGAGTTTGTTCTGAAAGTTCACGACAACAGGTTTTTCTTTCTTTGTTTTTGCAAAAGTCATTTATATAAGATTAATTATGGCGCATGTGGTAAAATATTAATTCTATCTGTGATTTGGGGCATCTTTGTGTTTTAAAGTTTTTCAAATTTTGTTTGATTCCAAACTTGGTATATATTTAGTTATTATTAATTCAGTTGCAAGATTTGTTCTGAAAGTCAACGACAACAGGTTTTTCTTTCTTTGTTTTTGCAAAAGTCATTATATATATATATATATATATATAGTATATATAATATATATATATTATATTATATATATATATATATATATATCAAATGCATGCATCTTAAGCTTTCCATATTATATATAACAAATGCATGCATCTTAGCTTCCATATTTGTTTTTGATTTTAGCTAAGTTGTCCTTTCTAATATATGCTCAGGTACTTTGGTCAGATTGACATTCCAGTAACTTTTGCTGCTTTTGTTGTTGCAATGGCATTGCTTCTACAAAGAGGGAATCCTCGCTTTTCTCAGCTCAGTAGTACTATGTTTGGATTATTTTATTGTGGCTATCTTCCTTGTTTCTGGGTCAAGCTTCGATGTGGCTTAGCGGTCCCAGCCTTGAACACCAGTAAGAAGCTGTTTTAAGTGTATTTGGTGGCAATGCTTGATTTCCGAAATTTATCAGAATGAGTGGTGGAGTTACCTTATATAATACTGATTTTGTTTGTGGTGAACAAGTCATAATGCATTATGTGCTGATGAATTTATGATCTATGATGCATCTCGTGTTTACACAATAAGTTTATAAGTTATCCGAACATGAATTTAAATCAATTGAGTCGTGCTTTGAGGATTGGATGCTCTAACATGGGCATGAATTGTTAGTTTAAGAATTCCATGCATAGTCCCATTTATCCTGCTAGTCTGTTTCAGTTTTCCTGGAGTTTCTGTAGGACTGCATATAAGGGAGTATTGATGAGGGTCTTATAGCAATATTGTCTAATGAAAAATGTTGTGCTGTTAAAAAGACGCATGCTGTTAAATGATTATAATAATTCGTTAAAAGCCTAAAGCAAAATTTCCCATTTATTTTATTGCACTTTTTGTTTGGCAGGGCTAGGAGCAGCATGGCCTGTTCTTTTTGGCGGCCAAGCTCATTGGACTGTTGGTCTTGTGGCAACTCTGTTTTCTATCAGCAGTATCATAGCAGCAGATACATATGCTTTTGTGGGCGGCAAGGTATTTAGACTGCTGTCAGCAGACCTCTATTTTTTTTGAGATGCTTAGTTAAAAGAAAAGGAATAATTGGCTGAGCATGGTCATGTGTGTATATGCACCACATGCACCCTCCTGTATATGTTCACACACGAGTGCACATCTATATGGACTCCATCTATTGCAACATAAATTTATCATTATTCATTAACATCCATTAAAACATGTACTAGAATATGACCAGTCAGCATTTCTGAGCTTTTAGCAAATTTTTTTTTTTTCCAATGAGACATAAGAGTTCAGAGATGACTATGATATTTTTTTACTGCAAGTTTATCATTGAAAATAAAAGTCATCGCAGTAGTTCCCAGCATTAAGCAGAAATCATAATATGTTCAATCGAAGGAGAAAAAACATCCTTCTTCTTTTTGTTACATGATAACGGGTAATGGGTATAAGGATTTTTTATGCCCTGTTAGAAGTGGTGCAATTCTTCCTCCACTTTCATCTTCTTACATTTCTGTTTATCCAATTATTGAAACGGCTTGAGACTGTTTTCCTACTTTGCTGCAGGTATTTGGGAGGACCCAATTAACCAGTATTAGTCCAAAGAAGACATGGGAAGGGACTATTGCAGGCTTGGGTGGCTGTATAGCCACTTCAGTCATACTATCTAAGATTTTTTGCTGGCCTACATCATTGCTAAGGTATTCATTCTTCCTTTACTTTTGTCTTGAGTAACCATAAGGTATCCATTATCTCCGCTGAGATTTTCAGTCTTTTGTTAGAGTAATCTGTAGATCAAGTAAAAAAATTTCTCTCTTTCCTTTCTCATTCACACACATTTTGTAAGAGTAAATTTGTGGGTTCATTAATTCCTGGAAATATTAACATAAGCAGACCCAATATCGATGCATTTGTTTATCTAGGCAGTAGGCAATATGTAACCTAAGCAGTGAAATTGGACAAATCCATCCTGTAAAATTTATGGATTCAGTATTTCTAGGAAGCATTAGCATAAGCAGGCTAAATGCGAACACATTCATTTTTAACGTCTTTGCTCGAATAGTCAGTGGAATTGAACAACAATAACAAACTAGGACCCTGTATACCATCAGTGAATAAGTGTCTTGGTGTTCTTTTTTTATGCATATAGGTGGTATGGCAAAACCTTGTCAATATCCAAATTCACTTGATCCCAGCCATCAATGAAACTATATGAAATTTCAATATTTTGGGCGGACTTTTGTGGACTAACTTTTTGTTTCTTAGCTGGTCATATAAGAATTGGATGTTGGACATGGATTAATTATTTTAGTATTCATTATGATGGTTTATTCTATATTTTCACCTGGATGCTTTGCATGCCAGGATGCCCTTATAATAGCTGAGGTTAGTTTTAGAAGAAGTGATTATTGAGTTTAACCATTTATTTTTCCCTGTTAAGCGATAAAAATTATTATTTTTTTCTAGCAATGAACTAAAGCAGCTGTCATTGATGTTCAGATTTTGCAACCTACCGCATAAACAATGTAATATTTCTTCAGTTTTCACATCTTTAGTGAGCTAGTTGTATCTTCTGTTGGAAGAAACTGGAATCAACGCAGAAAAAAAAAGAGTAAAGGATTATGTTAGCATAGGACACTAAATTTCTTCTGTAGGAATAAAAATTGTCATTTTGGAATGTACATCAGTGACTTTGACATATCCTTTTCAATGGTTACAGTGCAATAGCTTTTGGGTTTCTGAATTTCTTCGGGTCTATATTTGGTGATCTTACTGAGTCAATGATCAAACGTGATGCGGGTGTCAAGGACTCTGGCTCTCTCATACCTGGACATGGTAATGACTTTTAGCATATTATTTTCTTCTCTGAAAAGGCATCACTTGAATCTTTGAGACTTTGTTTATGGTGTTGTCTAACTGGTTGCATCATACTGTTGAAAGAATATTTTGCCATGTCAACCCTTTTTTTTCTTTTTATCTTTTCTTTGTTTTGAGATTTTCTTTATGCACAAGTTAAAAAGCATGATGGCTTGAGGTTGTGATCTCTATTCAAACCCCCATACTACAACTGCCTGTGCTGGGCCCAGGTGGCCTTTTTGTTTGTTTCTCTTTTTAATTTGTTTTGAGTTGTGGCTGGTTTAATATTTTTTTACTAGGATTTTAACTGTACCATAATTTCTTCAGCGTATATCTTTTCTCTGAAAATCATGATAGTCTATCATAATGTGAAACTGGAGCAGAATCCTATACACGGATTCTGCAATACCTTTGTCCAAAGTCACGAGATTTCGCAATGGAGCTTATTGTCACTGGTAAGAGATCTTTAAGTTCACCACTGTTGAATTAGGGCTACTACAACACTGAATTTTGTTTGTACTACACTTTCTGAAAAATAATAGAAAGCCCTAAAACTTGCCTTAAGGGCACTGCCATCTATCCAATTCCATTGGTGAATGAAACTGAAGAAAACACGCAACAAGAAATAGGTCTTTAAAAGAGGAGGCATACAGATAAATAATGCCATTTTAAGTCCCATGTACTTGGCAACGAAAGGATATGCACATGCTATGTTGAAGAGAACCAGAGAGAGCAATGCGGTGGTACTGCTTTCTTTTCTTGCTTACCTCCAGCTTTTGTATGATATGACTGTTGGATGTGATTTGCCTTTGCACTTGCAGTGTACTTTGTTTCCAACTTTTTTGTCAGGCTGATCATATAAGATTAATTTATTTCATTTTTGGTAGAATACATCCTTCGTACATTTTTTGATCTCGTCTCTATATTGTGATTTTCACAACACTATTTAACACTTGGACAACATGTAGACCCACAGAAAAGGGTCGACGATTGAAGCCTTTTTTGCATGTATTCTCTTGATTTTAGATGAGTACCCATGGCCATCTCCATTGCAGTTAAATATCAGGTTCTTTTAATTTTCTCTAACAGATTCTGTAAAACTGATGCTACATACAGGTGGAATATTAGATCGGGCGGACAGCTACATTTTCACGGGTGCACTTGCATACTCCTTTGTCAAAACCTTCCTACCCCTTTATGGAGTTTGACATGAAAACTTGTGATCAATAGCAACAACAAAAATACAAAAGAAATTTCCTCATTTGGGAAGCTAGAACCACAAACAAGGTTGAAGGTGAGGCATCTATGGTGAAGATGGAAATCTCATAGATTTTCAACCCTACCAGGTCTCCGCAATCACCTTGAAACTTTTCAAGAGAGTGCCTTGGTTAGGTTATACCCTTTCTGGAATCACATGGCATTAATTGTGCTTCGCTGGCTAATCACACAAAGTGGCGCTTCTGCAATTTACATGGTTAAGATGCCGATGGCTGCAATAGAGGTAGATCCTCTGTTGGCTGTGAACATTTCATGTATTTAATACAACAGCTTATATCAGCTTACCGGTGTTGTTTTTTTTTTTTTTTTTTTTTACTGCAATTTACATGGTTAAGAAATGCCCGATGGCTGCAATAGAGGTAGAATCCTCTGTTGGCTTGTGAAATTTCAGTATTTAATACAAAGCTTATATCAGCTTACGGTGGTTGTTTCTTTTTTTTTTTTTTTTTTTTTTTTTTTTTTTTTTTAATGTTTTGTTTTCCATCTCGGCTTCAATAAAATGTCAAGTGAAAAATCAATTTTTTGCATGTAAAGCTTCCCGTGGCAGGAATATTTTGATTGTGATGATAGATTATAGAAATTGGGTTAGTGACCATTTTTCCAACTGTTACATAAAAGTAAAGAAAGATGTGTAAATCAATATATAGAACTTGCCCTAGTTTTAGGGTTCTTCCATCTTCGATACAGAATATACTACAAATGTAATCTTAATTTGGGTTTATATCCGGACACAGGTACAAACTACTTGGGCTCTTGTTTAACGCATTAGAGCGTAAAATAGGCCTCTGCGGAGGAGACAGTATATTCCATGGTTTACGAAACTGTAAAAGCCTGTCTGACCAGCCGAGCAAGTGAATATCGCATATGTTGTGTAGTAGTTTTCTTTCGGGAGGCGAATATTTGTCATAAAGACGTCTAGTTTGTTTTTGGTTTACTGTAATCAACCTTCTAAAAGCTTTGGATGCTGGAATAATCTCTCTCTCCCCCCTCTGGAGCAAAGGTAAAAGTCGAATTAAAGGTTTCAAATCACTCTTCGTTGCAAGCAGGACAAGTATCCATTTATCCAGTTACTACAGCTTTGGCCCAATGCCTGCAAACATTGCATATTTCTGTGTCCGATAAAGTATTGTGCGAAGGGTCCCATGAAAAAATGGGATCAGTTGTTACAAATGAATCTCATGAGATTACCCTAATTTTATGTATTAGCTTCCGGACGTCTGCTTCAGGTTCTACTAAAACAAACAAATCTTTATTTTTGTGCTGGTTTCTTATTTGCTCTCTTCTTAATTAACAACCTACCTGTGTCTTATCATCACATGGGACGACACTCAATTATATTTGTGTTTGTAATACTTGTTCGACTCTCAAAATATAACTTTATCTTATCATGCTAACAAGTATAAATTAACAATAATACTCCCGGTGGTTATGATAATGACTTGAATTTATGTATATTGTCCAATTCCAAATCTAAACACAAAATAACAATGGCCCCATTATTTTCAATTACGCCATATATGTCATTAAGCTAATCCAAGTTGACCTACAATTTCATATTTTTTTTCTAAAAAAAAAAGAATTTTGAAAAAATCCATTTATATTATTGAAAAATTAAAGATGGGTTCTTGAAGAATGTCGACATTTATCCAGAACGAGTGCAAAATGAAATGATAAAAAATAGAAGGAAAGTCGCACTCTTATGATCTTATCTATCCTATGACCGAAAGGAAAGTTACATGAACCAATTATTTGTTAAGGCAACCACCTGACCGCATCGTCCAAACTAGTTTTCATTTCTTTTCTTGTAATTTCACGTGGACTTGTTTCTTTAACTTCTCTCGTTTGGACTTCTGTCATGCGTCATGCTTTAATTAATTATTAATTAATACTAATAATAATAATAATAATGCAATTTCGAACTCAATAACATTGACAGGTGGCACTGAACTGCAGACCGTAGCATGTCTTTTCGCTTTTTTTTTTTTTTTTTTTTTTTTTTTTTTTTTTTTTTTTTTTTTTTACAAGAGAACGGTAAGTTTTTTTTTTTTTTTTTTTTTTTTTTTACAGAGAACGGTAAGATTTATTTGAAATTGATGTATGGATTATTCCACGTATCATGTTAATTCATAACGATTTTTTTAAAAAGATTTATTTGAAATTAACGTATGGATTATTTGAAAAAGATTGTTAGAATTTATTACTGGGAAACAAAATATCGCAAGTCAGCAGTAAACCTTGACCAATGACCATAATATAGCAAAGCAATAAATTTTATTTGACTGAGGTTTGATTGTAATTTCTTGGACGAGAAAAATAATGATAATAATAATGATGATGATAATAAATTTGAAAACGACGTGAGAAGTGAATGTTGAGTTGACCTGAAATAAGGCTGAGATATATATTATAGACCCATAATAATACAATTGCAAAAATAGAAAAAGGAAAAAAGAAAAGATGGAGATAAGAGTAAAATAAATGAGATATAGAAATAAAGTGGAAATAAGAATGATGGGTGTGGAAAGGAAACTAACAAACAAAGCAAATCCATGCAAAAAAGGTATATACAGAAGTAGTGGAGTGGAGCCAAATCTCCACCAAAATATATGAGACAGAGAGTCTTGAAGATGAAGATCAGAGCGATATGGTTTGTTCTGCTATTGGAGGGCCTACCACAACTGCCTTTTTCACAACCATCATATTACAATTAGAAGATACATATGATATGAGTGCTTGCTTTTGCGTTTTAGGACAAAAAAAAAAAAAAAAAAAAAAAAAAAAAAAAAAAAAAAAAAAAAAGAAAAGGAAAATTTGTAATAACAAAATTTGTGGAATGTAAGAATGCGTTGTTTCTTAAGCTGACTAAGAAGAAATAAAAAAAAAAAAAAAAAAAAAAAAAAAAGAAAAGGAAATTGTAATAACAAAATTTGTGGAATGTAAAGAATGCGTTGTTTCTAAGCTGACTAAGAAGAATAGAAAGACCAAAAGAGAAAGAAACCTAAAGAAGAGTTTGGAGAAGATATGGTGTGGCCAAGCATCTACAAAAGTATTTTATGTGTATATATATATATATATATAGCGAGAGAAAGAAAGAAGAAAGGTAAAAGATATCTTGTATAGAACTTTCTTGCACACGCACAACCATGACAATTGCCATGTCTCTCAATCCAACCCACACACTGCACACTACACTAGCTTTAAATTTGCTTTTCTTTTTCTTACTTTTCTTTGCTATTTGCTTTGGATGCTCACATAACGTTTTCTTGGCCATGACCCTAATTATATCTATTCGTCTTTTATTTCTTGTTCTCATTCATACATAGTCAACATATTATATGTTTTAAACGTAAAACAAAAAATAATACTGGGTATTTGTTTAAAATAATTAGGATTAATTTGAATTAGTAAAATATATCATGAACATATATATATATATATATATATACACATATACATATAGCTTTGCTACTAAGGAAACATCAATTTTAGGGGTTACGTGTTTTATTCGAATTTTGGAAACTTTTTTGTTGTCAATGGATTTTTTGAATTTTATAAATTAAAAAATATATGTACACCCACCAAAATCTACAAATTAAAGTGATGGATTGACAATACAGTGTTGATGTTTTTCTAAAGAATGGAATATATGTTTATATAATTCTTGCAAACCTAATTAATTAAGTAAAATCTCGAGCAAATTAAATTAAGAAATTAAAATCATCACTGCAAATTAAACGGGCACCAAGTTTTTTTTTTTTTAATTTATGCTTTTTTTTTTTTTGCAACATAGAATATGTAATATACAATAAAAATTCGATTGGAAAGTGAATGTGAATTGAGTTTAGATGGAAAGAAAGGAAATAGCTGTTCAAAAATTAGACCCGCAGGTGGGTACCAACAGTAGCTTGATTATGAAATTTGAAGAAGACAAAAGCTGGTGTTTGTGGGCAAATGTGTTTTTGGAGTGTTGTTAGCATATATTTTTGGATATTTGCTGTTGAAAAATTGGAAATGATAAAAAATCCCTGAGTCCTAGGACGAGGCTTCTTCAAGACAAAAGTGCCTACCTCTGAATTTCTTAATGAAAAGTTGATTATCATTATACTTTCCATTATTTTTTCAGAGCTTCAAAAAAGCGTTTTGCTTTTATGGGCTTTCATGTATTATATAGAAGATGCTCTTTGAGAATCTGCTTTGGGCTATTGATTGAAGTGACTAAAGGCAACAAACAAACAATGCCTTGTGCAACAACTCCGTCCAAACAACCAACCGAGAGATGAGAAATAGCGGCTTTGAATTTGATTTTTATGAGAAAAAGAAGCTCTTTTTTCTACAGATTTGCTTATGTTCTTTCCCTTTCTTCTCTCCACGTAACCCCATAAAAGAAAAAATAAATAAAAGTTCATCTATCTCAGAAAAAAGAAAACCCTAAATTTCTTGCTAGAAGTATATATGTAACTCTTAATTACAGTTTTATCTCTGTTGCTTTATTAAAAGTTAAAAGATAGGAGGTACTAGGGTTATTTTGTGGAGGGCAAAGGTTGCAGCTCTTGTCAAGACCACCATTATATATAGTCCGACAATGACTATACAATACTATCTCCCTTTTGAAAGTTTTTATCATCTCTACCAATATGGACATTCTGTTGTTTCAAATTCAAATTAAACTATTCAAATATAAATATTCTTCTTTAATTCCTCTTTTTTTTTTTAAGCTTATTTGTCAAGGGAATAATTATATGCATATATATAATTTAGTTGATATTTTCATTTTCTATAAAAATATAAAGAGTGAAAGTTCTAGGATTTGATTCTTTTCCATTACTTTTCCACCGTCGATGTTTAACCTAATTAACAATACTCTTATTATTTTAATTAAAAACCTCTTTTCCAAAACTCTTACTTAAATTTAAAATGAGATTTCTCATTTAATTAAAAATAACTTGTAAATAATAATTTTACATTATACAAAATATATTTATTTGATAATATATATGAATTTTTAGTCTCAGTTTGCTCAAATCCAAAATCCATCTTATAGTTCAAATCTATCGAGGGGCTAATCATTTTGCTGATTGGCTTTCTAGCTTTGCATAAATAAACCCTCTCCATAATCACGTTTGCCATGACTATTCTCCTGATTTATATATATAGTTAGATTCTCCATGATGATGCTGCTGATGTTGCTTGTAATTTATGTTCTCTCCTTTTTGTGTTTTTATTAAAGCTCAACAAAAATTTAAGGTTGTAATGAAATTTTTAATGATTAAGGATTGATTTATGCATTAAGTGTTATTTTTTTCAGAAAATGAAGATTGTTATAGCTAAAATTCAGACATTGAAACTTTGACTTGCATTCGATAAATTATTAAAATTCAAAGTCTATTATTAAAAATTAATTAATTCTGGAATAAGTAAATAATAAAATAATGCAAGTTGAAGTGGAGTGTTCAATTGAATCACACAGATTGTACCACCCAATTTTAAACAGACACACAGTTGTTGCCCATAAACAGAATTGATCAAACGGTGAGGATCATTTGATCATGACAATTCACCATGTCTGATTACTGATGAGATCATGTTAACTCACTGTCTCTCGGCCCCACACAGCTGTTTCATTTTCCCGCCGTAGATTTTTGGATGGCAATCATCCAAGTGTACGTGCAATCGTCAAGTCTTATTTGTTGCATTGACCGTACACGTGGCACACCTAAGATTGTGACCATTCATTCTGCTTTCTTGGGTCCCACTTGGTAAGTTGCTTGAGGTAGAGGAAGAGATGTATCTATCCACTTGTCATTTTCAGTGTCGCTGTCCCCAGCAATTGCAGCATATGAGACAATAAGTCTCAATCGTTGGATTGGTCTTTTGGTGCACTCTCAATAAGAGTTTTCTCTTTTTCGCATGTTCTGATTTTTGAATGGTGGATTTTGGGTCCCATATTAACTTTTTTTTCCAATGAGTGCTTTCCACGTGTAAATCATCACTGTTAGGATATATTTGTTCCATCCGCAAATTGCATGTTACCGAAGCTCTAGTTCTTTTTTGGTAAAAAGAAAAATATATTATTTATTTTTTTCATTAATTAAAACAATTGAGAGATTTTTATTTAGGATATTTTAGATAGCCATTAATTGTTTTTCATATCAAATGTTTGTTTTTTATTTATTTATTTTATATAATTGGAAGTTGTGATCTCTTTTCAGATTACAAAATCGTAAATATTTAAATTTTTTATTTCAAAACTAAATAAAATTGTTTATTGAATACATAATCCAACTTTTTGAGTATTAAAGCTGTATCAATACTTTTCTTCGTTATTAAACAATTTTAAGTTGCCCTTGGAATGGGAAAAGCACAAAACACCTACCAATTCTGTTTTTTTTTTTTTAAAAAAAAAAAAAAATTAAACAATGTTTAAGTTGCCCTTGGAATGGGAAATAGCAACAAAACACCATTACAATTCTGTTTTTTTTTTTTTTTTAAAAAAAAAAAAAAAAAAATCAACTAATAAATAAATGGGCGGCTTCCAACTGGCAAAATCAGACTTCAAACATTGGGACTTCATTTGATTTTTGCTTAATTTAAAGTTAAAGCAGGTTATAAGTATGACTAATTGGTCGAATCCAGGACAAAAAAGCAATGAATGATTTTTTTTTTTTAAAAAAAAAAAAAAAAATTCAACTAATAAATAAATGGCGGCTTCCAACTGGCAAAATCAGACTTCAAACATTGGACTTCATTTGATTTTTGCTTAATTTAAGTTAAACAGGTTTAATATGACTAAATTGGTCGAATCCAGGACAAATAAAGCAATGATGAACCAGTAATAATTTTAATATTCAAAAACAAAAATAGCCTTTCGAATATTTTATTTCTTCTACTGAAGTCGTTTTCTCAATGTAGCTTCAGACCAAGTTTGACACTTGGCTCCATTCTCAAGTTTTTTAATAAGCAATTATTTAGGCTTTAATCAAGGAATTTAAAAATGAAACCAATAACTAACCTCTACACCCAATAGTTTAATCAAACATTTTTTAAATTTTCTTGATTTAATATGAAATAAAAAGTCAAGAGCTATTCACAGTAAATCTCAAAGAAAAAGAAGAAATTTATGTCATTTTCCTTTGGGAAAAACTATTTAAAGAAACCTTGTAATTGCATATTTACAGGCTTACAGCCATTACACATTATTTAATAAATAAATAAATAGATAGGCACCATCCCCATCTAGGTGATTGGACAGTGTTCCTAATTGGACCACTTCTCTACCCTCTAAATCGGACCACAGGTTCAACTGCTAACAATACCCTAATATCCCCAAAGCCTAACCGGATAACACAATAGTGAACTCTTGTTATTAAAAGTTTAAAATTAATAATAATTGATAGAAAATTTATCTAGAATTAACAGAGCGTTATTGGTATTTATTTCTGTCTCTTATTTAGAATAGTTAGAAATACTATAAATACATGTACTCAACCTCATTAGATGACACAATATAATTTATCAAATTCTCTCAATTTTACTCAAAAATTCTAATTTTTCCACTTTTATTAATTTGACAATATACACATTATTATGCTGATCATTTCGTGCAACCTTGAAGGATCCCGCACAAGAGTGGTATCAAACACTCAAAACAAGATCAATTGTATCCCTTACAATATAAGGGATTTGCCTTTGCCTCAGACAAAATATAAAAAAAAAAATGGATTTTTAGGTGAAAGTCTGACAAATAGACATCTACAGGAATTAGCTTTACACAAGTGGCCTTTGCCTTCGAGGCTCAGTTTATTTAATTGTACCCCAAGCAAGAAAATTTCTTCGGATCTTATTCATTTGAAAAGAAACGAAGGCAAATCACTTAAAAGAGTATTTGAACAAATTTAAAAAATGGCTATGCTGATTGAAGACCTCAATGCATACCCATGACAAAGAATTATAAGAATGGAAAATTATTAGATTCTATTAATATTGACCCACCACTTTCTTTTGCAAAATCAATGACAAGGGCGAATAGCTATACTCGGCTAGATGAAGCCTAGAAGATGCAACAAGCACAAACGAAAGTTTCACAAGAGAAGAAAAAAGAAGATCCTCCAAGGAGATCATCAACAAGACATGGCAAACCACATTTCGCTCGAGCTAATTACACAGCACGCACAACATACTCTCATACAAGCGATAAATGAAGGGATGCGCTGCTCGAAATAGCTTCAGAAGTCATATCAATTAAATGCAGAACTTTAATTAACGATTGAAATTGAAAAGGTAAACAACTTTTCAAATCAACTTTGCCGCCCGGCAAATAGGGTACACAATTCAATTAGGGCACCCGTGTACAAATTTAGCAAGCTTGACCATATTTCGGAATCACACAAAGGCGAACATAAATGTTCATTACCTTTGGGGGAACTTTTGATAGAAGATTTATATAGAATTGACTGAACATTACTTGGGCTGATTCAAAATAAGTAACACTCGGCGAAAGATCTTTATCATATAAGTAATGCTCAAAATTCTCATTCGGTATTTATTTCTATCTCTTACTTAAAATAATTAAAAATATTATAAATACATATACTTAGTCCGAATACAATACAATTTATCAAATTCTCTTAACTTTACTCAAAACTTTATTCCCATTTCTCACTTCAATCAATAATTAATAATTATATCTCTCTCATTAATGTTATGATTGTATTCAACAAAAGAAAGCTTAATGAATTTAAATAATTTAATGTGTAAATGAAGAGCTTCCAAGGTGCTGAAAAGGAAAGCCTTTAGTAATATAATCTAATCACGCAAAGGGTCCAATGATACAAGACCCATGTGATCTCATCAAGACAGGGCATTTAAACAAAAAAACACTAATCAAACTTTTGCGGTTCAATGTATAATAATACAAATGTTATATTTAAGGTCAAATAAATTTGCCCATTTGCTAATAAATTAACGAAATTAATTATCTAATGCACCCACCACCTTAACAGACATTTGGTGGCTAATAAAATATAATATGCATTCATAAAATTTAATACTAGATGCAACTATTAGACAGAATTTAGTCCAACATCCTATCATTGAGACCTTCACCGCCAATCATCCATGAATCTCTAGCACCTCAGGTTTCCATTCAATCTTTTGCTAATTTTCATCGGAAGACAAAGCTATTGACCTCTTTTTACCCAATAGAATAAGAAGAGAAGCTTATCTTTCAAGAACTTACGAATTGATTATGGAAAAAAAAAATTTTTGATTGAACAGCACAGTACATATGAACCGTTAGATCAAGGGCTAACTAACTCTTTTTCAGTTATGTTCATACAGAAATTATCATTTGAAATTGCAACCACACCAACTACATAGTGCATTCAAGAGTTAGCTCAATATATGCATCTCCATCGCATATTGCCCCAAACCCAAACTGAAAGGAAGGAGGACGTATTTACAAATTGAGAGCTTGGAGGATAAATAGCAAATATCAATCGCATTGGACAAGAAATTGAAGAAAAATTAAATACTAGCAAATAGGCAAAAGAGACTTGATTTCAAAAGGTTAACTCTTGATTTGTCTTTTCCCTTTGTTGTCAAATGTACAAGAGACCGTCACCACGTTAAAACAGGAGTAATTAAGCAATATCTAAAGTGACAGAATACATGAACACAGTCATTCAGTTACTAAAATGTTTTGGTTTCTTGACAGGAAACAATTAAGCCTAAAGCACATAGAAATTAGCGTAAGAGAACCAGCGACAACAAAAATTAAGAAAAGATGAGAAATTAAACCAGTAAGTTACGAGGAATCTCAGCAACAATGACTAATTGGTAGAACCAATAATTCTTTAATTCCTTAACACCTCCAAGTTGAAGCCGATATTAGCTCCTTTGGCTGCCAGCAAATTAAGAAATGTTTTGGTTTCTTGACAGGAAACAATTAAGCCTAAGGCACATACAAAATTAGCATAAGATGAGAAATTAAACCAGTAATTTCCGAGGAATCTCAGCAACAATGACTAATTGGTAGCCAATAATTCTTTAATTCCTTAACACCTCCAAGCTGAAGCCGATATTAGCTCCTTTCGCTGCCAGCAAAGAACCAGCGAAGACTGCCTCTTTTCAACATGGAATCCCCTAGCCGGAGTTCGCTGCACCAAACAATCAGCTTGTGACTCGGCAAAGTTACTGAATTGAATTGGAGTAAAACCAGACTGCAAAAACAGACTCTTCCATGGAGGTGTCCTATCAGGATGGCGATGACGACCCAGTACAATTTTTTCAATACCCGGTTGGACCAAGAACCTCTCAATTTTTTGCAGGGCTTCTGAGTTCATATTCACAGCTTCCAGTGATTCAAGCAGACTTGAATAAGATTGAATGGAATTATTTACATGGCTGGCAAATGGCAGATCTGTTCGGTCACACCCTCTGTCCAAAGAGACAACAATTTTAGGTGAGAGCTGCTTTACAAAGCGAAGTGCCACTGGAAGTGATGATGGGTAATTAGAGAAAGGCCCAATTGGAAGATTGACAACAATTACTTCTTTCTCTGATCCACGAAAAGGCATTGAATTCAAAGACTCGAAGCCTAAGATTTCAAGCTCAAACGGCATGTTGATTTCACTAGCAAAGATTCTTAAATTTTCTTGAGTAAAGCCAAGCTCAACCTCATCACGTGAAGAAGGAGAAGCAAAGGCAGTGATTCTAAGCGAAGGAGCACCTCCATTCCTCAAAGCAAGCTCTTGCATAAGAGAAGCCCATTGCCCACCAAATCCAATATCAAAATCAATAATATGAATTCTATCAAAACCCTCACAGGCCTCAAGAAGGGCTTGATTACAAGTAAAATTGGCAAATTGAAGGATTGGAGAGATCTCAGAAAAGGACTTGTAAGCTCCAATTTTGAAAATAAGACTACAAGGGGTCAAACTAGGTGAGTTGGTACCGTTGTTCAGGTGAAGGAGTAACTGTAAAGCTTCCTTGAAGTAAAAAGCAGCCCTAATATGAGGCTTACCGATGGAAAGAGAGAGCTTGTGATTGAGCCGCGCCAATATCCCTTGCGCGAGTACCGGATTGCCGGTTTCTATCAGCTCTGCTGCTTGGCATATTGGGTTTAATATGGCCTGTTGAATCTGTTGGGCCGCCAATTCGTCTGTCATAATTTTCTGCTTCATCATTGCTGGTCTTTGCTGTTGTAGCATTTGAAGCTGCTGTTGCTGTCGCTGGACAAAAAACTCTGGCCTTGCCATCTGATAGTTAGCTCCAACGGGCCCTGAATTAAGCCGCTTTGTTGGTGGTGGCGATAAAAGATGATGCTCTTGCAACTGTGCGTACGACAGGGGCAAAAACATGGCCGGATTCTGACCAAGCTGAGCTTGATTTTGGTTGATTATTATTTGCGGATTGAAAATCTGTGGCTTTTCGTCTGCAGCTTCAATTTGTGGTGGTGGTTGATTTTGAAACATACCCGGGAAGAGATTACCAGCTGAAGCAGAAATAACCTGGTTTGGGTTTTGGGTTAAGACCGGACCAATCCTAACATTGTGATTCAGAAGAGGAAACTCTGGAGAAGTTCCATGAACAGAAGAAGAAGAGTCAATGCTGTTCACCAAGTTGGTACTATTCATAGGCTCAAACCCAAAACCCTGATCTACAACCCCAAAACCCGCATTGAACTCCATATCTTGTGACGAGCCGCTTCCACCTTGCAAGAGCTTGTTCAAACCCAAAGATGGGTCCTCAACATCGCCCATAATTAACCTCAAAATAGACGGTTCCTGACTAGGGGACCCAGGCAATACGCCGTCCCAGTATTCCATTCCTAACTGCCCGCATTTTTCAGTACTAATATCAACAGAAGGATTTCCAGAAACAGCTGCTGCCACACCGGTGGTGGTTTCTGTAGAGGCGGCGCCACCACCGCCGTTACTACCGCCTTGTGAAGAAGACAGTGTTGAGGAGGATGTAGGGAGGGCTGGGACTTCTTCTAGCTTCAAGTACAGAGGTGGGCTCACTGCCCACATAGCAGCAATTATCTTTGGTGCTGCTGTTTTGCCACTTTAGCTGTTGTTGATGTTGATTTTGTGGAGGTAGTTGAGGAAATAAAACCGGAGAAGAAGAAGAAGAGAAATCTAGCACCCCCTTCCCTTGAAAATCCTCAAAGGATAGGGGCATGGCCTTCATCTAAGAAAATCACCAACAAGGACAAACCCAAGAACCAAAATCTCTCCAGTTTCCAAAATCAAGAACCAATCACCACTCCAAAAGGTTTCGCTTACAGAATAAAATAAACAGAGAGGTTGGAGTTTGGAGAAGACAAGAATTATAATGAGAAAATCAAATTAGAGTTATTGGAGAAGATAGTTTGCTAAATGCAAATCAGGAAAAATCGTCTCAGCGCACACCTTAGCTTGTTCTTCTTATTTCTTGGGCTTTTTATTGAAAGCACTACCTATCTCTCTTTCTTTAATTTTTCAGTACAGCATCAAGAAAAATCTCATTTTGGAACCATCTTTTATCTTCTTGGTTCTGTGGTTAACTTTGGTAGGTTTTCTTCTCTTCTCTACTCTTCTCTTTCTTCTGGTTTTGTAGTACTCTGTCTTTCTTCTGTTTCCTGCTATGGATGCGTGCAACATATAAAAGTGGTAAAGTGCCCTTCAATCCCCCCCTCTCTCTCTCTCTCTCTCTCTCTCTCTCTCTCTCTTTTTCATCTCTTGGTTCTCGTGGTTAACTTTGGTAAAGGTTTTTCTTCTCTTCTCTACTCTTCTCTTTTCTTCTGGTTTTGTAGTACTCTGTCTTTCTTCCATGTTCCTGCTATGGAATGCGTGCAAACAATATAAAAAGGTGGGTAAAAGTGCCCTTCAATCCCCCCTCTCCCTCTCTCTCTCTCTCTCCTTCTCTCTCTCTTCTCTCTCTCTCTCTCTCTCTCTCCTTTCTTTTTCTCTATCTTTTTTTTTTCTTTTTTTAAAAATTTTTTATTTATACTTTTTTTTAATGTGGCTTTTTTGTCTATATACGTAGTTATCTCTCCGGTAGGGTTTCTTTTTACTCAACCTATCCCATGCTCAATTTGATGGCGCGTTTAAACCACTCTCTGCCTAAAATTAAATAGATTAGGACAAACCTTCTCTCAAAATATTCTTCCAGTAATACTAATTCCATTTTGGATAGAACTTTATATATCTATGCTTGATTAGAAGTGGTATTAAGATAAATTTTTATTTTAATTAGTTAATTTTTATTAGCCAAGCCTCCAAAAAAATATATGTAAATGGATGATTAATGTTATAACTAACCATTTCAATCTATTGTGATTTGTGATTAATAACTAAACTAATAAGTTAAATATATGTATATTATTTTTAAAAAAATAGTTAAACATGGATATTAATAGTAAAGGCTTTTGCTGGTATGCATTGGGTACGCTCCTTAAAGCGAGTGGACTTCCCATTCGGGCAGTCCTATTGTTAATTATTTTCTTTTACAGAGACCAACGAGACAGAGAAAAGGTGATCTGATTCAGATTGTTTTTGTAATTTATACATATTTCCTAAAAAACCCCTCCAAACTTTCCCGCTATCCAACCAAATCCTTCCTAAAGAGCGCAGGTAAACGCAGGGGTGTTGTTGTAATCGCAGAGAAACAGGTTCTGCTGGCCTGGATTTCGAAACTGAATCTGACGACCCGAGATAACGAGTGAGGCTTTTGCGAGTTTTGAAAAAATCGAGACAGATTCAACGGTTGAGATAATTGAGTTAAAAGTGGATGGCCGTGATTTACAGTTTGTCCAAAAACAAGAAAGAAAAAAGAAAATCAGTTTTTGGTCCAAAGAGCCTAGTTCGGGTCTTCTTGACCAATGGCTTTGGGTTCGTTGGACCAACTGTCTCTTTCTAGCGCCGGTAAAAAGTAAAAGTAAAACTGAAAATAATTAACATGACAAGCCTATTTCACTGTTCACTGTTCACTGTTCAGCTGCCCCGGGAATTTCAGTAAATTTATGCGTTGGAAAGGGATGACAGTGGTGGGCAAAATTTCGTTGGTAATGGTAAGTAGTATTTGTTACCATTGATTTTTTTTTTTTTTTTTTTTTTTGGTAAGTAGTATTTGTTACCATTGAATTTTTTTTTTTTTTTTTTTTTTTGGATATTTTTTTTTTTTTTTTTTTTTTTTGGATAATTTTAAGAATTGCCCTCTTTTATATTGGTTTAACATATTAAAAATGTTCTTTAGGGTTAAAAACTAAAATTTTCAATTCAAGCTCACCTTTTGAACTATACGAACCAAATTGAATTTTAAATAAAAAACCTAATAAGATATGAGGTTAAGAAGAAAGGATGGTTTACAGCGGAAAAATATTTTTTTTTTCTTTTCCGTCAATCTTGATATAATGCCGCTATAAGCATTTCATAAATAATATTTCTAGATATATTAAATAGATATAAGAAAATATATCTTTAAAATCACATAATCGATTTAAAAAAAAAAAGAAAAAGATTGAATGTCTCATGATGTTTGAGTTAGCCATTAAAATCAGCAATCCAATTATTGAAGAGTTGTCTTCTATTACAAATGGTCTTGTTTTCCTTTTATATATAATATATAAAAAATATTGAATATGAAAGCATAGAGAAGTATATTATGATTTGACAAAAACCAAAGAACATTCGCCTAGAGGGATGGATGAATAGAATACAAGTCAGCTTCTTTCAATTACTTAAACACCCTCCCTCTAATATGAGTAATCTTTAATTTATTTTAAATCATAATATTAAGAACTATTTAAGTGCAATTATAAAATGTAAAAGCAAACATTTTTTTTTTTTTTTTTTTTAACTATTAACAACTAATTAAGATTGCCAATTATAAAATCGTAAAAGCAAACCTTTTTTGTTTTTTTTTTTTGATATTTGTTTGTCACCAAGCCAACCCCAAAATGTTGCCAAACCTCTTAATTGAGCTATATTATGAAGTGAAATTGGAAAATCAATGGGTATAAAACTATGCATTTTTTGCTTTTTCTTAAAATTATTGAGGAGTTGTTGCATGCTCTTAAACTCTTCTTATTTACTCACTGCATCTGTTTAGACTTCAATTGTGGTGTTTGTTTCGTGGGTAAATTTTGAACAAAGCAACAGTGTAGATATGTAGTTCTTCCTTTTCATAAGACAGCTTTGCCCCACACCATGAAGATCTGACCTCATTTGTGATTAATATGAGAACTTGTGGACATACTAAATGTCAAACATTTTTTTTTTTTTTTTTGATATTGTATTGTCACCAACAAACTCAAAATTGTTGCATTTTCTTTTCATATGAATGTTGCTCTCAAATTTCTATTTTTACTCACTGCATCTGTTAGATTCAATGTGGGTTTGCTCTAAATTTGCAAAAAGGCACAGTAAATGTAGTTTCCTTTTGCACTTTGCCAATGAATGAATGATAATGGAAGTGGACATACTATTTTATGAGAGACAAAAATAGAAACCCAAAATCAAAAAAGAGCAACATGGGAAGTGGAAGAAAATGAATAGTTTAATATAGAAATATAGGAAAGGGAAGAGGGGACATGCTTAGGTTTGTAATGAATTGTTTAGGGCAACCATGACTTGGACATGTCAGGAAATAAGGTTTAGTTATCTTTTCAATCCCATGTGAAGCCTAACAACAACTCCTACCCTCTTCTCTATCATATGAAGTGTAAAGTGACCCAATCTCAAAGTCACTTGGCTTTGTTTTGCCTTCCCTCTTGAGTTTTCTATTCAAATTTTCGAAATTTTTATATCCCCTCTTTCTTTCTTTCTTTCTTTCTTTTTTTTTTTTTCCTCCAATTTTCTTGTCCACAATTTTTGTTTCTTTGTTGGCTAAAAGGGTATTGGTCTTAAGTTCTTTTCTCTCTTCTCAAGACACCCTACGTCTCAAGCAACACAAATTGACACAAGAACGTTTGCCTAATTAACCTAGCCAACCATACCAAAGCTAAAGCATTTCTATGTCACTTTTCCTTTTTTTTTTTTTTTTTTTTTCTTTTTTTTTTTTTTTTTTTTTAAGGCTTGTGCTCTGATCAAGAAAGTTTTCTTTATGATTAGAGGGAAGACTGATAGGAAATATGTATATCTCCTCCTTTTTAAAGAATTTTTCAATACCATTATGCACATCTATGTATGTTGTCTTTTTTTTTTTTTTTTTTTTTTTAAAGCTTGATATTGCTTGATCAATTGAAAGTTTCTTATGATTAGAGAAGACATGATAGGAAATATGTATATTCTCCTCCTTTTAAAGAATTTTTCAATACATTATGCACATCTATGTATTTTCTTGTCAATATATATGCCGCGATTGGAATGCAATTGAAAATAAATACATAAAGAAAATGCATAATCCAAGTTATTTGGCAAACTTTCTCGGAACCAACCCTTGCAATTCTAAATCACTAGTAGATAAGAACATGGACAATCAAAACTAGAAATTTGGAGATATACATGCATGCATTAACAACTAAACATATGATGTGAGTTATCGTTGAGACTATAAATAAAATGATTAGGAAATAGTTGAGTTTTATAAAAAAATAAGTTGTTTTAATATTAAAAAAATTATATTCAACCTAGCTATTTCAAGCTCGGTCCAATTAACTATTTTAATTTTCAAAAAAAAAAAAAAAAAAACTGGCATTGCTAATGACCTTTAAGCACCCAATATCAAAAAGTCAAGAGTTCTATTTGCGCCTAAATATTTTTAAAAATTATATTTATCCATAGAAGATGTTACAATTTCATATAGATGTATGTATTATTTTGAGTTGATGTGTCAATAGAACCATTCATAAATCAAACTAAAAAAAAGAATTTTAAAATATTTTTCCCATTTATCTTTTTTTTTTTTTTTCCTAATGGATAGTCTGAAATATTACATTTTTATTTTTTTATTTTTTTGTTTGGTCGGTGCGTAGGACTATAAACCCGGTGTTGGGCAAGTCAATTAAAAAAAAAAAACGTTATCGTGCTTATTCTCGAAAGTAGACTGACGTGCGTTCTAACTTCTAGTTCTAAGAACATGATCATACATACAGCAGGATATTGTTGAGCCCAAACTATGATTTGGGCTTACTGCAAAAGATTAGTAACTCTACTGGGCTGGATTCCTCGAGCCCGTCCATCAGTAAAGAAAATTCCCGCCCAAATTCTTTGGGGCTGACGTGGCAATTTTTCATGGGTAATTTCACGATATTACGACACAATCAAGGGCACCGCAGAGAATTACGAAACCATCTGTCATTAATAAGTATTAAATATTTTTCTTTAGAAAAAAAAAAAAAAGAGAAATATTAAATATTTACAGGCATCATCTGTTCATCACTTGAATTCTAATCAACTGATCTTTCTCTTCTAATACCCAATATCTCAAACTCAATCACTACATTTGGTCAGTCCTTTTGATTTCTCGTCCCGTAATTAGTTGTATGTTTAATAAGCCTTCATTAGCTGGTCTTATTCCATGGAGCTTTCTGTCTATTTCGTTCATTCAATCTTTTTTTCCCTTTTCGCTTTCTTATTGATTCAGGATTTGGTATGGCTTTTAAAATTATTTGGTTTAATTTATTTGATTCTATACTTACAAGCTATGCTTTCGATATTATGCAGGAGTTTGAAGGAGAATGGCCAAGAGCAGCTTTAAGCTAGAACATGATTTTGGTATGATTTCGATGTCTATGTTTTAGGTTTCATGGGTAATTTGTGCTGCATAATTCACAGTAACCCTAATCTTCGTTTTATTTGGTTTCGTCTTCTGTTTCTGATTGTATATTACTCTGTTGTCTCTTCAGAGAAGAGGCGTGCTGAGGCTATGAGAATTAGGGAGAAATATCCAGATAGAATTCCGGTGAGAATCGATCATTAAATTTTCATCAGTTAGTTAATTCTTCAGTTCTGTATGAAAGTTGTACATGAATTGTCCCATCCATTGAAAGATTAGGATTTTGTTGTTTACTATGGAGTTTGGGTTTATCAATTTGATGTAATGAATTGGACATTTTTAGGTAATTTAATGCAACTATAAAGAAAACATTATGTGAATTGGTCATTTACAGCATTGATGCATTGAATAAGTATAACACAAAGTAGCATACGCGTTAGTTTCATGTGAAGATTCCTGCTATGATTAATCACAATAGAAGATTTTGCTCTCATGTTAAAAAAAAAAGCCTTTTGAAATGATTTTGAAGTCATTTGTAATTTTGGGTTTGTACTAGTGGAAGCTTGATTATCTGTTGGACTTAAATTTGTGGCCAACCATTGCTTTTTATTTATTTATTTATTCATTTTTTTATAAGAGGGATAAAGGGAAGAAAAAGGAAAAATAGTTACTTTTTAGGAGAGATGACCATCAATGATAATCTATCTTGCAGCTTAGTTGTTCTTCATTCACTTTAATGTACTACTTAGATAGAAGACTGCTAAAATTTTTCTTAAATTGTTTGGTTGTGGATTGTCAACCCAAACAGTAAATTGTCCACTGTAAGTATTATAAAATGGATTACTGCTTTCCTATAGGTAGCATCATTTTGTACCTTTGTATTCCTTATTTGATTCTATTGGTTCTCTTGCACTTTCTAGGTAATTGTTGAGAAGGCTGAGAGAAGTGACATTCCTAACATTGATAAGAAGAAGTAAGAATCTGTTTCATGCGGCAAATTCTTTTCCCGTCATGTCGCTGTGATATGGGCTTGAATATTGTAACTTTCATCTGTGATCAATTGTCAACTTCATCATGATTATCATTGAACTTTGTTCTCTTTCCCTCTCTTGCACATGTGGCTATGCATGCTTGATTTGACATGTGGTTAGAAGTGATTCAAAATTTTTGTTCTGCATAGTGAAATATATTCTCTGTTGTTTCCCATAATTCTCATAGTGGACCGTTTGACCTCACAGCCTGCATTGTTTTTATAGAATGTGGGCTGTGGACCCAACATAGACTAATTCTTTCATGTTGAGAGCACGAATGATATCACTGGTAGAGTGAAATCATTGCTAGTAAAGGGTTTGATGGATATAAACTGTTACAATGTTTGTATGTATACATCTTCAGTTTGACTTTAGTTGAAATTTTACAGATACTTAGTCCCAGCTGACCTGACAGTTGGTCAGTTTGTTTATGTGATCCGGAAGAGAATTAAACTGAGTGCAGAAAAGGCAATCTTCATATTTGTGGACAATGTCCTCCCTCCAACGGGTAGACAGTTCTCTCTCTCTCTCTCTCTCTCTCTCTCTCCCCCCCTCTTTTGTTTGCATATACATATAACTGTTTGGTTTCAGTAATTGGAGAATTTATTGGACATGACATGCATAATGAATTTTTGATTCAGAATGTATCTGATGTTACTCGAGATCTGTAATCAATCTAACCAAATAATTTTACTGTCAAAAATAGAACTGTTCTCCTTTTGTTTCTTCCTCATTCCCCTTTCCCCTTGTCTTTTATTACATTCTAAAACAATCATTACGACGTGTGCAGTGCATGTACATTCACATTAATATGTACATAATTTTCTATAGTAGTCTAACACTCCAAAACCAGCTCATCTGCAGTGCGAGTTGATATTCTTTTTGAGTTTATTTGCATGTAGCACCTGCAGTTAAAACATTGTCATTTTGTAGTTGTTTCTAAAAATGACTAGCTTTGAAGTAATTGTTTAATTATGACATGTTGCAGGGGCAGTGATGTCTACTATCTATGATGAAAAGAAGGATGAAGATGGATTTTTGTACGTCACATACAGTGGAGAGAACACTTTCGGGTGGCAGATGATACTGTAGATAAAGTTCTTTCCTTGTATTCCATTCTTTGTGTTGCTGTCCAGTATGTTTCTCATCATAATGACTTGGCAAAATCTTTGCTAGTGACTAGTCTCATTTAGTTGAAAGGCTATGATATCAAGCCTAATTTCTCAGACCTTGCCTGTCTTTCTTGTACAGATACATATCCTGTAAATTCTCTTCCACCAAGTAAATGATGTCAGCTCCTATATAATTTGAATTCGACTAAAATGTGATTTCCGTAAATCATCTCTGCTTGTTTAATACAAATGCTGCACAATAGGTGGGTTCATTTGTCTTCTATAATTGGATTTTTAAGGTGATAGAGAGAGGAGTTGAATTAAAGTTCTGATGCGAGTGACAAGCTATTGATGATAACGATGTCGTTTAGCAACTGAAACTGGACCGCTCCCTCACCTCCCTAACAAAAGCCGACGATGCGAGATTGAGCTGTAATGCCGTGGGGACAACGCGGCGATCAAAACGAGAGTGCTCGACTTTTATGATACAGTGACCGAGTTGGAGCGATTGTCAACGCAGAGTCCGAATCCCTAACCACCTTGAAAGGCGGGCCCTGTCGCGCCGTCGATCATGGACACTTCCAAAACAATACCAGTATGCAAACAAACAAACAAACCACTACGAGTTAGGATATTTCATGCTCATTGTCTTCACTTTTTCAAAATAGAAAATATTAACAGCGTTCATGTCATGAGTTGTCTTTGGTGGACCACCACCAACATGGGTTTCGGCGGCCCATGTACACGTGGCAATCCAAATGAACCACATGGGCTTTTGCCACGTGTTAGATATGGCCGGTATTGACGGTTAGGGCACTCTTAGGTGTCCCTTGCTAAAGGAACACAGGACGGGTGGATCCATGAGCCATTGTCTCCTTTCTACCTTTGTCCCTACTCCTGTAGGGTCCTTTTGTGTCTGGTTGATCATGTGGATATCACGCATTAATCATGATCAGTCGATTTCGCGTCTCTTCTGTTTGGCAGCAGTAACTTACTACTATAATAAGAACTACTGCTAATAAACAAGGTTAAAATATATATATATATACACTCTTTATACTGTTATATAGTCTTTCCTTCGTTCAAAAAATAAAAGATTATCATTCAAACTTAATATCTAATTCAAATTCATACTACAATAGTAATTAATTTTTAATTTCAAATTAATTGAAATTGGCAATGTAAATCACCCGTGTCTATTTCGATTTGCATAAATCTTTGAAATTTTAATACAACATTTCTCCTTGGCATGAATTTCACTAAATATTATCTATTTAACGTTTACACTCATTTTCTAAAAGTATTGTAAATTCATTTTCAAATTTGATTCAATTTTACTTTTATGAAACCTAACTTAACATAATTAATATACAAAGCCTGAAATTAGACCAGTGATTTAATTACTTATGGTCAGAATGTATTACAGCAAAGGAGAATGATTCAAACTAATTTCATTTCTTTTAAAAGATCTGTCGACAAAATATTAATTTCAATAAAAATGGATTAGAAGAACATTCAGTTTCAGATTAGCCTTAATCGCGGACTAACTACCAAAATTTGAAGGACAAGCTCTCATTCCCTTCTTAAGAGAGCTAAAACGCAAATGCTTTATAGTTTCATTTCCGTTGGTAAGATGAAAGACACAACAAAACAACCAATTTCTTACATATGAAGAATATCACTAAACTTTCCAAAACTATAAATATTTATTTATATATACAATCAGATACAAAAATAATTACCGGACATTCACGCTTATAGTTACAGTATAAATAATGACCAGACACTGTCAATTTGTCATGGATATACGTCTGGCGTCCACATTTACTTGCCTTTTCTTTTCTTTTATTTTTAATTTTAAATACAATTTTTTTACATAATTAATGTTGCAAAAAGGCTTTCTTCTTTTCATAATTTCACTAATAATACAATAATATATAGTCACTAAAAAAATCACGTTAATGTTTTCAAGATAAAAAGGCATGGAAGGGCAAGAAACAAGGAAGCATAAACTATGCAAGCAAGTGTTGAAGGTAAAAAAAAAAAAAAAAAAAAAAAAAAAAAAAAAAAAACACCAGACTCAATTCCAAACGGAGCCCAAACTTTAAATGGTATATTATGGAAGTGGAAATTGAAAACCATCCATGGGTATAAAAAACATGTTTAAGGTAGTTCCTAATTTTTGGGCTTTAAATGGTTTTCTTCAAGCAACAGCTTCTTTATTAAATGAGCTGGTCCAGTTAAAGAAAGGAATTATACCCTTCCTTATTTGTTTAGACATTTTGTTAACTTGTAATGTAATGAAAATTACACATTTTGTTAACTTGTAATGTAATTAAAATTACACATGTAATTTTAATTACATTACAAGTTAACAAAATGTCTAAACAAATAAGGAAGGGTATAATTCCTTTCTTTAACTGGACCAGCTCATTTAATAAAGAAGCTGTTGTGTAATTTTCATTACTTAAATTAATTTTATAATCATTACATCAAAAGATATATGTAAAGTTCATTACATTTCTCAAAGCCAATATCCATTCTCAACCACCACCACCACCATCGCAATCGCTGCCACCACCACCATTACCACAATCACCACAAACACTACACCACTGACAATGCAACTACCACTCTGCCGCCACCATCGTAACCGCCACTAACAATGCAACTACCACTCCACCGCCACTACCATCGTGACCACCACCACCACCAGTACTCCACCACTAACAATGCAACTACCACTCCACCGTCGCCACTATCGCAACCACCATTGCAACCACCACTCCACCCCTGCCGCCACCACCACTCCACCGTCGCCACCATCGCAACCACCATTGCAACCACCACTCCACCCCTGCCGCCACCACCACTCCACCGTCGCCACCATCGCAACCACCATTGCAACCACCACTCCACCCCTGCCGCCACCACCACTCCACCGTCGCCACCATCGCAACCACCATTGCAACCACCACTCCACCCCTGCCGCCACCACCACTCCACCGTCGCCACCATCGCAACCACCATTGCAACCACCACTCCACCCCTGCCGCCACCACCACTCCAACTATGCAAGGCAAGATGCTGGAAAGTTCTATCTCTCCCACTTTAAACCCAATACAAAACAAATAAATGGTCACCACAATCACCACCATTCACTCATTATCTTAATATTCCTTTATGTATATATTATAGGAATAGGAAAGTGAGATGAAAAAATCCACTAAAAAGATCAGACTAACAGAAAAATTCAGTTTATCTTCGGTTGGAAACATAGTATAGAAAGTTTTAAGTGTGTAATTGATGCTATATTTGATAATTTTAATATATTTTTTAAATAATTGTTATGTAACAAAAATTCTAAATTCTAAATTCTCTCAATTTTTTTATAGAAACTAATGTTTTAACTTTTTTCCCTAAACACTATTTATCTAAGTACTTCTTTAGCTTTGTATTTTTTTCTCGAAGATAAGTAATGTATTTAATTTATAATCAAGAGCACTTTTGTTTTTTTTTTTTGTTTTTTTAATAATTTGATCCTTAGTTTTTTTTTTTTTTTTTTTTTTAATTCTATCTAATCAATTTTTTAAAAAATGTTTAACTTTTTCACATATAGTACTCTTTAGCTTTTATTTTTTTCCGAAAAAGAGAAAAAATGTTTTGTTTATATATATAGTAAATTTTTTAAAGGGAAAATCTCTCTTTTGGACTATCTCTTCTTCTCTCTCCATATATGTACATGAACGCGCTAATCTGTGCTCTCTCTATCTCTTTTTTCTTGTTGGTGTTCTGTGTCTGGGGACCCAACTGATTAAGATTTGGAAAAAAGAAGGGACACTCCACCCCTGCCGCCACCACCACTCCACCGTCGCCACCATCGCAACCACCATTGCAACCACCACTCCACCCCTGCCGCCACCACCACTCCACCGTCGCCACCATCGCAACCACCATTGCAACCACCACTCCACCCCTGCCGCCACCACCACTCCACCGTCGCCACCATCGCAACCACCATTGCAACCACCACTCCACCCCTGCCGCCACCACCACTCCACCGTCGCCACCATCGCAACCACCATTGCAACCACCACTCCACCCCTGCCGCCACCACCACTCCATTGTCACTACCACCGATACCACCACATCCTCTCCACCACCATCACCACTCTACTACCACCATTGCAGCCACCGTTGCAACCACCACTACAACCACCACTGTTACTCCACTACCACCACTCCACCACCACCATCATCACGACAATCACCACTACCATAATCACCACAATCACCACCATCACATCATTATTAATTATTCTTTTGTATTATTATAGGAATAGGAAAAGTGAGATGAAAAATCACTAAAAAGATCAGACTACCAAAATTTCATATTGTAATTTAATTTATTCAATGAAAATATATAAAATTGTGTAACAAATTAATTTTCAATGACTTTAAATTTTATTTTGTTACATTATATTTTTTTCAGCTTTTTTTTTTTTTTTTAATTTTCTAGTCCAAGTAGTTTATAATTCTAAATAGTATTTAATAGCTTGATATAACGAATAATTTTTAATTCAAATATTTCTTTTTTTATTATTAATAATTATGTGGTGGTAGTGGTGGTGGTAGTAGTGGTGGCAGTGTGATTGATAGCGGTGGTCTGCTAATTACATTACATATTTACAAATAAACATAAAAATTGAATGATGATTTCATTGCATAAATTCTCTCAATTATATTCACCAAACATAGTAATGGAATATTAATTACATTTTTCATTGCATTACATTAAGCTAAACATAGCGTTAAAATAAAAGGATTAATTTCACTTTGAATAAAAAGGTGCCTAAATTTCAACTCATCTGCAAGTTAAATTAGATTTAGATTTCCACCAATTCTCTCTACTCCACCTCATCTTAATCTTTCGCCCTTTCTTGTTTTCTACATAAAAAAAAGTAACCCAAATTCGCTCTAATCTCATCAATTATTCTCTCGCGCAGACTAACTACTGAACTAGAATTAAGAACAAAAATCAAGAATAAGAACAAAAATCAAGAATAAGAACATAGGCATAAAGAAATTACAAAATCAAAGCTTTTTAAAGTTGGGATTAAGCTTGATCGCCTTGAAGCCTTGGTCCTTAACCCAACTTCAAAACTCTTCTTGTATGTGCCAATCTCTCTCCCTTACTTCTTGCTCTTCTGGGTCTTACTTTGTTCATCTTTCTAGTTTGTTTTTTTAAGTGTTTTGGATTTTTATTTGGTTGTACTTTGTACAATTATGTTTGCATTTGTTTGTTCTTTTGCTCTACTCTGCTCTTCTTTTTTCCTTTAAATGCATGGTCTCTTTCTTTTGATAGAAGCTACTCCTAGCATCTTTGATTCCTATTTCAGGCAAGTAGGTAACAAGATTTCTTAATCGTATACATATCTTTTAGAGATTTAAAAGATTTGAAAAATTGGCAAGGGGTTATCTATATCAAAAATTTAGAAGACAGGGAACTTAAAATCAATTTGTCAAAGGTGGATATCATAGCGCTAGAGTCGGCGATCAGTTTGTTGCCTTGTTGATCATTATATTGCTCAAATGAAGCTCAGTTGGGGCTAGTTTTCTATCGCTGGCTGGCTTTTGAATTTGATAGTTATGGTTTGATTTTTGTTTTTGGTTTGATTTTGATCTGTAAGTTTTTATTAGATCATGCATAACCATTATGCTGCATATTATTTCTATATGGGTTTATTATTAGTGATTTCGTAAGTGTACGGATCGTGCAAGTAGTATAATAAGATATCGTCCTCAAGAATAGGGGGACTGATTATTAGCTTTGAATTCAAGATGTATTGTCTAGACAATTAAATGGGTGAATCTTTCAAACCTAAAATGAACTAAAAGTAAAATAAGCAAGTAAACTACTGAAGTGAAAATTAAACAAGATTATTGTAATCAAATAAAGAAAGCATTAGTGTTGGGATCATCATCACACCACGAAAGTAGGTATTCTTATGATTTCAGAACGTTTGTGTTACTCGGAAGAGAGCATGAATATAAATGGATTCCCTTCAAGATGCATCCCTAATAGATTGAAAATGGAAATTTGAGCCTCATGTTGTTATTCAATGATGTTGATCCCAACAGTAGTGATTTTATTTGATTACATTAGTCTTTGTTGCTCAATTTTCACTTTAGTAGTTTACCTGCTTATTTTACTTTTAGTTCATTTTAGATTTAAAAGATTCACCCATTTAATTTTCTAGAAAATACATCTTGGATTCAAAGCTAATATTCAGTCTCTCTATCCCTGAGGACGATATCTTATTATACTACTTGCATGATCCATACACTTGAGGAATTCCTACTAAGTTTTTGGCATCGTTGTCGGGGATAAATGCTTCGGTGTTGATATTAGTGATTAGATTCATAGTGTTGATCTAGATACTTTGCTTTTATTTTTATACTTTTACTCATAGCTATTGTTACATATTCTGTTTTTCTTATGCATCTACTAATATTGTATGCCCAAATCTAGAAGCTTGTATTTGCTCCCTTTACTTCCTAAGATTGAGAGGACTGTAAGGCCCTTAAGGAGAACAAGTCCAAGATATCAATGAAGCTTCTCCAAGAAGAAGAGTTCAGTTGATCCCCAAATTGAAATTCTGAAGGAAAATATTGAGCAACAGGTGTCTGTAGAGGATTTTTTTTTTTTTTTTTTTTTTAATTCTATCTAATCAATTTTTTAAAAAATGTTTAACTTTTTCACATATAGTACTCTTTAGCTTTTATTTTTTTCCGAAAAAGAGAAAAAATGTTTTGTTTATATATATAGTAAATTTTTTAAAGGGAAAATCTCTCTTTTGGACTATCTCTTCTTCTCTCTCCATATATGTACATGAACGCGCTAATCTGTGCTCTCTCTATCTCTTTTTTCTTGTTGGTGTTCTGTGTCTGGGGACCCAACTGATTAAGATTTGGAAAAAAGAAGGGACACAAGAAACCACCCATATCTTTAAATTTTCTCCTACCCCATACATTTGCATGTTCTGCAAACAGAAAGTCTTTGACCTCTTGCAGTTAATGCTCGTACTACAAATACCACCATTATCACTTACGATCCTCAGTCGACAAGCTACAAAGTTTTTTCCTGCAACCTTGAACTCTATTTAGCATAGCTTGATATCCCCATCTTTCTTAATATGTCAATCACATATTTTTTTCTTGTTTTACTTTTGTGTCTTCATCTACAATCTTCATGTAATGCCAGAAGACTTGCTGCTACTGATGAGAACCTTAACAAGAAATTTCACATGTTAAATCAGGTTTGTGCAACTATATTCATACAGTTTTATATATCTGATTCAGAAACTTATTTAATCTTGCTCATACTGCTGTTATTATGTCAGCATATTAATGGTGAGAAGATGTCAGTTGCACCAAAGGTGGAGTTTTCCTCATCAAATCTCAAAGCTGCAGAAGCGTCAAAAGAAGGTAGCATTTCAGAGACTCATGATCGCCAGTTGGATGATAATATCGATCGTGAGAAGTTGATGAAGTCCAAAAAGGAGCTCAAAATGGCAGAAAAGAATGCAAGAAAATCAGGTGCTGTTGAAAAGGAGTCTGTTGTTTCAGTTCCATGGCGTTTGCCTCGTAGTAAACGCGAAGAGAATAAACAGCCTGGTTTCAACTTGGACTACTCACCACCGAAGACACACCCACCTTCACACAACTGAACCATATAGATAATTATTTTACAACACCAATTTTGCTATTTTGTATCAATACTGTCTCTCTATCCTTGATGGGTGTTCTTAATTAGTTATATATCATATGGAAAGTTTTCATCAAATATAGATCAATGAAGAACTTAAGGGATTCAGTGATAACCCTAGGGTTCTAATGCTCAATGTCAGCATATAAATATATGAAGTTATTATATATGGCAATATATATATAAGATCATATAACTGATACAGTAATGTGTTTAACCTACCACAAAGCTCTGATTAATGTGCATCAACTTGTTAAACATTTACTTGGTTTATTAACTATAGATCACAGAATTACGATCGTAATAGTCATCATTTCTTCTTCTTCTTCTTCTTCTTCTTCTTATGTTTGTTTGAAGTGATGGCCAGATACTGGTTATATTACTCGCAGTTAAATACAAGTTCCTTTTGCAAGGAATTGTCAATTGGTATGAAATAAGAAGGGTTAATTTTGCCAGTTCGCCCTCAGTTTAGTAATGGTTTCATTTTTAATTTATAATAAAAGAATATTTGCATTTTAATTTATGCAACATTAAAATGACTCTTACATATTAAATCGCAAAAGAATGTTAATACGAACGATAAATTTTAAATAAAAAATATATACTCGATCATGTTTAAATTTAATTAAAAAAAATTTGATTAATTGATTTACACTATAAGATTAATTGATTGAAGACTTTTTGGTGATGGTTAATCTAAAATCTTCTCAAAATTATTTTACTGTTACATCGTTGAAGTTTGAATTTTTTTTTTTTTAATTATAATCGATACAATAAAATACATTAATGTTAAATTAAGGGGACAATGGATGAAATTATCCCAAAGTAAAGAAAATATACTCTAGTAACATCACAGTGTATACAAGTCTCCTGAAAATAGATGATAAGACAGGTTAGGGATTGAGATCTAATAAGGGACATTAGATGCATCAATTCCTAGAATGTGTCTCCAGAGAAGACATTAACTAAGTACTTGGAAATCCGCATTGCTGATGTTGCTGTTACAAAGACAAACATCCCATTTTCGAACCTTAACGGAGCTCACACCTCACAATTCCGTGAATGTACGTAACGTTTTCCTATGAAATTCCAACTGGTTCCCAGTTTCCGCTAGACACGTTCCTCTGGACTCTACTTCACTCTGCCAAACTTTTATTTATTTATTTATTATTATTATTTTTTTAACAACACGTTGCCAAACTTAATCAATAATAGAGAAATAGCCTTTTGTTTTGAAATATATATTAAATTTACTGTGAATTGATTTCAAGAAGAAGTTAAGTACTGTCCCGTACTAATTTTATTATTGCTTGGATTGTCTTTTATGATTTAGTTTAATGAAATCTTTTATTTCTTTTGAACAAAAATAAAAAGTTTACAATCACTGAGAAGTGGTTAGTCTTTAAACCTCATATATTGTCAAAGGTATATGTGAATTATAATATATTAATATAACCGATGATTTTGTCAAGAAATTTCTCTCTATAATTTTTCATAGTAAACAAAAAAAAATTAATATTTTCTAATGTATAATATTGAATGTTAAAAAGCAACGTGTAAACTAGTAATTTTAATATTGTAATAAAATAATTTTTTAAATAACATTGTTATAGAATAAAAAAAATTCTACTGACATTTTTCCGTAAAAACCTATATGATAAAATAAAAAAAGACTTCCAAAAAAATTTGTTTTATTCAGAAGAAATGGAAAAACATAAACTTTTTTTTTTCTTGGTTTAATAATCACATCTATTCTTAATTATTGAAATAAGTTAAATCACGGGAGTTTGGGATGGTGTCTTTTCTCAAAAATACCCCCGCACAACAGCAAAATACTCTTCAGCGAAGACTATCCCTCGAGATTAGGGAGGGAAAGTTTTTCCTATTTAAATTTAAAATTGGAACTTTAAAATCCTTTCCCCCTTAAAACCAGTCCCAGTTCGGAAGTTCCTATTTCATAGGATTTGCCACAAGAACTTTTCAATTTTTGGAGAAAAAAAGAAGAAATGGCCGTGAATGAAGTTGGTTCCTCGCTGGATTCTCTGATATCTTCTTTTAACTCTCGAATTGTTGATCTTCAAGAACTCGTTATTGGTCGAAATAGTGAGTCAATTCGAATTCGATTATTTTGCTTTCTTCGTATTTGTATTTGTATCTACTTTGTTCTTACTTAGATCGAATTTGAGTTAGAAGCTCCAACTCAGCTTACGTGATCTACCATCTGCACAGTGTACGCAGCGAGCAGCATCACTGATTTGTCGGCGGTGGACGCTGCATTGAAGGCGATGGAGCTGCAGATACAAGCTATCAAGGACCGCTTGCGTGAAGAGACTGAGGCTATTCCAAAAGCTAAGGTAATTTGTTTGTTTTCCCTATATCTGGGCGTCAATTAGAGTTTATTCGTAGCTGACGAGTTGGGGCAGTTTTAAAATGGATTCAAGGCTTCAACATTTGGGACATCATAAATTCATATTCTGGGAATTGAATGTTGAATCGAACTGTCTAATGTGGCTTTCAGAGTTTAGATTGATTAAGATAATTCGTGTTCAAAATTATTCAATAATGAGATTGTGAACAGAAAAATGTATAAATTTAAGGTTTGGATTTCTTTTTTGAACAGAATAAAATTCCTGGTTAATTAATCTTAAACAATGCAGTGGAATTACTTAGTAGATTTTTTTTTTTGTCGTTATGTTCATTTGTTAGTCTAAAAATTCAAACAGAGAGAGAGGGGGGGTTGGGGGGGAAGTTAAGGCTTTTTGCGGTTTGATTTCTGCCTCCTGCTCTCAATCTTGTCCCAAGTTTCTTCTGATAAGAATCTATCTCTTTAACTTATTAAAGCTCGCTACGTTGTAAGCCGTAAAAATTTACGTAATTGATTAATCTTTCTGCAAAGAAGACACTCTTGCGCCTCCTGAGTTTGGGTCTAAGGAATCAGTCAAGTATATTTAGTCTACTTGTCCAATTTCGAATTCGATTATTTGTGCTGTATGTTAAGCTTTTGTTTCCCGAGTAAATAATATGGTATGTTTTGGTGTAACTCACTTTAGTCTCTATTCTTACTTTATATGAACATCGAAGTGAATTTTTTCGTAGTTATAGCTAGGGAACAATGGCAATCATCAGAAGACTGACAAGCAGAATTACATATGTAACCCAATCGTATTGCGCAAGGTGAACTCACTTTACTCGCAGCACTACCGTTAGCGACCTCTATGTAGTATGTTGAAACGAACAGCGTGAAGAAGCGCGATAGAACCTTGCTGATCTTGAGATTCATGAAGGATCGCGTGGCTCGCGTGGATGCTGACACTGACCGAGCTTCTCTCGGATAGGCGGTTATTTGCGCGATGCTTGGTCTATCAAATAGGGGTAGAAATACCTTATACAGCCGCTGGGTCTTATCAAAAAGTGAATTCCGCTTTAGTGACCACCGGTCCGGAAGTTAAGGAATAGTGTCTGAGTGTTCTGGTTCCCCTCTCCAGAAAAAAGACTTATAATACTTTACGTTGTATGTTTTAAATTTATTTTATGGTTTTATGTATAATTTTTTGGAGCCCACCTGTATTATATTCCACTGGGTGTTTTATGGGGCGGTCAGAAAAGTTATAAGAGAGGTATATTTTTTGTTCGTGAAGGCAATTTGAGAGAACGCTTTGTGAATAGGTTGGGTTATGGTGTGGTGACTAGATATAAAAGTATTAAGGGGTTAAATTTTCAGGGAGCTCTCTATACTATTTATCTTTATGGGGGACATTGCATAAAATTTATGACAAAATGTTTTTGTGGGGGAAAGGATTATTATAAACTTAGATTATTGATAGATACGAAGGAACATTTTGTTACATTTGAATGTGGCTTTCAGGAGGTATAATTAAGATATTGTGATTAGTGACATTTGAATCTCTAAAGCCATTTCATTGTGGTGAAAAAGATAAAAAGATAATCCAAATAAACATCGCCTATTAGGAGTTGTCTTTATGTGAACAGAATAAATGTTATTTAAAAATAATTAAGGGTTTTGATTTCTCTTTATGATTTGAACCACGAATTAAAAAATTTCCTCGAATATGTTTAATTTAATCTTAGAACAATGCAGTGGAATTACTTAGTAGAATTTTTTTGTCGTTTATGTTCATTTGTTAGTCTTAAAAATTCAAAAACAGAGAAGAGAGAGGGGGCGATATAATAACAGGGATGCGGGTTTGGGGTGGCCATGAGATGGAAGAAATGTCGAAAAGTTAGGCATCAACTTTACTTTATGGCTCTTTAGGGCTATGTTGAAAAGGCTGAACGAAGTAAACTCCTTTGTTTCCTTCTTTGATCTGTTAAAACAACAGGCTCAATTACTTCTTTCTTCACAGTTTGGTTAATGGGGGGGGGGGAGAGAGGAGAAATGGAAAAGTTAGGCAAATTACTTATGCTTAGGGCATGTTGAAGCTGAAGAAGTAAACTCCTTTGTTTCCTTCTTTGATTGTAAAGCAATTACTCTTTCTTCAAGTTGGTTAATTCCCATTCCGTTGTTGGTTAATTGTGTCTAAGCTGAGTTTAATGTTCTGATTGCAGAAACTCATTGCTGCATCGCTGCAGCAGCAGAAGAAATTGCAGAATATGTCTATTCATGTTCCCTTACATTTGCCAGAAAGAATGACCTTATTGAATATGGATACAAATCGAAGGTAATAATATTCCCGCATATTATATGAACACCTTTTTTCCCTTTCAAAAAAGAAAATTAAGCTTGTAATTCAACAGTTAGACTCTACTTTTGTGTAACAGTGCACAGCCTGAAGTCCCTAATCAACAACTTGGATTTGGTTCTTTGAAAAGCGAAGAGGAGTCTGCAGCATTATCCAAGGTATGTGCAATATGATGGCAAAGAAGCAACAGTGCCCAAGAGTTGTGATGGCAGAGTTTTGTCAAAAATTCTCATCTTTTAACTCAATTTAGACTGAGACAATTGATATTCGTATTTCAATTTACAAACTAGTGATTCACTTTGTAATTGTTTTCTTTGGATCAATGCATGCATATGTTTATGTACCTTGAAACACCAAGATAAAGAGCTAACATAAAACAACGAAGAAAAAAGTGCAAATGCTTGCTTATTGCGCAAATGTTTTATCTTACTTCTCTAAAATCTCATATTGCAGATGAACTATGAGCCTGTTCTGAAATTATTTTAATCACTTCTCTTATTTTTGTTAATTCTAGGAGAAAAAGGGTCGAGCATCTCCACCATTGTGGTATATAAATGTTGAAGAGCTGGATTCTCTGTCTTCGTGAGTTCATCCCAATTCCTTTCAATTATATAATTTTTATCCTCAGATGTGTTAGAATTGTAGCTATTTACCAGCTAGTCATTCACATCTCATGATTTGTCAATCAGAACAACTGCACATGAATTTTTTTTTTTTTTTTTTTTTTTAGGTTGAAATCAGTTTATAGACCATTGTCTCTCTTTAGGTATAATGCTAATTAATACTGTTTGAATACGTGTATATGATTGAGTTTAGGACAGAGACCTTTCTTCTAATGGATAACCTTATATACTTCTGCCCATATTTAAGTATTCTTCATGGACAGAAATAAGATTGCTATAAATTTTTACCACTATGATGATTTCATGACACAAAGACACTTAACTCTTTGGGATTGAGTGCGGAATGGGGAACTGGCTTCACAAGAAATACCACATTAAACTCTTTTTCAACTTCCACTGAACGTAGATACATGAGAGGAAGGCTCACGCTGGATAAGGTTAATGCTGCTATTAATGACATGGCAGCATATGCTGAAGCAAATGCTCAGCTCATTAGAGCCCCAAAGAAGAAGGTACTGCCAAATTTTGATGTGACTTCAATTCTTGGATTCTTATTCTTGCACCTATTGCTGACTTCCAAAATTTTCTTCATGAAGCTGGCAGAAAATCATTGGGAAAAGGCCTTGGTAAGTGAAATTAACTATGTAACACAACCTGTGATTTCTTCAAGCACTTTGTTCCTTTAAAAGGTAGGATGCTTCTCTAGAATTGCACGCTTCCCTGAGTTGCCACTAAATGAGGAGCTGATATGGATTGATATATTCCAGAAAACAACTAGATGTGGAAGCATGTTTCCATTTCTAACAGTTGGCATACAAATATGTTAGTGTTAATGTTATGTTCATACAGAAACTAGTTGTTGATTTTCAATGTTTTTGTGAAACGTGCAGGAACTAAGAGATATTGCAATGACAGAAACAATAAAGGGAAAACACTTTTTTCTTGAAAGTGACATAAAAGGGCCAACATTGAAGCTTGACAACACAGGAAAAGCTATACTGACTGTAAGTCTTCTTTCTATTCTTCTTTTTTAGTCCTTTATTATGTGGTAAAATTTCTACCCTGTTTGTATCTATTAAATTCAGTCACTAGTAGCATTCTTGGAACTGCCAAGCTAAGGCTGCTATTTGGTGCTTAGAAGAATTGAGCTTATTATAAGTTGGTATGGACTTGTACAAAATCAGCTTGTATTAGGGGGAAAATGGTCCAAAAACTAGAAAATTCTACGAAACTTATGCTGCTGCTATTACGAGAGCACAAAAAGATAATAGCTTTCGTGCCGAGTCATATGTGAATGAATGCCACCTACTCATCCATCCGCAATTTGATGCTTTCCAGGTGCTTCGTCATCTTGGTCGCATCAGTGAGACTCGTACTGGGCATCATCGAGTGATCATTCTTTTGAAGCCACAATAAATCTTAATTTCAAGGAGAGCAAGTGAATGGCAATAGCCTATCTGCATAAGAGGGGTATCTGTTATATATCTTGTTTAATAGTCCAAAATCTTATTTTAGTCTTGTAACGGATGAATTTCCTGTGGATTGACTGCGGACAATTTATCTAAACTAGTGAAATTAAATGAAGACTATAGACTGCATTTTCTAATAAACTTCTAACTGAATACCAGGAAAAAAGGAAAATAAAAAATAAAAAACAGAGAACTTGTAGTTTTGCAAATTGCACTGATTTCAGTTCTAGTTTATCGATTACTTGTGTATTTGTTTCGTAACTTTAATATGGGTCATCATTCTTATCCTAGTAAATAATGCGAACAATAATTTAAAAGTGAACCCAGGGCCAACCAGCTACCTGTATATTTGATGGCTTGGAAAAAAATTTAAAAATACAAAGCTTTTTCAACGATTCCATCATCACTTTGTTTCGGCCATTTTGTAAAACAAATGGCAGTTCAGATTTTATCCCATCCAAAATGATGACAAATACCCATATGCAGTGGATCAATAAAAAAATAAAAAGAAGTCAAAAAAATGGACTGAAGGAATGGAAGAAAGGGAACAAACTATGACAAGTGAAAAAACTAATAACAGGTTAGGATGTCTTATCGTTATACGGTGTGCAGAAAACTCCAAGATATGAAAATGGCATATTGCTGTATCGCCAGCTATGGAGGTTTTGATCCGATCCAATGTGCTCACATGACATGGGTCCTCTTATTATTTCTAATACTAAAAATCCTAAACAAGCAAAAACCTCCATCTATAAAAGCATTAAACCTATTTCACTGCAAAGCACCAACTAAAACATTCCATCTTTTAAATATCCCAAAATGGGTTCTAAGGCAATTGCAAGCACCGCTCTTCTTCTTTCACTTAACCTTCTCTTCTTCACTTTGGTTAGCTCAACCCATCATTATGTCCCATGTCCTCCAACCCCAAAGCCTCCAAAACCGCATCCAAAACCACCAGCAGTTTTGCCCTCTTGCCCAATTGATACCCTAAAGTTAGGTGTATGTGCTAACTTATTAAACGATTTGGTGCACCTTGTTCTGGGAACCCCACCAAAGACACCATGCTGTCCTCTCCTTCAAGGCCTTGCTGACCTTGAAGCTGCCGTTTGCCTTTGCACTGCTCTTAAGGCTAGCGTTTTGGGCCTTAATCTTAACGTTCCTATCTCCTTAAGCTTGCTTTTGAATTACTGTGGACAAGGTGTTCCTGCTGGATTCCAGTGTGCTTAACTAGCATGGGAAAATTAATATTTCTAGTTTCTTTTTTTGGTTTCAGGGCTTGTTGGGATTCGTTTTTCATATAGATGAGGTGAAATGTCTCTGTCACCATGCATCTAGCTAATGGGAAAGAAACAATATATGTTCACCATTATTCAATAATGCTTTGATGGGATCCTTATTTTTGTTTCTCTCTCTAAGTTTAAATGAAACAGATATTTTCTTCTTATTATTTTTTTTTAACAAGAGATAGATGTTATCTTCTATACTCAGAGAAGAGAGACTGTGGGAAGCAGAGAAATCTTTTCTAAATTCTGACCAATTACTCGCAATCATAAATCTAAAATATACTAATACTAACACTATGATCTTCCTAAATAAATAATTACATACAGACATGATTAAGCACAATATTTAGATGAGAAGCAAAGAAATCAGATGAGAAACAACAATAACACAAATTATAGAAAACACTGTCCAGCTTGAGCACCAAGAGATCCAATGGAGGAAAACAGATAAATCATTGGGTAAGTGGAGCCAAGTGATGGAAGCATATTCTCACTCGTCTGGTCGTGTCCCATTTATTATTATTCCAATCTTCTCTTAATTTACTCCAAATTGTATAAAAATAATAATAAATTATTCTACCACTGTCGCTTCCTCACTCCTGTTCATAATCTATAAATTTGTAAAATAAAATCAAAGTTCACAGGTTCTTTGTTGCTATATATATATATATATATATATATATATATAATATATATAACAGCACATTTTTTACAAATAATTTAATAAATAAAGACCATTCTACTTGGATATTTATTAAAATTTAATAAATATAATTGGGGCTGAAAATAAGCAAAAAGGCTGAAAATTTGGGCTGTCAAAATTTCATATGGCCCTTAAAATTGGGCCGTGAATGGCCTAAAATCTGCGCCTAAAATTTCATACTGAGCCCAAATTGGATAAGTTGGGCCTGAATATGGCCCAGAAATTTATAGGCCCGGAAATAGATTAAAATTGGGCCCGAATGTAGGCCGGACAATTGGATATATATATATATATATATATATATACAGCACATTTTTTACAATAATTTAAAATAAAGACCATCTACTTGGATATTATTAAATTTAATAAATATAAATTGGGCTGAAATAAGCAAAAAGGCTGAAAATTTGGGCTTCAAATTTCCATAATGGCCCTTAAAATTGGGCCTGAATGGCCTAAAATCTGCGCCTAAAATTTTCATACTGAGCCCAAATTGGATAAAGTTGGGCCTGAATATGGCCCAGAAATTTATAGGCCCGAAATAGATTAAAATTGGGCCCGAATGTAGGCCGACAATTGGACGTGAATTTTTACAATGGGCCCAAACTGAATAACATTTCGGCCTCAATATGGGCCAATATTGGGCCTAAAATTTACACAGTAGGCCCAAATCGAGTTGCAGTTGAGCCTGAATTTGGGCCAGTAATTTACAGTAGGCCCAAACCAGATTAAATTGGGCCTGGATTTGAGCCAGAATTTATAGTGGGCCCAAGTTGTATAAAATTGGGCCTAGTTTGGGCCGAAATTTGTGCCAGAGATTCGACAGCAGGCCCAAATTGGATTAAAATTGGGCCAGAAATTTGTACAGTGGGCTCAGAATCGGGCCTCAATTGAGCCTACAATTCGGAGAGTGCGCCCACGGTGGGCCTGAATTGAGCTCGAAAATCAATTTTCATAAAAGGGATAAATTGGGCTAAAAATTAGGCTTTTAATTTTCATAATGGACCCAAATTGAGTTAAAATTAGGCGAAAACTGAAACTAAATTTGTGGTGAGATTGCACAAGTTTTCTTGTTGCTTGAAATTATATATATATAGCAAGTATATAAGACACGTCATAATTGACAATTAAAGAATTAAGCTCAAATAACCTGCGAATTTAAAATCAGTATATTAGTTATAACAGGCTTAATATCTAGTACAGAACTAAAGCAGGAAGATAAATTACCCAACCTATTGATAAATTACAACAATATCCATGTAGGAATAACAGATTGCATCAAATAAATGCAATTTAATTGACATAAAATTAACGAAATTGAGATCAGCTATGCGCACTGGAAGCCTTGAGGAACCTTTTTCTCACAAGCACTGAGCAATAAACTAATAGCCACAGGTAATTGAAGTTTAACAATTCCTAAAACATTGCTCTTTATCGCCGTACACAAACACAATGCAGCTTCAAGATCCGCAACCCCTTTAATTAAACTACAACATTCCTTGCTTGGTTTAGTCCCAACCACCTCATGAACCAACCCTAACCAGCTTCCACAAACCCCAAACTTTAGGGTGTCCTGAGGACATTTGGCTGCCTTGTTTGGGACAGAGGGAGGCAGGATGGAGGGAACTTTTGGAGGACAAGCTGGTACATTATGACATGAAACACTACTAATAATTATGAGATGAACAAGAATTAAAAGAGATGTTGCCTTGAAAGCCATTTTCTTTTCAAGTAATTTGATAGTAGCTACTAGCTGGTGTATTTTGTGGCCAATATTGGAGATGTTTATGGCATAGCTAAAGCAGCCAAATTGTTGTGTGAGCGTTATCTGTTAGATTGAAACTATAGGCTAAGAGAAACATTTTCAAGATATGTATAGGCCCAGCCGCAGTATAGCCCAAACTCCTCTCATTTTGCTTTATTTCTGTCTTCCACTTAAGTACAAGTTTTATTAGATAAAAGTTTTCTTATCGAGCATCTAGTTATTTCCGTTTCTTTTGCATTTGACCAAGTCTAGCAGTGGGGTTGGAGTTTGGAGTGGAAGTTAAGTTTCCCATAACATCAAAAAGCTTACCCAGCACGTACCCGAAAAAGGTTTGGATTTGACCCAATTAATCCCTGGGATTAATCTCCTAAAACATGAAACCCCTTATTACAGAGTGCACAATAATTAGTTGATGAGCAGGAGGAAGGCAGGTTCGGCTTTTGTAGCTGGGACATTCTTTGGAGTATTCACGAGCAGCAGAGCACAGCGTTCCCAACACCATGGGCTGCGCCAAGAGTGGCCGCTTTGTCCTCGCGAATCACACATCAATCCAACCTCAGTTACAGCAGCACAACAGACGGTTAATGCACCCATCCTCCGTAACTAGTTGCACACATGACACATTCATAGCGCGTTTTTGCAGTTTTGGAAAAAAGTTTGGTTTATCTCTTTTGATGTCTGTTAAAGTGTGTTATGGGATTTTTACGAGAAAAGTTCATCCATTTGTTCATTTGATCTGATTTCCTGGTGAAGAATAAGAACGACACTATTTGGAACAAAATCAAGCTCGAGATATCAGACTGATTCGTGACAAAAAAACAAAAACAAAGACTAAGATATACCCAAACTTCAGATAAAAAGTCTTGTTCAAACATCTAAAATATCAATTATTGCAAGTGCCAATAATACATCAGACTAATTTTACAAACTACGTGAGGTCCTTAAAACGTGTTAAAGAACTATGTGGAGGCTTGACAATTGCAGCCGGTAAACCAATATGACAAGTATTACCTGGTTGGTTTCTATGAACTTCTCACAACATAGCCAATGAAGATGCCTAATAGTCCAACCAGAAACACAAAAAATAAAGAGAAGCCACCGGCACGATTTTTGCTAATTTGCTTTCTCATCAGTTCCTGTTGCAACGAAAAAGCCCATGATGGTAAGGATTAGTAATTGTAACTACAACCTTAAAGAACTACAAGATTTCATTGATCAGCATGACAAAACATACACATTGATAGATGGTAGGAGAAGCCCTATATCAAAAGGAAAAAATCTTTCCACTTCTACTCCTTTCAAAAGGGCAACCTATTTGACAACCCCAGCCGAGAAAAAGGGCAACCTATTTGTGGAAAACCACAACTTCTAAAGCAAATATATATCCAAAATACTAAAATCATTTCATACCAGTTCTTGTTGTAGCTGTTGATTCTGCTGCAGAGCAGAAGTTTTCTCCTCAGTCAACTTAGAAATTGTAGACCATGCCTGTGAAATCCATCATAAAAATTGCTATGTAAAATTGGAGAAAGATACAAAAGCAACACATAAGGATAAGCAAACATTTGATTGTCATAAGGATATGAAAATCAAAATATGTCTGACTTTCAAGGTGATTCTATATTTTATGCAGCAATTTCAAGAACCTATGAAGCACTATACAATTAAGCAATATAATGAAAATACTACTAACAACATGAAAAGAAGATGAAAAGCACGTAGGAAGTATTTAATACTATCATCCATTACTGCAAAAAACAAAACCCTCCAAATTTCACAAGGCACAAGTTAAAGGAAAAATCTCGCGGTATTACTAGAGATCTGTCTAGTGTTCAAGGTGTGAAACCTTCAAATTTTCACACTCTCTTTGAAAAGGCATATCAAGTACTAACTCATAAATACTGAAATCACTGAAAAAATTGACTCACTCAGAAATATTGAAATGAAAGACACAAAAACCAAGTGAACAAATTTTATGAAAAAGAGCGAAAGAGAATTCACCTCAGCAGATTTCTCTTTGGGCTCCTCTAAAGATCTTGATATCTGAAAATTGTCACATGACGTTAAAAATGGCTATACTATATGCCAAACCTCATGTACTAGTCTTTACACAACGCACAAACAGAAACTAGAAGAAAATACTTACAGCTTCAAGCAAAGAAGAATCTTTACTTCCATTCTCAAGAACAGATGCCCTCGGAGATGATCCTTCTTCAGATTCTTCTGGGACAGGTGAGGGAGGATTGGCAGGGATGTATATAACACGCAACTTGAACTCCTCCACAACCTTACCATCTTCCTTATTAAACTGCAATACCAATTAACACCGATTTAAGTCCAAAAGGAAAACAAAAAACTGAGTCTTCAAAAGTCAAGAAAGGGAGAATGAATGGAGAAAATGAGAGCAGGGAAGAAGCTATCTCACCATATCCGGAGTTATATCTTTTGTAGTTGCACCATCAAATGCAGCAACACTCTGAAGAAGGAATTTGTCCTTGCATTGCATATCAAGGGGCGCCTCCTTTTGAGCTTGCATTGTAACTACCAGGATCCATTCCAAAATAAATTTATAAATTTATCAAAATATGAACACAAACTAGTAGGAAAATTAAAAACATTTGAATCTGAAAAAAAATAAAAATAAAAAAAAAAAAAAATAAAATAAAACTCTTTGCTTTAAGAAATTTAGGAAATTTACCATAAAATTACAAGCAGGAATTATATCGTAAGTGAGTTAACACCAGCGAAGGAGGTGAGATGTGACAGAACTGTCGCCAACTAGTTTTTCACCCACTAAGAGGAAACGATAGAAATAGATAGATAGATAGATAGATAGATAGATAGATAGGTAGATAACTGCAGAGGAAGTCTGTTCCTCTCGTATCAAACACTCTTACATAAACACGCTCAATACTAACAACCTCCACTTTCATGAAACACCTACTATTTCAATTTATTATCCCAACAGGAAGCTTTTACTATTGATGATTATTGAAGTTTACCTGTAACATTGCAAGTGCTCCTGGGCAAAATGACGCCAGCGTTGGGACGAACACAGTATTTCTTGGGATTGGTCGTTTTAACCTACTCAGTTCCAATGTTCAATAAGTTGAACTTGTTACTGTTAGCCAATAGCAATTACAATGTTGATTAGGAAAGAAAAAAGAGAAAAGAGAACCAACCTTAAAAGCCACATATTTATCTGTCTTGTTAGTCAATTGCAAAGAACAGGAGCTCTGCTTCTTCAATTCAACTTCATCATATGTTAAATAATCAGCAACCGAATAGCCCCGACAAAAAAGGAAAAGTAAAATACAGTTTTGATCTAAAACATTGCATTCAATAAAACATTTTCAACTTTCAGTTTCCATTTCATTTACTTTCCTTGAGTTACCTAACACAATTATATCACTCATTCACTTTATTCCCCAACTAAATCAAACCAAATATCAAATGTTTTTCTACTACATTTATTTCCTTCTCCAGATTTTCTCCCAAACCAAACAGGAAAAGAAGAGAAATTGGCGCAACTTACATGGGAATTTGAGTTCCGAGGGTTGAATGCTGAGAAGATCTCCGGTACTCATGTCTTTGGAATCAGAAAACCAAACCAGTTTAACTAATGAAATATCACTTGATATAAAATCTAGGGTTTATGGTAGTGGAAGAAGAAATTGCGAGCCTTGAGTGTAATCAGTGATCTATCAATCGAGAGTGAAAACTGGAGTAGAAGAAGAAAACTGAAAACTCTTGTCTGTTTTAAAATTTGGTAAAGGGTAGAAAATAAAGATAGATCATAGGGATAGGAGTGACAAATTCGCACCGCTCGACTTGCACAAAGTGGGCCCTCCAGATTCAACTTAGCGAAGGCATTTAATTTCATTGGGCTGTGATATCATGAACGTCACCACCCGTGAGACTACGATTTACCCTTAATTTCTCCGTTTGTTGGGTGGACGCGTTTAAGTTCTAATAATTGTCGGCTAATAATACTTCACTGCTATTTTTTAAACCGCAGAATCTAGTATGTTCCAGTCAGTCCAATGACGTAAATGCCCTTGGAACTGGCAATTTTAACGGGAAGACATACGTTCGCATTGGTAGGCTAGTAGCAGGGTACAAAGGGAAACTTAAGAGACTGGTAGACGCGTTCTAATTGCTTGTTTTTTTTTAATTGAAAGTGAATGATCGTTTTAGTGGTTGAATCACTGTCGTCGAACGACAAGTCATCTGCAAAACGGTTGAATCAGTCTACTATTTTGAAGTTATAAACTGCATGTAACTTGATTATATTACCTGCTTTTGTAGTAACATTATAAAATGCAACTCTACTGTAAAACTGTCCCAACACCACCAATCCTATCCTACCATCATCAAAGTTCCATCTACTCTGAACTATTATGTAAAGTGAGAACTTGCAGCACTTAAATATATATGATAAAACGACGTTGCATTTAATTTTACCCTTAACTACTCAATAGCATAATTCACCAACAAAACCACCTTCAACTAGCCCAACTTCACATGGTCGTTCACTGTGGCATAAAAAGATCACAGGTCTTTTGAGAGAATCTTGTCGTATGATTCTCACTGATTTGACCCATTTGGCATCTAGACGCTAACCTATCTTCCGTCTGTCTCTTGAACCTTCTTCTGTTCAAGTAGCCAACGGCATAATAATGTCTGTGTTCTCAGAAAGCTTGAATTCTTTGAAAAAACTCATCATCTTTCTCCACAGCACTATATTTCCCCCTTTTCTGTGAAGAACTTGAGCTGCCTTTCTCTTGCAGGGGCTTTCTTGGCGAGAATTTTGATTATGAAATTTAAGGGAACCGACTAACTAAAAACTCAAGAACTTTAAAACGGGTATTTCTCTGGGCGAGACGATGAGTCCATTGTTAAAGCCCAAGTTACTGTCAGAGGCTCTGAAAAATAAGAAGACAAGGGTGGGCTATACATGTAAGAGCTCCAAGTTCAGTTCACCACTTGCATGTGGCGTATAAATATGTGATTATGTAAGTTTATTGTCACATGCAGGGTCAGATAAATTGGGAAGGGGAAACTGACAACCCCTGAGGAACAACACAAAAGATTCAAGTTGGCTGGTTGATAATCTAAGAATAACATTCAATTTTCAGACAGTTTTATAAATCCTGAAGGAAAATGTGAAAATGGAAAAAGAATTAAAAAAAAAAAAAAAAGTGGAATTGGACCTCAACCCAACATAACACTCCATGCCGAAAGAAAGTCCAAGACCAAATTAATAAGCCCAACTGCCCAAGCATACCCTTCGGCAGAAGCTTGAAGGCGCGTGACACAAACGTACCTGGAAGTTGGCTGAAGAATAGTGGTTTTTTTTTCACTCACACAACACAATTAACATAATGTTCATAGGCCAATTGGATGGCCGAATGTAAAATTCATTGATCGATGAAATGTAAAATTTGTAAATTTCATATTTCTTCGTTTGGTTAAAAAAATAAACTCATAAATTTGAAGAATATTTTTGAAATAAAATGAAATAATATAAATTTATAATTAAAAGAAATAAAATTAAGAATTTCACGTCAAACATGAAACTGAAACCTCAATGAAATTTATTAATTTATAATAGTTTATTTTATCTCAACTAAACAAAAAAATACGTTTCAATCCTCGTTTAAATTTCATTATTCAAATTCTTTTTCCTCAATCAATCAAATATATCTTATTCGGAATCTCACCATATAATAACTCCAATTTCTAACGAAGTAAAATCTTTTCAATATGTCTACTTTCAACTCAATATTTAAAAAAATCACTCATGTAGAAAGATATTCATAAATCTCTAAGTGAGATTATTGGATATCCAAATTATATATATGTAAGACACTAGAAGTAGTCAAAGGAGACAACAACCAAGTTGAGGTAGAAGTTATACATCAATACCCTACATATTGATTTCCTGTCAGAAGTTTTCATTTTCATCTTGTTTTTGATGTCCTTGTTAGGACCAAAAAAACCAACAAGTTAGTAATAAAGGTGACTACAAATTCACAAACCCAGAAAAAATGAAAGAGATTGCAGATTTGGACGTGTAGCCAAGAAATGGATATGGATGCACGATTTTCGTATACAAAATAAGCCAATGGTACAGTCACAGTGGTCGTGGTCCCGCGGTATAAAATTAAAAACACAGCTGTGAATAATATATCTGAACTGCAATGGCAAAGTAAAGGAAAGGAAAAGGAGAGAAACTATATATAATATTTGGTTCTTTAAAATTCAGGTACATGGGGTCGATCGGGTACATATTAGCAGCGGGCTTTCTCTTGAATGGTACAAAAATGTATCCGCTCCAGTTGTAGACATAAGTAAAGGCAAATGCATGTCCTGCTTGCAGAAACCCACATCAGCCTTCATCAATTTCCTGCCACTGCATTTTGTCTTTATGTCAGGTGAGTGTGTTAAAAAAATTAAAACTTCCCACAACCCATAAAACAAAACCAGCTCATTTGCATGGTAATTTCCATCAATTAAGGATCAATTCTCGTTTAGTGTTATTTTCTCAGTAGCACTGTAGCAGGAGTAGTGGAGAGAGGAACATTATGCATGGTGATTGGGAAACTAGTCTCTTCGAAAGATCTGGTCTATGGATATGGAGTCTTTAATTTAAGGGTAGTCGTCGGTCCCCAAATCTAAACAAATTAAGTGGTTGTTCTCAAGCTTTTATTGAATGTAACTGTCAAAGTACCTTTTTTCATAAAGTCTTATACTCACAAACATTTGCTTTTCTTTTTTTTTTTTCTCTGAAGCTCCTTTAGCTCATTTTGTCTGGGAAAATCCATTTGCCCCATGCTTTGCTTTTCCATTATAGGATGCTAAATTTAAAACCCCACAAAATATCAAAAAATTATATGCCTGCATATATGAGACAGTCCTGCAGTAATATTATCCTGCTAATTATAAATTTAGTTCTCTCCATCATTATTGGTGGGTAGGTCATAGGTGGGTGGGTAGGTGGGTTTGTGTGAAATTGAATTAATCTCATCCATTCGTTATGTATCTGGTTTGATCTGAGAAAAGCATGTACAGAAATGAACTTGCAACTGGCTGCATTGAATATTAAGATCGATTATATCATTGAACATTGTCTCCCGGATGATAATTACAGATTTGGAATTACACTTTACATGCACGTGCTTTACTCAGGCTATGAAAGTTGCAGATAAATTTATACTTACCTTTTCTTTTCCAGTTGCTTTAACTATTCAGAGTTTTAATTGTTTAACGTGTATGAGCAGACACGGAAGCTGGTCGTCTCAGGTTGAACGAAAATTGACAAGTTGATTCCCAGATAACAAAATTTCAGGAAGATTAGATTTTAAATTTGGGATTATTATTTAATTTTGCAATTAGAAAAATATTAATAATAATTATCTGAAACTCGTAGTATAAGAAATTATAATTAACATAACAAAAGATGTCACAAGTTCCAAATAAAATTGAACTTTTGAATATAAATATAAGAAAGAGCTTGCCTTCTCAAATATAGAGGACATCGGGAGGGGAAACCAATAAATTATCGAATAAATATGCCTACCAATTTTGTCTCTACTGCGACCTAGGGAAGAAGAAAAGAACGAAAAGGAGAAAAGGAAGGCCAACAACTTGAGAGAGGTTGTGTTTGTATTTTTATTGTATATAGGGTTTGCAATCACAGTATCTCATCGCCCACTCATAGTTGACATAGACACCTGCTGCTGCTGTTGCTGTTTCTGCTGCGTGTATATAATCAAATTATTATCATAAATTAATACAATTTACTATATAATTATATCAAAAAATTTTGATGTTCTCCAGCGTTGCAGTACAAACACAAGTGTTAAATTTAGATTTAAATTTAAATTAATTCCAATACGAATATTAATAGACAAATATAAGGAAAAATAAGTGTTAATTTAAAAGAGATAATAGGTGCAGAAAATGGAGATAAGAATGACAATAATTTCTCATCAATCAGGGGAAAGAAAAGGGAAAACAAAACAGGGTCCTCTGGTCACTCTTAGTTACTGTAGGTCTGTAAAAGAAGGCGGAAAAAGAGCCATTGAATAATTTGATTTGCCAGAACCGAACCACTAAAATTGAGACTGCTATGAGAGAGGGAGAGAGAGGGAGAGAGTCGCCTAGACAAAAACGGGAGATCTTCTTTTAGTTTCCCCAAATTACCCTCCTATAAACAGTCACAATACCAAATTTATCCCTACCTCCCTCACCCCTCACTCTCTCTCTCTCTCTCTCTTCTCTCTCTCTCCCCGCCCCCATCCCCGCCGTTGTTACACGCTATTCAGTAAAGCGGAGCCCGATTCGGAGTTTTCTTCCTTCGATTCATCAGACCGGCCGATATTTCGGATATCTGTGGGAATATTGGCCGGCAAGCCGATAAGCTACTCCTTTTTTTTCTCACAATTTCAGTTGTAGCAGTGCAAGCAAGTGTCCGACACCCAACCCCACCATACCCACCTGAGCTAGAAGACGTCCGAGTTGAAGGGGCGGGTTCAAGGACCGAGTCAGGAGTCATCAAACCGTCATCTGAACCTTGTTCAGGCAAAGACAAGAACTTGCAGTCGAAGAGGAAACTAGATAGCCCACCCACACCTTTGTTTCTAATGACATGATCAATCTGCAAGAAGAGAAGCTCAATTAAGAAAATAAGAAAGATCCAGATTAAGGAAAATGAAGAACTGAAATTGGTAAGTGAGACCTTGCAGGAAAGAGAGCAGAACAGATAAGGGTCCTGTAAGCTTCTATCGCAGGTGTTACAGATGTTGCCGGAGCCTCTGAATTGCCTTGTTTGTGGCCTGGGATTTAAGAATACCACTTTTGCACTGTTGGTGGTGTAGGACTGAGGAAAGAGAAGAACAATGAAAGTCGGATTAAAAACATCAGGTTCCAAAAGGACAATTCAAACATACAATTTACAAGGAGAGAAACCGTGTTGGATTTTCTGTCCACTGTAGCCAATTTTCTCGATAAGGTAAAAGAAAGGATCTAAAAACAGTAAATTAGCATATTTAAAATTAAAAAGAAATGAAGTATGAGAAGAGTGCAATGTCATACGTATGTTCCTCAAGCGTGTTCAATTCTCTAATTAATTATTCAATTACCATCCGAAAATTCAATTACTTACTTGAACAAAGGCGCAGTCGAACAATTTCTGAGCATCACCCAGCCTGATAACATCGTGATATACATACCTTCTTATCTGCAACACAAAGCCAGAGAAAAATTCAATATTTCAGTAAAATTGAAACTTTTTCGTTTCTTTTCTTATCAGAAAAACTAATTTAGAGAGAAACTAACCTGTAGAAGCCTGTGAGTGCTGTGAGGAGCTAAGCAATGAGGGCATATACTGGTACAACAGTCCAAGCAAAATATGTTCTTCTCGTTCTTCTTTGCATCTTCATGAATTATACAAGCGTTAAAGAACTTTTCTCTGAGAAGCACTTGAAGCCAGTGAGGTAGTGGATGTGAAGAAACCAGCTGTATACAAGTATGAACATGAATTCAAAAAACCCCATAGCAAAAAAATCTTTAAAATTAAAATAATAATAAAGGGAAAGAAACAAGAAAAAGAAAAAGAGAGAGAGGAATTGACAGAAAGAAGTAAAAATCCCACCATGATTTTGTTTTCGTATTTGAATTTTGATGAGAGAGAAAGGGAGAGTTTGGTCAGGGTTTATAAAGATAGTGGTAGACTAACTATAATTGCACAGAGAGAGAGAGAGGGAAACGGCGCCTGTCAACGATGCTGCTGGTTTGGTATTACTGTTACCAATGAGGAACAGTAGAGAGGGTGGGAAGGTTGGGGTTTGGGGTTTCTCATTAAAGAGTGGAGACTGTATGTGTGTCATGTTTTTAGTGTTTGTACAATAGACTATATGTGATGCTCTACACTGTAAGGGAGCTTGGAAAATGAAAACAAAATAAAGAAAAAAAACAGACAAATTTTTTACATGATAAAAGTAAACTATAAAATATTGCTCAAACTCGAATCAAAATAAACTTTCCTTTTCTATTGCTATTTACTATGAGCCCCATCCCATCCCCCCAAAACCCTAAACCTCTTAAGTCTCTAACTATTTTCTCTCTCCCCTGTGCCAAGTGCTAAACGACAAGACTTGAAACAGCGACTTTTCTCAGTTCTCGGAGGAAAACGGTAGTGGCCTTTCCTCTTCAAAAGTCCCCATTTTTATATAGATTAACAGATGTTATGTATATATACAAATAATTAAATTCAGGACGAGTCCACAGTAAAGAATAAGCCAGAATTCAATTATATTTTGGTGAAAAGTTTAAGTTTTTAGCTTGAGTATAGCATGAAACACAATGAACCTTTCAAGTTCTTCTAAGAGGGTACAATAATTTAAGGTTGCTTCATAAATATGGTAGGATTCTAACGGGATTGTCCAGTACCTGATGTCAAACCCCTACAGTGAAAAGGAACTACGAAATTAGGTATAGAAAATGTCTGTGTCCAGGAAAACCAAGCCAGTTTTCAATTTGGATTTTCTCTTGTACTTTTAACCCATTGCAACAGAAATTTACGTGTTGCATTTAACCCTTACGTTATGATTCAATGACACAGACGGTATACTCTTTTCTCTTGATAATTTGCAACTAAAATTTCATTCTGTGGGATTTTTTTATATATAAATCAGTATAAATATAGTATTTCCATGGGAAAACAAAATAAAAAGAAGTATATATATTGCAAAAGATTTTTTTTTTTTTAAAGAAAAGAAAAACTGAATATTGCAAAAGTTGACAAGCCTTGGAACGAGAAACCAAATGAATAAAGTAGCTAGCCCTAGTGATTAACAATGGAAGAAGCATGGAAAATAAATTATTGTAAGAGCGAGTGATAATTTTGTTTCTTGTTGAAAGAAAAAAAAATTAGGAAAAAGAAAAAGAATATGTAATGCAGCTAAGGGAGTTACAGAACCGTACGAATTAGCAAACAGTAACAGAAGAGCATCTGACGCGCTGAGTGTACGTAGGACAGCTCTGAGCACACACAGTCGTAGTGGGCAGCCCACGTCCACGCACCCATCCATCACCTCCCCAATGGACAACCCCCAGTTGCCCCAGTGTGCCACCAACGTCTTCTTTTCATTACGTGAATTGACTAATGTATGGCTCGGTTTTTTGCCCAATTAGCCTTTTCTTTTCACGTCTTCTCACGCGTCGCAATTCCCTATTCGTGTACTTCTCATTAGCTATTTCATGTATCCATCTAAACTTATTTAAAAAAAAAAAAGGCATATCCACAAAAAAAAAAAAAAAAAAAAAACCACCAGTGCGTAGGGGCAGCCCACGTCCACCGCCACCCATCCATCACCTCCCAATGGACACCCCCAGTTTTGCCCAGTGTGACCACCAACGTCTTCTTTCATACGTGAATTGACTTAATGTATGGCTCGGTTTTTTGCCCCAATTAGCCTTTTCTTTTCCGGTCCTTTCACGCGTCGCCAATTCCCTATTCGTGTACTTCTCATTAAGCTATTTCATGATCCATCTAAGACGTTATTTTAAAAAAAAAAAAAAGGCATATCCACAAAAAAAAAAAAAAACAAAAAACAAATTAGCAAAACTTTTTTTTCCTGTTAGAAAGGCATATCCACAAAAAAAAAAAAAAACAAAAAACAAAATTAGCAAACTTTTTTTCCTGTTAGTAATGGCGAGAAAAGTCGTTTGATTTTTTTTTTTTTTGTCTATGCTCAGAGTTATTGCATTAAAGATTCTCTCACCTCTCACGGTAATGCACTCTCCAAAGCCAAGAGCTCCATCCAATCATTAGTAAGTCCTAAAAGATTTCAGGAAAGGCTTGTTCATATTCACAGTTTGGGCCTTGGGCTTATAGATTAGGAAAGGGAGATACCTTTCTTCGCAAATTTGTTCCACCAAAGACAAAATAAGTATGCGTATTAGATTAATGGAATTCTGTTTCAAGGTTTAGAAGTTTGCTTGTGCCAATTGCAAAATTATACTGACACAGAAATAACTAAAGACAAAGCATAATAACGAGCCAATACCAAATTGATATGTCAGCATCATCTTCCCTGACCTTCATATTTCACTTCTATAAATTTACCAATGAAATATTCCAAATCCATTAAAATTTCAAATTTCCTGAATAAATTATCGGCTAATCTTTTTTTTTTTTAAAAATTGCTTAGCAAATACTCATCTGATGTCCTTACACTGATACGGACAAATACTGAGTGTTGAGAGAATCATCATCTTGAGAGCATTCTCGAGCATAACTATCCACAGAGCTTAGATCGTCCAAAGGCGCGATCGAAAACTTCGGACTCGACATCGGCGGCATCGGAGGAAGAAACCTTGGTTTCAGCACACTCGAAACCGTAGATTGCTTCACCACATTGGAACTTCGTTCTTCCGAAGCCGAGACCGGAATAATCGACATCGGCGGCGGCATCGTTGGAATTAACCTTCTCCGTGGAAGCTTACACGAAGCCGAAAGCACCATCAATCTCAATGTTTCTGAAGTTCTTTTCCTCTCCGCCAACGCTGTACTAAGTTTAATTGGAATCGGCTTAGCCCTCAATCGTTGAGAATTTATTTTCTCCTTCTCAACAACAGAAAGCGCCTTCGATATTTCCGTAAGGTCATATGAGGAATTCATTCGCTCGGCAGGCCCCTCCTCCGCCACATTAAGGGCCTGAGATAGTTTTGTTAAATCAAAAGACGGTCCAGTCTCTTTCTTTTCAGTATCAGCACACCGATTCTTCTTCGATTCTGGCTTCATATTTGATTCGACGACCTAAATCTCAAATTCAATTTTTCAAAAAATCAATTCTACAAACCAAACAGAAACTCCACCGAAAAGAGATTCGACGAATCATAAGTTTGTCGCAGTATAAATTTCAAAGGAAAACGACTCAGGCGCCTTATATCTAGTTTAATTTACTCGGACTCTCGGAGGAAGTCGGTTTAATTAGGGTGAAATCCTCCTGATCCTCGGATTCCGATTCCTTGTTGGGCCGAAATAATTCACTTCCTACTGGGTTCAGACCAGCCCAAACTGAGTAATTTGGCCCAGTGGGCCAAGAAAGTTCTAGCCATTAATGATTCCCAAGCACATCCACGTCTTTCACATTTATGTGTTAAAATTATCTAGATGCATATTTTATTTATTCTTTAAAGCTGACAAAAAGTAAATTATTTCGTGTATTTTGATATTTGTGGAGTATATAATAAGTCTCTCTAGTCTCTTTTTTAGGTAAAATAATTTATAATTTTATATTTACCTGAGAAAGGTATTTGGAGTGCAGATGGACCAAGGGGGCATCATGATTGCTTGAATTAAATTAATATAAATCTGTGTCTTAAGTGACAAACTTTATTAATGGATTACTTAGAATATTACCAAGTTGTTAACTGTAAAGCTTTGCAATTTGCATTGATTTAAATAAAGTTAACAAGGTGATATATTATGATCTAGACATGAAAACTAATTGCCTAGACACAGTTAGGGACTTGGAGGTCTTCGTCAACCTCCATAAATCAAAATGTTGAAATCAAATTTTGGAAAAAAAAAAAAAAAAAATCAAAGATGAATTCGGTTTGTAATTTTTAAGTAAACTAACCAAGCATATATATATATATATATATAAACCCTGATGTTTTATTTCTCTGGTTACTATATATGTATTAGAGATAATTTTGAGTTGGCAAAACAAATCCCCTGTAATCATGGCCCCAATTTTCATTTTTCACCAAACCAACCAATATCCTGAAGTGGGCTTCGTGTCTCAGAGTCAACTCACAATCTCCATGAATCCAAACCACTCGTAAAAGGTTTTCATGGTTGGTATTTTCAGTGACCCAAACCTACTCTCAACACATTTTTTGCACTGCACGCATTTTTTCATTCAAACTCCACTTGATGCTGCTCGCAACAAATGTAACTAATATCATTACAAGTTCAAAAAATTAAAAACGAGTATTACATAATAATCATGAATTTTATTTTAATACAACGAATGAAATATACAGTAAAAATCAAAAGAATGTTTAAAAATCCTAATTTTATAATATTATATTAGCATGTACTAGTGTCAATCTGCTCTAATAATAAATGCGTGGGTAAAATTTGTATTTTGTTTTTTACATAGAATGTTTGATGGACTAAAAGGAATATATGAGCTACACAATAGAGCAACTCTTTCCTTTAAATAATATTCACCGAATTGATAATAATTTTTATATTAAAGATAAATTGAACTCGAGACCCTCGCTTTTCATATTTCCTATAAATTGTCTGGCATTATTAAAAACCTTTTTATCACTTTAATCACTTATTGTATTTCCTATCCAATTACATGATTGTGAAATTGGTGTCTGGATAGGTATAGAGAGTCCCAGCATATCAGGTAGTGAAGACTTGCTTAACACTAAAACATGTCGGCTAAAAGTATCACACATGATTTAAAAGGTGAATAAAGTTATTATAATCTAAATTTTTAAATAAACATAGCAAAGTTCACAAGAAATGTGTAAAAAGCTACTTTGAAGCGCATTTGGTTGTTATATACCTCAATATAACAGTACTGTAATGATTGGACCCATTAAAAAAAAAAAAAAAAAAAAAATAAACATAGCCAAAGTTTCACCAAGAAATGTGGTAAAAAGCTCTTTGAAGCGTGCATTTGGATTGTTATTATTACCTTCCCAATATAACAGTACTGTTTAATGATTGGACCCATTAAAAAAAAAAAAAAAAAAAAAAAAAAAAAAAAAAAAACATTGTTGTAGCTACAAGACATGAAACAAAATTAATGGGTAATCTCTATTTTATTTACTTGATTAAGAAATTGTAATTCTTTGTCTTCTTTGAAGAGCCAATTCAATTTAATGATAGTATATGATATCCATTTCTTGATTATAATAGATGCCTTTGTTTTAAGTGGACACATAACTTTTCCCTGTTGTTTTTGCTGCCTAACCTCATTAATATGAAAATACGACAACCTTTTTTAGGAAATAAAAATTCAATTCTTGGGCTACGAAAGCTCACAGTTTTAATTAGTGAAAAAGAAGCAGTACCAAACTTTACATATTTTAGTGCTGTACAGTGTATTCATTCCTAACAATGATTTAAATGGTCAACATAGCAGATAGTACTTTCAAATTTTTTTTTTTTAAAATATCAATTTGGACCTATGTTTAGGGATTTCTATCGAAATGTCGTTTTCACTGAGTATATACAAATTTAAGCTCAATAGAACATCACATGTTATGACGGTGGAGAGTCAATTCTTTCCTCTAGGACAAGCTTTTTATTTTTGATTGCTTAAATAGTTTCTATATTAAATATTGCTTTCAGCCATTTTTTGATGCCCCTCCACCTAACCTAACAGTCTCAGATTCCACCTTCTCACCTTCATTTCTAAATCATTTATTTATAATTTTTATTCTTCTCAAATTTGTGAAATAACAAACGTTTCCTCTGACAACCATCATTGTATTTTTAATGTTTCCTATCTAAAACCATTTATTATTTCTTTTAAATAATGTAGTAATGCACTTTTTTAAAATTTAAATTATTTACTCTCAATAAATACTTTATCTTTTTTAAAAATACTATATATAAGTTGTATTACTATATTTTTATGTATTCTAGACAAAGGTATATTGGTCTCTACTTTTAAATATATTATTTATTTTTTTTAAGTTCATCTACTTTTAAATATATTATTTATTTTTTTTAAGTTCATAATTTTGCTACATTTAAATTATTTCCACTAATGGAGTTAGTAGTTTTTACTCAAACTTTTTCTCTTCTTTTTTAAAGATTATTTAATATATTTTTGTAACTGTAAACTATCAAATCAATATATATTTATATATAAAGAATGTAGAATTTTTCTTAGTATTACCATGTAGGATTTCATATAAATGACATGTGTATGACTTAATTATTTATTTTTATATTTATTTAAAAATAAAATAATTTATGATTGAATTAAATTGTCTTAAATGTAATCGATTAATGTAACATTAGAGGATTAATAACTTGTTAAGTAACAATTTATATAACTTTTAATAATATAAATATGTTACATAATTTATAAATTTTAATGTTATGGGCAATTATTACTTTATATTAAAAAATTAAAAATTTTGTATTAAATTATACAATTTGTGGCTATCTAAACTTAAATTATTGTTAAAATATAAGTTGATATCTATAGTATTAATTAATATTGATAGATATAGAATTTATAAAACTCTTAATTATTTAAAATAAACCTATGCTATCCTAATTCATCAAAATTTTCGACGTCATTGACAAATAGATGAGGTTATTTATCTCTTTACATTTGTTAAGTAACAATTTATATAACTTTTAATAATATAAATATGTTACATAATTTATAAATTTTAATGTTATGGGCAATTATTATTTTATATTAAAAAATTAAAAATTTTTGTATTAAATTAAATTATGTTAAATATAATTGATTAATTATAGTATTAATAATATGATAAGTTGAAGATTTATAAAACTCTTAATTATTTAAAATAAAGTATTTATTCATAAATTTTAATGAAATAATGAGTTAATTATCTTTTACATTAATTTTAAAATAATCAAATTAATGAATTTTATCACATTTCATTTTACTTTTTTTTAATTTATCTCTGTAAATTTCAATATTTTTAATCTATATTCGTGAACACATGTCTATCTATTAATTTTTACTTTAGTAAAAAAAATCACGCTATATTTTTTTTACTATTGATATATCTTTATAATATTTTTCAATAGTATAGTAAAAGAAATTTCATCCAAAAATCTATAAATTATGCATATATTTTCTCAATTTTACTTTATTTTACTTTTTTTTAACCGTGCATAGCACAAGTATATTGCTAGTTTGCAAATGTCTTAGACTCTAAAATGAGAGAGATAAAAAACTAATTTTCAAAAAAAAAAAAAAAAATCAAAGGGAACCAGATAAAAAAATTTTGACTAACGTTGTTTAGGTCATATTTTTGATGGAAGATTTTCATTTAATTCCCTGATTAATGATTGGTCAGTGATATAGAATTACGCAATACGCTGTCCACTAGCCGTTTCCCTTATTACCGTTAAGCATAATGTCAAAAGTCAGCTTAACGATGAGTTAATAAAAAGAGGAAAGGAAAACTGATGAAAATTTTTTTAAAAAAGAACTAAAAGGAATGTAAAAGCAACAGAAGAAAAATGTGCAGCAAAGCAAGCGAAAACCCAACATCGACATATACCTTCCTTCAAAGACATTCAAAGCACAACCCAGAAGGAAAATAAAGTGGTATATTAGTATACCTCAACGTTTCTCTCTTTTTCTCTTACTTTCCTTCGTTTTCCTTTTCCTCTCTAATCAAACACTTTTATCCTGAGAGGAAGAGGGGAAAACAACAGTTTGGAATTCAATTCCATTCTTAACAATCCGAAACAAGAAAGGAGAACAAATCCCCCAATTTCCCTCTCTCATGACAGAAATGATGGATGGTTCCTCAACTACTCCCAAAGCCCCACCTATCTCTGAAATGTTCCAGAAGTTCGCTCTCGCTTTCAAGACTAAGACTTTCGAATTCTTCAATGAGGAGACTGCCGCCGATGAACCCTCCGATGTCGACGGTTTTTCCCTCCTTGACTCTGCTGAAGATTTCATTCCTGACCAGAAAGTTATTATTCTCAAACCCGACCAACCCCTCAATCATAGTTCACCGAGCCCTCCGACTCCATCGAGGGAGCCTCAACAATTGTTGCCGCAATCGACGATAAATAAGTCTATGGAGCAAACCCAGATCAGGGCTTTAAACATCCATTCGGCAAAAACTTTGATTTCGTCAATATTTGCAACGGTTTCTTCATTTGAAGCTTCGTACTTGCAGCTGCAAACTGCTCATGTGCCTTTCAATGAAGAGGGCATAAAGTCCGCGGATGAGGCTCTGGTTTCGCATCTTCAGAGACTGTCTGATTTTAAGCAATTCTATGGGGATTTATCCAGGAATCCTGATTTCGGCGCAGATTTGCCTTTTGGGTCGTGCTTGGAAGCTCAGGTGCAGGAAAATCAAAGCAAGCTGAGAGTTTTGGGGACTGTTTCGGACCATTTACAAGCAGAGATTGATCGAAAGGATAATGAAGTTACAGCTTTAAGGAAGAAAATGGGTGACTTACAAAAGTCTAATTTCAACTTGTCAAAGAGGTTATCTGGTAATCTGAATTTTCATTCATCTTGTGATGTTTTGTTATCTGTTAGGGTTTTCATTTCTGTGTTAAATGATGCTTGTAAAGCAACGTATAAATTTACTAAGATTCTGATCGAGTTGATGAAAAAAGCTGGATGGGATTTGGATTTGGCTGCGAATTCAGTTCATGCTGATATTAAATATGCAAAAACAGGGCATAATCGCTATGCTTTTCTCTCATATGTTTGTTTGGGCATGTTTCGAGGGTTTGATTTAAAAAGGTTTTGTTTGGATCAGGATGATAATACTGAAATCCTCTGTAATGGCCACAATTCCGATTCTGGTAAGATACATAGTTCTTTGAAGCAATTGCTTGAGCATGTTTCAAGCAGTCCAATAGAGTTGCTACATAGGAATCCTAACAGTGATTTTTCTAAATTTTGTGAGAAGAAGTATCAAGAGCTTGTTCATCCGACAATGGAATCTTCAATTTTCAGTAATTTGGATCAAAATGAAGTTGTTCTGAATTCATGGAGATCACTAAGTTTATTCTACGAGTCATTTGTTAACATGGCTAGTTCAATATGGGCACTTCATAAGCTGGCGCTCTCTTTCGATCCTGTTGTTGAGATTTTTCAGATAGAGAGAGGGGTTGATTTTTCAATGGTCTATATGGAAGATGTAACAAGAAGATGCGCCTTACCGGCTAAATCAGGAATGAAGGTGGGGTTCACAGTAGTTCCAGGATTTAAGATTGGAAGAACAGTTATTCAGTCTCAGGTCTATTTATGTGGCTTGAAATGTACAGGGTAGTCAATCTCACCGTTGTATCATAGAGGGAACTTGGAAGTTACACCGCCTAAGCAAAACAACTTATATCTTGCTTTTGGTTTGAATATGCGCACTACAATCCTTGAGAGTTTGATTGTAAGGAAATGTCATCCACACGGGATTCCGAAGGACTCATCTCAGTTAAATATGCTCAGAAAGGAATCTGATATATGAAAAACTTGGACAGGATAAGCCAGCTCTTTGCTGTATGGTTGCATTGACAGGCACTGGGAACAACTATGGTAATAGCATGCAGCTCTTGGTTACCTTGTGATGTGTAGTTATACTTCCATCTTGGTTGTGAATTTCTCCTTTCTTTTTCCTTTTGCAGGGTGCTGTGTAAAAATTGCTGTAAAGTTTTCTTCTCTTTTTTGCTTTTCTCCCTTTTGTATTTTGCTTCAAGCTCTCTTCTGACACAAAAATACATTACCAAACTGTGTATCACACCCACCCTTTTTTCTTTTTGAGTTGGAAACATTGTATCTGCATCAAGCTTCTTTTGATACTTAACAATTCAACCTGGAATTGAAAGTTCTCCTATAATGATTCTGTTTATGCTTAGTTGTGAATCAGATAGCTCGAGTAACATTCATTTTCTTTTGACCTTAATCAATTTCCATTAGAATTCTTTTACGCTTTGGAAGTATGATCTTATCTTCTCGCTTGCTGCATAGTTTTCTCTATTTTATTTGATCAATTCTGCAACATTCATCCTCTCACTTCTTAGCTATTCTCTTTATGGCTTCTTGATGTCTGTTTAACGAAACTCTATATGACGTTTGTTTTTTTTTTTTTTGGCTTTCCTTGCTGATACCTTGCACAATCAGCGGATGTCCACCTTTCCATCCTATGGTTGCGTATGTGATTACTATTTTCGTCGTAGGATTTTGTTTTCTTATTTGATGTAATATGATGCATTTCATTTTTTTTTTTTCAAATACATTTTAATACCTTAAAGATTTTTTTTTAACTGTTACAACTTTAATTTGATGGAAAATGAGATTTAGTTTGCAATACTTTTAAGATATTTTAAAAGCGATCTTAAAAAATAACTTGAAATTTAAAAAATATGTTGAAATTAAAAAAAAAAAACTTTCTTTTTTTTTTTTTAATATTGGGAAAAAGGGAATTCGAATGTGTCGTTTTGCACATTTACCCAGGAAACCCCAAAATCATGACGGAGAGATTATTTGGGCTGCACTCGGTTAGCAATTGCAGAGTTCACTGTTTCGGTCCAATTGACAATTGTCCTTCATATATGGGCTACTGACTCTGGCCCACTAACGAGGAAAAGAGCCACCGCCAATGTTTTTGTACCGTTTAGCTACAAGGTTTCATACAATAGCTAGATTTAACCGGAATTAATTTCTCGTTAAACAATTAAATACAAAAAATTAGTATATGTGATATGTCTATTTATCAAATTATATATATATATATATAGTGCTCTAAAAATTTCAAGTTTGATAAATAAAGCAGTGCGGAATACTTTAATAAATTGGAGATTTTGCATATTTTTTTGGTGAAAAAAAAAAATTAAAAAGCCATGGAATTAATAATTATTCATTGAATGATGATTGATTGTTACAAACGGAGCACATTTACCATTTAATTATTAAGACGTGAAATGATATTTGATAATATCATTTACAAAACAATATCCTTTAATTAATTCACATCTTAATAATTAAAGGGTATTATTTTCTAAATGAAATTTGACAAAGGAAAGTTCAAAATCACTTTTCTTTTCTCCTCCTATTTTCCTTTTTTTTTTTTTTTTTTTTTTTTTTCTCCTCCTATTTTCTTTTTTTTTTTTTTTTTCTTTTGCTTTCTCAAACAAAAACCAAATTTCTCAAAAAGACCAAAATTCAAAAACTTCCAATTGAAAAATAAAAAAAATCAAGAAGTCCCATAAATTCAATTTTCAATTTTTAAATGAATCCACCTCAAAATTCTCAATTAAGTTTGTTGAAATAACTTGAAATAGAATTGATAGTAACAGAGAGTTATTCGGATTCTGCGAAAGTGGAGTCTTTATTGTCAGCGCTCGATAGTCTTACGAACTAAATACATTGTTTCATCAACTATGTTAAAATGCCTAAATAACAATAAATAACTGACTGCTTAAAATATTGCCCCCACTCGAATAATTAATCATTAACAAAAGAGCACAACCTTTCGTCGTGCGCATTGATTATTCCACAAAAAAAGATAAAGGCAAATGTTTGATTGTTTGAAACCCACACTAAAACTCGATCTCTCTCTCCGCTAGCGATATAGCATTGCATAAGAGCAGAACTATCTCGTGTCGAAACGAAATCCTCTTTCGAGTTTTTCCCTTCTCGGAACTGACACAGAGAAATTCATTTCGTAGATATTCAACCATTGGCTGCCTTCAAGAAAGGGTTCAGTGGTTACAAACTGGATTAGGAAATTAGAGATCGTCTGTGAAAGAAGATTATGAAGAGACCAAGAGAGGAAGACTTCTTGTGGTTTAATTCTGCGTTTGCAGTTTGGTCGTTTTATGTCTGAGTCTTTAAGTTAAATATTATAATCAAAACTCACTCAAATTTATGAAGCCATCGCATAGCTAGATTCTATTTGTCCTTAATAAACACACACTTTTGCGGCTTTGGTGGATGATTTAGTGTTCAAGATACCTGTAAAATAGTTATAAAGTTAGTTTGTGCAATTTTGGGATATTTTTCATTTCTCCATTTCCATCATTTGTAAAGTTATATATTAACATTTATTATGACAATTAATTAATTAATTAATAATAGTTAAAACTGAGTAGTTTATGAACAGAACAATTTTACTAGTAAATGATAATGACCTAACTAATATTTCTATTTCTTTCTGATAAAACAAAAAAAAAAAAAACTTCGACAATTATTTCAGATCCTGTGAGAGGGCCGTGCTCTGCAGTACCTTGGTACGAGCCCACACTGAAGTATGTCTCTTCAAAAGTAGCCAGCCATTCATAAAACAGTCTCGGTTTCTTATATAATTATTGGTTTTCGGGAAGTCGATTAGTAATAAATATGTATCGGCGGGAGACTCCGAAATCCTTCCGTGCCTCTCTGGAAGACCATTAACTAACATTTAAAACCCATACATCATTTAGCAGGTCCAGTCTTCTTGAAAGAAAAAGGGTTTAAATGACAAGGCAAAAAAAAAAAAAAAAAAAAACGAATATGGAATATTCCAAAGTAGCCACATTATAAAGACCTTCGGTTTCTTATATAATTAATGGTTTTCGGGAGATTATATAAATATGTATGGCGGTGAGACTCCAAAATCTTCTCCCAAACCATACTAACATAAAACCCATACAGTCTTAGCAGTCCAGTCTTCTTGAAAGAAAGGTTTAATGACAAGCAAGTACTCTAATAACAGTTGAAGAAAAGAAGAGGAAACCCTAAAAGTTGCAGTACTTTCTTTCTTAGTAAGGGGAAACGTCCACATTGGCAGCACAATAAAACCCATCCTTCATCAGAACGTCCTCTCCTTCCTGCACAAACGCAACACACAGTTAATAATTGAAAGAAAAAGAATTCTCCTTCTGATCTATTTTAGATCATCACAATGTCAAAAGAAAAAGAAGTGTTAGCTTTTAGGGTTTCTTCTTCAGAACTCAAAAGTACCTGTTGGCGCACGTTAGTTTTCTTCACGGGTTGATCAGGCATAAGTCCGAAGTGAATATGAGGGAAGTGGGCCCACTGAAACAAACAGACAAGTGTATATAATATTATATTATATAATTAAAATGAAAATGAAAACACTTATTTGATTGATGGATTGATATTGGCAAAATGGAACCCTAGCGTGGAAAAGTTGAATTTTCTTGGATCTCACATTCTTTGCAGCTGCGCTAAAAGCCTCTCTGTGGCTTATATCAGGATTTCCAGCTTTGATGCGTTGGATCTCGTCCCTGCAGATTGGTTCATGTCAAGATCATGTATATTCCTCACTACTGTTGTTAATTCATGTTAAAGGAAATAAAAGCTTCAAATCTTGAAAATTTACGTTACAAGTTAAAGATTTACTCACTTGATAAAGCGATTGTAGGCAGATGGGACTCTCTGTCTCTTCTCCGGAGCTGGACATGTAACACACAGACACAACAAAGACAAACACACGGACATGATATGTTATAATCACTTCGCTGACTTTGTAAAATATTTCTCATCAATTCATTTATATTTTTTTCTCTCTCTCTTCATCATTACTTCATCATTATCATTATCATCTCTATCTATCAATCCATGGATTCCCTATCTATAATTCCGGGGCACAGAAACTCTTTTTTCCTTCTTTCTCTTTCATTCACTTATAAATGGATATTTTAATAACAAAAGAAACGTGCAAACTGAAATTCAAGAAACCATTTGAGTAAGAACAAAGGTCTTTTGTTTTTTGGGCTTCCTTTTTGTATATTTTGGGACTTATCAAGAACAAAGCACGCAATGATGCTATTGGTGCATATAGGGTAAATAAAAAAAGGACCGAAAAGCAATGCAACTGATGAGCTAGCTGTGCAGGCAGATCTGAATAGTAGGCCATTTTGGTAGTAATATATAAATGTGAGCTCAGAAGAAGAAGAGAAGGATAGGCATCAGATAGATTCTTGCTACTTGACACAAAACAAGAAATCTCAGTGACTGTTGATTAGCAATAAGACCTAACCTAGATGGCATAGTCTAGCTTTTCTCAAAAGCACTTTTTCCTTATTTCTTAATTAGTTAAGAGACCAGTATAATAGTATAGAATAATATGGTGCTAAAGGCTAGAGCAGTCAAAAGTATTGACTAAATTTCACGTCTTCAAGAAAACAAAGGTAGACATGTGAAGTCGTCGACTGTTGACCTCAAAACATTGGAGAGGCTGCTACTCATACAATTGAAAGAAAAAAGGCCACGTCATGTAAAGGAAGTAACAAACAAGAAGAAGAAGAAGAAGAATCTCACGTCTGTTGACAACAGGTGGCTTAGGAAGCTCCTCAACTCCTCCTCGCACCGGCATAATAGGCTCATTTGGGCTTGGTTGATTGATCAGCATATTTGGTGGTGTTGCGCTCCGGATCTCCTCCTGAAATGGTCCAGTGACCATAAAATTTGAAACAAATAATTAATTGATTTCTATACACATATATAGTTTAGATTTTTTTTTTCTTTTTTTGGAACTTGAAAACCCTAATTGCTGAAGTGTATTAATTCCGAGAATGGAAAGTTCACAAGAATAGTTATATTATGAAACCCTAGAAACATGGTATACCAGAATATTCTGAGGGTTGAAGAAAGGGTGACCAAGGTGGAGCTGGTTAGCCGCAGGAAGAAGGAGCCTGCGCATGTCGACAGTCAAGAGGTTGGTGCAGTGGCCGCATCGAACGGTGACGGTCTTGAACAAGCTAGAGCAAGGGACGCTCACCTGAGACAAGGAAAAAAAAAAGATAATTATAATTATAGAAATTAACATTGAAGAAGAAGAAGAGAAGAAGAAGAAGGATCAGAAGATCTAAGAGAGTGGACAAAAGACAGGGAGAGAGAAAATGATACCGCGAGGAAAGTGTCACAAAATTTGCAATGGACGTAACAGAGCTCGTCGGAGGGAGAGAGGTGGTCCGGTGAAAAAGCAGCTGATGAGGAGGACATGTTTGATTCTTGATTTGATTGATGGAGTAGTGACTGATCAGTGGGTATTTTGTGATAGACAGATAATAATCCTCTTCTTGGATCTGATCTTCTTGATTGTTGAGTTGTTACTATAGGATATAAAGGGAGGGAGAGAAACAAAGATAGAGACAGAGATAGAGGAAAGAGAAAGAGTGGGAAAAAAAACACCACTGTTAATGTAGTTGGTGATTCAGCAGAAGCTGAAACTTTTCTTTTTCTTTTTTTTTTTTTCTTCTCTTTTCTTCTTGCTTATAATATTATATAGACATGTTTTGTTAGTATTTTGTACAAGTTTGTTGATGTATCATGAAGAGAAGAGGACGCAGTGGGGAGGGAGAGATGTGAGGTTAAAGAGAAGAGAAAGAAAGGAAATGAATGGTTGGCATTCCCAATGGATGTAGAGAGAGAGAGGCGGCAGATGTGGGGGAGTGAGAAAGGGACGTGTGCATGGGCTTTGGCTCATTCACCTGTTGTTTTCACACTTAAAAAATTTTAGATTTATAAGTGAAAATAAAACCTTATACTTTTTCTTGGTTCTCTACAATTCCATTCCATGCCTAAATGTATTAGATATGCTGTTTCTGCTTCTTGTGTTCTTTATTAATATAATAATATAAATATATAAATATATAAAAGCCCTAAAGAGCGGGCACCTCTTTATCTATATATCCTCCGTCTAATCGTCTATAAAACACTTGTAGCTCTTTGTCAGCGCCTATATATTGTCCCAATCCCAATCTGCGCTATAGTTTCACGTGTCTTTTCACCGCTTTTGTCCTGTCTGCTTTCTTCCAAGCCCACAAATCTCCTTGATTTCATTGGCCGTTGCTCACCTAGCTGCTACACCCTCCTTGCTTCCCGACACCTTTGTGTATTATCCTTTGAGTCCATCAAATCTTCTCTTCTCCACTTAATTATTTCTAATTGCAACCTCAACTCGTGTGCATCCTGTATATAATGTTTCATGTACGAGAAATTTTCAATAATTCATAAATTTAAATCAAAATCTTCTCTTTTGTTGTGTTTCGTATATGAGAGATTTCAAACACTTCATAAATTTAATTCAAATTCTTTGTTTGGTACAATAAAAATAAAATAAAATCTAATACTTATATTTTTATTTTCATAAATTTTTACAGTTTGCATAAATTTTAATATTCTTAATCTAACTATTACCTTTTTTTTTTTTTTTATAAATAAAATCTAATAAACTTATATTTTTTTATTTTCATAATTTTTACAGGTTTGGCATAATTTTATATTCTTTAATCTAAACTATACCTTTTTTTTTTTTTTTTTGATGCTCATGTAAGTAATGTTAAAACATCTTCCGAGGATGAGAGATGAGATGGATAATAATTTTTTCTTTCCCTTATCAGAGGTTTTTGAATTCGAGTTTTTGGCATATAATTGAGACTGCGATTGGTTCTAATTAAAAAAAAAAAAAAAAAAAAAAAAAAAAAGGCAGTGGGACATCTAAAAAAAAAAAAAAAAAAAAAAAAGCAGTCGACATCTCAAAACATCCTTATATTTTGGGTTTACCAAGTTGAAAGGTGCACGATTTAAAAGGAAAATGTGGGATAAAATGAATATGATTGAACATAGGCGAAAGCGGAAAGACACATTTGCTTGCTCTAGGATTAAACTTATCTATGCCAATAATTTCTGTACTTTAAAATAAACAAGTATTTGAGCACTAAAAGCATAATTAAGAGTTTCCACATGAAGTCTATAGGTAAGTATAGTTTTAATTCAGTTGTGATATTTGAGCATTGATGACTAATGAGCACAAAATAACTGGCTATGCATTCCACTTTCCATTTCTTTTTGGGGGATTCACGGCCACATTATTGAAACAATTGTAACAAAATCACACAAAAAGCATTAAAGCTTTTTATATTTTTAACGATTTGACCACTCACACCTCTCTCATATATATGTGTGTACAGGGGTGGATACGTAGTTGTCAGTGATAACAGGAGACACAGATCCTTTAATTTAATTAAATTTACTACTTTTCTTTGTCCTTGCACTGTTATATTTTTAGGGCAAGTGTTAGCTAATTTAGTGAGGGCACTACCAACACTATAGAGGGTTTTTGTCTCTGTTGCAAAGTAAACCTATCTTGGCCGTAAAAAAATATCATTTTTCCCTAACAATTTTGAAAACTGTCACCATCCTCCACTTATGTTTGCAAAAAGGGTTTCTCTTCCCCAAAATTTCTTGCTAAGGTAAAATGTCAGTCACGCGGTTACAAATCACAGTAGAGGGTTTATATGCTTTAATTGCCCATTAATTATTCCAGGAATTCCCAACAGGATTGCTATAATTAAAGAAGGTAATCACTTTTTGAAAGTACAATTACGGCCGACTCGATCACATACACCATCTCTAACTTTTCACAAGTATGTATCGATTAGGTATTATTTTTATAATATTTTTAATATAATTTTTATTAAAAATTTTAGTAATTTTGATTAAAAGTTTTTGTTCGAAGTTTACTTGAATCATAATTTAATTGATGTTAAGAAACTTGTAGGATTTTGATATATAAAAGAGCAAAGTAAGCAAAACTCTCAGAGGCTGGCATGCGAGTGCCGCAAGATGACATCAATTCAAAGTTGTGCTCACCTGAGCATGGCCCGTGCTGCGATCACTTAGAACTCAGGCTCTAACATGTCCAGCCCATGCCTCACAGCACACCCGTGTCGAAGTTCAGGTTTTGCCTTGGGCCTAAAACGTCAGCCTATCCTGCACCACTTGCATGGACTCACATGAAATGATTTTTTGACGTAAAAATCAAGTTTTGATCATATTTAGACGCTGGGAGAGTCCTAATTGAGAAGAAATACAAAGTCTAAATAGTTTCCTATCTCCAAAAGATTTCTTACTCAATAAAGATTCATTTTCCTAAACGAACATGAAGATACTCCATACAAAGTCTATATAAATAGAGTGATGAGCCATAGACAAAAAAAAAAAAAAAAAAAAAAAAACATGAAGATTACTCCATAACAAAGTCTATTATAAATAGAGTGATTGATCCATAGGACAATAAAAAAAAAAAAAAAAAAAAAACAATTCCATTCACGGTATATTCATCTTTTCGTTCTAATTGTTTCTCTCTCTAAAAAAAAAAAAAAAAAAAAAAATCCATTCACGGTATATTCCATCTTTTCGTTCTATTGTTTTCTCTCTCTCTAAGATTTCAAGTGATCGAGATAGATTTGTATCAAAATTCAAGGAAGTCGTCCAAAATTATTTGTTAACTAGTTTTTATCTCTAAAATTTTAATCTTGTTTTTTTTACTTTTCATTATTCACATTGATTATGGAATTATTTTCAAATTTAATTGGGTTTTATTTAATTACTATGTCGAACTTAATTCTCATACTAGGAATTTGATGTAACTTAATTTCTCTTCCAATTTATAATATTAGATTTGCTTTTCTTTGTTCAAAGTATACTTTATTATTAAACTTAATACTTCCAGACAGATTTGCTTAATTCTCATTAATAAGGTTTTTAATATGAAAAAGGTAATAAATTAATTGAGAATAATAACTTGATACAGAAGCTATATGGTTTGACTTATGGGGGGTTTTCATAAGTTAATGACATTAGGTTATGAATTCAAAAAATAAACCATAAAACTTAATGATTTAATTCATATTTGATTGCGTATTGGCAGATAGTTAATTAGACTGGGTTAAAATAACTAAGAATACATCGGGAGAGCTTGTTAGTGATTTTAAAGTTGTTTCCTCTACTTGAACAATTAAAATTGATTAACGAATTAATAAAATAAATTGAGATAGAATTAAGTATACTCAAAATCCCTAATAGTTTTTAATCCTTGATTCTTTTAATCAAAAATTGTCTTGATTTCTTCTTATTCTCTTTTATTTACTAAAATTAGTTCTTAAATATAATTTCCCTTATTGCCATTTAAATAATAATAAGTTAACATAATTTTTGTACTTGGTATACAATCCATGTGGATACGATACTCTTCTCATTCTATATTACTTATTGCGATTTCGTACACTTGCGAAAATCACTGTCATGTTATATATGTCACTCAAAGAGACAATAATTACCCTGAAATATATTTAAACCCTAGCGACCTGTTTAATTTCCTTCAACAATTTTTATACAGCACTTGTATTGCACATGTAGCTAGTTATAAAGATGTTTTCATCTGGAGTTCTTATTGTAATTTTTATTATTTATAATTAGATACAGGTAAGTTGTCAGTGATGTGGTTGGTGATTTGTTGTTTTCTTCACGAGTTAGTAGTTATAAGCTGCAAATTAGCTAAGGAAGAGATTGAGATTGACCTGCAGCTACTCTAATCCTTCCCTGATGGGCTACCCATTTATATAATTTGGCACTTTTTCGTACTTGTGCATTTTTGTTACTGAATATTAAGCTTTTTTTAAAAAAATCAATTTTAGAGGACATACAGCTATATATAGTATATATATTAACTACTTTTTAGAAAGTAATATTTAATATATTAAAAAATATTAAATTTCAAATTTTAAATTTTTTAAGTAAAAGTTGAAGCGATGTTTATAAATAAAGAAAATTTTTACTTAGAGTGCTTTTCTTTTATAAATCTGATGCGGCGTGAGTGAGCTTTACTTTTAACTCGATAAGGAAACATGTATTATAATCCTAAAAAAATAATATTTCAGAAAATTTAAAAGCTTCCCTCTCTCTCTCTTCAATCAATTCTAAAGAGCCCCCACTTTTTATTCTATAACTAGATGCAATGCATTATTTAAATGCATTATTTAATTAAGCAAACTAATCTACTATGCCAAGTCTAAATTCTTTCGTATCAAATGAAAATAGCTCAGATATTTTGGTGCATCACTCATACATTCACGGTTCATGTGATTGTACTAATTTAGTTAAGTTGTGAAAGTTTAAGTTCCAGAACCAAAAAAATTATAAATTAAATTGTTTTTCTACTTATACGAGTGTTTGTCAACCTTACATCGTAATAAAATCTGATGTATATATCTATAGTCAAGCTGTTAATTATTAAAAGAAAAAAAAATACGAAACCTGAAAAGAAAAAAAGATTTGATATTCCCCACATACATGAGTTCCTTGTTCAATCTTCGGGGAAGTGACAATGATTGAATGATATGACTTTCATAGATCCTTAACTGAAGAATCCCCACAGATTAATCCATACACTGATATTTGTTCGCATTTGGAGAACTTGGCGGAACTGCACCACAGTGTACCGTTTGTACTGCAAAAATTATAATGGGTAATTCGACAATAAAGAAGAGATGAGAAAAGGCAGGTCCTTTTCAGCTGGGAAGTAAATGAATCAATAAATAGGAGTAGAAAAGTTTTAACCTTTGAATAAGTAATTAATTTTGAATTTTACACAGCCAAACAGTGAAGAGAGTTATTAGATTTCGGGGACAAAAGAAATTAAATTACATGAAAGAAAGATCACATTCATATGGACATATCAGCAATTCAAATCGTACATTCTTTTTTAGATCGTGGGACACATTAGATTTAGATCAGTCTCTCAGACATATAATTGATTGCATACTGATAAGGAGAACTATCTATGTCTCTCTCTCTCTCTCTCTCTCTCTCTCTCTCTCTCTCTTTTATGTAGTCTAACAAGTACAAATCCATTTCTCACCTCATATCTTTTCTATCCTGTGGTGAAAATTTTTCTGTTTCCTTTCCAATTCTCTCTAACATTCTTTTGCAAGATTTGATGCTCATTAATTTTCTACGTCTTATAAACGTTATTATTGTATTATTAATAATTAATAATCAAAGAATGAAAGACATGTAAAATTAGGAGGTTTAACTTGCTTGGGGGGGAGGGATTTTTGGGAGAGAATGGAGGTTTGTCTTGTGTTGGAGTGCAGCTTTATGTGCAGGAAATGTAAATATGGAATTGTACTATGAGTTAACATGACAGTGACATGAGGCATGAGCTATACTCGTTAAGGCACTCAATTACCTAGCAGGCTTCTCTCCATATAAAAAACATAAAAAAATTACATATTCACATAAAAAAAGAAAAGCCTGTAAGTGTTGGTGAATAACGGTGATAGGGTAGAAATCCAATAAAGATGATATTTATGGAGGTGTTCGAGTTTTCTTTGGCTAGGGTTTGTATGGATTGGTACGATTTTACTGTGACAGAAAATGTACACGTAGATTTGAGGCTGTTTGGCTGTTTCTCAAGTTGTAACCTCGATGCAACTTGCATAAGACATGAAAGTAAGATCCTTTTCTTGTTTGTTTTTGTACAGCATCCAGAGCTCTTCTGATTCTCCATAAATGGCATAGAACTCAGCTGGTTTATGCCTTTCAATTTTCACCCAATCAACAGAAGAACCCTGTTTGATTCTTTTTCTCTCTTCAATTCATGTTTTCCCTTCTTCAAAGGCCTAACATTTTACTTGGTTCAAAGTGGGTTCGATTGGAATTTCGTCGTTATCAGTTTGTCATATATTATTAACATAAGAGAAAACGCAACGCTTTTAATAAATTGCCTCCAGGCTCTATCCTCTAGACTGTGTCTGTTATATATACTGACCTAACGGCACATTTGTCGGATTTAATTACATGTGCAAGGGAGACACATCTTAAGGTAATATGTATTTGAGACCCGCCATCATGGTCTTCCACGTTGAATGGATCAATCATCAACATCTTCTGTAGGGACCACAACATATATATCATATCTAATAAATGGCTCTAATGCGTAATAGCCGGGAGTTCCAACTACTTATTACAATAAGCATCTTAAAGTTTTCTTTACTGTTTGCTGATCAAGTGTGTTATGATTGATTTTACACTTATGCGAAGAATAAGTCTTCAGTTTGAATTCTCCTCTCGACCATTTACTTGAGTTTACTTGAGTTTTGTAAAACTTGGACAGCTCATGAGGAGGTGGCTAAAGAAAGTAAGTTTTCAATGTTTCCTCGTAAGAGAAACGACGACGTATATTAGATGAGTGCAAAGGATCTAGGAGCAAAATGAAGGCATGGATACTCGATTCCACTATGAGAAATAAAGAGACATAAAAGTCGCAAGCAAAAGGGCTTGCATTCACATGTGTGTTGTCCATTGCACATGCAAAGCCATCAACTGTAACATTTGATACCACCAGCAGAGATATTCATGATTGAGGCATTACAAGGAATCAACCATTTGACTGATAAGTCATAACTCTAATTAGTTAACTAACCCACAAGCCATATTGACGCTTTCTTTTCTTTTCTTCTCATAATAACTATTTCTTTTGCTGCTAAACACCAAAGTATACTTGCCTATGTATATTTCTTTTGCAGTTGCAATACCTCCAATATTTGCCTAAGTATTTGCAATAGATTTCAATAGAAAATCAAATGATAAGCTTTTTGCATAATTGCACCATAAAGAGTACCATGGCCTTTGGCACAAAGAACTGATCCGTCCTAACATATTACAGAACAAAATTCCTCCAAGAGCACCGTCATTTTGTAATTTCTGTGAAAATAAATCGTCTCTGTTATTTTGAAAGCCAATAGATAATAAGAAACAACGTACAAGCTGCAATGACAGCAGACAGAATTATAGTGTCTCTTGATCGCCGCCTCTTTATAGAACCTTTAAGGGGGAAAAAAAAGAACAGCATTATTTATGAATTTGAATGAAATAAGAAGTAAAACTCCGTAATTTAATCAACTCATTCAAGTACCAAGTAGGCCACGGATAATGGGAAACTTGTCACTTAGAACTTTCAGTTTTCCTTGAATGTCTCCAAATGAAGCCCTTTGAGAACCTAAGACAACCTTCGTTGTTTGAGCTTGATTGATAACATCATCTATCTGCACAAAGGTAAATCCAGCATTGTCAGTTAACTGGCCAGTGCTCAGAGATGCGGTTGCTAGCAAAGAATGTATATGAATTTATACCTTCCAGTTACCTCACAATGAACAGTTTTGGAAGGTATTTAGATCATATAACTCAGAGCAAAATAAACAAGCATGTAAAACATAGGGTGCTTCAAGGTTGAAAACTCTATCTATTTAGCATGGAAGCCAATAGATAATTATGACACTTTAAGAAAGATAAAACAGATGGCATGGGATTTGAGCAATAATATGGATTAGGCCATTTAATTTGAGTGTGCAAGATGTGCTTGCATGTGTATATACCTGAGAGAGAAAAGGAGGAGAGGGCTGGTTTTTAAACCCCCTAAATTTTAACTTCTAAAATGATAATTATGGTCCTTTTTTATTCATAAACATACAATTACTGGTTTCACATCAATCCATGGAAGGACCAGATCCCTTGTTAATTGGTCATGTCAGGCTGCTATAGAGTTTTCTTCGCAGTAGCCATAAAAAATGACAATTTTTGCAAGGACCACATGAAGAGTGTCCCTGCAACTTGGTTCTAAACACAAAGAAAACAACTGATATTTCAGACAAGTAATGACAAAAATAATTCAAAAAATGTTTCAGAGCAACGCGCCATAAGACGCTTGAATGCCTGGGTTCACAGGAAACACAGGACCCTTTTCAGAAGTGAGCTATCAAAAAAGTTAAGAGTAGCACTCTTTACTTAATATCTTCTCTAGTCATTAAAGTATCGTATTAATCCTGTTAATTTGGGAATGATTAAAGAGGTGGAGATGTGCTTTAAGAATTGTCTCAATTCAATTTCAAGATGATGTCATAATGATGTTAGGCCAATATGCATGGAACTAGTTATCAAGATATTGCAAAATAGACAAGAACTATCAGCAAAAGACAAATGGAATTTACTAAAAAAGCAAAAAAGTAATGAACAATAAAATGAAAAAGCAAATTTCTGGCACTTTGCTTTACCTAAGACCCAAAGAGTAATGAACTCAGGTCATTTGAGAATTTTCTGACTGCAATTTGACATTCACTTCAAGAATCCACTTCTCAGTGTACCACCTTGATCTTAACCAAAAACTTATATTTTCCTCTCCAAATTTTTTCATTTTTATGTCTCCACTGATAAAAAGTTATATTCTCTAACCCCGGTTAGCACGCAGTGAGAGACATTTCCATTACAAACACATCAGAATTCAGATTAATCAAACAACATTACTCTTTTCTTCAATCCTTTCTAAATTTCTATAACCATCTCAACATCCTCATTTCTTATCTATTGAGCCACATTATTGTAACAGATTCATTTCAGGAAATTTCTTTTCAGAGAAATATGACCATGAAAAGTAGCAAAATCTTACGTGAGCAATACTTCCATGGATGGCAGCCCTTTCTCGTAGTAATTGCATTCTTGGAGACATACTCCCAGATGCCTGTATGAAGGGAGACAATAAAACCTCAACTTTTGAGAAACAATAGCCATAGAATGTAAATACATATGACATTAACCAAGAGTTAAATAACGCTTACCTTGTACTCACTAATATCATCTCTGACTGAACTCAGGAGCTCTGCATGTTCCTTCATTGAGCTTATGTTTCCCTTGATTCGTCTAAATTCCTAAATTAAGTAATTCTATTTTCTCAATGAGACAGAAGCACTAATAAAACAGTTCCTAATACATTGGTCATGCCTACAATATAGAAAAAGAATAAAGACACCTAATACATCAAGAAATCAAATGTGAGCAAATGAATGATAACATAAGCATATGAAATTTCCTATTCTTTTAATGCTACTTATCATCTGCCTTGGCTGCTAAAAATTTTCAAACACATACATATCACGTTAATTACTCTCTCTACCAGGGCTCCTGTAGACACAGGAAAAGCTTTTATGCACTTCACTATTCAACCACAAAGCCAACAGACAGCTAAGAGAAGGTAACTGCTAGTGACTAAAAAGAAATTGTTTATTGAGATATTAAAATGAACTTGACTATAACAGCTAAGAAGATAGATTAAAATTGTAAAGATAAACAATCATATTTAAATGCAATATATAATCTAAAAGATCTTGAGATTATTCATTGGAAAGTTAAGAACAAAATTTAAAAAGAAAAAAAAATAGAATAGATGGCAATTCAAGGTATTGACTCTGCAGAATTTGTTCTGTAGATCATAATTACTCATTTTATAACTTGCTTGAGTGTATAAATGAATGCTAAATTTTTAGCTGGAGCTATATTTTGAGTTATTTATGGTGTGGAATAGCAACCAAGCTAACATAGGTAGAATCTAATTCAAACTCGCAGTAATTTAAGGCAAAGAAATTCAAATGCAACAAGCAGACAACTAGAATTGAAATCAATGACATTCATTGCAAACCTGGTTAAATTCATGGAGTATGTCTCTATGCCTTGCTAGCTTTTGAGTAACTGATGTAGTTGGTGCAGCAGATGCAGCACATCTACTCATAGCATCATTTGTATCTAGGAGTTTTTCAAGCAATGATTGGATTTCCATTTCCATTGACTTCCATGATCTGCTAGATCCAACAGTGGGCGAACCAGAATCCACATAACCTGAGCCCATAACATACATCATGAAGAAGGAAGTCAGCCTGATGAAGTTAATTACAGTTCAGCTATGAAATTATAAGACTTTAAAGCTAAATCCAATAGAATAAGCAGAAAAATAACAGTAAGACTCAAAGCTTTGCAACATGTTGCCAAAAAAGAATCAGATAAAAAACTCATTGTCCAGAAAAAGACGGTAATAATTAAATGAAACCTTCACCGTTCAATCAGCTAATAAACTCGGTCTCTAATAAAGAATCAGGTAAGCATGGTAGAACTTGCAAAACGTGGGAAGTACATTTAATATCAATTGCACATATTTGCATTCATGTACAGGACTGCAATTTATATTGTCACGGCTACCCATAGTAGTATATGAAAATATTGCATCCTCAATGGTGAAGAACCGGAGTGGGAAAAATGCAACCAAGAAGAAATGCTGACTTGGTGGTGATGTTGGTTTATTATAGCCAACATGCTGCCAAAACAGCAACATTGCTCTGTCACTGCCTTAGTGAAAGAAATGACTCCAGAGTAGTTGAGGATGCAGATAATAGGATTTAATTATCCACTAAGACAGAAATCCAATTCAAGAGAAGGAAGTTAAAATGGAGGTTATTGTCATACAGTGGAAGGACAAGAAGATCCTCTCTCCAGTTTGACACGATCCTAGGCCTATTCCAGAAGAACCACCAATCACAGTTGCTCGAAAACCCATTTACGATACACACTTGTGTGAAAGCAGCTACATCGCAGATTCTATGTTCCAAAAGGAAAGAAGACAATCCGAACGTGTACACACTTATAATTTCAGAACTAAAAACACAACCAGACTTTTTATGACGGTAACTGACGAAGACACTGCGAACAGCTAACAGAGTAAGGAATTGAACTTGTAATACATCAATTCATTTTACCCCTTCCCCACTAAGTTCTGACCTTCTTCCAAATGGTATCATCCCATTAAGCACTGGAGCATACCGAACTAAACCAACCTACTAATCTACACTAGAAAGGAACTATGCCAATTCCAAATATCCAAAAAAATACAAAACAGATTACTCAGTCAAACAATCGTTAATGCTCAAGTAAATAGATTACAGAAAGTTAAATCACAATAAATTTGAGATCAGCATCTTTCAAAACTAATCTAGCACTAATACAAAATGAAAAATCAGCAATTCCAGTCCTAAAGTCGATAATAACTAAAAAGATGGAAAATGTGAAATTAGAAAGAGAAATTGAACCTCCTTGGGTGAACCTAGCGCCAAGCTTGGCATAAGAGGAAAGCTTGACGTCGAGATCTCCTTCTAGCTTTCTGGCCTCTTTCCTCAATTCCTCCCAACCCGATTCCTGCAACTCTAAACTCGAATCCTTCATGTTGGATCTTTCACAAATTACAATCCAGATTCTCTGATCTGCGATGCTGATTGTTGCAGTTGTTCTGGTCACTGGGTTCTATGTAGATGTACTATCTAACTAAAATCAACTATGCACATCAGTCTTCCCTTCCTCCTCTCCGCTTCGCTTCATTTCACAACAACGTACAACGTCCGGTTCTTATTGGGCCTTAATTTTACTAAAGCATCACATTTTGTAGGCCCGGTGACCCGTAAGAGAGCTCTAAATATTTACATATAAATGGGCCAAACAGGCTTCGTCCAGCCCAACTCTAAACTTCTCCTCTAGATCGGACTAAAAATCAAAACCAGTACATTTTTCTGATGAACGGTGGTAAGTTGCAGGAACGAACTTCGACGCATATATATATATATATATATATATATAATATAATATATATATATATATATATATATATATATAATAGATTAGCTACACAATAAATATAATTTTGCTCTCAATTCATTAAATTTGTGAAATTTTTGTAATTGAAAAATTCGAACTCTAGACAACATACTACTCATACTGATAAAAAGATAAATCATACCACACTTGATTGACAATTTTTTTTTACACATATTTTAATTCTCAAGTGGAAATGATATTGGGAAAACAAAACTCTCCCAAATGGTGACTCCAATTTGATTCAATGGGTGAAAGGAAATATTCAATTCGATTCAATGATGCATCATTTAATCCACGATAGAGGCAAGTCAAGCAAGTGGCAGCTAATTCACATATTATACAATATTCAAATTGGTTATTAAGCAGTGTTTGGTTGATACTGATATGTAAAGAACCATAAAATACAAAGATTTGTTTACCTGCCCGTATTTCATATTTGATTTTTTATCCATTTTTCTTGTTTGGTTGGAATCTAACTCTTCTCCAATTAATCAAACCTTAGGAAAAGCTGATAAGGAACATTTCAACAACCCAAAGTTTTATATGTAAGTTAAATAATGTTTCCTTTCTTCTAGAAGCTCAACGGTAAAAAATAATGAATATAATTTCCCAGCAAAACCACCAAATGATGAAAAATTTTAAAATTTTTGGGTCATGGTTGATGATCTGAGAAACAATTAACAAAGCGAAAAGAGTAATTTAATTCATTAATATTAATATTAACATAAAGCTAGAAGACATGGATCAAGGCAAGTACTAACTCCGTCGAAAAAAAAAAAAAAAAGAAGATAAAGAATGACAAAGCATTTGTGGTTGTATACGTTTATCTTTTTTATAATTCTTAAATTTATTTTTAAATATTACAATAGTTGAGATTTGTCGATCTCCATAAAAATCAATCAAATCACATTTAAATAATATTAAATTCATAATTTATTATTAATATTTAATGAGTCATGACGTATCAACAAACATATAAATAAATAAAAGTATACACCTTTACCACATTTAAATAAATTTCTCGTTACCTCGTTATTATATTTCTTATTTAACAATAATTTTATGTCTTGGCTTGTCTTGATTAAATTATTTTTAATTTTATTGTAATTTTAAAAAAATAATTTTTTTATTAAATTTATATTTTAGAACGGATTATTTAAAAAAAAAAAAATCAGACAAACTCATTTCGATATACTTGTTTTTTAGGTAGAGTTGTCTGGGTTTCGTGATTTTTCCATTTGTCTTGAAAAATAAAATCGGAAAGAGAGAGATTGCCAATTGGCGCAAAAAAGCCACCACGTTTGAGAATCAAACTCAAAGCACGCGTCTGCCGTAAGATTGGCTCAGTCGGCAATGTTGGGCCCACCGGTTATGGATATCGCCATCAGTTCTCCTCCATTATATACGGAAAGTACATACGCACGTGTACGGACTACGGGGTTTTTGGAACTTTCCGCATTGCTTTTCTTCTCTGGCCCTACCGCAACTACAGCTGCCCAAAATTCAAAAACCACTTCTAAACAAAAACTAATTTTTCATTTACTGTTTTTTTAATATTAAAAGAAGAAAGGTTAGATTAATTTTGTATTCCTTCATCCCATTAGGATCAACAACATTTTAAATTTTTTTTCTATTTTATTTTATGTTATATAAAATTAAAAAACTGTTAATCATTTTTTTTATTTTACTCTTGTCTTTTAGTAAGCCCACAAAATAAACTTTAATTATTTAAATAATCAATAATAGGAAATTTTAGTCAATTATAACTTTTTCCAAAAAAATAAATTTGTTTAGTGATTCTTCTCAAACAAATTGCTCACTGTCTTAATCTTTTGCAATTAAAATTTGATAATTGCATGCTTATACTTGTGTTAATTAATAGTAAGAAGCAATTCTTGTAGTGATTACCATTGAAAAATAAAAGTGTCCATATTTAATTCATATTTGAAATTTCATATCTGTTAAAAAATCATTAAATTTATCTAAATTATAATAAATTATTGAGAAAATTGACTATATCACCCTTAATTTGATACTAATCTTTAAGAAAATCATTAAATTGAAGTAATAATTATTAGTCATATATAATAGGTAAACATAGAAAAAAAGATTTATTACTCTTTCAAACCACAAATATAATAAGTATTTTAAAATAAATTATTTTCTCGTACATGACAAGTATGGTGTAAATGAGACAATAATATTTTTTAGCCAAATCTTAATTTTATGAACGATTAATTATTAATTTTGTAGCTTTTTGCTTCTGTTTTTTAGTTGCCAATACAATTTATGCATTCCATGAACTATTCGCTGGAAATTTCATTTAATTCTTTTTTTTTATTTGGTTTGGTTTTATGAGTTATTATATGAATTTCCCAACAAATTTTTTTCCATTTGATTCTAATGAGATATGTAAGAGAGTCATCAAATATAAAACCACCAATACAATTGGTCATGTTAATTTATGCACCTATAAAAATCAAAAAATATTTTTTTAATTTATTTTTATTCTTTTGGTATCTTTACTAAATAAATATTAATTATTTTTCTGAGGGAATACTAATTATTTAAATAATTAAAAAAATAATTTAATTAATTATTAAAATTATTTCTTCTAACACTTTAAATTTACCGTAAATTTTTCATACCATAAAATTAAAGATTTATTTTGCAAAATTTTTCACACTAGAAATAATAATTTTTAATTTTAAAATTTTTATAAGTAAAATCCACGATTAATAGAAATTTTTAAAATAATAAATTTTATTTTTTAAATATTTAATAAGTTAACGTATTCAATGAATAAAAATTAAAATTAAAGTTAAAATAATATTTTTGGTGAGAGTGAACTCACATATAAATACACTTTTTTACATTAAATTTGAAAATTTTGAAAGTCGATAAAAATTAAGAAAATTATTTAAGTTTTAGAAAAAATAATAAGTAGTGTTTACTAAATTATCTTTAATTGTTAAATTTAACATAATAAATGGAGTATTTAGGTATTTGGCTAAATAGTTATCCATTTTTATGCCAAGCATAGGTCGTCAATGTGTCCCTTCGGTGGGGCAGTGTGAATTTCCATTTTCGAGGAAGTCCATCTGCATGCTTGCCACATGTCCACTGAAAGGACAAAATTGGGATTATTGGAAAAACAAGTCCTTGACAATATCAACCTGCCCCCAGGAAATTGGTCCATTTTGTTTCTACACTTGAACAGGGATTAATTCTAAAGTGTTACGTGGCAGATTCATCAGTTTCTCGGAAACAACGTGGTTGTTTGGACTTTCAGTTTGAATTTTTATTTAATTGAGCGATACTAAATTCACCCGCACGGCAACTACGAATCATAAATGCCAATCAAAATCGAGAATCAAATTGGAGAAAAAATCAATCCGTGATACAAATAGAATAACTTGATTGACAGAGTTCGTAATAACCGGACGAGCCGCATCACCAGTCGCATTACAAACAGGTACTACTACTATACTAACTCTCCAGTACTGTTAATTAACGACTTGTGTAAATCCAGCCGCAGCTACAATCATCGGACCGTTCCTTTATCTGACTTTGACCTGTCTCTACCTATTTAAGTAATTCTCCTCCATAAAATCAGAATCGCGTGCCGACCATATCATAACCTTTAGCTATCTATCTTTGCTTTTGCCCTTTTCTTTTGACTTTCAAAAATTAAAATTATAATTGATGCAATTTACTGCCCTTTAGATTCCCATACTCCTCCTTTATAAACAACCGTTTCTTGCCACCAGAAGCTCTATTCCTCGTTTGCAACTTTGCCTCCGCCGCCGCCACCACCACCACAGGCCGCTGCTGCCTGAATTATTACCACCATCTTATCTAACCTACTTCTCAAACAAGCAATTCTTGAAACCGAATAGAGGCCTTTGGATCATAACTCCAGCAAACAAGTTTGAATGAAAGTCTTGTATATTAACAGAAAACAACATGTCAAATATACCCACATCTCTCTCTGAAGTATGCCTTACTCTCTTCCGTTTAACCATGTCCATGGCCGACCCTTGGCCCTTTTCTTGAAACCTGCTATACTCTAATAAGTCTTGTTTGCCCATATTCAGAAATACACCCACTTACGCACAAATTTTTTTGTTTAGAAAAAAAGAAAAGCCTCTTTCTTATTATAGTCTGTCTCCCTACCAATCACGTCATGAATAAAATAAGAGGGTTCAAGATTGGAAAGCGGTTAGTTCGGATCTCCAGATGGATTTTCCGGCGGACCCGATGCCGGTCCTGTTACAATCGGCTAAGCCCGCCGGAGAAATCATGCAGGTCGACGCCCCTCGCGAAGCTTATTAACTGGGGACGCCGCTTGACAACGGGAGCCAAATTACTGTGCTCTGCAAAACCCGGGTCGGGTTACGTCCCGGTCGGAGAGGAAGCTATAATTGATAAACCGGTGACAGTGCCAAAAGGACACTTAGCAGTATACGTGGGTCAAAAGGATGGAGATTTCCACAGAGTTCTGATACCTGTGATCTACATTAACCATCCTCTGTTTGGCAAGCTATTGAGAGAAGCAGAACAGGAGTATGGGTTCAATCAACAAGGTGGGATCACGATTCCTTGTCGATACTCGGAGTTTGAAAGGGTCCAAACCCGAATCGCAGCAGGGTCGGGCGGGCGGAAGCTGGCGTGGAAACGCAGCCACTGTTGAAGTCGTTTATTAGATGATGACGATAATATATTACGATAGTGATGTGTAGAATTTTTGGTTAGAATAGGATAGTTCTGTTGCTTTTTTTTCTTTTTTATTTCCCCCGCTTTTTGAAAGCCTTCTGCTTTTCTTTACGTTTTATCTGTAATGAATATTTAGTTGTAAATTGATATACAACTACTTTTTGCTGTTTTAGCTGGTGATTGATTAGTATGATTGGAAATGAACAGTAATACTTCTTGTCGATTCACACCATTCTCGTGCCTATTCCTTTTGTAGAAATATACAAAGCCTAACAACAACATTCTTTCTTATTTGAATTGTTCAAGTAGATATTTTACACTGTTGAAATTTCAGCGATGTTAGTTACTCGCACAATAATTGAAAATTACAACTTTACCCCGTTTGTTGCACTTTTTTTATAAAAAATAAATTGAACTATTTATAGAATTAATTTTTTCTCAAATATGCATACATCAAGAGGGAAAATTATTTCATATTTTCTCTCTATATTTTCCTTTAATATTTTTTTCCACTGTAAATTACTATAAGTTCTTGAAATAATTTATATTCAGGTTATACGCCACTCTAAATTTGTCAACGTAAAATATAGGAAGCCACTAGGTAATCAACCCTCGAAGAACCAAAGAAGGTTTAGAAAATTTTTTTTTCCAAGTTTGTTTTGATATTAAAGAAAATTTTATTTTTAGAAATTAAAAATAAAAATAAATTGCTTTCCCTGCGTTAAGGACCTTATATGTCTTTATCCCGCATAGATTGTGGCGAATCTTACCACTCAAAAAAAAAATATCAACTTTGGTGTTGGACAATAGCCACTACCCACTAGCAGAACTTGATTATGAAATATGGGTCCTTCGACAGTGTTAAGGCATATGCCATAAAAGTACCTGTATCTCTATGGACCAAATGGTTAATGGCTATCGAGTCCGAGTCAATTGTTGCAACTCCTACAACTTGTTTTCTAGATTACTTGCACATAGTAATTTTTTACATTACCAGGCCTTTTCGTTTTATTATTTCAGAAGCCATTGATTTCATTTTGTATATCAAACTGATTCCAATTGATGAAATATAAATTTTTATAGATGGATTTTTTTTTTTTTTTTTTTTTTTTTTTAAAGCAAAGGTATTATGTTGTAGTAACGTACAAGAAAAGGTGGGTCGGTTTATAAGCAATGATTAGACCTTAACCGTACAAATATCCTGGACTAGCCATTATGCTAAAGCACATAATGTGATATTTTGTCCTGGAAAAGGAGTGTAAAGCCTATTTCAGAATTATAATTTTCAGGGGAAAAATAAATATCTAGGATTAGCTAATAATTTCCTGACATGTAACAAGGGGTTCTGGTTTCAGTAGTTATCAATTGAAATATGTGTTGTTTGAAATCGTCAAACGTGGCAACATCATGGGTCATATCATTAATCAAAATTTGATATAGAGAATACTCCAGATCGTTCGGTCCATGTCACTAGAATTATTCTCCACTTAGTCGCAGCCACAGAAAATAATTACTTAATTTGTTTAAGGCTTTTACGGTTTTGTAAACATCCAATTCGGCCCAATATAAAATCAAAACTATTTTATTTGCTTTCTTGTTTTTCGAATATTGAAGTTTCGGCCCAATCAAGAAGCCCATGGCCTGCTAATCCCTCCCTTATGTTTTTTTTGACAGTATCCCAAGCTGTTTACTCAAGCCTTTAGGCTTTAGGAGTTGCATTTTTTCTTTTCTTTTCTTTTTTTTTTTTTCTGTATACATTTTATTTTAGTATGCGGGAGGGAATTATGCTTCAAACATTACAAAAAAACCGCACTAGGGCCAAATGGGCCCTCTTCTTTGGGGAAAAGACATTCATATGAAATTAGAATTGTATGGCAAAAAAGCAAATTCCACATTCTAATTCTTTCATTCATCAAAGCAAACCACAAACCACAAAACAAAACAAAGGAGAGCTTAAACGAACCTAAAAAATAAGAAAGAAACAAAGAAATGTTGATGAGAAGCCTTCACTTACACTCCACTGACCACACAATAATAGCTCTCGAGCTCACTTCACTCTTTTTTCTCTTCGTTTCTCTCAGTAACCATGGCAACCTTGTAAAAGCTCATATTTTCGACTATGCAGGTTGTTCTCAAGAGAAATATCAACCCAACTCTCCATTTGAAGGCAATCTTAATTCCCTTTTAGCTTCAGTTGTAAGCTCATCGTCTCAAGCAGCTTACAATAGTTTTGTTATTGGAAATGGAACCTCAGCACCAGCTGAAGATACTGTATACGGTTTGTATCAGTGCAGAGGCGATTTAAAGATCATTGACTGTTCAAGATGCATTCAAAGCGCGGTTAACCAAATAGGGCTTGTTTGTCCATACTCTTTTGGAGCTAGTTTGCAATTAGAAGGCTGTTTTTTAAGATATGAGCATAATGATTTCTTAGGAAAGCTTGATACGGGTTTAAGATACAAGAAATGTAGTAAAAGTGTAAACAATGATGTTGAATTCTTTAGACGAAGAGATGATGTTCTTGCTGACTTGCAAACGGGTATAGGATTTAAGGTTAGCAGTTCAGGTCTTGTAGAAGGATATGCGCAGTGTTTGGGAGATTTAAATCCAGCAGATTGCTCTTCTTGCTTGGCAAATGTTGTTGGGATGTTGAAGAATTTGTGCGGTTCAGCTGCAGCTGCTGATGTGTTCTTGGGCCAGTGTTATGCTCGGTATTGGGCGTCAGGATACTATGATTTCCCTTCAGGTTTATTTCTTACTTCTTGGTTCCTTGCTATTTGCATTAATTTTCCAAATAATAATAATAATAATAATAATAATAAGGAAAAAGAAAAAAGGATCAGAGAGTCATTGCAAGCTTTAATTAAGTCATTTTGTTTGTAGATCAAATTAAGAAACACCAGATTGACCACTTTAGTGCTTTTTGGAGAGAAACAGAGGTTTGAAATTTTCTTTTCCAGGAGTCAACAAGTATTTCTTTTTATAAAGTAAAGCTGTAAGAGGCATCAGCACTTTGGTTGCTTTTCTTTTAGGCACTGCAATTTCTTAATGTTAATCCTTCCTGTATTTAGCTGCTGCTTTTTTTTTTTTTTTTTTTTTTTTTTTTCACATTTTATCTTTATAAGCTCATTAAAACTTTTGTTATTTTACTGTCATTATCATACTTAGTTAGCACCTAAATTTATCTGTTTTTTTTTTTTTTTTTTTTTTTTCACATTTTATCTTTATAACTCATAAAACTTTTGTTATTTTATCTGTATTAATCATACTTATTAGCACCTAAATTATCTGGTGGAAGGAAAAGTTACTTTTGTTCCATTATTTATTGGTCACATTTCAACAATGCAATAGACAGAATTGAATGCTATGATTTGCCTTAGAAGTTCTACTGATAGATGATAAGAGGTTCCAAATTAAAGAGAAAGCTGGAATATTTAGACAGTCATTCCAAACCCAAATAGTTTAGAATCTAATTGTTCCTTTGTGTTGTTAGCATTCAATTATGAACTAGAAAGAACAAAAGCTAATATCTCATCAGTACCTCTCAAAGTGGGAAACTTTTTTTTTAAAACTATTAACATAGAAAATTAACATAGAAAATTAAGAGGATAAGAAAAAGAGAGAGAGAGATTTAAGAAAGAATTGTATATGTGGTAGTGGCAGCTTTGTTTATTCTCTTTATGTAGGCATTTGCATAGGACTAATTCCCTTGCCTTTTGCTTTTAATGGGTATTGTATCAGATTCCTCCAGCGAGGATCAAGTGGGAAAAACAGTAGCAATCATAGTTGGTATACTAGCAGGTCTTGCTGTTCTAGTTGTTCTTCTCTCAGTCTGCAGGAAATCAATGGGTAAATTAAATTTGTCTTGATTAATTCTATTCTTGATGATAATTACAACTTCTTAATCATCAAGGTAATGATGATGGTGTTCTTGGATGCAGGTTAATCAAGAAGATAGATATGAGAGAGATGTGGATTCTTTCAAAGAGTTGATGTTTGTTTTAAATATTCTCGTGATAGATAATGATACTCTGCTTTTGTTCATTTAAATAGACAAAAGTTTTTGCACGAAAAAGAAAATGGGTTTCGAGTGTTATCCTCTGGCATAAAGTAACACTAATTTCTATCAACTTCTAAATGACCGATGAATCGTGATTCCCTTCCCCAACCCCAATTCATTCTGTCGGCTATAATCAAGAAGGAAATGTTTCCTTCGAAAAGTAGAAAACATGAGAAGGGTATGGGCCCTGCTGTGGCAGGCAGGCCTTTCGTGGGCCTAATCTAATACTAGGCTCTAACATTTAGTAACAAAATCTATGAAGGTCAAATTTGGGCCCAAATACGGTCTTTTGGTTTTTTGGGCTTTTATAAGGATTGGGATTCGAACTTGATCTCCGCTTTCAGAGCAAAGAAGTTTGATTTGAGTCGATTTTAGTAATTTCATGCATGGAGAACGAAACGTTCCTCCAAAGAACAAGTAGCGAAATGGACTAAAGTTCAAAAAGAAAGAAAAGTACAAGCAGACCAGTCAAAAAGCCAAAGTGAAAAATTGGACATCTCACTATCATCATTCATCAACCTACACCTCCTAGTTAAACGAGGGTGGGTGTCTTAATCTTCTGGAAAAGAATAGTAAATATTTCCAAAATTCAATACTCAATATTCCTTCCCTTTCATAAATTGTCCAAGCAACTCCTCTCTTTCTTTCTTTTTTAAATATTAAATAAAAAAAATTAAATGTGGATTGAGATTAATTCTGTTTCAATATCATATTTAATAGCTAATTAATTAGTCAGCAGATTCATTAATTAACCAAGCAATTGATGGATGATAGAACACGTTATTTAATCAGTCAATGATGGAATGATGATTATCCATATATTAATTAAAAATAAAATGTCAATGATTTTGTCATCTTAACTAACTACATATATAAATATAAAACAAAGTAGAAACTAAAACAGCATTCGAGCCACATGAACTTAAGAATAATATAAAAACTCAGTATATTAATGGTTTTTTTTTTTCCTCAACTTACAGTTCCACAAACATTAAACAATGTTATACACCTTAATTAATTATTTCTTCCTTCCTCGGCGATGGAATTTTCCTTATTTTAGTGCCATAAAGGAACTGAATCAAATGACGAAATATACATACATACAATTAAAAATGAAACGAATCAAAGGCCAGAAGTAAATGGAACATTAGTCCCCGGCAACCAAGAATTTCCTGAAATGAAATTTCCAACAGTAAACTGTGAAGCTTCGGTTGGACTGGTAATGACGTGATAGCCTTTCCAGTTAACTCTATTAGCAGTAGATGAGCCAGGACCAGTGTTCATATACTCGCCATAGTATAGAGTATCAAGAGCAAAATTACCGCTCCATTCCATCCAACCTGCTGGATTAATTAAACTATCAAGATATGTTTTCATAAAAACAGTTCTGGAATACTGTTTCCATGGTCTTCCAAGATATGTCCGGACCGAGCCTTGAACGGGTGTTAAATCGGAAGCGGCTGTAACTCTAGAGTTATGAATTGAAATTCCAGTGTTCTGGTTAGGGTCAGTCCTGCCTTGAGCAGTAAGAGTGTTGGTCTTATTAGGGGGATTGCGCGGGTAAATATTGCAGTTTTGGAGAACAACCGCAGCGTTACCGAAGATGAAATCTACAGTTCCGTAAATGTCACATTCTCTATAGAACTGTCTTTGGGAATGAACATAGAGAGTGTCTTGATACCCTTCGAAACTGCATTTGTAGAACACAGAAAGATCAGCCCCGGATCGGAGTGCTACTGCTTGATGGTTTTGCGGGCCAGCAGTGTTTCTAAATGTCATGTCGCGAGCAATAAATCCGTCACCAACAACCGCTGAAACCAAATCCCAATATAATTAATTAGTTAAAGAAAGCTAATTGAATGTTCTTCAAGAAATAGCAGTAAATTTGAATGAATCTCATTTTTCTTTTTTAAAATTCAAACACCCAATTAAAGGTCTTAATTTCCTAGATGTCTTTTTTTTTATTCTTTTTTGGTAACATAAAGAAGGTAACAGCCTTAATAGCTCATATTAGGTTCCTAGATGTCTTGTTATTACTAAATTAATTAATTCTTTGCTAGCACATCAAAACATAAGACTTTCTCTCTCTTTTGTGGGGCAAATCTTAATATTAGTAATTATAAGACTTGCATCAATTGGGTACTAAATGTCAATACTTGCTTTTGAAGCAATCAAAAACCTATTGCTCGCAACCTTTGAAGTCAAGAACCACTAAGAACCTACGAAGGTAATATATGGTGGCCACGAAAAAGACATAAAACTTTTTTTTTTTTTTTTTTTTTTTCCTTTGAAGATCAAGAACCCCTAAGAACCTTACGAAGGTAATATATGGTGGCCACGAAAAATACATTACAAACTTTTTTTTTTTTTTTTTTTTTTTTGGTTTGGTCCCATGTATAAACGGACCAGAGCTGATGATTTTCGAGCCAATCAATTTTGTCGACTTTGACATTGCAAAAGCTAATAATTTAACAATCTTCTATTTTTCCCCGCCTATTACTCTTCCTCTTGACATACGAATTTTATGTAAGAATTTCTTTCTAACCAAATTTTTTATCAACTTAATTATTTAGCAACCCAAAAATTTCAGAAATCTTATATAAATTAGCGTAACAAGACAAATCCAAAGAATAATCAATTTGGAATGTAAAAGGTAACTTTACCAAAGGTTAGCTTGAATTAATGTAGTGGCACCCCTCCAACACTTTTGCTTCCTGTAACATAGTTTTCCAATACCTCTCCAACAAAACATGATTTTTTTTTTTTTTTTTTTTTTGGTTTGGTCCCATGCTATAAACGACAGAGCTGATGATTATTCGAGCCAATAATTTTGTCACTTTGACATGCAAAAGCTAATAATTTAACAATCTTCTATTTTTCCCGCCTTACTCTTCCTCTTGACATACGAATTTTTTTATGTAAGAATTTTCTTTCTAACCAAAATTTTTATCAACTTATTAATTAGCACCCAAAATTTCAGAAATCTATTAATTAGCTAACAAGACAAAATCCAAAGAAATAATCAATTTGGAATTAAAAGTAACTTACCAAAGGTAGCTGAATTAAAGGTAGTGGCACCTCCTCCAACACTTTTGCTTCCTGTAACAATAGTTTTTCCAATACCATCTCCAACAAACATGATGTTCTTCAAACTTTTGCCTATTTGAACATTTTCTTTATATGTCCCTGATTTCACATATATTATATACCTTCCAGTTCCTGACCTTTTTGAGGCTGCAGCAACTGCTTCATTAATTGTCTTGTAATTTCCTGACCCGTCTTGTGCCACCACAATATTAGCTTGCGAAGCAGGTGAAGTTGACTGCAAAAGTTTCCGGTCACCAGGTTTCAGCCATGTAGGGAAACCCTCTTTGTAACTTGGTTCAGTGTATGGTACTTTGTTAAGAGCCAAAGTATTGCAAATTAACTTCGACACGTTATTCGACATTAAGGGCAAAATATAATCAGACACTCCAAGCTCCTCGAACCCGGTTTTACACGTTTCTAAATTGGTTAGAGCTGTGCTTAGCCATGTTTGTGCATCATATTTTGAGCATTTGCTAGTAGTGGTTTGGTTGAGCCAAAGAACTGTGTATTCATAAAGCTCGAGGCAATCTGCCCATGCAGCCTTTTCTCGCTCATTTCTGCACTTTTTGCCTAATGAGTACGTATGGGCTTGTGCATGCAGGGCACGCTCTAAGGCTAGTTGCTTCGAAATTTTGAGAAAATCAGATTCTTGTTTGATGGGAATGTTTTGTGGCTCATGGCTTAAAAAATATTCACAAGGTCCTGGATTGGGTGTTTTCTTGCACCAAGATTGGACCTCTAAGTGATCATACCCTAAAACGGTTGTGGAGAAGAGAAGAGGAACGAAGAAAAGGGCTATCAGAACTCGAAGCTCCATCGATGATGGTACGAATATCCAATAGCAAATTAATTAAATTGCAAAAGCTAGCTAGGGTTTATGAGTTTGTGTGTTGTGCGGTTCATGTCCTAAATTTTGTTCCTTTATATAGAGTGATGGTCGTGCATGTTTATTAGCTACAGTAATGGGATAGCACAATACTTGCACAACCTTCTCTTTTCCTTCTATTTAATTTAATTTATCCTGCATTATTAATTTCGGATAACAAGAATCATTACATTTATATTATTCAAATTAATAATCTTCAACTCTTAATTTAACAATAAGCGAAATAAAAATATGCTAAATTATTTATCATTGCTGTATATATATAATTATTATATAAAAAGTGTTTTGACTCAGAGGGCATGGAACGCGTTATTGACATTTTCTTTCATTTATACAAGCATGAAATAGCTTAGACTCTCATGCAGAGAAATTAAATGGAATAATATATACAAGCAAGAACCTCCTGCCGCTCTAACAAACAGAATGATTCGCACTTGTATTTTGATTGGCAAATGTATATTAATTAATGGTCAGCGAAAATTGGCTTATCCAGTTGTGATTTAAATATTTTCATTGGAGGGTTAAATTTTTCTATTATATGATTAAACATATTTTTTTCCAGGTTTTGCTTAATGGGAATAGTACCTCCCCTTAAATTCTAGGCCAACCAATAAGGTTGGTGTGGGGAAAGCCCTAGCTGGTCATTGTCAAGTGGGATAAGTATAGTTATTTAGTTTATTATATGTACGTAACAGTTACCTAAATTAATTAATCAAGAAAGCATTACCCTCAAAAGTCTAAAGCGCAGCAGCAGCCAACAATTCCATTCTTGGATATGATTGTCACCACCTACCCAACTCTAACCAAGGTTTGGACCTTAAAATTCCTTACCTTTGAAACCATATAGTGCGTGTTGGAGCTGTAGATGGTTTTATGTATGTAGGACTTTTTTCTGCGACTAAATAAATTAGTTATGAGATTAGAACAAGTAATTGGAAAATTTTATGGAAATTAGACATTTATGTTTTTGACTTGCCAATTCAAAGTTTTAAACTCTCCCACGCCATATACTTGTGTTGTACGAGCCTTACGTAATCTGCATCCTCATCCATCTAACTCTAGGTTAGGTAGGACTTTATCCAACATATTTCCGGTTTTTAAAATCCCATTGTATAATTTTCAACGGAGAGGATATAGAAAAAAAAAATTAAAAAACAAAGTTAAAATATTATTATTAGTAGATATTTATAATTTTAATTAGATGAATAATAAATTTAAATCTTCACATATATGCTCAAATACGTTTTGAATGATCCTGGAGAATAATAGAGACAATATTCAAATTTAGCAAACTTCAATTCAATTATTAAATCCTTCTTATATTAAATCATTAGACTCTAAATAAATGCAGCGAAGTAATTAATTAATTAATTAATACATGCTAATTTTCAGGTTTACATGAATCATAAATAACTACCTTTTCTTTCCCTTTTCAAAAGAAAACCTCTTTTATGCTTAAAAAGAAAAGGATAGAAAAAATGAAAATAAATCTTTTATTATTATTATATTATATTATATTATAGAAAAAATATAAAATTGTAAACTACCTAATGGGAATATATTATTATTATATTATTGTAAATATAATGGGAAAAAATAAATTATATTATAGAAAAAAAAATAGAATTGTAACTACTGGCAATGAAATCTGATGGGAATATTATTATTATTATATTATTCTATTCTGATTGGAATTAGTTAGTAACTAAATAGAATTATATTAATCCAAAAATATACTGCTTACAGTTGACCCTGACCATTTCTAAACTACCTATTCTTTTATTTCCAAATGACAAATCAATGCAGGTCATAGTTTTGTTCTTCCTTATATATTTACTTAAAAGAGACATTTATGGTTAGTTAATTTATATTTACTTTTCTATTTCAAAATGAAATTATTTGTAATTTTTAAATAATTAATTTAGCCTGCAGCTCGAGACACATTACCAAACACGAGCTTCTAAATTGATTTCTACAGGCAATTTGATTTTATTTTAATTAGTGATTAACTCACATAAATATTTGTATGAATTGTTTAACAATTTGGTAAAATCCAAAAAACTTCTTCTGTCAGTATGCGTGCGATTGCTTGGCTAACTTTGTAATATGAACAAAATTTCGTTTTCAAATAACGTTTTGAGGCAATCTTTAATTACTTCCCATTTGTCCAAGAAAAAACATAATTGATTATGTTTTACTCTTTTTCACGTTTTAATAAAGCAGTACCTTAGTTGCAATGATTTCCTTTACGTTTTAATAACGCCTTAACGGTTTAGTTGTTACAACTTACAAGTGTCTCAACTCGCCTGGACAGCAATAATACATTAAGTTACAGTTGGACTTTTACTATGTCGTACGACGTCGTTATCAGAAATCATATATCCTAAAGTTGTTAATTGTCGTCGTACTTTGTTACTAACTTGGCTATCTCAAGCATTCCAATTAAAACACGTTATTTCCCCTGCCCCGAACACCATTTGATACATACATAACCATATTGCTTGTGGCCTGGATTGGATCCGTGACCATTTCGACTATATGACTCATCATTTCATCAATTTTCCTTCACGCCATCCATCACTTCTAGAATGAAAAGGTGACTGGATGTATATTGACCCTGACTATTCCTAAACTGCCTAATTACATTAAAAGGTCTTCTCTTCGGGTTTGCTATTCTATGAAGTCAAGTACATACATCAACACGTGTCCAATCTATCACCCCGACATATCACCACGCCTTACTTGATCTGCGCCTCGTGGTCAACATCAAGTCGTTGAATCCGAGTCTTGTAGAGAACTTCTAATATAACCGTTTCACCTTACAAAAAGAATTAATCTCTCGTTTAAATGAAAAATAGATAAAAAATATAAATTTTTAATAATAATGATGATAAAAATAAAATCCTTATATATAGGTGAATGGCTTATATTAATATTTATTTTTTATAAGCAAGAAGTATTTATTAGTATTATATTAATTATTCAGCCCTTACATTAAAGAATAAGAGATAATCTTACAATAATCAAACTTTAATCGAAGTTAAACTAAACTAATGATTTAAAATAATTAGTGTAAATTATAATTTGGATACCCAGTCAGTCGAGTATGAACCTTTGCATGCATCAGCATCACCATTGAAGCTTAGCTCCAGTCACGACATGCATGCGTGATTCTCATTGTCATTGACACATGGCCATTACAATTATCTACGTGTTTCCTAGCTTCGTGATCTACCCATCTAGTTAAATTCCATTTTCGAACGCACACTCCTTTTTCCTTAAGTCCATAGTCATCACATCCAGAACACTAGAAATGTCAATCTCTGTTATCACCATCTTTTTCATTCTCCTAACCATGGCTACCTCTTCCAGCTTTTGCCTTCAAGGGCTGGAGGCAATTCAAATGGCCCAGAATCAAATTGCTCAAGTGAGAAACTGGGCTACTCAGACGTTACAAGATGATGATTCGAATCATGTTAGTGTGCCTTTCAACGATTGTGTCAAGCTTTATAGTGAAAGTGAGTTTCGACTCTCGCAACTGCTTGCGAGTGAAAATTACACCCGTGATGATACCCGCACGTGGCTAAGCGGTGTGCTAGCTAATCATAAAACTTGTTTGAATGGCTTGAACGAGAAAGGGTTTCTTCAAACTCAACCAATAACTCGCAATTTGACATTTTGGCTTAATGAGGCCCTAGCCTTTTACAGAAAGGGAAGGGGAAAAAGGAATGGTAAATTTGTTATTTTTAATTATTTTTTTTCCAAGGTTAAGCGGTAATTTTCTTGTTATGTTCATATGGCTAGTAGACCTGTTTATTTCTCAGGCTGGGCTGGGCCCGGGCTTAATGGAGATTACTATCTCCAAACCTTCGACTAGGTCCAACCCAATTTGAATTTGACCTACGTGAAAACTAATTGAACCTTTTATGAATTTGACATGCATGAAAGTTATTTGAACATTTTTTAAAAGGAGAAATAGTAAATTTGCCCATTTTAAGGTAAGGCTTTAAATAGGTCGAACAGCTAGTTTCTCTAATGGTTTCATTTTATGAAAAATCATCAGATGCATAGTGTGTTTAACGCTTGTATGGTCACATTTATACAAATTCACATAAATATATGTAATTTGTTATATATTATAGTAATTGTTTCTCTTCTGGTCCACATGCAATTAGATCTTTATCATACGTGTCGTTGGGCAATGCAAAATCTTAATTAGTTAGACCGAAATATAATTAAATTTGTTGCAAAAAGTATATTTTTAATATATATTAATTATAATTATATTTGATATTTAAATTTATTAAAACATGTCAATGTGAAAATCACATTCTTTTCCTATTTTAAGAATTGTTTTGCCTAAATTCTCTTTAGGATGATTCAAAATCGAAAAACTTAGTTAATAAATTAAAAATAAAAAAGTCAAAGAATATGAAAATTGAAAATAATTTGTTTTTATTTCCTTTTTCTTTCTTCTATAAAAAGATTAATATTTTATTTTTATTTTTCCTAGAATTTTAGATATTATCTATTATTTTAAAATATTTTAAAATTAGATTCTAAAATTAGTTTTTTAAAAATACATAATTGATCATAATATTCTAAATTGATTATAATTTCAAGCTTATATTCTAAGATTATTCTAAGCTATTTATTTAAGCACTGATTGATTCAAAAGCAGCTCCCGATCCTTCAAGAAAATATTCGATTTGATCTCTGTTTATTTTCGTAAAATAACTTATAATAAAATATTTTTTATAATTTTCCGTTGTTTAGGTGCTCAGTAAAATAAGTCAACGGAAAATATTTTCCTGATTAAAGAAAAATTAAGTCATTTTTTAAGGAAAACAACTTTCTCTTATTTTCGAGAGAGTAAAATATTTTTCGAATATTGGCGAATCTTATAAATCTATATTTTTTAATTTATTAATCATCATAGTCACCATCACTCGTCACCATTTATCACCGGTGGCTTTTATAATTTATATATTTTTTCATTCATTTTGTATTTAACAATAAAATTTTTAAATTATAAAAGTTCTATCATTATTAATATTTTTTATGTTCTTATGAGATAAATATTTTAATATTTTTATTAATTTTCAGTATTATAATATTACAATCAAACAATCGAAAATAAATCATGAAAATATTTTTCAGCAAATTATTTTTATGTAATTTATTTTGTTGTAAACAAATGGAGCCTAATAATCTGTAATTTACTTTGTTGTAAACAAACGGAGCCTAATAAATTGAATATTTATTGTTCTCCCACTTATAAATAACTGAATTCTCTTAGTTTCTTCCATTGAAGGAGTACCACTACCAGGAAGACCGATTAATAATCATGGCGGAGGAATTCTAACATCATGGGATCCAGCAACTTCAAAGGCAGATTTCACAGTGGCCAGGGATGGTTCCGGTACTCATAGAACAATAAACGACGCAGTAGCTGCACTTAATAGAATGGTTAAAGGAAGATCCCAACGAATAATAATACACGTGAAAGCAGGCGTTTATAATGAAAAAGTAGAAATCGAAAAACACCACCATGATGTGATGCTTGTTGGCGACGGCATCGGTAAAACCATTATCACAGGCAGTCGAAATGTCCGAGACGGTGATTCAACCTTGAGCTCAGCTACCTTTGGTAAGACCAGACCAGACCAGACCAATAAGGAAATGGAAAAATACTAACTTATGATTGACCAGTAATGGAGTTCAATTTGCCATATTTTTGCAGGGGTTTCAGGAGATGGATTTTGGGCTAGAGATATAACATTCGAGAACATAGCTGGTCCCAATAAACACCAAGCAGTGGCATTGAGGGTTAGCGCAGATCGATCAGTCTTTTACCGATGTAGCATCCAAGCTTATCAAGACACTCTATATGTCCATTCGTTAAGACAATTCTATCGCGATTGTCAAATATACGGTACAGTAGATTTCATATTTGGTGATGCTTCAGTGATTTTTCAAAATTGTGACATCTTTGTAAAAAGACCAATGAACGGCCAAACCAACTATATAACCGCCCAAGGAAGAGATAATCCTAATGAAATCACAGGAATTTCTATACACAGATCAAGAGTTAGGCCTTCACCAGATTTTGTTGCTGTAAAAGGTTCATTTAAGACTTTCTTGGGCAGGCCATGGAAGAAATATTCGAGGACAGTGTTTATGCAGACGGATCTTGATGGTTTAATTGATCCAGTGGGATGGGGAAAATGGGGTGGTAATTTTGCTCTTTCAACTCTGTTTTATGCAGAATATATGAACACAGGCAATGGTGCATCGACTACAAGGAGGGTGAAATGGCCTGGTTTTCATGTGTTTAACAGCCCTGAACAAGCTCTTCCTTTTAGTGTGAACAGGTTCATACAAGGAGAGTCATGGATTCCGGGTAGTGGCGTGCCATGTTGGCTTGAAATTTAAGGGTGTGTCGTGTGTATGATATTACAATGTGCATGGGCATATGTGTAGCAAGTTTGCCCCAGATGTGGAGCTAATGTTAAATTTTTAGTGGCGTCCAGTAAGAAAATGGAGCGTTTCAGCAAAACTTACTCGTTTGCTAATAGCAAATTTAAAAGTGAGTCATATCGAATGAGCAATGTGATAGAGTAAAAACTAAATAATAATGGAGGAGTATTTTTATGTTGTGAGGTGACCACTCAGTCGAACTCACACTTTGTCGAAAATAAAAGATGGTAGGTGATACCACGTGCAGTTTGAAAAAAAAAAAAAAAGAAAAGAAGTCTTTGGTAGGTGATCCGTTGGTAGATAGATGCGTTCACACATCCACCTCCCCTAATCAGGCTTCCACCTCTCCTATAAGTAGGAGATGGTGCTAGAGCTTCAATATAACAACGAGCATATAACAACGAGCAGAGCAAAAACAAAAGAGAGAGTTTTGAGTTTTAGAACGAGTTCTAAAACTTGGATAGTTAAAATAGTGAAGATAATTTTAGGGTATTTTTGGGAAAAGCGCCACTATTTTGTATTACTCTCTTTGTAAGCCTACTATTTTTAATAGTGGAAAAAATATTCGGTTTTTATCCCGTGGACGTAACCCTAAAAAGTTAAAGGGTGAATCACGTAAATATCTCTGCGTCATATTTATATTTTTCCGCTGTGTTATTATATTCTCGTAATTTTATTGCCGGGTCTAACATTTTATGCTTCAAATCCTCTATTTCTCTAGTTTTTATGCGGCTTTGCTTCTGCAAATTGACACCTTTCTGTCTAAGCCTTGGCAAGCACAGATACGCCATTGCTTTCGAAAGGCTAACAGGGTGTTGCTGATATTCTTGCGAACACTGCGACTTTTGCTACTGAGCATCTGCAGGTTTTCCGTTCTCATAAGGTAGAGGTTCAGGCGGCTCTTCGTGAGGATGTTCAAGGGATTAGCCTGCCGCGTTTGGTTAATGTTAGTTAATTTCTGTGTTTCTTGGGTGTGAGCCCCCTTAGTATCCAAAAAAAACAAAAAAAAGACTAACAATTTTTTTAACTGAAAAGACTAATACTTTAACTCAATCAATATCCTTAATTTATTTATTATCTTGATAGAGATTAATAAATAAAATCATTATTCTTTTTAATTTATCACGCTTTTATATATCTTTAATGTAGAAAATTATTTGTAGTTTACTAAGACTATAAATTAAATTAAATTTTAAAAATAATATACATATATATACACCCTACTTACTGCTACTATCATTATGTTATAAAATTTTGCATCATTATAAGTTTAAAATATTATAAAAATTATAAAGAATAAAAAATAAAAATAGTTATTTATCTTTTTTTCTTTCTGAAGGTTGTAGCATAAATAATGGTATTAAAATGTGAGATATTAATCTTAAAAAGAAACTCCCTTTTACTATGTTGTCCGTTCTATTAAATTTGCTAGTTTTTTTTATTCTTTTCCAATTTAAATGACATTTTTAAAAAATCAAAGTGACATTAATTATTTTTTCTAATTTTGCCATCGTTTAAATATTTAAACTAAAATTTTTTCAATTAAAATAGCACAAATTAAAAGATAATATAATTAATATTGAAGTGGTTCAATTATTATTTTTAATTATTATAGTAATTAATAAGTGTATTTGATAGAGATAATAATTACATTTCTCTAATAATTAATCGGAGGTTAAAAAAAAATAAAAATAAAATTGAGTAAATATAGGAGACCTTGCCACTTTACCAGTGTATCAATTCACTCCCTGTTATTATTATAGCCAAAGTGGAAAACTAAAATCGTTGGCGCAGTAAAGCTGAGACATGTTTCATCTTTTGACCATCTAGATAATATCTGATTTCGCCCTCGCCGGTATCGTGTCCGCCGTCTTTCCTCTGGAAAACCCTAGCTGTTCCTTCACCTTGCTGTTTAACAGAGGCTTCGCGAATTAAAATCCTCCGCCGGAAGACCTATAGTCAACCCGAGGTTCGTGATCTTTGTTACCTTTAGTAATCTGAAATCAAGTGGCGCAACTTCCTCCCGAATTCAGGTCCATAACCACTCACGGCAATTGGCCGTTTTTTTTTTCAGCTTATTGAACTGATCAATCGCCAAGAGAGAGTTGTGGGGTTCAATGGCCGGCGGCTCTGATGTGGCGGAATCAACTGCCTTATCGTGTGTTCAATGCGGGAAGCCTGCGCATCTGCAGTATGTAAATTATTTTATTCATCTCTTTAGTTTTTAAGTGAAAATTTTGCCTTGAGTTTGTTGATTTCACTCTTCTTACCATTTTAGTGCATTGATATTGAAATCAAACTCTAATGATCAGGAAGCTAGAGCCTTTGTGGCAGGTGTCAAAAATTTTTCTTGTTACGCGAGATTGGATATTCGTGATATTGAGATGTTGTGTTCTGCTTCTAGCTTACTAAGTTTCTACTATTACATGTAGAATATAGTTGACGATAGTCAAGCTGTTACCTTTTATGTATTCCAATAGAATTTTTAGCTTCTTCACCTAGTGGTTCTTATCCTCAGATATCTTATTCCGTACGAGATTTTGTTTTTGCAGGTGCCCGAAGTGCATGGAATTAAAGCTTCCTCGTGAAGGTGCTGCTTTCTGGTATGTAATCATTATCTTTGGCTTTTGCCAGTAATCTGTTTGAATGCATAATGGCTATGCTCTGGCTGCTAATGAATAACTTTTTATGAAGAATTTGAGGAAATATTCAGATATTTTTAAATTGTGTTTTTACTTGCAACCTTTCCCTTAAACATGTTCAAGAAAAGGTTTGAATTTTCTAGTTAGCATACAATTTCTTTACGTTTTTTGTGTTCTCCTTTCCTTATCTTTTTGTTTTCATTTCTTCACTTAGTTATTTATTGCAACTGAAAAATCTTTTCTTTTTTTCCCTCTTGCAAATCCTTCTCAATTTTAATTGAATGTGATAGCATCCATATCACTTGTTCAAATCTTTGCATTGTGATGATTAGTCAAATTGATGCAATTGGAATTTATTTGATATTCTTATATAACTAATTCTTTGATTCTGCTATACACGTACTCATATATGTTTCTTGAAATCAAGTTAATCCTATTCTCCATTTCTATGTTGATGAAATTGTTTTCTTCTCAGCACCCAGGATTGCTTTAAGTCTTCTTGGAGTTCTCACAGATCAGTTCATTTGAAGGCAAAGTTGTCTTCAATTAGTAATGGTACTCCAGGTGAACAAAATTCAGATTTACTAAATGAGGGTTGGTTATATTGCTTGAGGGCAGGACAGGCTCGAACTCCAAAACTTCCTCATTTTGATTGGACAGGGTATTTGTGAACGACTGTTTCTCAATCAATAAAATATGCCTTATCTTTTTATTAATTAGCTTCTAACCATATAATTCCTAATTTGTCCAACTTTTCTGTTCTCCTCATCTTTTGGCTTGCTGACATTTCTTTTCTTTGATGAGGTCAGTGGATTGGGGATCATGATATATCCTTATTCTTCGTGCTTGCTTTGAAGCATTATATTAGAAATGGTGTTTGTTGACTAGTGACAATCAGTTCAATCAGTTATAAAGACACCTAGTTTTGTGAAATATTGAAAAGATAATGAGTGATTGGGAAAGAGCTAGTACCCTGGTATTAGTTCACAACAGGGATTAACTAGGTCACTACTGGAATTTAGGGTGGCTCATCTATCTCTACAGGAATAGAAATATTTATATTGTAACATGTCTAATTAACACCCCACCTGTTTTTTTATTCTTTATTTTTTTTAATCAGGCCTCTGCCCTTTATTTTCTTACGTCATAATGGATTTTTCTTTTTGCACAGGCCTCTAAGACCATATCCTATATCCCCTATGCGTGTGGTTCCTGATCAGATTGATAAACCTGATTGGGCAATGGATGTAAGTTCATTATTAGCTTCTTTCAAAATCTTGAACAACAGCTTCTACTTGTTCTTTTGTTTTAGAGCCATTCAAAATGAATATGAATGTCATTTAAATTATTAATATGTTTATTGTCCATATAAGTCGGTGTCCACACTTTATAATTTCAATTTGGACATTATTGTGCCAAATTGCTTCAGTGCCAAGAACTTTCTTCATATTACATTCCCACTTGTACCCTTTTCTGTTACAGGTGTCTCATTGTCATACATCACTGAAGTGCTTTTTTTTCCCCTCACTATCATTTTCAGGGAATCCCAAAGATTGAACCCAACAGTGATTTACAGCGTGTTGTGGAGGTAAATTTATTTTAATTTGTTAATGGCGTTTTACATACTTTTTTTATAGTATTCTGCTTAATGTCCAATTGTGCACATATAAGTTGGATGTAATTATTGAGTTCATATAAATATGTACAAGTATATGAAGTTCCTTATAGGTTCCTTTTCCTATCTTCAATTGCATATGCTGTAGATCAAAACTCCAGAACAAATTCAAAGAATGCGAGAAACTTGTCGGGTAAGTTATCCATCATAAACCTCCTGTAGAATTATATTTTTCTAGCAGCATATTTATCTTGCGTCTTTCAGTGACTAAATGGCATTTAGCAATTTACATGTAGGTCCAGGCAGTGTGGTGCGCCCTATGTTAGCCTAATTTTTTATATTGAGATCTCATCTTATTATTGCTGAACATAACATTTCATGGGCAACAACTATGACTTCAGCTAACAAGAATTTCTGTTAGAAAGAAACAAAAAATGTCCTATACAAAAATCTAGATTACAAATTATCAGAACACTATTATGTTAAATACTAGATTGTAGTCCATTCTTGTGGCTGACTAGAATTGGATGCAACAGCTTTGTGTTTTACATCTTTGTAATCTGTCTGATTTAATATCTTTCCTCAATGGACTTGTTTGAAATCATTCTGCAATAGCTCATACCAAGTGATAGGTGCAAACATTTTGTGAAATTTAACTTAAGCCTGTCATTCTGTTTTCTAAGTATTGTTAAGACGGGGTAGTGAAAGCATTGATCAGGTGTCTAACATACGTTGTGCTCTTCATTGATAGTTCCTTATACTACTTTATTCTCTGTTCATTTGTTTTCCTTTCAATGAATCGGGGAGGCTCTTTTTACCATGGGTAGCATTCTGTCATCCTTGTACAATATCTCCATCCCAATTATATTCATTGATCATTATCTGCAAAACTTGTAACTCTCAGATAGCAAGGGAGGCTTTGGACGCCGCTGCTCGGGTTATTCGGCCTGGTATAACAACTGATGAAATAGATCAAGTGGTTCATGAGGCAACTATTGCAGCTGGTATGTAGATAAAGGTTCACAATTGATAAAGTTCTAGATGCATGCGTGCCATTGTCTGCTGTGATTTTTGCCTGCTAAACTTTACTGTTTTTTTATATGTACTTACTGCAGGAGGATATCCGTCTCCTTTAAATTATTATTTCTTCCCAAAGTCATGCTGCACGTAGGTAGTCCTATCTTTTCCTTAATATTCCTTTGGACAACAATATACTGATCAAGAAGATCTGTCTGTTGCAGGTCAGTTAATGAGGTGATCTGCCATGGAATTCCTGATGCCAGGTGCATGCTAATTCCACCGTGAAAAAATACCTGTAACGCTGGGCACTTTGTAGACTAAAATCTGAACAATGATGCAATATTATTATATAGTCTCATATGCATGCCTTATCTCTTTTACCATTGTAATGTAATAGCATGTAATGAACTGTCTAGTGTCTTTGTAAAAGCATCTGAGTTGAAGCTAAATTTTTCTTCACTGCATCAGGAGATTGGAGGATGGTGATATAGTAAATGTAGACGTGACTGTGTACTACAAAGGTGTCCATGGTAGGAATTTCTTCCAGGTCATTGTGGTAGAATTTCTCTTATTTGTTAAAAAATTCTAGAAAACCTGGAGATATTTGTTGAGCAGTGGCTGAAACATTGTGTAGGTGATCTCAATGAAACGTATTTTGTCGGAAATGTTGATGAAGCATCTCGTCAGTTGGTCCAGTGTACTTATGAATGCTTGGAGAAAGCAATATCCATTGGTATATGTTATGATTGTGCTGTTTCTCTTCTCGAATGCATTTGTATGTGTGTGCATCATGCAAGCATTTATTTCTGCACATTTATTCTCTTAATTGGATTTTGAAGCGGGTGGGTCACTAGGGAAATTCTTAATCATGTTTTCCTTTCTAATTTAAGTTTGCCCTTTTGAGGTTGCATGTTTCATTTTAGTAGATTCTATACAGTCTGTTTTCCAGAAGTGCCTCAGGAATGTAACTCGGTTCTGCTTTTGCTGAATTGTATCAGCATATTTATGATTTATGAAAGAAGATTCCAGCTTCAATATCTTTTTTCTTGTTTAATGTTGAGTCAGTGAAACCTGGAGTTCGATTTCGTGAAATTGGAGAAGTAATTAATCGTCATGCTTCAATGTCAGGGTTATCTGTGGTAATGTACTTATGGCCAAGATTTATATACTTCATTATAAACTTGTTGGCTGTGTTAACAATATATACATATTCTTTTCTTCTGGGTTAAAACAGGTGAAGTCATATTGTGGCCATGGTATTGGAGAGCTCTTCCATTGTGCACCAAATATTCCCCATTACTCAAGTATCCTCTGTAAACAAGCTTTTAAATATGATATTTTCCATAATTTCATCGACTCTTGCAGCGGAGGATTGCAATAATATAACTCATCTACGTCCTGTTTTCTGCTTTTGATCAAGTGTTTGCCTCCATAGAACAGGCGGTTGGGGATTTGAACATTGCAAGTCCCTCTCCCCTTTAGAACATATATATATATATTCTTTTATTTTTTGGGTCCTTAATCTGAGCAGAAAATAAAGCTGTTGGGGTGATGAAGGCTGGACAGACCTTCACTATTGAACCCATGATTAATGCAGGTAGCTTTCCAGTACTTTGAATTGATAGGATAGTGTTTTCCTTTTTGGGGTAGCGATGTCTAAAATTGATCTAAATAGGGGTTTGGCGCAATCGGATGTGGCCTGATGGATGGACTGCTGTTACAGCAGATGGCAAACGCAGTGCTCAATTTGAGCATACTCTTTTGGTAAATTTGCTTTCTCTCTGTTTCCTTATCTTTCTGCTTCTAATTATTATCGTCGCCTGATAACATTCTAGGCCTTTGCATCAGAAACTAACATTTATGGGACTAAATGTTTATGTTGCAAATGATGCAGGTGACAGAAACTGGAGTAGAGGTTCTTACGGCGAGGCTGCCATCATCCCCCAGCGTCTTCTCGTGGCTAAATGCATAAATGGCCTGTGTTCGGGTCGTGGAGAGTCGTCCATGCAATTATTATCTTCTCGGATGAGAATATCACGTATGTATCAGATTAGACGATAAACTCCAATTTTGAAGTAAGGCTTTGGGAATGGTTAGAATGTAAAAACAAAATAATGGCGTTTGGAGGATAAGAGTAATAATTTTTTCAAATTGTAATATCAGTGTTTTCGAGAAACTCAGTAATGTTTGTGATAATAAATGCATTTATGATAGGTCGAAGAATTGACTGAATATTTTAAAATTGACTTTTCGTTCTTTTGGGACCACAACAAGTCCGGCTTGAAAGCCCAAGGACGATTCGAAGCCCAAGTAAAGGGATTTTAAACTAGGTTTGATTATTTTGTAATTCAGATATTCAGATAAAGTGGAGGCTAAGTTTTAAATCTTAAGCTTATTGATAAAGTCTTTAAGGGTGTGATCTCCTCTCGTTATGGTTTTATATAAATGTTATGTTTGATTGTTGTATAATACCTATTTAAACTCAATTTTTTATTTTTTTTTATTATTTCTTCAGTTTTTATGGAAAGACAAGTACAATTATTGAAATGCTCTAAACGACAGCTAAGGTTCAAAACCAACTCAATTCAAACGTTATATATCGTAAGCTAGCCGTTTATGGACAGTTGGCAAGGAGTACGCAAAACAAATCTAATGCGATAGTATTGGCCTGAGGGACATTCGAAGCCTTCCGATTAATGATAGTATTTTCTTTTTTTTTCTTTTAAGTATTCAATGGGTGACGCCACCTCTTTTATTCATTCATTTTTTTTCACTTCCGATTAATTTCACGACTTGCAGAAATTGTTCCCTTTTCGGTAGGCGAAAAATACCATTTTTTGTTTTTGAAGGTTGCTAGCTAAAGACAAAATGGCCGAATGTAGAAAATATGAATCTATAATACAGATTATAAAGCTCGTCGTTTTTGACCCTTTAAAGGGAAAAAATGATACAAGTTACTATCATTTAGTCCTCAATATACTTTGATGTATGATCTCTACCCGCCAAAAATAATAATAAACAAAGAGAGGGAAAAAGAGGGGCACAACATTGGCCCAGGAACTCGATCAAACTCATGAACATTTTGATTAGTCAGAAGTCAAAACCCAGTTGATCCAACAAGTGAGGAATACGATGCATTTTCATCATTAGCCACTGGCCTCCTCTCCCTATCCTTGTCCGGTACTATATCTCTGCTCCTAACAAGTCCCATATCCAGACCTGAAATTTCACACAATTCCAACCTTTGACGCTTTGCGGCCTCCATGTCACCATCCCAATAAGTGTCAGATATAATTTCAAGTGCTTTCTCTATCTTGTCCTCTGGCACAAGATTCCCATTTTGCAGGAGTACAAGGTAAATTTGTTCAGCCGAAGCTTTCCTAATCTGAATTGGACAATGAAAATGTCTAATTTGAGGTTCGAGCTTGTTGAGCTAGTGATAATCCACTTGATAGAATTGACAAAAAAATTATACATAGAAATTTTACATAAATAGATGTGTAGTTCTATCTAGAGAATGAAATGATGGGTTCATAAGCATCGTATGCCATGTATTGAGTGGTGACTTTTGTACCTTGGGATATCGATGGCAAAGAAGAGTGAGAAGATGACTGAATGCCCGAGTGTTCACAGGCTCTGAAAGTGAAGCAATGTATCCAAGTATTGCAATGCCAGCATATAACTTTGGGAAGTCCTTAGATCCTTTTAATTCAATGGCAACAGAATCCAAAACACCAGCACAAAATATTGGAGTATGAGCCTGGAAATCGAGAGTTATTTCAATCAAGTTATCACCCCAAGTGATGCACATATAAAATACAAGAAATCCAATGGAGAATTAGATAAATTAGGAGGCAATAGAAACAGGAAATGTTAACTAACCTCCATGTTCAAGAATATCTTTTTGCTGAAAAGAATCTCAATTGTCTGAAATACACAGAAGTCTTAGTCAAGGTCAAGATGGTGAAGGCATGAAGAAGAACAAAGAAAATTCCGCAGAATTCTTTAATTCAACAATCAAGGTAATTACTCACAATTGGCTACTTAATAATGTTTATGGTTTAGCCACTTTTCTTATAAAGCAGAGGAAATTAGTACTTATTCCCACAAGCTTCCATTACCTTCAATGTAGGTACAATGACTCTATCGCATTTCTTGTACTGTTGGAGCACCCAAAGGATGTCAGCAGACAGCATATGCTCTCTTGACATTCTCTCTTTTGGGTCTTCAGTTTCAACTCCTTGAAGATAGTCCAACAATGCAGAGATGGATACCTTCCTTAAAGAATCTTGCAATCCACCAATTGAAATGACTAACCCAGACATCACTGCTCTGCTATAACAACTAAACTGAAGTAATTTTATAAAACGTGGATATAAAAAGGTGGGTACCTGCAAGGAAGTCATAACATCCCCTCATCAAAGTTCTCAAATATAGATCAAACCAGAGAAGAGATGACCCTATGCATACTTACACCCCATTTCAAATCTGTTTCATTAGGAACAATTTCTTCTAGCTTTTCCCTATGTGGTATAAATGGGACAAATACTGTCTTGTTGTACAAAATCCTTTGGAGAACTTTTGCAGCAATTTCTCTTATTTTATCCATTTTCTCTACAGCTTGCTTAACAATTCCTTCAATTAGATGGGCAGCAAGATTTGCATCAAAAAATGCCAAAATTTGGTTATTCTCAGCCACTCCAGGCATATCTAACACAGACTCAAACCCATTGGATTTCCTAGTGGAATCCATGGAACAGAGGATATATGTACATGTCTCAAGACCTTCCAAAGCAACCTCACGAACCCAGGAACCAACATCACCTCTTTTATCAACAGAATAATCATCAAGAGCTTCAAATAAACTCGGCATCACTTTGTTTTTTATCAGATGATACAGAGACATATGGTCCTCTTCAGAACAAATATAAGAACTTCCTCTTGCCTGAGTTAATGTCTTACATACAGAAATGAGTCCCTTGACAGCATTTACTCGAGCTTCAGCATCTCTGTCCTCGGGGTTATGCTGCAAAGAAGACATACAGTTATGCAAGTTAATGACATTCCTGGCAGTGGGCAATTTTATAAGCTAGCATCTTTTATGAAGCACACCTCAATTGCACAGGAACTACAAAGCTTCAAAAGCACATCTTCCCCCTGACCAGCCAAACATTCATATGGTAAAACACCTAGTGCCAATGCAGATCCTCTTCTTATAGCAACATTTTGATCAGTCAGTTGTCCCAGGTACTTTGATGTTATACCACCTGCATTTCCACTTTTTGCAGTGACAAAGTATGCTTGAACAAAGTGTTTGAGAGCCTTCACAGCAGCAAGCTGTAAATTATGTGCAAATTTTGTTTCAGAAATTCAACATTTCCAGCGTAAAAGGATAAACTTAGTAGCAAATAAAGTTTGAAATTACAAGACAAACACCTGTATTTGAGAATTTGGATGCCTCAAGTTATCATTTAGTGTATCAAGCAGACCCTGTTTTATCTTTTCGGACAATGTCAAACAACACATGGAGATGCATTCAATGAACCGGGAAACAGCAGAACGCATTATCTCTCCACCCTTCCCACGATAAAGACGAGCTTTTTCAATAGCAGGAACAACACCAGCTATGTCTTTCTGTTTATCTGAAAAAGAGAGATTGGACCAATGAAAAAAGTAATACATTTGCTTCAACAAGGAATGGGATCACCAGAGATAATATCTTATGAAATTCTGTAAAAATAACAACTTTAACTCATCAATTTAAAGTGGAATGCCCATCCCAGAAAACATTGTCTTGTGACAAGCTGGCAATATCAAGAATTAGACTTCAAAGGTAGAGTGCTATCAAATCCATACAGAAAATGTAAATCATTTAAGATCTCATACAATTACTGTCATCAAAATGCACACTAAATCATCCAATCAACCATCTATTGAAGCTAAACATTCTATGTACTGTACACCCCCTTTTCTATCTTTGATATGTTAAAGTGCTATAATAAGATATTAGAACACTTGATAATAAGTTTCAGTTGCATTTCTGAACAACAAACAAATTGCTGAAAAAGAGAAAATCAGAGTACCAACCGGTTGCAAGAGTGTAATCACAGTGATGTAAAGCCAAAACAACTTCCCCAACAGCCAAGGTTGCACCATGACGCATGCATAGGTCAGAGGATAGAGTAGAAGGAATCAATTTCTCTAAAACAGTTCTCGCAAAATATTCAGGATCATATTTGACAAGAGCTGAAATGGCCTCTGCAGCAAGTTCTCTCAAGCCTTTATCCTACAGAAACCAATCCTCTTCAAACAAGGAAAAACAAGAACCATAAACATGATAAGAATTATGTTAGTGGCAAGGGCTATGGGGATTTTATGTCTGATCTCTTTAATTGAGTAGTCAAATTCGCAAAAACATAAACAACAAATGCCAATATCTATGATCTACGCCCCATAAAAATCATATTCAACGGGAAACTCTATGATATCATTCAAAAGCTTTTTTTTTCCCTGTAACTTCCCTACAAAAAGGAATACCATAATGAAGTAAGTCCATCCCGGATGAAAGAGAGAAAAGTAATCACAAATTCATAAACTGAACACTAATTTCGAATATATGAAGGTTTGATAAGGCATAAAATTTGAACATTTTGGTGTACATACCCAATGACCAATCTTGTTATGCAGCAGTTCTTCGGCAAATGGATATAGGTATCCTTCATACTGAACAACAGAGACAGCAACATTGAGATAAGAGTTTACTCGCGAAGAAAGAGAAAAATAGTCTGCAGTATTCACTATGTCAATGCCATGCGGATAATTCCCTTGTCTTCCAACATTCTCCTGAAAAGCAGCAGCTGCTGCTCTTCTGCAATTGACCTAGGCATCAAAAGTCATAAGCTTTGGCATGGTTGAAAAGAATAATGGAATCATGGTTTTGATCTGAGAAAAGAGTCCAGAACAAATAATTATCCTATCAAGAGGAGTTAGCACCTCACGATCATAGCAGGCCACTATTAATAGGTGTGGAGCAAGCTGTTCCAGTACTTTTCTCATATCAGTGTGATAATATGCCCGACCAAATGCCCAACAAACGTATGCAGCAGCATCACGTACATGAGACCCCACACTATGTGGCCCTCTTCGAATATCATAATGCAGTGCCTGTTAAGGAAAAGTTATTCTTAATCAGCGTCAATGGTATGTCAATTTTCATAGTTGTCAGTGTCACCCAAATATGCATCTGCATGATGCTTAAGGTATAAATGTAAATTTCTTATGACAATCTTAAAATCAAACAAAGTGATTTAGCTTTAAACAAAAGGAAAAAAATTTTAACCAATATGCAACCATACAACCTTGATGATAAAAGGCACAACTTTTGGAAGACTGACAGGCAATAGCAACCCTCGACGTGCTAGTTCAGCCAATGCTAAGCAAGCTCCATGCCATGAACCATCACCCTGAAAAATGATAATATTTCAGCATGGCTTGAAACCTCCAAGGTTGGTTGGTCAGTTAGAAAGGATAGTATAAAGAGATCAACACCACAAGCATACTTCTCCAGGTGAAAACAGCTCCAAAACAGACGACAAGACCTCTTCTGAGAGGACAGATGTCAAACGGGAAGTTATTCGGCCTATACCTTTTGCAGCAGACCAACGTACAACAGTGTCCTACATCATGAACAATATGGGCATTAAATTAGCCGGAAACTGGCAAAGTTATCAACAAACAGAATAAATATCTCTCCTTTGTCGTCTATCTAATGTTTATTTCGAAACAAGACCAACAGACATAAACATTTACAAATGCTTTTATTAGTGAGTAATCCATGCATGTTTTAGAAGGTGATAGAACTTATGGCCATCAAGTATGTGGCAGGATCTGACCCTTTAAACATACCGTGTCCTTCAATCCAGAAAGTAAAATCTCAATGATCTCTTCTACAATTTCTGGAACATCCATATCTTCATCTTGCACATTGTTTGCAGTTTCTTTTGACTTGTGGGTGTTGGCATTCACTTCATGACTCCACTGATCGGCTATTTTCAATGCATTCAGAGAAATATTCTTTCCAAGTGAGTTGGTTCTTCCCTGTGGATAAAACGAGAATGTTATGTGGTGTTTCACTTGATGGCTCTGATAATTTAACAAACAGATGAATTCACAACTCCCAAGATAATCATTCTGGAAAAATACAACATGATAAGATAAAATATAACTAATTAGCGCAGCAGCTACAAAAACACAGAAAAGGAGAGCACAGAATTCCACTGGCATTAAAGAGAGGACCCTTTTACAATATCTCCATCTTTTCTAACTTTAAACTAATGAATAATGCAGAGGGAAAAATGAATCATATAGTGAAGTTTAGGGCAACTTATAAAGCGAGAGCTCAGATATCAAGCAATGGACTTATAGGTGGCTGGTGGCTGGTGGCTGTATGTGGGCTACAAAGTATATTTTGCATCTGTGGCTTCTCAGAAAATGCTCCTCCATATTTTCGAACACAATGAACTCTCTAATCTGCTCTTCAACTATTAGAAATGCACAATCTCAAATGTAAACTATCCTCCCAAGTGTCATGTAACGCAACTAAAACCCAAGAGAAGAAACACAGACAACAGCCAGGCTCTTTGTATGCCCTCACAAGCCTCCGTAAGCATTTTGAAGAGTCACAAACTAACAATATTCAATGTACCGACGTCAGATCATACACAGGTTGATGATGTCATCACTAAACATGGAGTAAATTAATATCATCAAATATTAATCCATCCTATGATTCCTACACAGAAGCCAAACTTAATTCTAATGTGCACATATGCAAACACTTTTTTTTTTTTTTTCTTTTTGAGTAGCACAAAATATTAATATTATCATATTTAAAAGATTTTGTAAACGAAAAATTTTCAACATAGCAATGATTAGATATTTCCGAGTGAATTTTTCTCATCCTAAATTTATAGATGGTCAAACTTGTGAAGTATAAAGCAAGAAGATTTTGAAAATTGAACAATACTCACTACATAACACCAGGCTGGTGAACGATGGGGGAGGCAAGTGAGTCCTATCCGCTGAGTTAACTTCACCAAATACTTCCGAAGCAAAGGACTACGAGATGCATTACCAGATTTGACCATTAATGACGTGTCATTCCAAACAATAGGAATAGCATCTATCAAAACTTTACGACCACCCACCTGGCTACAATAAAATGGAATATAAGACATCAAGTGAGAAAAAAAAATGTCCAGTCACATGCACCCAACCACACAATACACACAAAGAAAATCACAGAGTAAAAATGAATTCTCTTATTCAGAAAGAAAACAGGATTGTAGAATTGCAAATTTCCAACAGATGTGAAATATAAATCAAAGGAATACGATATTCACTTTTAAAAATACTACTACCAACGTTTTCATTGTAGTTAGGAGACATGAAAAACTATGAAAAGCAAACCTTGAAAATGGCAGCCAATGCTTCCACAACACCTAGTAACCGAAAGTGAGACATGACATCATCTGTTCCAGAAGATAATACTTCATGTGTCCATTCAATGAAGCTGAAAAAGAATACCAAAATGAAATAAGTGAAACAAGCACAACCAAATAGAAAACTTTCAGTATAATCCATGGCTTCACACCTAAAAGAAAAAGAATTTCATGGGACCACCAAACTCCTATTATATCATCTCTCAAGATTGTAGCCATCTGAGTTGGAAGTTACCGAAAGTAGCATATCCATATCAATTCGGCATGACTCAAGGCCTCTATTAGCAAGTCAGACCACCACTTCAGGAACTTACCTAAATACGCACTGTAACTTGATATTCCCATCAGGCTATTAAACACAGTTAACATGCTGACCTAGGAACCTTATTAAATCCAGCACTAGCTAACAAACTACCTCAACACATATATTTATGTCCCTTTACCCGTACTCTAGTCCCTTACATATAACCAAAAGTTAATGGTTGCTCGCAAAGGCCATTAACTTAAGCAATGATATGAATGATGAGAAATACCCGGTAAAGGCCATTGGCATATCGGGACGCGTCAGAAGCTTAGAGAGAAGCAATCCAGCCATGGTGCGCATGGGACCCGCATTAGAAAGGTAATCCTTAGAAAACTTCATTATCCTCAAAACCAGAGGGGAGGGTTCAAGTTTGCAAATATCATTATTATTTGCAATACTAGTATCAACAGAGGAGATATCAAATGGAACTAATACAAGAATAGAAAGCCACAACAGTATCACACATTTTGCCTCCATTTCTCCTGTACTTTCCTGCCGCAACGACGTCCCTGAAGCTGTATCATGGCACTTGTCCAAGAGAGCGACTGCAAGCTCCAAATTAGAAACTTGATGTGGAAAAAACTTTATAACTGCCTTGTATCCACCGACAGTAACAAGGCAATAAATAATGATGCAAATTGGCTTAATTACTTGAAGAATCTCATCCGAAGCTATGCCTAATTCTATTGTCTTAGTTCGGATAATTGACATCAATGGAGAAACTATGCTCTCCAAGTAAGGCTCCAGAAGTTGCCCTTCCTGCTGATACTTATCCATCTGCAACATCATACAATGATAAGATATTTCATATAATTATTAAGTAATCGTGAAACAGATAAATTGGAGAGGAAAAATATTAAGTACGATGGATCGGATCTTGTGGACGGAGGAAAGATCGGAGACGCGGCCATTGGAAACGATGTCATCCAGGAGAGACTTTACGAGTTTCCATTCCTGCAAAAAGTACTTCTGTAAAACTCTCTCCTTGCAACCATGCTCGTCGTCTTCTTCTTCCACAGCCATTTCCGCTTCCTTCCTATGTGTCTCCTCTTTCACTGCCTCCACTGTAAAGAGACTTGTAGTCTACTCTGTGATTTTGTGCGAGGTCAGGAAAATGTGGGCTACAATTCCCGCTATGAGAATTTCACTCAAGTGTTTCAGTTTCGGGGAGGTATACATGTCTCGATCTAAATCAAAAATATTAATTATTATATGGAAAAGTCTACATTACCCCTTCCACTCAAAAACACAGCTGCCCCCTCTACCATTTCTCCCTCACCCTCCCTCTGAAGTCTCAGTCGCTCACCACCGGCCTCCTCTCGCCCTCTCTGAAATTGCCAGCATCCTTGACATCAAAAGAAGCCCATAGAACCAAATCTTTTGCGATAAATGCGATAATCAGCAATAACCTTAGAAATGAAAGAGCACCAAGAAAGGTTGGGTAATCTGTAAAAAAAATCAGTTCTTTTCCATAGAAATTATGAAAATTTTAATTTTAAAGTTTTGGGGAAAAAAAATTAATAAGTTTCGTCGCGGGAATCGAACTCGGGTTTCTTGATGCGAGAGCCAAATACCCTAACCAGCGCAACTACAACGGATTGGTAACAAATCTAAGTTCAACTTTATACACTTAAACTTTAAACTTCATCCCTGATGAACATACAACTATTAAATATTTTTGGTTATGTGGCTGTACCAATACACCTGAAGTAGAAAAAACCTTCCTGTGATGGAATATCTCTTTGAGAGATGAAACAAAAAAAAAAAAAAATGAAAGAGTATAATTCGTCATAATACATTTATTATTAAGGTTTAAGTATGGCTATAACATATTTATTTTATTCAATCACTTGAAAATACTTCAAAAAAAGAAAAATACCTCCACAGTAAATCATTCCACAATTTTGAAATTAAGTAAAATAAAATTTTTGAATCAGACTCAGATTAATGATGATGGAGGTCATCAATGGGATATGGTGGATAATTTCCTTTAAATAGTTCATCCGTCACGCCATATATAAATTGGCAATTATACAGGAGACAAAAAAAAGTGATTCACATTGACATGCTCCCATATTTTTCATTAAACATCTTGGTGTACAAACTATTTTTACAACAACAAATTCCAACTCTTCAAAAGAAAACATATTTGATTATACATTTACATTCTGAAAACACTAACTTTATGGCTTCTTGGCTGCACCAGCTCTATACCTTGCAGCATATCGGTGAAACAAGGTTAAAGCATTGCTCGTAGCCTGTGCCACGTTCATAACTCTACCCTTGATTGTGGCCTTTAACTTGCTCATTCTCCTTCCAGGAAACGCATCAACGCAGTAGCTAGCATCAGACAAGGCGCTGCTAGTCCAAGTCTCAACATTACTTATATGCCAAAATATGTCGCCGCCACCTGCAGCTTCCTCCTGCCTTCCCATGCGGCGGATCTCTCTAATTGACTGGCTAAGCTGTTGCACGCTATCATTTATTTGGTCTAAACAGTCTTTCACCACCTGGTACTCCTTAGCTTTCTTTGCCTGTAGTTCTTTTGCCACTTTCAACATGTATGATCTCGTATAAGAAGCCCTGCATAAGCTTGCCGACAAGGCAACTTGAACCAGCTCCTGCTGGTTTTGAATGGTTGAGTTTGAAAATCTAGAGAGATATTGGACACATAGGGCTGGATAGCGGGTGCCCCGGCATGAGGTCTCGATATAGGCCCGTGCCGGTGCCTTGGTTCTTCTAACAAAGGTTGGCTCTGCCATGCCTGAAATGAGAGAAAAGGAGAGTAGCAGCACTAGTAAAGAAAGGCTGAGATTGGCCATTTTTTGAAAATTGACTCGGTTTGTGGGAAATGGAAAGGAGCATAAGGTGTATATATAGAAATAATATCACATGCTAATGTGCACTTTTCTTGCATTAAGCAAAAATAACACTAAATTGATCCTTAAAGATAGCCTAATAAAATGGGGCTATGTTAATCATGGTGGATCAAATTAAACTGAATTATTTAGGGTATCTTAGGCCCAGGGTAATGGAAGAACCAATCCTTGCACAAAGATAATGCTTATCTGGATCAACATAACCATGAAATTGTTTGGAAAGAAACACATGCATAATTATGTTTGTCAACCTTGATATTGTCCAATTATTATTTGATTTGCATATCTATCGAATCAAATTGGGCGATTTTCTTTTGACCTGGAATAACCATCTCATAGATAGAGTTCATTTGAAAATTGATCATTCATTTCCGACCACTAGATCATCTTAGCTAAGAGAGATCACCATAACCATCTCATAGATAGAGTTCATTTGAAAATTGATCATTCATTTCCGACCACTAGATCATCTTAGCTAAGAGAGATCACCATAACCATCTCATAGATAGAGTTCATTTGAAAATTGATCATTCATTTCCGACCACTAGATCATCTTAGCTAAGAGAGATCACCATAACCATCTCATAGATAGAGTTCATTTGAAAATTGATCATTCATTTCCGACCACTAGATCATCTTAGCTAAGAGAGATCACCATAACCATCTCATAGATAGAGTTCATTTGAAAATTGATCATTCATTTCCGACCACTAGATCATCTTAGCTAAGAGAGATCACCATAACCATCTCATAGATAGAGTTCATTTGAAAATTGATCATTCATTTCCGACCACTAGATCATCTTAGCTAAGAGAGATCACCATAACCATCTCATAGATAGAGTTCATTTGAAAATTGATCATTCATTTCCGACCACTAGATCATCTTAGCTAAGAGAGATCACCATAACCATCTCATAGATAGAGTTCATTTGAAAATTGATCATTCATTTCCGACCACTAGATCATCTTAGCTAAGAGAGATCACCATAACCATCTCATAGATAGAGTTCATTTGAAATATTATTAGTCAATTCTCGTTAGCTTCTTAATGTGAGCGTGAAGTTGTATTGCCACCGCATCAATCACGTGGGCCTACACGAGTGTTTTTTCAACCGAAATCAACTCACACAGAATCGAAACTCTCTCTTGCTACTCTGCTAATGCAACGAAAGCTTCTAATTCCATCACATTGGAAATTCCGATGAAAGAGACTTTTACATGATACGAAAGCTAATTTCACCTCATACAATTTAGCATTACAATTACAAAGATAACAACACGCTATAAGCCAAGGAAGTACATAAATAATAAAACACACCACATAAAAACAGGTTTTAAGATTATTAAGGCGGTAGTCATTCAGCAACCTTCACACCCGAGAGATAAACACGGCTCTGAATTACACTGCCTCCCAACCAAAAACCAGGCATAACCATTAGCCCAACACGAGGCTTCTGGTTTTCATCTAATATCAGATTTTTCACAATACTTTCCATATAAACCTCTGAGAACTCACTACCCCTCCTAACTTGAAAGACCTTAACATTTGGATCAAAAGAATATGCCAGCCTGTGCAGAAGCCAGATTGACTTAGCCAACTTCAAGAAAGCTTGGTAAAAGGGAGTTCTCGGATGTCCACCTCCCATTACATAATTTCTCTGATCCAAATTTCCAAAGAATGAACCTTCCATCTTTGGATGAACCACCACCAGGTACTTGCTCCTGCAAAATTTACCAAAATCGGAATCTGGGTCCTGTCCTAGTACATCTAATGGATCCATCTCTCTGAGTGCAAGATATTGGTGAAAGAAACTTTCTCTAGAGACCATCACATTGTCTGATTTTATTGAGAAGCTTTCCTGCTGGAACCCACTGAACATTCTTTGACATATATGAGATTCAAATGCATACTTTTTGTGAGCCCTCTTTGCATAAACAACATCAGGTTCAATGGAGTTAGCAGCAGCATCAAGGTCCCACCCAGCTGCTTTCATCATGTTGATCAAAGGTTTAGAAAAATCATGAATGGCTTTAAAAGCTACTTCTACAGCAGTCATGAAGAGCTCAGGAGTAAGATCTACAGGATAATACCCGTTTTCTTCCCCAGAACCTTCTGATTCTTTGGTTGACAAGCCTCTAAGCTTAAGATTCTTTTCCAGCTTAGCTCGCTTCTGAGTTGCCTCCTCAATCTGCTGCTGCAACTGAATAATCTCAGAATCTTTATTCTGAATTTCAGATTGGAATTTCTTCACCATAACCTCATATGTTTTCAGTAGGCTCTGTTGTTCTTGGATCTCGGCAGCTAAGCGAGAGTCCTGAGGAGAAACACATACCGGTTTGGGGTAATTCTCCCTGTAAAAATGCTTGAGTTCAGATAAATTCTTCAGCTCGGAAATTACAAGTTTGTCAGCCGCCTGAATTTTTTCAGGATCATACGGAGTATGAGCAGCTTGAAGCTGAATGTAAGCTGACTTCAACGAGGAGATGTTTGTGAATATTTTGGATACCAGGGCTTCCACAGCTTCAGGATTTTGATTCATAGATTCTTCCATGGGTTGGGGGTGGACCTTTTGGCTGTTGCTCTCACGGAGTTGGTTATCTTTCAACCCAGTGGGTAGCATAGCTACTGCTAAAGTAAGGATGGTCAAGTAGGATTCCTTCAAAAAAAGCACCAATATAGCACAACCTGAAAACTCATCTGATAAATGTTAGTAACAAATAAAGGAATAAATGAGGTAAAGTGGAAATTGATGTGAGTACTGATCTTTCAAATCCAAACTGTCAAAAACATATAATCAATGCATATGCAACAAAATTGTTATTTATAAATATCCGTCTCACAAAATTCGTTGTGTAGTTCAAGCATAATAAGAACTAAAACCTGAATATGCAACAATGCCATTACCTTTAGCCACCAAAATCCCTTATGATAATGAGAAGAATGTTGATCAATAAATTTGGAAGTCCCTTCTTCCAGTCCTCATAATATTCCATGCAAACATGATAATACCCCAAATACTACATCCTTATGTGAAACTCTAAATAGAGAGTTTGAGGACAAACCCAACCACTGTTAATAAACAAAAGATTTGAAGAAGCATATGACAACACCATCCAGACCAGACAGGAGATCAGACTTGGAGGAAAAACCATCTGGGGTATGCTATGGTGCAAATGCATTCTCAATCACCCCTTTTAGACGCTACAATGTAAAGAAGGAGAGAAGAACCTAATACCCGTACCAACCACCCCGCTCATTATAAACGATGGAGCATGAGCCCAGGGTTCTGTCCATCACCAAATTAATTGGAAAAACATCTAACAAAAGTTTGTCATTCATACTAATATTTCGCAAAGGAAGCCGTGGGGTTCATACTATGTCATGGATATAACAATAGATCCATGGATGCCAACATTTGAAATATTTCAAAAGCTCAATAAACTATGCACGTTATGTACAACAAAAAAGCCATTATGAGTTTCTTACCTGCAAAGATCACAAACGGCCCTCAGGATATATCCAGCAAACATAATACCCTCCACCCTGAAAACCATAGAAATTAAATTGAAGTATCAACTGATAAGGCAAAACAAGCTCTTAATCAACAAATATCCCGCTATCATTCAATAGCCAGATAGAGAAACACACAAATAGATCAAACGGCTAATTTGAAGCTAAATCCTCCAATTCATCGGGTCGCCACAAGAAGTAGAAGGGAGGTTCACAGAGAATACCGAATCTAAAGCTCTAAGAATGACTTTAGAGCTCTATAATCAGTTTAGCTAGCTTACGATTGAAGACGGAAACGATGATGTTAATACAAATGATGATGTTAATCCAATTTACTTTGATTTCAAGGAAGAACAAATCCTATAGAGGATTTTTCAAAGTAATGAGTACAAAGAGAAGATTTTACCTAGTCGGGAGTTGCCGGAGAATCGCTGAAGATCAGCGAAAACAAGAAACCGATTGACAACCCAAGTTTGGTAAAGTTATAGCTTACTTCCCGACAAAAATAAACCCTAAACTGGGAACGGTCTTTATTGTTTCTTCCTTTTCATTTTTTATTGTTACAATTTTCCATTTTCATCACACTATTATTCATTTATTACATTTTGTTTTGTTTTTTTTTTTTTTTTTTTTTTTTTTCCCTAAAACTGGGAACGGTCTTTATTGTTTTTTCTTCCTTTTCATTTTTTCATTGTTTACCAATTTTCCATTTTCATCACACTATTATTTCATTTATTACATTTGTTTTTGTTTTTTTTTTTTTTTTTTTTTTTTTTTTGTCCATTATACTACAAGAAGTCAAATCACAGTTCATTTTTTTTTTTTTTTTTTTTTTTTTTGTCTCATATACTACAAGAAGTCAAATCACAGTTCACACCGAATCCCAATTGAACTGATTTTTACAGTTAAATGAATTCTATAGTTTGGCGCAAATTATTTAACTGTTTATATGATTATTTTTAAATTAATGGCTGTTATATAAATTAGGAATAGATTAGTTTTTTAATTGCAAAATTTTAACCTATTGTAACTACTAATTAGCCGAATTCAATTGTTCCGTTAGTCCATTGTAAGAATTCATATATACCTTTTACAATCAAGACTTTGCTAAGTTGATGCTTGCGTAATGAAGAGCCACTGTCTGTCACTACCACCTCATAATTACTTATCCATTACCGTATTAATATGATTTTAGGAACATTATAATATTGATACATTTATTTAATTTTTTTTACTTATATAGTCCAATAACAACCACTAAATTATTCAATCAAGTCCAAATAAAAAATGGAAGAGCGGGAAGGCTATAGGTTGGTCTTTTTGTTATTTTTTTAACCCAAGAAAATAAACTAATCAAAATATGAATATATTAGAACACAAAAAACAATACTAAGCTTGTTTAAATTAAGAACTGGTGCAGCAATTTACAGGTGTGCATTTCATTATGTACGATGGGACTAACCATACCATAGTCTGATATTAGCTGTACAGGTCAAATTGCATTTAAACAGGCTAAAACATGCTTAACTGTAGCCCCCCAACCGAAGAGAAGTTCATTGACAGGCAAGGGACTTGTATAATTCTTCTATCAAAAGAAATCATTTGAAAGATATTTGATGTATATCAGTTTGTGATGGTTCACAGCAAGGCAACAACAATCAGAATCCCTGAGCTCTGTATGCGGAAAGCATTGAAACTATTATGCATCAATGTCAGGTCCAGGATAAGCAGGTAAACTCATTATCCGCTTGTCTAATACCGGGCCTCCGACGGTGAAATGGTACAAACTCTGAAAGTTTAATCCTCTCAATCCAAGCACTTCATGCACTGCAAAAGGATAATAAGAGGAAAACTCTCAATTATTATATTTTAGAACATAAGTAGAGATGTTTCCATGGTAGTTCTGCCAAATTGAGTCCACAGAGAGCTTGACTTTACTTTCATTGACTTGTTATTAATTAATCTATAATAATCCTAGCAGTAGCCAGATTAAACGAGGAGCTTTCCTTGAACCAAATCTACCGATTGAAAGCAGACGCTGTACAGGGAATTATCAATGAATATGTGTTTTTAAGCATCATAATCCAAACAGGCTCGCCCATCAAGTTCAGTTCTTGAGCAATGTATATGTTTGATTTGTTAAACCTCTCTAAAAGTACATGTAATTGTACCATTTATCAATTATCATTGACGTTAATTTTTCATGAGCAACGGTCCCATGCACAGTAATCACAACAGAGGAAATACCACGTCAGACAGAAGTGAAGAAAAAGAAACATACCTGGATCATCAAAGAAGCAACCAATGCCAGTTGCAGAAATGCCAACTGCATGTGCTTCAAGATACAACACTTGGCCAAGGACTCCAGTCTCCCAAAATAGTCGAGGATACATCCACACGCCCTTGTCACGCAAGGTAGGCTCAAAATGAGCCACCATACCAAGGCTGAAGCAGCCATCACTGGCTATGTCCTGCATTATGGTAACGTGTTTTAGCAAGAGTTGGAGAAAATGCATAGTAGGCCACCCTCCTTAGATACTCCTCGGTTCACAAAGATGGCCAAGACAGTCTTAAAGCACAATTTGTAACTTAAATTTTAAAAATGATGAGCAGGACCGGCATTAGATCTCTTCATTGTTATTCCCGGGTGAGTGAAACACAAAATCTTTGCCAATAATGGAGGTGACAAACATTGATAAATCAGAGGTTATGGCAACAATTTTTTTTGCTATGCAGGTGTTGAGATGATGTTAATTATGTCAAAACAGGGTCATGTCGTTTCCCATTAAAACTTTTGTGCTGTACTTTATTAAGCGACATCCAAAAGTTAACTTTTTATCTAAGTTTGCCATTATGCTGAGCACCCATGGTTTACCAACCATTTCAAACTTCAATTTTTTAACCAGGATTATTAGCAATAAAAAAAAAAAAAAAAAAAAAAAACATCCAAACGGTTAACTTTTCAACTTTAAGTTGCCATTATGCTGAGCACCATGGTTTACCAACCATTTCAAACTTCAATTTTTTAACCAGTATTTATTAGCAATAAAAAAAAAAAAAAAAAAAAAAAAAAAAAAAAAAAACCAAGTCACAAAGCGCTGCTGGAGCCTATTTGAGAGCATCTAAGCAAGGTGAGATGCAAAAATTAAAAAAAATTAAAATTAAAACATAGAAATCTGAAAAATATATTTTAACATATTAGAAAAAAAAATCAGAAAAACATGGGAAAAAACAGTTAATCAGGAAAAAAAATGAAAAGCATAGAATCAAGAATATGGACAAAAAAAAGAAAAAAGTAAATATATAAGAAGAGAAATTAAGAAAAAAAAATATCTGAATGGCTGCTAGCAAGAGGATAGATTGCAGGAGGTGAGCTCTAAATAGAGGAATGGAGGATGAACTGCAAAACACATCACTGGCTTTTGGCTGACATTTTATTTTACGTAAACAGATACTAGCTGGATACTTCTGTACTCACTTATTCAGAAAAATAAAATAAATAAAAGGACGTGCCTTTCTTAAGCCTAAGGCGTGAAAAGGCGTGCGTCCCCCGAGTGAGGTTGCCCGCCTGAAGACATTTGATGCGCAAGCCCTTGAGCCTTAAGTCAGGCAAGCCTCAATAACCATGACCAGGGTTGCTGGTCTAATACGGATTCAAGTCTAGAATCACATGCTTCCCAAGCAATTCTACTAACATTAGGGGTGAAAAAAAAGAGAGTGTAGCAGTTGACATACCTGATGGCAGGAGAGCTGTTTGGCAATCTGCTGGCAATCACCCCTAGCAAGCTCATACAAAGGTAAATCGTCAGGGCATCCCTCTGGTTTCTCCCATTTAAATCCAGCTCTTGTAGCTTTCTTAAGCTCATGAAAATGATCTTCATTTCTCACCAAGAAATACAACCCTTTTGGCAATCCCGTCACTCTATGCACAAACAAAGCAGCATGCACCTCAGCATCCCAAGAAAGAACTCGAAATGGCAATGCCAACTGTCTTTTCTGACTTTCTCCAGTTCCAGAACCAGAAGGAACACAATGTAACAAAATCTGATAAAATGTTTCTCTATCTATTTTCGTGACTCCGTCCATATCCACAGCACTCCTCCTCTTTCTGACAATTTCCCTAACAGTAAAACCTTTATACGACCCATCACTACAAACACCACTTCCCTGAAATGGATCAATCAAGAATCTTTCTCCTAATGTTAAGGGCTTTTTAACGGCCTCTGCAGTTCTATAAATTATATCCCAACACACATGTTCTTTGCTAAGCAAATTTGGCTTACCTTTCCAGTCCAAATTTTTAAATTCCATTAATGCGGAGCTCAATTCCTTATAATTAACATCAAAATCAGTAGCCCCTTTAGGAAAAACAAGAAGCAAGCAATCAGAATGCTCAAATTCAATATCAGGAATCTTGCCTTTAATTGGCCCATCAGGAACTTGAAAGCTCTGATAAATTTCAAGCCCCATTAACCTTTCCAACTCTTTATGCCCTAGTCCATCAAGCAACTTCACGTCCCATCCAAGTCCAGCAGCAGCCACTGCGATCGCAGCAATAGCATGACCGACATCGTGATTACAATACCGAAACGCACGCTCCCCGTATTTCCAGGCCTCACGCCAGAAAATAGAAGAAATCCCAATTAGAAACGAATCTCTTGGAAAGAATTTTGGAAAAAAATCAGACGGGATTGTAGCTCTAAGCTCTAAAGCATGCTCTTTTGGTGCATAATGCGCAACAAAAGAAGAACTAGAAAGTGATTCAATTGGTGGAGCAATAAGGTAAGCTTCAGTTGGGTGTAAATTACCGCTACTCGGGTTAACCCGAAGAGACCAAGTAGAAAAGCCAGTTGTTTTCCAAGCAGAAAGAGCGAGAGAATCGTAAAACAATTGGGAAATCGAAGATTTAGAAATGGGTTTTGGAGAAGGAAGGGAATTGAAAATAGAATGATATAGAGGAGCAGAGTCAGCAGCTGATGATGCTGTTTGATTGTCAGTTGGAAAGTGCTGGAGAGAAAGTAGTGGAGCAGAAATGTAACGGCGAAATGGATTGGGTTGGTTAGCCCAGTCAAGGCCGCGAGGGCCTCTAGCGTAATTGGTAAAATTGTGTTTGGTCTGGTTATGGTACTTTATTACCTGGCTTAGCTTTTGAGTGTCAGGGTTTGGAGTTTTGTCTTCCTTGGGGTTGGTTATAGATGGTGATGGCGACGATGAGGAGGAGAAAGACATCGTTGCAATTGATTTCTTGGCGGTGCTTAGATCAGATAGGAGAGTAACACTTGAAGTAAAAATGCAGAAATGAGTTTGGTTCAGAGGAGAAGAAAATCTTGAAGTCAGGTTCGGTGGAACCATTCTTGCCGTGTTACTTTTACCCAAAGATCGAAGCTTGTTTCTTGATTCTATAGCTCCATTGATTCTGGAAACATGTGGATTTTTTGAAAAATAAAAATTGATAAGTAAATTAACCCAAATTGATCGGGCCGGGTTCAGTAGTAAATGGACCCAATACTACAATTGGGCCAACGATTAGCCCAAAACTTCTAACCCTAGGGTTTCGTATGTGGTATATAAGATTGCAGAAAGCCAGCAGCTTATTTAAGCCATTATTCTCAGTCGGCTTCTTTTGCAACCCTACCCTCTTCCTTCCTCACTCTACCTTTCTTTGTTTTTCTCGAATACGGAATCGTCAAGTTGATGATTTAAATATTAGCAAGTTGATGATTTAAATATTTCAATAAATACAAGTGAATAGTAAGCAAATGATGAAGAATGTTGGATACTGAGAAGCACGCATTTCTTTAATGCCAGCAGTGTTTCATCTATACTTCCATGACTCTGATGCTTCTATTCTTTATTATTACCATATCACCGTTCTAAAATTTTCTTCTTTTTCTTTTCTGCAAATCTTGATTCTTTGTTTGTTCAAAAGTTTTTCATTTTATTTTTGCTTCTATGATTTTCGATTGATTGAACTGAGCAACCTGTGATTTTACATGCCAAGAAGGCAAGAACTCACATGTTGATTTTTTATTCTAGGGCTAATTTTTTGTTTTTCAGTTATTTTGTTCTGTTGGTATTTTTTTTATTTAAAATTTGTGAATTATGAATTATTTGATTTTTTAAGATAAATAAATAAATAATATTATTTTTATAATTTAATTGGGTTCAATTGATTATTGAATAAAGTTGTCTAGTGCTAGATAATAACTGATTATTGATTAAATTTGAATAAATTTGAAATTACATCAAAATCTACTGAATCAGGAAACTGATATATCACTCTTAAAAAAATAAAATAAGCAAAAAAGGAAATTGATATCATAGGCCTTCAGACATATTAATTTCAAATTGCTCCATGGAAATTCAGAAATGAAATGAACTCGTTAAGTCCATTCAAATGGATTCAGGCCTAGAAGATTAAAACTTAACTTGAGAAGAACAAAAAAAAACTACAGTAAGATTAAAATGTTTCTCAGTAGCAAAATTTGGCACAGAACCAAAAAAAAAAAAAAAAAAAAAAAAAAAATAATTAATTTCTTGTTTCTAACTTTTAATTGCACTCTGTCAAGAATCTTTGAGTTTTCCGTTTTAGTGTGTGTTTTCATATTAGGGAGTTTTTTCAATAATTGATTCTCTCTGTTGCTTCTATGATTTTTCGATTGATTGAACTGAGCAACGCGGACTGTAGACTTTTTAACATGCCAAGAGGCAAGATACGTTTCACATATAGATATATCGAGTTTGGGTTATTATATATTATCCTCTCGGTAATCTGGAGAGTTCTACAAATTTTTTGTGGTTATAATACAGTTGGGTATTTATTATGTTCAGGTAATGGAATATTGTTATCTCTTCTTATTTTAAATTTGTATTGTAAATTTATGAATTATTTTGATTCTTCTTTAAGATAAAATAAATACATATATCCATCTGACAATACACTCTATTTTTATGTAGGACATTTTTTTAAAATTGTGAATCTCCATAATTGATTATATTGAAATACTAAAAAGATATTTTTTGGTCGAGTCTTATGTATTATAGGTATACTGATTATTGGATTAATTTTGGAATAAATTTGAAATTACATCAAAAAACTCAATCTTACTGAAGGATAGGAACAAATGTGAAACTGATATATCAACTAAGCACATTATAAAAATAAAATACAAGCAAAAAAGAAGAAATTAGAATTCAATCAAGTAAAGATGCTCCTTGCAAAGACAATAACTTAATTTTTCACCACATATGTCTCTTCCTCACATGGAACTATATAGAAAACTTGAAATGAACACACGTCTAAAAGTTAAAATATCAAACAATCTCAAATGGATCCTATCGGTAGTGCCCTAGAAGATTAAAACTATAAAAACTTTGAGAAGAACAAAAACTACAATGTAATGAATTAAAAAATGATTTCTCATGTAAGCAAAATTTGTGTCCACTAAAGACCAAAAAATAATAAAAATACAATAAAAAATAATCAAAGCTTACAAATGAGTCACTTCATTTCCAGGTTCACAATTGGGCTCTTTGGATGAATATTATATCATTATTGGCACTTGATGAAATTGATCTTAGAACTTTGGAAAAAAACATTAAAATAAGGAATTAAAGTGATTTTTATATTAAAAATCCATCAAAAACAAACCTGTAATACAAATGCTTCGGAACTCTGCCATGCACCTTTATTTTTTGTTATAATGGAACGGCTAAAATATATTTACGAGTATTAGGGGGTGCCCCAGTGAGAGCGCCAAACCTTTTAGGCGGCGCATTTATGGGAACATCTAGTAGTCACACTCACCACCTAAAATCTGGATTCTCCCGCAATGCTCGACACCCCAAAAACCTTTCTCGGTATTGGAGCGCAATATTTGAACGGGCCTTACAAGTATAATATGCCACCTTAAATCATGCATATCTGAATGATGGATTGCCTCTCAATGATCTGGGTAGTCATTACAAAATAACAAATGATAACGCGTGTTCATATTCGGAAATTCCTTGAGTTTCCTGCTTTTATGCTATCTCCCACTCCTCTAAGACCTCAAAATGTAAAAAAAAAAAAAAAAAAAAAAAAAAAACAAGCTCATGAGTAGCCCAGTCCAGGTCCATTTTTGATGAAATATATATTGGACTTGATGAAATGTCTTAGAACTTGAAAACATTAAATAAGGTTAATGATTTTATATTAAAACAAAACAAACCTATATGCTTTGGCTCTTGCCAGCCTTTATTTTTTTATTGGACGGCTTTGAGTATAGGGGTGCGTGAGAGGCCTGCGGCGCATTTTAACATCTAGTAGTCACAACCATCCATCCACCAAAAACCTTCTCGGAGCGCATGACGTCAGTTTCCACTTTCAATTCGATGATGGATTGCCTCTTGACTCAACAAATCATAACGTGCTACGTAATCCTTGCATTTCTGCTTTTATGCTATCTCCACCCGCCTCAGTCCCCAAAATATATATTCGCTCTTCCCATTCCCTCCCTACATAAATGGACAACGATGCCCTTCACCAAGTCCCGACAACTGGATAATAGCGTCATTTCATGCTAAGAGTAATACCCCGCAGCGGCAACCCGCGAGAAGACCCATAAACAAATAATTATATTACACGCGGATAATCAATAAAATATAATCAGATCATCATCTTAATCCAGCGGCTCCATTTTCTGCTCCTGTTAATTGTGACATTGAAAAAGCTGCTTCTCCTTTAAATCGTCCCGTCCATCTTCATCAATCGAAGTACGCATTTCCTTTAGGCTCTATCCCTTGCTAGTCGCTCTCACTCTCTCTTCTATCTTTCCTCTTTATTCTTTTCCTGGAAGGTACTAATGCAAAGTCGTTTATCATTCACATGGTTGTGGTGAAAGAAATGGTGGCCAGTTTTCTAATTTTACTTTTAAATTGCAGAAATGTCAGTTATAGGGCAGAGAGGAATCCATTACCTGCAGAAACTAAAAGCAGCAAATATCCCGACTGAGTTGATAGAGAAGGGCCAAAATCGCGTTATCGATGCTTCTCTTACTCTTATTCGCGAGAGAGCAAAGCTTAAGGTACATCTCTACTTCTTATCTTATTCAAAAGCTTTTACCAATTTTGATGTCGAATTTCCTACTTATCATGTGAAGACTATGATCTGTTCTCTGCTTCTGTTATGAATGGATTAGTTATCTGAAATTAATTATGGTACTCACAGGGAGAGCTTGTGCGTGCTCTAGGAGGCGCGGTAGCGTCGTCATCGCTTCTTGGTGTTCCTTTAGGCCACAACTCATCATTTCTTCAGGGTCCAGCATTCGCTCCTCCTCGAATTAGGGAGGCTATATGGTGTGGTAGCACTAACTCATCAACTGAGGAAGGTATTCATATTTTATTTAAATAGCACGTTCAATTTATGGTTTTATAACGAACGCGATGACTTTCCCTGAGTATTTTATAATTGGTGATTCATGGATTGATTTAATTAGTTTAATAAATAAATTATTTCAGATCAAACCTTGAATATGTGAATGTTCTCTTCCTAAATCCTACTAGATATCAAATTGCTAATGTTATAGTACTGATTTTCGTACTTCTGGCTGTTCTCGGGAACCTGTTTGTAAAAATATTGAATAATATGAGCTTATGGCCGGGTGATGCTTGGCTGTGTGCAGGGAAAGAATTAAATGACCCACGGGTGCTAACTGATGTCGGTGATGTTCCTGTTCAAGAAATTCGAGATTGTGATGTAGAAGATGACAGATTGATGAATGTTATAAGTGACTCTGTCAAGCTAGTGATGGAGGAGGTGAATGCTATTTTTCATCTACGTTGTCAATTTTCTATCATATTAGCGATTCTGAAAATAGCAGCTAAGCAAATTTTCCTTTAACTCTTCCTTGGTCACCATTGATTGATCCATCCCGGCTTCATCAGCCACATTTTCTTTTATCATCTGCTGAGGTAGTTCAGCAGTTTGTAAGGCTACTTGATTACGACGTAACAGTTGATTGATGCAGAGATTGTTCTTTTCTTTCTGCACATGGATTCCTGCCTTGTGTGCAATGTTGCATTTGCTGTTTCTAGTTTGGTTGTCTCAAATATCTAAAACTTGGGCAAGATTAAGATATTCCAGCAGGTAGCTAAATTTGCACCATTTTACTCTCTGATCTGCATAACGATGAATGATAATTAGCTGTGAGTTGAGCAGTTGGGGGTTAGTAGTTTGACCGACTTATTGAATTAGACTGTTGAATGATTGCAAATTCACAGAAGTTTCTGTATGACTATGGTTCTGTAAACTTGTATGTCAAGTCCAAATTTTTTTTATAACTATGGTTCTGTAAACTTGTACGTGAAGTCCAAATTTTTTTATATTAGATTCTTGAGATTAATTATGCTAATAATCACAGTGATGGTGCTTACTATGCATTCTCTGTTAGAACTCCAAGAACTCTTTTGCTAAAGTTGTACGTTTAATGGGATTTTACTAGTTTGGTAGATCTAAGTATTTGTTGGTACTTTTGGTTTAAATGTTTTATTTTTAATTCTTTTGATGTTTGCTCTTCCAGGATCCACTACGCCCATTAGTTTTAGGTGGTGATCATTCAATATCTTTTCCTGTGGTAAGAGCCGTATCTGAGAAGCTTGGGGGACCTGTGGATATTCTTCATCTGGATGCTCATCCAGATATTTATCATGCTTTTGAAGGAAACAAATATTCTCATGCATCTTCATTTGCCCGAATAATGGAAGGTGGTTATGCACGGCGACTCTTGCAAGTATGGTTTTTACTTCTCACATTATCTTTCTCACTGCTCTGATGTTCTGTACTAATATTTTGGAAAAATATTGATTTGCAATTTTAGCAAGTTAATTCATCTAATTTATGCTATGTCAACTTTTCAAGCAGCTTGAACCCCAATCTCTCCCCTTCTGTATAGAATATGACCATGAAGTTCATATTAGCTTTCTTTTTTACCGCCTTAAACTTTTTATTTTCTTTCTGTCATTTCCTACAGTAAAAGGCTGCACCATGAATCTATCTGCATTCTGCAGGGTGTAACTAAGTGGAAACTCATTGTGTAGCTATTATTTCACAAATTGCACCTGATTATGTTGCTTGTACTTGAGATTTTCAAGTGTAAAACTATTGTTCATCCTTTTCTCCTCCCTCATACAACCCCCTTTCCCCCGCCCCATGCTGACCAGCACAATGGCCCTTGGACCTGGGACATTGAGGACGTTCACTCACACCTTTTGCCAGAATTACAAGAGAGCTCTGGAATATTAATGAAATTGAATGCTGACCTTTCAGGTGGGTATCAGATCAATAACGAAGGAAGGACGTGAGCAAGGCAAAAGGTTTGGAGTTGAGCAATATGAAATGCGAACCTTCTCAAGAGATCGCCAGCTGTTGGAAAATCTGGTCTCTCTCTCTCCCCCCCCCCCCCCCGAGCAATATAGAAAATGCGAAACCTCTCAAGAGATCGCCAGCTGTTGAAAATCGGTCTCCTCTCTCCCCCCCCCCCCCCAAAACAAAAAAAAAAAAAAAAAAAAAAAAAAAAAAAAGAACCAATGTTTGGACATGCTTGTGATTGGGCTATATGAGTTTGACTTCAATTTTTTGCTTGAACAGAAATTAGGGGAAGGTGCAAAGGGAGTGTATATCTCAATAGATGTGGACTGCCTTGACCCTGCATTTGCTCCTGGTGTATCTCACATTGAGCCTGGTGGTCTCTCTTTCCGTGATGTACTAAACATCCTCCACAACCTTCAAGCTGATGTTGTTGCAGCAGATGTGGTAGAATTCAATCCGCAACGTGACACTGTTGATGGGATGACTGCTATGGTTGCTGCCAAGCTGGTAAGAGAACTGACTGCAAAGATATCGAAATGATAAATCTTACACCTTCCTGCCTAGACTTTTCACATTTGTGGTTCCGTGGTGCATCCAATTAGTTTGACCAATGGTTCCTGCCTTCCACACAGGCATCTTTTTCCATATCCCCTTAAGAGGGCTTCTCTCGAGGAATTATTAAATATTTATATTCAAATTAGCTATCTGTAGAATTTTTTGTTTCAACACTTCTCTCTCTGCTTTTGGACAAAAAAAAAAAAAAAAAAAAAAAAAAAAAAAGGAAACAGTAAAAGAGTAGCAACATTTGTCTTGCATTATTCATGGAACATTTTTTACCTCATTTTGTGCCCCAAACAATGAGCCAGAGGGACAAGTTCTACCCAATTTAAGCCATTGGTTGCGCCCCTGCACTTTACAAAATACATGTCTTACAGCCACCATGATATTATTCCAAGCAGGAGGTTGGAAGCTGACAATATGACTCCATAAAAAAAAAAAAAAAAAAAAAAAGAAACAGTAAAAGAGTAGCAACATTGCTCTTGCATTACTTGGAACATTTTTTTACCTCATTTTGTGCCCAAAAATGAGAGGGTACAATTTCTACCAATTTAAGCATTGTTGCGCCCCTGCACTTTTACAAAATAAATGTTTACAGCCACCATGATATTATTCCAAGCAGAGGTTGGGAGCTGACAATATGATCCATTTATATTGGTTTTATGGAAACCTTTTCTTTATGTTAAGAAGTATTGATTGGTAGTGTTGCGTTCCTGTTGAAAAAGGGTGTTTTTAAGACAGCAAGAAGTATATTAAACGGTAGATGCATTACTCCGGGATTCTGGTCTATGTAGAACTGCATGTTACAGACCCTAACATCTTACTATTAGATTTAAATTCTTGCTTCATTTAGATTGCTAGTCCTGAAAACCATATTGAAATGATCTATATAATCAGAGTCCAAACATTTCAAAGCTTATTCTGTATCATTCATTTCACTTGCCTCTGCATTTGGCTTCTCATCGATGTGAACTTATACTGCTTGGCACATAGCGTGAACAATTCCAAGTTAAGAGCTACCAAAGTAGCTGAGAGAAAGAAATACCTCTCTAAATGACCGTGATTTAGATAGGAGGGACCCAACATGGCTTCCCGTTTCGTCTCGCCATTGCCATCACTACAGTCAAAATCATACTGTATTATAGCTGCCAATGGCTGTTGAAGGCATGGACAAGCTGATCCCTAAGCTTGTCAATGCATCCGGTGTTTGCGATGCAAAAAATTGCATTTGTGCAACATCAACTAATGCTTCAGATGCTCCGAGAGGGATGTACTGTGGAGGCTGCCACAAAATCCCTTATGAACGTTCCTCATCACTATCAATAGCATAATTTCGCCTTTGTTGTTCAACAATTCCTGCGACTACTATGGTTACTATTACAACTATAAGCCCAATGCCTATTCTCTGTAGTTTGCCCAGTGGTTTAGGCTTCCGTCTCGTCACTTTCATGATTGAGGGAAGAATTAAGCTGTCATATGATAAAATGAAAGCCGAGGAGCTTATAATGTCGAATGCAGTCATACTTGCTGGAGGAATATAGAACTTGGAGATTGTTTTGTCCATTGCAGCTCCTTGTTCAACAAACAGTGATAGCAATTGTATGAAGACTCCAGAAGGCAGAAGTGTGCAGAACCAAATTGGCAATAGCCTCAGTATGCATTTCACTTCGACCTGAGTGATGGTGCAAAGATGCCATGGATTTGGAGCTGGTCTTGGTCTTCCACTGCGATCATGTCCATGGGGTGGGAGTGGCAGCGCGATCAAGAAATCTGGTTGTCGAACACACACACACACACACAAAAAGAATTAGATAATTTAATTTTGTTTATAATCCAAGTAAGGCAAAGCTTTTTACAAAGATTGTACCCACTTGAAGTCATTAATGTGTAATATTCTTCTGGTACCATTTATTTCACTTTCCCCGCCATGAATTTCATAAAGCCCTTCCCCATTTGAGGGTACTTCAAAATGAAGCTACTATGTATGACCTGAGAGAATCTAGAAATTGGATTACCAGACGGTTTGAAGTGCCTATACCTGAAAGTTCCACTCAATAGCAACAAATATGCGACAACAGCACAAGCAACACAAATCCAAAACCCAACGAACCAATAACCCATATTATCTATATAAACCAAAACTGTCTCTGCAACCAAGGACCCGAGGTTTATTGCAACATAAAAGTAGCTGTAAAATGATTTCTTATACTGCTTTTCTTTGGGATCTTCCTCGTCAAATTGGTCTGCACCGAATGTAGCTAGTGCAGGTTCAGGTGCTCCATTTCCAAAAGCAATCAAGTATATTGATATATAAAATACTGCAACTTCAATTGGTGCATGAGGTTCACATAACACCTCTAAAGGTCCACAGCCATGGGGTTTAAGCAGAAAGTTGAGAATGATAATGCTACTAACCCCTGCATGCAAGAACCGACATTGAAAATCAAATTCCAATTTTTTTTTAAAAAAAAAGCAAGGAAATGGGGAGATCAGAGGTAGCTACTCACAATAACGAGGACAACTTGGAATGCGACACAAGTATCTTCGTAAATACGAGTCACTAATAAAGGCACCCATTAGAGAGAAAAGATAAGCAGTTCCCATCCATTGACTGAATGTATTTGCTGCCTCTGCATTCGTTTGCCTCAATACAGATTTTGAGAAGAGAACCATATTCACCTCCACTCCAACATAAGATAATGTAACTAGACCTAGAATTGCTGTTTTCAATTTTTTTTTTATAAAAAAGGAAATATAAAAAACATACAGAAAATAAAATGATATTACAGTTCAGTCCACATTAAAAAGACATACCTAATAATAGCATTCCCCATCTCCATCCACCAGTGCTTCCCTTTAAAGCAGGTTTGCCATGGCGATCAAGTGATCCATCTCCTGTTCATCCATTGCATTGTCTCTCTTCTCTGTCCTTTGACTGTTGAAGTTCGATGCATATATGCAAACAAAAGTGTTCTACAAATCAGCATTTTACTTTTACTTCTTCTCATGATTTTAATTCCAAGCTTTTTAATTTCACATAATTTTACTTTTTCATTAGATACACAACAGAAAAAAAAAATACAAATGACTTTTATTTTGGTTTGTGTAGAGATCAATTTTATATTGCAATTTGAAATTTAGGTAATATTAATAATAATCAATGATGAATTACAAAAACAGATTATAGGAAGTTTTCTCTCAGCTTTAACTTCGAGTATAAAATCTTGCAGGATATCTCAACTATATTTTTTGGTCAAAACAAAGAGGGCATAAATAGCCATAATAAGATGTAAAATAATTAAAATCTGCAAAAAACGAAGAACAGGGAAAATTCAAGCTACAAGTAAATTCACAATTTCCATTTCTCTGATAAATAGACTGTATAAATTCAGAAACGAAATGATGAATATGTTCAAATTAAGAAAATGAAAGGAATGCATGCAAATTATGGAGGGTTTCGAGAATATTTTTCCTTCAAGTCATTACTGGGTAGAGAAGCTCCGACGCCGGATTCTTGTTCTGCCTCCATTCTTCGTCAAAGAAATCTAATTTAGATACGGAGACAGTGAATGAGAGAGAACCATTTAAAGACGGATGCTGAGGCAAGCAAGCGCCATGCAAAGCAATTATGAAAAATGGCAGCTCAATCACTAATTCATGGAATTTCTGTGCTCCTAATCTAGGGCGCGACGCGTGTCAACCCTAAAGGCTTCAACGTGTTATAAATTTGAAACAAATTATGATTTTGTCTATATTTTAACATAACATATAATATTGCGCCTATATTTTTTAAAATCTTTTGACATTTTTTTTTTCAGCAATGATTATTATTTTATCCTTACATTTTATTGAAATTAACTAATCTCTTACTGAATAAATTGAGCATTTGATTGTTGTATTTTATCAAAATTAATTAATTTGTTCATATATTTAACGGAAACAATATAGAAGAGCATAGTAAGGAGGTAAAAGATAGAGCCAGAATAATGTATTTTAAAAAAGATGCAGAGGCAATGTTGCATATTCTTGTAAGGGCACTGATACAAGAATAAAATTTAATTTTATACAAACCGGTTACCGGTTTACCGTCAGCTTTGATACGGTGTCATTTTATGTAATCTAAATTATCCGCAAGGCATAATCTTTAAGTCTAGCTTCAGTTGCCGTTAACCACTGGCTCGCAGCTTCCACTGTCACGAAGTTCCGCTGCCTCCAAAATGTTGTCTTCGCTGTCGACGCTATCTTCGTCCATTTCGCGCCTAAATCTCCGTCCAAAACCCTCACTTCACTGCGCTTTATCATCTTTCAAAATCCCAAAACCCTACAAGAAGCTATTAACGCTCAATTGCTCACCTCTCACTTACTTCTCACTCTATTCTCCATCTTCTCGCTTTTCGTCTTCGATTAATTCCATTTCCCCAAAATCCAAAATCGAAACTCTTCGCCGTAAAGATGATTTGGTTATTCTCGGCATTGAAACTAGCTGCGACGACACCGCCGCCGCTGTTGTACGTAATTGAGTGTTTTTTTTCTTTTTTTTTTTTTTTCTTTTGGGCGTTTTGAATTTTTATTGATTGCTTGTGATGTTAGGTTAAAGGCAATGGTGAAATTCTCAGTCAGGTGGTGTCTTCTCAGGTATATAGGTCTTGATAGTTCGTTTTCCTTTCCTTATCGTACGTCATTAGCTCATTTTAAGCTTTTTACTAAAGGCAGACCTGCTTGAACGGTATGGTGGTGTTGCTCCTAAAATGGCAGAAGAAAGGCATTCACAAGTGATTGATCAGGTATAGTATTTGAGTTGGAAGCTTTATTTGATTTTCTTTTGTTATTTTTTTGTATTATAGTTCTTTTTACTTACAGTAAATCAATTGGTGCCGAAATTTTTGTTTGTTTTAATGCAGGTTGTACAGGATGCCCTTGATCAAGCAAATTTAACTGCAAGGGATCTCTCTGCGGTTGCTGTTACTATTGGTCCTGGTTTAAGCCTTTGTCTTTGTGGTAATTTGATTAATTTTTCTCTTTTTCCATTAAACTATTTCTCAAATCCTGCTATAGTTATATATTGTTGCGCAATCTTTATAGAGAAAGAGTTCCTTATGAAAGTTTGTTTATGCATTTGTAATGCAGTTGGTGTGCAGAAAGCTCGTAAACTGGCAGGCAGCTTCAATCTACCAATTGTTGGTATCCATCATATGGAGGCTCATGCTCTAGTAGCCAGGTATGGAGTTGCAAGTGTTTATGAGTTGGAGTAGAGATATAGAATAGCATTCACTAAATATTATTCTTTAAAAGACTCTTTTTGATATTCTAACCTATTGGGTTGATGTGTTCTTTGAAATGCTCATGTACGCCCATGTATATCTTCTTGTTAGGTTAATTGAACAAGAGTTGCAATTTCCTTTTATGGCGCTGCTAATTTCTGGTAAGACATATCCTTATTCTATTTACAGGTTTTTTTTTTCTTTCTTTTGTGAGGTAAGCATGTGTGAGAATATGATTGTTACTTAAAACTTGACACTGTTAAAGCATAAATTTTTAGCTTAAATGCATCCACTTCTGCGCACATTGTTTATTTCAAAAGGCATTATCTGAATTATTCAACTAATTTTAGAAAAAAAAATGTTAGCATTCGTTGAAAATGTTGGCAGTAACATGGATTTGAGAAATTGCGGTCCTTTATCTTCTGCCAAAATATCAAATATTGCTTTAATTCCATGCAGTCCTTTGGTTGCTTACTTTTGTTGGCATTGTGATATATCCTTGATATGGCGAACCAAATTTAATTTAACCTTGCTTTGGTTTGGTTCTCAGCCCCTTTCCCTTTGCATTAATTTAAGTAATGTTACTTTAGGATATGGCAAACCAAATTTAGTTCTGGTTGCACATGTTCTGATAATTTCACTTTGCTTTCGACTCTCAGGAGGTCACAATCTGCTTATTCTAGCTCGTGATCTTGGCCATTACATACAACTTGGAACCACAATAGATGATGCAATTGGTGAAGCGTACGATAAGATAGCAAAATGGCTTGGTCTTGATATGAGGAGGAGTGGAGGGCCAGCAGTCGAGGCACTTGCTCAAGAGGGAGATGCAGAATCTATCAAATTTTCAGTTAGTTGTCCAAAATATTTTATTATTATTATTATTATTTTCTGTCAATGAAGTTATGTTTGCAAGAATGTGCATTCTTTGGTTCAATTTGAGAAATCTTTTGTTTTTGTTCTTCTGAAATTCTTGCCGCTTTGTTTTCTCAGAGTCCAATGAAACAACATAAAGATTGCAATTTCTCATATGCTGGACTGAAGACTCAAGTGAGGCTGGCAATTGAATCCAGAAATATGTATGTAGAAAACTCTAAAATATTTGTTCATCTTTTGGAGTACAATTCCATATGATGCATGGCTAGTGCTAACAATGAGCTAGTTAATAAATTTTTTCTCTTTGTCATGGTTATTGATGCATCCATATCTATGTGTCTAGCAATGCAGAAATTCCCATATCATCTGCAACCAGTCAAGACAGAAGCTCCCGAGCTGATATTGCTGCATCTTTTCAGGTTTTTTTTTTTTTCTTTTTCTTTTCTTGGGTTAATTTTTTAATATAGTTCTTTCTGAGACTCTCTTGCAGCGAGTTGCAGTGCTGCATTTAGAGGAGAGGTGTGAACGGGCAATTGATTGGGCACGAAAGATTGAGCCATCTATAAAATATCTGGTAACACACTGGAATTTTCAGCTATTCCACGTGATTGATTTATTCTTTTTGTTAATTTCTTGACATGATTGAGACATTCACCTACCTTTACTTTCAATTCTTCTAGGTGGTCTCTGGAGGTGTTGCATCAAATCAGTATGTCCGAACCCGGCTTGATCAGGTTGTGAAGAAGAAGAACTTGAAACTTTTATGCCCTCCTCCCAGTCTCTGTACAGATAATGGTAAGATCTCTTTGGTCTTCTAGACCTTATAAATAACATACCTTGTAAATAACTAACGACTTGATTTTCATCTCATTAGGTGTAATGGTGGCTTGGACTGGAATTGAGCACTTCTGTATGGGAAGATTTGATCCTCCACCACCTGCAGATGAAGCAGAGGATTTTGTGGTTTGCTCTCAGTGCACTGTCTTTTTTTTGTTTCCTGTCCCCACCCTTGCGATATTTGATTGCACTTCTTTTGAACCATAAACTTGATCATTCATCCTGAGAGATTCAATTAAGGAATCAGCAAATAGATTTCATTTGACCTTTTACATAGCTGTTATGTAACTGTAAGAGGGTTTATTGCTTGTGACAAGTGACAAGTGTAATGTCTACACTTGCTTGATAACATGTTAGATAATATTTTATGTTGTATATTCAAACTGTCTTCTTGCTGCCTCAATAACTAGCAAATGTTTGTCTTTTGAATTAGTATGATCTGCGACCAAGGTGGCCATTAGGAGTGGAGTATGCTGAAGGAAGAAGCAATGCTCGTTCTATAAGAAGGGCACGGGTTCATCCATCTCTTACTTCTCTAATTCAAGCATCACTCCAACAGCAGTGATATGTGGAACTCCTAGTTCTCTGGAGTTCCTTAAAATACGACATTGCTAGTTGGTTGACATTTTTAGACAGTGCTCTCATTGCTCAAAGGATGATTGTCAACCTTGTTGACCAGAATCTGGTTTTCAAATGGGGAACGGAGATTGTCTGTAGACCTGACACCAATTCTAAAAATGATTAATCAGTCCCGACTCCTGAGGAAGTGTTCTGGTCAGGCATCTAGGAAGTTGGTAACTTGCATTTCAGAACCCGAAGTCTTTCTGCTGCGATCTCAAATTGGAATCTCTTGTTTCCCTTGGTTGTGCGCGTTCCGAGTATTGTTATGATCCTGTATATTCTACACTTGTTATTGCATATTGGATAAGACTTGATTTAGTGTAGTAGCAATAAGTAGAGTTACAGATTCAATTACCATTGAGTTGTTTATATTTTAATTACTTCCCTTTCTTATATTTGGGGGTTAACCTGTCTTGTTCATATAATTATTCTAATAAATGTTAATATTTTAATAATTATAGATTCTCGCATTTAATGTTTTTTTCAAGTTGATTTTTTACATTATGGGGTTAGTTTAAATGAGTAGATTGTCCCTCTTCCTCGTGATCAAGAACGATAGTGTTGTTCATAAATCAAAGAAAACCTTCCCTGGAAAAAAAGAAATACTCGTGGTTCATAAATTGTCCATATTTTATTTTATTTTTCTCATCAGAAATATTATTGTCTCAATAAAAATTTTATTTTCACTAATTTGATGCTGGATCTAGTCTAGGTCTAGACCGCGCGGTTTAGGTAAAGAAATCCCATGTTCATTGATGATTTCCCTGTCGTTCGCACACTCAAGGGAAAATCTTATACGGTGTTTTCTTGGGCTTAGCCCAATCCTTCCTGTCCAGGCCCAATTAGTGCCCACAGGCTCTAAGTGTCCAGGTCGCTGCATATCATTAGTTAGCGCCTCGATGAAAGTATTTGCGCGCCAAGAACACTGAAACGACCCGCACAGACGCAGTTTCATCGAATCGAAAACATTTGTCTACCCCCTCAAAAAAAAAAAAAAAAAAAAAAAAAAAAATTAGTTAGCGCCCTCGATGAAAGTATTTGCGCCGCCAAGAACACTGAAACGACCGCACAGACGCAGTTTTCCATCGAATTCGAAAAACATTTGTCTACCCCCTCAAAAAAAAAAAAAAAAAAAAAAACATTTGTCTAGAGAGGGATATGGAAGTATAGAGGCTACCGTTTTATCGGCGACGCAAGAGAGGGAAGCCTTTAATATCGGCAAAGGCTACACTTTCTTCTCTTTCCCTTTCCTTTTCTGTCCTCCCTCCTTCAGATCTTGGCACGTGGTAATTACGTTTTTAATCGCTCAAACCCATAAAAAAAAAAAAAAAAAAAAAAAAAAACATTTGTCTAGAGAGGGATATGGAAGTATCGAGGCTACCGTTATCGGCGACGCAGAGAGGGAAGCTAATATCGGCAGGCTACACTTCTATCTCTTCCCTTTCTTCTGTCTCCTCTTCAGATCTTGCACGTGGTAATTTTACGTTTTAATCGCTCAAACCCATAGTCTACTACGTAATCGTATTCAATTTTCTTACTTTCGGTGCTTCTCTATTCCATATTTCATTTGTTCTTCCTCTATGCTTACTAGATGTGTAGTGTAAATTTAAATTCTGGTGATTTTCATGGTTTGGCCATTTGGGTATTGTCGTTTTGATGATCGGATACCAAGTGTTTGTTATTGTGACCTTGTGATTGGAATTTTAAGAGGTCTCACTAAATGCAGTGAATAGTAAGCTCTAAATTGGAAGGAAATTTGGCCACCAAGTCAGTTGTAGTAGTATCATCTCTAGTAGTATCAATAACAACAACGACTAAGCAGTAGTCCCAAATTAGACAGCTAAGCCTTTGTCCCAAACTAGACGGATTGGCTATATGAATCCTGGTGAAGTGAGCCTGGTGAAGCATATCTGGTCCTAAGCCTGGGATTGATGGCCAAAGTAAAATTAGTCAAACCACATTATGAATCTTTTGATTATTGAGAATTCATTTCTAGTAGTTTAACAGCTTAAAATGTTTGTTCGAGAAATAAGATCTGTTTTATCAAAGGGAAATCATACTCGTTGTTTTTGCTGGGATTGCTTTTGCTTTCTGTATGAATTTCCCCCGGATATCTGTAATGTTATGGCTAAAAATTAACTTTCTTTATGCTTGAATAGATCTGAAAATTTCAGATGGAGAAGCTCTTGAAATTTTGAAAGTTGCATCACATAGCAGTAAGCTGGACAGGGTGGAAGGAAGCCACGCTATTATCATTGGTAATCAATTTCTGCTTGACATGTTACAATTGCATTTCATTTAATTTCCTTTCTCCATTCATTTTCATATTTTCAGAGGTGATCTAACCAAATTGAAAACTTTTAATGGTGTATATTATTCATGAAACCTGAGTGCGGTCTTTTGTATTAACAGGTGCTCAGAATGCTTGGGACATGCTTCATGAGGAGCAGTCCTTGGTACGCATTACTACATCTTGTGCAGATCTAGATAACATCCTTGGTGGAGGAATAAGTTGCAAAGAAGTGACAGAAATTGGTTAGGCATTTTTTTCCTCTCTCTTTCTTCTTGTAAAATTATTAATACGAGAGTTTGTATGCTTTGTCTATGAGCCTAAGCATGATTAGTTGCAAATTATTTTTTCATTTATGGGGTTTTTTTTTCCCTGCTCTTTATAGGTGGAGTGCCAGGCATAGGTAAAACACAGATGGGGTATGAGGCTATCCTTTTCTTCATCTCTTTCTTTCTAGCTGGGGTATAACACAGCCTGAGCATTCGTTCTGTTCTTCTCTTTCTTTATGATGTGTGTGGCCATATATGTAAAGGAAAAGCTTACTGATGCTGAGCCATATATTTGGATTGGTAGGATTCAACTTGCAGTCAATGTCCAAATTCCACCTTATTGTGGTGGCCTGGGCGGACAGGCAATTTATATAGGTAAATTGATGACACTTTAATGGCCCTTTTTCTTTAACTTCTCAACTGATATTTTACTGGTGATGCTTATAATGTTGCATCTTTGCAATATTCAGATACAGAAGGTAGTTTTATGGTGGAGCGTGCTCTACAGGTTGCTGAAGCATGTATAGAGGACATGTCAGAATATAGTAGGTTCTTAAGGAAGGATTTGCAAACTTGTCACGTGGGGATGCAAAGCAAGGATATTTTGAAAAATATATATTACTTTCGTGTTTGCAGTTATTCAGAGCAAATTGCCCTGACTAATTACTTGGAAAATTTTATTTCAGAAAATAGAGATGTAAGTAATTTCGATATTCTGTAATATATGCCAACTGTCGGATTACCAAACAATGGTTTGAATTTGCCTAGTTTCTCTTTCCCCACAGGAAGCAAGACTCTGCTTCTAGATGATTATTTAATTGCTTAAAGCAATAAGTTTCATCCCCATCTATCCAATTCTTCGAATGTCTATTTTTGTGAAACAAGGGATCTCTTGCCGATTTGTCTTACATGTATTTAAAATATGTTCTTCGTGAATTGATTTTCTATCATTTTAACAGGTTAAAATCATAATAATTGATAGTATTACTTTCCACTTCCGCCAAGATTTTGAAGATCTAGCCCTCAGAACACGGGTACTCAGTGGAATGGCCTTAAAGTTGATGAAGATTGCAAAAGATTTCAGCCTAGCGGTAAATTAGTAATTCTTAAAACTGTAAATCCAACAATCTTCACACTTTCATTTCAAGTAATCTTTTATTTTTGGAGTATATTTTACATTACCCAAGTTCAGCTACCTCCCCCACCCCTCTCTCTTTCTCTTCTCCTCTCCTTCCCTTTCCCATTTCATTGTCATAAAGATATCTGAAAACTAGTTGGTAGGCAACTTAGCAAAGCTTTTGTAGAGTTGGTCTTGGTAAATTTTATGAAAGCATCCATTCATTCTTTGCAAAATGTTTTGTTTTTCTTTATTCCTACACATTGAAGTGCTTTCATACTACTGGAATTAAGATCTGTGTCCATTGCTTGGCCTTTTTATGATTAATCAGATTTTAACTGCTTGCAGGTAGTTCTATTGAATCAGGTAACTACCAAGCACACTGAAGGTTCTTTCCAATTAGGTCTTGCACTAGGTAAATTTAATCTCTATACGCCCCCTTCTACATAAATTTTTTTTTTTTCTAGTTCTTGATCATATTCTTTCTTTTTCTTCATAATCTGTCTATTTTATTTATTTATTTTTGTAATCAGTTTTTTCTGGTTTTCTTACACTGATTAGGTGATAGCTGGTCGCATTCTTGCACAAATCGGGTTATTCTGTACTGGAATGGCAATGAGAGATATGCATACATTGACAAATCACCTTCCCTTAAATCAGCATCAGCACCATATTCGGTCACCAGTAGAGGAATCCGAAATTCTACTTCAAGTTGTAAACGTGTTAGAATGATGTAACAGTTTGATTGGGTTCATGGACAGAGATGAAAAGGTAAACAAAAGTTATGGATTACTATTTGATATGCAATACAAAACCTCCTAGCCAACTTAAACGAGTTATCCTAGTTGAAGTACTAAATTTTAACCACTCATTGCAGTAGATTTTCTACCTTTTTAGAAAATGTTTATTTGTTGAAGCTGATGTTAAGGTTGGTGACCTTTCATTCTATTCGCCTCTTTGTAAATTGTAAGTCAGTGCTGAGCAGTCGTAATTGGAGGGTTTGACTGGTTTTTGTTTGTTGCTTGAAATGCGGATGTATCAGCAAAACTAAGCAATAATCTTTTTTATTTATTTGTTGAGAGAGAAGAAAAGTTGATCATTAATTGAAGGCGGCAAGTAATTTTATATACTCATTTTTAAAGATAGATTAAGAAAAATTAATTAATCTAGTTAAACTATACTATTTATTTATATATTTTCTTAAAATACCTTGTTGTAGTGTTAAATTATATATATATAATTGAGAATATACATCTACATTAAATAGAAATACATTAAGAAATTAAATAATAAATTGTCTTTTAAAAAAGAAAATAGAACTGCACTTTGAAAAAGGAAAATAAACTTATATATAGGACAAAGAGAGTATTACTTAGGATCATTACCTAATTAAAAAAATAAAGAATATTGAAGAGTGGAACTGTGTAGTTTGTTGAATTCAAGGTTGAGACGAAAGTATGTTGCTATTTATGTTTTTCAAACTTTGTCACCTAATAGCTTTTCAATCCATCGTCACTCTCAAATTTTATATAAGAAAATCCTAATCTCCAAGGATATTTTGGTCGAAATAATATCTTAATTTTCAGGTTTAATGTATTAGAATATTTCAAATTTTACGGATTTTTCAAATTTATTATTTTGATTAGTTTTATCCTAATTTCGACTTTTTATATTAATTGCATTCTTAAAACAAGAGATTTGTAAAATTCATTGTATTCTAATATAAAATTTTAAAAATTTAACTGCAATTGCATTGTAAAACTGATTTTGAGTATATTTTACGGGATTCACACCTTATACTGTGGAGAAGTGGGTAAGAGAGAGAAGGGCAAAAATGAAAATTTAGATGGTGGATCCCACAAAATATATAATTACAAATCAATTCTAGGGTGTAACTGCAACTAAATTTTAAAATTGGAGTATCCTTGCAACAAAACAAAAATTGCAGTGAGTGTAAAATTGCAACTGTTCAAACGGTGGCTAAGCCACTTTAAGAAGGTAGCTGAACTTAATTAATCTTCTCCATTCAACAAGTACGCTTACGCAAGAGAAGTTTAAATTAATTAACTAATCCCATTGGTTGTACATAGTAGCCCAGATCTGCTTAATTATTAATTAATTCAAATAGTATAAAATTATTGTTGATTTGGGTTAATGTTTGAATGGGAAAAGCATCTTTCCTTTACCGAATGTGCCTAAACAAAATTTCAACCGTAAGCAAAGCAAAATTACATTACAATCCAATCATCTACCAAACCATTTCTCTTTTAACTTTCCAACAACCCACACCTTGCCATTGTTGAACGAAACATTCTCGCAATTTTCAAATTCAGCAACAGGAATCCATTAATGAGCTGTTATTACTGAAAGGAAATTTTTTTTTTTTTTGTTTGGAGAAGGAACCAAAGCTATGTTTTTTTGTTTTACATTACAGAGGAAACAAAATCAAACGGACTTTTCTGTTCCTCCTTAAAAAAGCAAATAGAAAAGAAGATAATCATATGGTTTTAAAATAGAGAAAAAGAAAATTGTGAAAGCTAAAATGGAAATTTTTTATAAAAAAAATGAAGGGCAGAGCATCTCCCAGCTTCTACCCATAGTCAACGGTAGAGATTGTGTTGTCCTCCTAATCTAACGGTCAGCTCAACTCACCTGTCATTTTGTGTAGACGAGAAGATCAAGAATTCAAGATCAAGAGTTGTTGTCTCTCTCTCTCTCTCTCTCTCTCTCTCTCTCTCTCTTAAAATAAAACCTCAAGGCTACTTGCCCTTTTCTCTCTATTTACAAAGTGAATAAAAGAGAGTAGAGGCTTAACAAAGGGCTCTGAAAACAATGGCTTCTACTTCATCTCTAACTCTATCACAGGCCCTTTTGGCTCGGGCCGTCTCTTACTATGGCTCTTCTCAGTCCTCCGACCACCACCGCCTCTCTCTTTCTACACCTTCCCTTCCTGCCTTTTCTGGTCTCAAGTCTACCTCTTCCTCAATCCCACGCGCTACTGCCTCCCGCCGCAGTAGCCGCCGCAGCATTTCCAACCGCCAGCAAACCCAAATCCGGGCGTCTGTGGTTGAAACCGTTGACGCTACCACTGAGACTTCATTGGTTGAGAAATCTGTCAATACAATTAGATTTCTTGCTATTGATGCTGTGGAGAAGGCCAATTCGGGTCACCCCGGTTTGCCTATGGGATGTGCTCCTATGGGTCATATTTTGTACGATGAAGTAATGAAATATAACCCAAAGAATCCTTATTGGTTCAATCGCGATCGGTTCGTCTTGTCTGCCGGTCACGGCTGTATGTTACAGTATGCTTTGCTTCACCTCGCTGGTTATGATAGTGTCAAGGTTGGTGTCTTTTCTTTTACCCATTTCATTTTTTTGTTCTTTTTTTTTTTTTTTTGTTAATTTGTTGAAAGTAATGAAAATATAACCCAAGAATACCTTATTGGTTCAATCGCGACGGTTCAGTCTTGTCTGCCGGTCCACGGAATGTATGATTACAGTATGCTTGCTTTCACCTCGCTGGGTTATGAATTAGTGTCAAAGGTTGGTGGGTCTTTTCCTTTTAAACCCGCATTCATTTTTTTGTTCTTTTTTTTTTTTTTTGTTTTAATTTGTAATGGTGTGTTGAAGTGCTTTTCTCTGCTAAATAATGGGGAAATGGACCTGAATTCCGTTTGCTGAAAACGAAACCTGAACCAACTGGATAGGGAGGCAATAATCCTCAACCTTCTTTGTCAGCTGATCTAGAGCAAAACTCTTTTGGTTTTGCAAAAAGAAACATAAATCGTATTTCTTTTTTTTTTTTTTTTTTTTTTTTTTTTTATACATGCTTGTTGTTTTCTTCTTAGATGTTTAATTAATACTGCACCAGTCCCCCAATTTTTTTTTTTTTTTTTTTTTTTTTATATGCTTGTTGTTTTCTCTTAGATGTTTAATTATACTGCAACAGTCATTTATTTTATATCCAGTTGTCTACTAGTGAAGTCATTCTTATTGATCTCCTTCGTTTTGGCTGATTTAATAGGAAGAAGACTTGAAGAATTTCCGTCAATGGGGAAGCAGGACCCCTGGACACCCTGAGAATTTTGAGACACCTGGTGTTGAGGTCACAACTGGTTAGATTCTGGTTTCAATTGTTCATCATTAAATCTATATTCGCTATATTTATAATTCAGACTAAATAAAGCTTTATGTTTTTCATTGTAGGTCCTCTTGGACAGGGTATCGCCAATGCTGTTGGTTTGGCTCTTGCAGAGAAGCATTTAGCTGCTCGCTACAACAAGCCAGACAATGAAATTGTTGACCACTACACGTATAATACCTCCCTTAATCTTATTATTTATTGCCCTCCATCTGTTTATATGTAAATTTATCATGCCTTTGTATTAAGTGGTATATTGTCATATATGTTCTTTTCTGTAGATACGTTATATTAGGAGACGGTTGTCAAATGGAGGGCATCGCAAATGAAGCTTGTTCCCTTGCTGGACATTGGGGACTAGGAAAGTTGATTGCTTTCTATGATGACAACCACATCTCCATCGACGGTGACACAGCAATTGCATTCACTGAGAGTGTTGACAAACGATTCGAGGGTCTTGGTTGGCATGTTATCTGGGTGAAGAATGGAAACACTGGCTATGATGAGATTCGTGCTGCCATTAAGGAGGCCAAGGCTGTGAAAGACAAGCCCACTTTGATCAAGGTCAGATTATCACTCTCTTTTGGTACTGTGTTTTGAGTTGTCGTGGAAAATTGAATTTTAGTAAATATCAATGACAGAACGATGCAGTGGCATGTTCAGAATCATCATAGAAGTTAAATAGCTGCATTTAGTTTTTAATCATGTTCTTGATGGGCCTTCACATTTCCTTGCAGGTAACTACAACCATTGGTTATGGTTCTCCAAACAAGGCAAACTCTTACAGTGTGCATGGGAGTGCACTTGGTGCCAAGGAAGTTGATGCTACTAGGAAAAACCTTGGGTGGCCATATGAGCCTTTCCATGTTCCAGAGGATGTTAAGAAGTAAGCAAATTTAGAGTGGATTTCTATCTGCTTGATGTTACCAATATTGTTGTGATGTTCAATTATGTCTGGCTTGTTCTTAGGCACTGGAGTCGCCATGTACCACAGGGTGCTACCTTCGAAGCTGAATGGAATGCCAAGTTTGCTGAGTATGAGAAGAAGTACAAGGAAGAAGCTGCAGAGTTGAAGTCTATCATCACTGGTGAATTACCTGCTGGTTGGGAGAAGGCACTTCCAGTGAGTAGAGCTTCAATTATCTGCATTTTTTCTTGATTATATATTTAGGGTCTCCTTCTCTTTGCATTATCTGAAAATGCATGTTCTCATGTTTAATTTTAGCAAGCATTATGGATATTCAGATACTGTGTCATAAAACTGATGTGCATGCCTATTTGCAATTTATCAGACAATCCCTGCTGCAGAGTTAGGGCAATGTGCTAATGTGAGATTTTCAATCTGGATAATCTTTTAATGCTTTTTTCTTTTCTTTCAACTTCCAGACATACACTCCAGAGGACCCAGCAGAGGCTACCAGAAATCTATCTCAGGCAAACTTAAATGCACTTGCAAAAGTACTTCCTGGTCTTCTTGGTGGCAGTGCAGACCTTGCCTCTTCAAACATGACCCTGTTGAAAATGTTTGGAGACTTCCAAAAGGAAACCCCTGAAGAACGCAATGTCAGGTTTGGTGTGAGAGAGCATGGAATGGGAGCTATCTGCAATGGAATTGCACTTCACAGCCCTGGCCTGATCCCTTACTGTGCTACTTTCTTTGTTTTCACTGACTACATGAGGGCTGCTATAAGGATATCTGCCTTGTGTGAGGCTGGAGTCATCTATGTTATGACCCATGATTCAATTGGTCTTGGAGAAGATGGGCCAACCCATCAGCCAATTGAGCACTTGGCAAGCTTCCGTGCAATGCCAAACATTTTGATGCTCCGCCCAGCTGATGGAAATGAAACTGCTGGTGCTTACAAGGTTGCTGTCCTCAACAGGAAGAGACCCTCTATCCTTGCACTTTCTAGGCAAAAGCTGCCAAATCTCCCTGGAACCTCTATTGAGGGAGTCGAAAAGGGTGGCTACACCATTTCAGATAATTCTTCAGGAAATAAGCCGGATGTGATTTTGATTGGAACTGGTTCTGAGTTAGAAATTGCTGCTAAGGCTGCTGAGGAACTTAGAAAGGAGGGCAAGGCTGTAAGAGTTGTCTCCTTTGTTTCATGGGAGCTTTTCGATGAGCAGTCAGAAGCCTACAAGGAAAGTGTTTTGCCAGCAGCTGTAGAAGCTAGGGTTAGCATTGAAGCCGGATCGACATTTGGATGGCAGAAGATTGTCGGAGCCAAAGGCAAGGCTATTGGAATCGACCGATTTGGGGCAAGTGCACCAGCTGGTAAGATATACAAGGAGTTCGGCCTTACTGTTGAGGCTGTTGTTGCTGCTGTCAAAGAAGTTTCTTAGGCTGGATTAAATCTTTTTTTTTTTTTTTTTTTTTGAAAGGTGGTTGTTGCTGCTGGTCAAAAAGAAGTTTTCTTAGGCTGGATTAAATCTTTTTTTTTTTTTTTTTTTAATTTGAATTTGAAGTTTGGGTCGGAGAATTAGGTTTTTTTTTTTTTTTTTTTTAATTTGAAATTTGAGTTTTGGGTCGGAGAATAGGGTGAAGAGGCCATTTCTAGGACAGCTATTCCATGATCCAGCCTCTTGGTTTCAATAAAACAAAAAGGGAAAAAAAAAATGAAAGATTAGATTTTCTTGTGTTGCTTCCAAGTGATCAGCGCAGCAACATAGTTCAAAAAAGAGGAGAGTTGGATTACGATCATTGTGAATTTGTAACGACTCTTGGACCTATCTTGAGTTTTGTAATGTGCAAGTTGTTTTACTTTGTAGTGCGATTGACCATTATTTATTCCTACATTTTTGTTTATGCATGACCAGAAGCAAAGCAAGAGTCAATTACTCTGGCTTCAAAGCCCTCGTGATTTCCTTTCTATGAGACCAAAAAATCATTAATAACAAAGAGATAGATGTGTGGTTGAAAGTGTTTGAAGGATGTAGTTAGATTACAAAATATGTGATTGATTCTATTACTAGAAAAGCTTAGGACGAGTAATTTACAAGCCAGTAGAGGAGGATTGAGTAAATCTAATCCTTTTAGGTTCATGGAATGGACCTACCAAAATGAGGTGTGGCTAAAGAAGCTGAAATCTTGGCCTACTCGAAAAGTTGTGGTTGATGGAGCTCCCATTCCCAATCTGCCTATCCATATTGTCCTATACCATATATTATGCTATTGGATGATGCAGATATTAACAAATTTTGACACATCCAGAGTATGTGCATGCTGGCATATTCTCCGTGATGCGGCTCAACAGACTTGGATAATAAAAATTTCGAAAACAAAAATCTAAATATACTTTTATATCACTTAACTTGCCCTTTGGCACTACCGCCTCAAGGCCTTATAAGACTACTTGTACCATGGCTGCCTTCTCAGAACTTAAAAAGGCGAGTCAATCAGTTCAGTGAAAGGAGACCATGATGCGGCTCACGACAGCAAAACCATGGTTCTCTCACTCTCCATCCCAATATAAAAATCTATTTCTGTTTTCAAATTTTAACGGTAAAGTTCGTTGTATTTCACACGGATCGTGTGTTACCAAAAAATTGGAAAATAAAAAAAAATAATTAAAACACACGTTTGGTTTGATATTTTCAATTTTAAAAGAAAAATTTTTTATTAAAATATATTTTAAAAAATGAATTATAACTTAAAGAAATAAATAAAACATTTAAATTCCATTATTCAAATTCTTCAACCCACGGAATCTGATGGCAATTTATTTCTATTCATTATATATATATTTTTATCACATTCTCACCTAAACCAATCTCTTGAATAAATCATGACAATCTTAAAATTCGAGTTCAGCGATTGAAAAAGTTAGCCAAATTTGACTACGAGATGGTTTGTTGACCTTATTATTTTTTTAATCACTAATTTAATAAAAACTAATTATTGCTCCTATCTATTTCACACAGGTGCTAACAAAAGCCTAGAACGTAAAACCTCCGTTGCAATGGAAGAGCGTATGATATATTTTGCGGATCGGGCTAGTTTGTAGCAAAGTCCCTACTTAGGTCCAACAACAATTATATTTGGGCTAGCTGAGTTCCGATCGCCATCAGCTGAGGCCCACATACGGAATCCCCTAGGACTGGGCTAAAAGCCCAGTTTACTTTTTTCTTCTTAAATTTTTTTCGAAAATAAAGGAAAAAACAAAAAAAAAAAAAAAAAAAGTTTCTTTTTTCTTCTTAAATTTTTTTCGAAAAATTAGGAAAAGACAAAAAAAAAAAAAAAAAAAAAAAAAAAAAAAAAAAAAAAAAAAAAGGAAAGTTTACATGGACAGGGAGCATATTCTTCCGCGATGCTGCTATACCAAATCCAGCCCTCCCGTTGTTGGTCTTAAAGCCCCACCAAACCTACCTACCCTTCATGGGGTCCCTAAAAAATGCTGCCTTTTATCTTTTGGTCATGGTAGTTGGGTGTCACCCTTTGTGTCCAAACTGACCAATTGAGACCGGAATACGGGAAGACGAAAGCTGACATGGCAAGAATCGGTTGTTAGGATATTGAATGGAATAATAGAATCGAATGTATAGAAGCTGAACCCTGGGGGTTGGCATTAGGTGGGTGGGTGGTGATTGATAACGATAGACACAATTGCCACTGCTAAATCCAACAATATCACCAACCCCTTTCTAGCGCTTAGATTTCAAATTCTCAAAACCACCCCAGAGATAAAGTTTCTTTACATGTAAACCCTGAATAATGCAACAGTTGAAGATTTTCAAAGCATGTTACAAGTAATAATTGCATATATCGAAAATTCGAATTATTTTTGAAATAAAGTAAGTTCTTAGGTATCTATTGGAAAATTACCATTCTTTCAAATAGCGGCAAGCAAAGTTGGTTGGTGAATGTCCTCAGTTTGATTCAGTATAACTCTCTGCATACGATTCTGTTACACCTAAACCCCCTCTCACGGTTGCTCCTCCTTTCTTCGACTAATAAGACCACACAAGAGAAGAAGAAAAGGAAATATTCGTACGGAGAGAGAAATGGCGCAAGTTAACAAAATCTGCAATGGAGCTCAAAATAATTATGCCTTCCCCAATCTTTCAAAGCCCCAAAGACCCAAATCTCTACCTTCAGTTTCATTTAAATCACAGTTTCACGGGTCTCCGATTTCTCGGGGTTTAATCCAGTGTCAGAGAAGGGGTGACTGTACAGTTAGGATGGGTTCTATTCGAGTTTCAGCTTCAGTCGCCACAGCGGAGAAGCCGTCAACGGTACCAGAGATAGTATTGCAACCCATTAAAGAAATCTCCGGTACGGTCAAGTTGCCGGGTTCCAAGTCACTGTCCAATCGGATTCTCCTCCTCGCTGCGCTCTCTGAGGTATAGTGATTCTGTGTTTTGAACGCAATTTCAATTTGTAACGCTCGGATGGTATTGGGAGCTAATTTCCTGATTTTCATTTTTGAGGAAATTGCGAAAAGGGAAGCGAAGCAAGTTGATGGAATTTTTAATTTTTATATTTTGTCACTAGATTACTGGTCATTGCTACATTTTGGAAGGCTCGAGCTTTTATATGTTGACATTTAGTTGGTATTTTGTGCTTGGGTTTGAATTGCTTTTTTCTGTTTGACAACTATAGTTTGGAGAAAGGATTCTGATTTCAAATATGTTATATATCCTACCGTGGACACTATTTAATTAACTAAGAAATGAACTAAAGGTGGAAAAAGAACCGGTGAACATATATATGTGTGTGTGCGTGTGTGTGTGTGTGTGCAAAATTGTTGATGAAATTTTGAATTCTTAACTGGATTTTGGTATCTGGTGTTTCTCCCTTGTTTCCAGAAAGCAATTTTTTATGTAGTTGATTGTTGGCACGCACATTATTTATTTGGTGTTAATATGGACAGAAATGTCTTCAGGTGATTATAATTGTATAGTATATTCTTTTATTTTGGCTATTCTAACATTGGTATAAAAGAATAGGAGCGGCTCAAATGTTGTATGCTTGAATTATATACGTGTAATATATTCCTCTGTTATGCTTCTCAACCCAGTTGACTATGCGGATGGTCATTAATTGTTGTTTTTTATCTATCATTCAGGGGACAACTGTTGTTGATAACTTATTGAATAGTGATGATGTTCGTTACATGCTTGGTGCATTGAGAACGCTTGGACTACATGTAGAGGACAATAGTGAACTTAAACAAGCCATTGTAGGAGGTTGTGGTGGTTATTTTCCAGTGGGTAAAGAATCAAAGGATGATATTGAACTTTTCCTTGGAAATGCGGGAACAGCAATGCGTCCATTGACAGCTGCAGTTACTGCAGCAGGTGGAAATTCAAGGTCTCTCCTATCTTGCTCCCCTTCCTACCTGTTTATGTTGCCCTTTGTAAATCATGTAGGAAAATTCAAGTCCCACCATGCTAAAATGTTTAATAGGGTTTGTATCTTAGAGCTTATAATTTGTGTTGACCAATTCTAGGTGCATTTGTTTGTATTTAGTCTTAGAAACTACCAGCATTGCTTTTTCATCTCTCTCTCTCTGTCTCTGGGCGCCTATTATGCATGCTCTGCATAGCAAGTATAGCTTTTCCTTATCTTAATGGGATGCACAAGTTGAAAGCTTCAATCACAAATCAAATAATCTTACTGAGATACAGTAAAAATGATCTTCGACAAAGTTGCCATTTTATATAATATTCTCTGTAGTACTTTGGAATAAGCTTACACATAGGATGCTAGCAGTAAAACATATTATTAAACTTGTCCAATCTGTATGAAAATTATTTCTTGGATTAATTCACAGTGATGTTCAATTTTAATTTGTTAATTGAGTGCAGCAACCAAATGATAACAGCTGTTTTAGAGTTTGCTCTGTTCGTTTTGCTGCCCACTACTTACCGAGCTCTTCAGATATTTTTTTCCCTTTTCTGTTTGAATTAACTATTAAATATACTTCAGCTACATACTAGATGGGGTCCCACGAATGCGAGAGAGACCAATTGGGGATTTGGTTGTTGGTCTTAAGCAGCTTGGTGCAGATGTTGCTTGTTCTCCCACAAACTGCCCCCCAGTTCGTGTAAATGCAAAGGGAGGCCTTCCTGGGGGAAAGGTAGAGCTACTTTTGTCTTTCCCCCTATTATATTTTTATCATTTTTGATAATTTATCATGCCTATTTATATTTCTGACAACATGTAATGCTGCAAGCTCTATCAGTATGATTAGAAATTAGCTTTAAGTTTTGTGCCAGCATATTATGGATGTAAGAATTAAGTTGTTCTTCTTAAACGAGAAATTTGAATTTGAAATATCTTTCAAGTTGTTAATCATTTTCTATTTAATCCAGTAAACATACCCATTTTCTTCATTTGGCATTAAAATTCGTATCTGTTTGAGAACTAGAACTTTGAACCTTGAACCTTTAGCTTTCTATAAGACTCTGAACTTGGTTTCCCTGTTGGCTTTATTCCTCATTTCCTGCTTGACAAGAAGTATATTGAACTTAAAATGGTCTCATTTCCTTGTTAACTTAGGAATTAATCACTTTTAATACTGATTTCCCATGTCTTCATTTTTCAGGTTAAGTTGTCTGGATCAATTAGCAGTCAGTACTTGACTGCTTTGCTCATGGCTGCTCCTTTGGCTCTTGGAGATGTAGAAATTGAGATTATTGATAAACTGATATCCATTCCTTATGTTGAGATGACTTTGAAGTTAATGGAACGCTATGGAGTTAATGTAGAACACAGTGGTAGCTGGGATCGTTTCTTCATCCGAGGAGGTCAAAAGTACCGGTAGGTTCCTTCAGTATAAATGGATCTGCAGGCTTCTAAATCAATGTTTCAAAGAAATTAACAACTGAGATGTCAATTAGGTCTCCTGGAAATTCTTATGTCGAAGGTGATGCTTCAAGTGCCAGTTATTTCCTGGCTGGGGCTGCAATCACTGGTGGAACTATTGCCGTTGAGGGTTGTGGGACAAGCAGTTTGCAGGTATTTCACTCTTGTGAATTCATTTTCTTCTTATTGCTTCCAATAATTTTAAAATGGCACTGGCTGGGAATCTGCTTATTCTATCCATAGCTTTCTGATGGTTGAAAATTTTGTTGAATTTTTTCCAGCATTAACATATCTGTGAGGCCTTTTGTGTAGCTCCATAATCTCCAGTAATTTCCATCGAGAAAATTCTGCAACATGGTTGTATTCATATGCTTACAAAACTAACTCAATTTCCTATGTATCCTTATGAAAATCAAGGGAGATGTAAAGTTTGCTGAGGTTCTTGAGAAAATGGGAGCTAAAGTTACCTGGACAGAGAACAGTGTTACTGTCACTGGACCACCACGCAACTCTCCTAGCCAAAAGCACTTGCGTGCTGTTGATGTCAACATGAACAAAATGCCTGATGTTGCTATGACGTTGGCTGTGGTTGCACTCTTTGCAGATGGCCCTACTGCCATAAGAGACGGTATATTTTGGCCTTCTTAAATTTTAGAAGTGAATTATGCCTTACATTCTTCAAATAAAAATCACCCATCAGGGGGAAATCTAGCATATACTTCAAATCTAAAATTTCCATGGGTCTGAATTCTGAACTCCATAAATTGTACAGGGCATGTAGCAGTTTTGCTTTCTCATAGTTTGAGATGGCTAAAGAATAATCCAATTCTAGATTGTTGAATTTCCATTTCTATGTTTAACCCATATTTAAAGTTCCTAAATATTTTATGTTCATGTGAACAAAATGTTAACAAGTTTTTATAGGTAATTTTTATGCCAATCTCTTGATTTCTCTTACTTGCAGTGGCAAGTTGGAGGGTGAAAGAAACAGAACGGATGATTGCCATTTGCACGGAATTGAGGAAGGTTAGTTTTTGGCAGTTTTTCATTCATTTGATTTATGCAAGAAAAAGGACTCAGGTGTATAATTTGCTTCTTTACATAACATATGGGCTTTAAATTTCAGTTGGGAGCAACAGTTGAAGAAGGACCCGATTACTGTGTGATAACTCCACCAGAGAAACTAAATGTGGCTGAGATTGACACTTACGATGATCACAGAATGGCCATGGCATTCTCTCTTGCTGCCTGTGGAGATGTTCCAGTCACAATCAAGGACCCTGGTTGCACACGAAAAACTTTCCCCGACTACTTTGAAGTTCTGGAGAGGTTCACTAAGCATTGAGCCACAATTCAATGTTCGTAATTTATATGAAATAGAGGTCACCTGAAAACCATAATCGTGCAGAAGCAAGCCTGTAGATTTTTTTTACTTTCAATAATCAATTTGTAATTTTCGAGCGAGTAGATTGTTATTGTGCCTTAAACTTGTATCTTTCAAGTGAAAAACCTGTACTCAGGTTCTCTTTCTAAGCTAGTATTGTTCAGTTCTAGATGAGTTGTAAGAAAAGAATCAAGTTGCTATTAGTGAAGTTGCTATGGGCTATTTTGTGTGATTAAAGAGCAGAGCAAGCCCACACGTCCTCACACGCATCTTAGGCTGACAGCATTAGTGGGTCAATTTAGGAGCAACCCTAATGGTAGAAATTAGAAAGGCTTCAAACCTTATTAATCACGTGAATTTTGTCTAGCCACCGAGGAAACTGGGAAGAAGTGTTGTTGTGTCCTTGATAAGCTACAATACAAGCCCATCTGATCTGACATTAATTGGTGAGGCATGGAACATGTTGCCAATTTATTTATTTATTTACGTAAAGAAGGGACTATTATATTTATATTAAGGCTTGTAGACCTCGTGCAATATATTTTTTCAACAGCTTGTCACATGGGTTGGTGGTTGGAGCTTGGAGAGGTGGCTGTAGAGATTTATTTCTTTTCGCTTTTCCTTCAAAAATATTAACTAATCTACCTATCAAGTTATGGAATTAATAAATAAAAGGGTTCAATAACCTGAAGTGAAGAATTGGCATCTACTGTTTTAAAATTTACTGCATTCTTTATGAACTTTGAAGGAAAAGGAAAGACTCTGCTATTTTTACCACATGTTAATTAGAAAAAGAAATTTTGCGAACATAAACAAGAAGATTATTAAATAATCAGCATTAGATTACTCAAAGGATTACTTGAGTATGTTACTGAAGGAATGTGAAAGTAGAAGTGCAATGATGGCATTGTATGGTTTATTTGAAGCACCATTACCAAAATGTTGAATAATGTAGGAAAATTGTAGAACACAAAATACTTCATTATTTGTAGTGATAATGAGCTTTTAAAGAAAAGAACAAAAGGGTTAGGGTCTGAAAATAGAGCCACTCACATGGTGCTAAATTGCAATCTAAGGATTCATTTGGAAAGGTACTTTTGCCTTCATTTCAAGTTTTTTGTTTTGAATTAGAATATTGACTTGACTCTCTCCCTCTCAGCCTACCATGTAAAACTGAAATAAACCTGAAAAATGGAACGGTAATGCATGTATACAAATCACTCTTGCTGCCTGATTATTGAATTATTCTGAAATATTGGGAGGAAAATGAAAAAGAAAATTAAGGAATCCCCTCTTAAATTTAGCGAGAGAAAATTTAGTTTACTACAATTTCGTAAATAAAAATAGTAAAATACATAAAATCAGAATACGAAACTAGGACAAAAGTTGTAAATCTATTTTTAGAAATACCCAATAAATTATGAGGCGAGTCTTGCGGATAACGTAAATTTGAGTGTTTTTTTCCTGGTTTTAGCTGTGAGATTGAGAACTAATTAGAAAGTTGGTACTGCAACAAAGTGATTACGAGCAAAGTTTAATGGAGAACTGATAATTATGAATCTAAAAGTAAATTCAGTTTGAAAATTGAAAGTTCAAAATTCCAATTCCCACAAATCTCTCTTACTACCTTTTACGTGGTGTGAAAAGAAAAGTAGGAACTCTCCCCTTATAATTTGCCTCAAGACCTTATCTTTCCATCTCCATGTACCCTCACAAATGGAGTACCCAAACTTAGTCACTCTTCCTAAATAAAGAAATTCCACGGACTAATTATGTCCTTAAAAAAGGGAACAGTATAGTATATGAAATTAGGATGGCCCCAGGTTCAAGGCCTCAGAGCCAATCAAATTCAAGTCCAACACAGAAGAAAATAGATAGACAGGCTTGACTACATGTTTGTTTTTGCAATTTATTATTCTTTCCTATATTATATTTCTTGTATTCTTATTTTCCTAATTCTGATTTAATGCCTATTTTTAAGCAAGTCAATTCTTAACCCCAGTCTGTTCCTTTATTTATTTATTTAAATAAAATATATATTAGTTTTGACTCTTTTGTAACTCACATTACCCAAATTTTAAAAACTCTTTATCTTTCTCTGCCTCCCAATTTCTATGTTCTGATCAGATTTTGCTTAACAAATTTACCAAAAGCTTTGAGCTTTCTTGTTTCCTGTTCAAAGAGGGAATAAACCCGAAACAGAAACCACAACCAACCCTTCTCTCCAAGAAACCAGAGAAAAAAAAAAAATTAAATAGAAAGATTCCTAATTTAGAGTCTTATACCCACACCCCACAACATGAAATAACAGCTAAAAAGCAAGAAAACCACCGTCCCATCTTTCCTTATCATCTTCCTCACCACCACCACCACCTGCAATCGCCATTGAAGCCCTAACCCTAACCTTTCAAATCAATAAAATAAAGCTTTAAAAGATTGTCCACATTTTCATTCAAGAATGTCCCAGATGAAGCAAATGTCTCATCTTGACCACATTCCGTCAACGCCTGGCAAATTCAAGATGGACAAATCTTCATACCCATATAGCCGGGTCAGGTGGCATTCATCTTTAGCTAAACTCACATTCTGGTCTTTAGTCTTTGTTGGTGTCATTTTTCTTTTCTTTTATCGATCTCCTTCTTCATCTACCAATCCTCTGCCGTCCGATCCATCCCGTCGCTCTCTTCGGACCTCTTGGGGTGGCTCCGACTGGGAAAAACGGGTGCGGTCGTCCGCCAGAATTCGTTCTCGAAATGGATTTTCTGTACTGGTCACTGGCGCAGCTGGGTTTGTTGGGACCCACGTCTCTGCAGCTTTGAAACGCCGGGGCGATGGGGTTCTGGGGCTTGACAATTTCAACGATTATTATGATCCATCTTTGAAACGAGCTCGCCAAGCGCTTCTTGAACGCTCCGGAGTTTTCATTGTTGAAGGAGACATAAACGATGTCGCTTTATTGAAGAAGCTCTTTGAAGTGGTGCCTTTTACTCATGTGATGCATTTGGCTGCTCAGGCTGGGGTTAGGTATGCAATGGAAAACCCTAGCTCTTATGTGCACAGTAACATTGCTGGTCTTGTTAGTTTATTAGAAGTTTGTAAAGAAGCAAATCCCCAACCTGCAATTGTATGGGCATCTTCCAGTTCTGTTTATGGGCTTAATACAAAAGTACCCTTTTCTGAGAAAGATAGAACTGACCAACCTGCTAGTTTGTATGCTGCTACTAAAAAGGCTGGAGAGGAAATTGCACATACTTATAATCATATTTACGGTCTTTCCCTTACTGGCTTGCGCTTTTTCACAGTTTATGGACCATGGGGTAGACCAGATATGGCTTATTTCTTTTTCACTAGGGATATTTTGAAAGGGAAGAGTATACCCATTTTTGAAGCAGCTAGTCACGGAACTGTCGCTAGGGATTTTACCTACATTGATGATATTGTAAAGGGTTGCTTGGCTGCATTGGACACTGCCGAGAAGAGTACTGGTAGTGGAGGTAAAAAGAAGGGTCCAGCACAATTGAGGGTTTTCAATTTGGGAAATACCTCTCCTGTACCGGTTACTGATCTTGTTAGTATTTTAGAAAGGCTTTTGAAGGCGAAGGCCAAGAGGAATATCATGAAGTTGCCAAGAAATGGGGACGTTCAGTTTACACATGCTAATATTAGTTTGGCACAGAGGGAACTTGGATATAAGCCTAGCACGGATCTGCAAACGGGGTTGAAGAAATTTGTAAGATGGTACCTCAGCTACTATCGTGTAGGAGGGAAGAAAGCTGATGCTTGATGAATCTTATTCTTTTGATTCTGAGATCGGGTACTTTTGTTCATTATGATTCTTGTGATTGTTTTTCGTTAACATTTCTATGGCCGTTCATTGCAAAATTATTGTCTTTCCATATATGTTTAATTGATGCTATAAGGAAGAATCACATCCAATGTTGAAAAAGATTTTGTGGTTGGTGGATATTGCTTAATGGGCATTCCCAGAGTTGTATCAAAAGGAAAACAGAACCTTTCATTTCTTCTATTTCTATTCTGATATTTGTGTAACTGTTGTAGTTTCGGCATTTTAGAATTCATGATTGGTAGAGCATATGCTGATTGTTGGACATGTACCATTTCTATGCAATTTCAATAAAATTGTACGCGGTGATTTGCCATATCTCCTATCTAATCACACAAATTGCATTACTTATCGACTCCTATATTTTGCCTTATAAAATCAATTTCTATCTTACTTGTGGCATCTACCCTTGATCCAAAATTCAATATCACCTTCTCTCTACGTTTGCTACACTGAGTGAATGTGGATCTTAACCAATTTATTTTCAGTTTTCAATAGGAAGATTTATAATTGTCCCCATTCACATGTGATGCCTGGCAAGTTTGATCTATCTGTTAAACAATGGTGCTATGAATTCACATTTTCTTGCATGATCTTTTTTTTTTTTTTTTTTTTTTGTTCCAGAACTCTGTAGTGGTAACTTGTGTCTTTGTTCGCTGAATTGCCTAAAACTGTAGGTAGTTCTTGCCCATTCCTTTGTATTAAGTTATTTTCTCAAAGAGCTCCTGCTTCAGAGGATGGTTCTGCAACTCATGGGTTGCCTAGAACTGCAAAAGGCTGAATTTTTTGAGCTTCACCCTCTTGCTTATAAATTTGCAGTCCAGTCATATTGTTACCATGTAGTGCATGTTCGTTGAATATCTCCATTCATTTTGCTATCAACTTGTTATATAAAAGACTAACGAGGTTCTTATTGAACAAATGAATTTAGAACTAAATTTTTCCTGCTGATTTCCTCTTTCCTCTGATTTGGAAGGCTTTCCCTAACAACTTGCATTTTTTGTCTTTGTTTAATGCACCCAATTATGCAGGGGAGGGGACTGTTGGTTCTTTTTTCTTTTCTTTTCTTTTCCTTTCCTTTCTTGACAGAAGGAAATCACAAGTCTTTTCTGAAAGTTCAACTAATATTATGACTCTGTATTGGCCAGAGAATTGTAAAAAGGTTGGTTACATAATTGAATTTCGTGAGTTGAATTGTACTACTTGGTTCACGAAATGTCAGCAGGAAAAGTTGTATGACTGGCAATCCACTTGGAAGGAGTTTTACCCCTTTTGCCAATTTATTGATTTCTCATGTGCAAAATTATAACTCTACTATCTTTTAGTGCTTGTTGGAAAGAGGTCCAGAACTTAACAATATCTGGACTCTAGTTGGGAATCTTGAACTGGAAGGCAAGAAACTTTCTTGGATGCATGGAAGATGTTTTGGAGCATAGAAAATATTTTCCTGATTCTTTGATGTGCACTTGGAGAAGGCAATTGGACTTGCCTTTTTTAAGGAATGTTGTAGGAAGGAACTCTTTATGCTTATTTATATACCTGTAACTGTTTTCCTCTTTCCTTCCTATGATTGAAGAAAATTGCCCCGCACATAGGTTCTCATGGATTCTCCTAGGGAAAATGTATCTAACCTTTGTACGTTTTAGCCTTCATATTAGATAAGTAGATGATTCGATCATTGTTCAGTTTTGTCATAAAATATTATTTATATCTAAATTCAAATTAGTATTTATAAACATCAATAAAAAAAATAAATTCAATTACAAAATCAAATGGAACGAGAGCATCTAAAAAAAATAAATCCAATCGCATTTCATTCCATTCCATTCTAAAAGCGAATGGAACGAATGCATCATACCTATCTTTGGCAGACAAGGTACACACACTTTACAGATTCCTAATGTTTATGCTTTTAGAAACATTTCTTTTAATTGTGGCAATCCTTTATTCGATCGGTGAGCCCTTTTCCAACAGCTTATATTATAGATACCAATCAGGATTTTACTTTCCACGGTAAAATTGCAGTCCAGAAATAGCTAAACTATACACCAAAGTCAAAATAAAAAATAAAAAAATAAAAAAATAAAAAAAATTAATTTCTAAGAGAAAAAATGGTACTGAACCCCCCAGCTAAACCACAGGGTTCCTAGTTGGATTTCCCACCAGCGATAGTGGACTTATAGCAGCTGGAGCGTCAGATACCCAGCAAGCAAAGCCAATTAATAATATGACATGATGCACAAAACCAAAATTTTCCTTGCTGTTCTTTTCAAGAAAATCGGCAGTTTACAAAACTCACTTATGGTCTAGAGGCAAGCCAAACCTATATTATAACTCAAAAATCATATTTAGTTCTCCCACTCGTTAAAATAAGGCACAACATATCAGAAATGTCAGAAGTAGAACTGAAGAAGTTCCAAGACTCTAGCATTAAGCGTTTTCTTGATCCCTTAAAATGCACAACCTGCATACACGGAAATAAAGTAAGTTACAAACTGAAAATCGAGGCCAGTTAATGGAACGATTTTGAAACCCAGAAAGAACATCATGAGAAGTTTTTTTGACTATTACTAGTATACCTTAACATCTAAGGGCATTCCTCGAAATTGCCCAGCACCCTCAGGTGGTGTCCAATTATAGGTAGCACATGGCAGAAATAGCACTGATGCACCACCAACTTCTTCTACAAAAGCCTGTGCTTTCCTAAATCTCCGTAAATCAAAACTAGGGTGTGATTTTATAATCCAAGCAAGAGCTAACTGATCCCCAAGCATTCGAGAAGCATTCATATATTTTGAAGTGTATACTTCTAGTACTTCTTCAAGAAAGATCTTTGCCCTGTAGCCAAGTTCTAAAATAGTCAATTCAAGTCCGTCCCTAATCAATCCATGTGACTGCAAGACCAGAGAGTCTAGAAAATTCTGGCAGCCCAAACATTAAAGAATACCCTTCTATTATTAAACACAATAGACAAACAATCAAGGAGCAGTTTCAAACAAAGATTATGTACCTTAAAATCGACTCAGGGGTCCCTCTTACTGCTATAAATCCAGAATTTAAAGGTTGATCCTTGTTGTTCCGGAAGGTGAGGGCCAGATGAAAATTAGGGAATTTGTGAAAAATGTGTTTTAAGTCATCAACCACTGCTATATCTGAGTCGGTGAAAATGTAATGATTTTTATGCTGCGGATGCTGTGCAAGTCCGTTGAGCCTTGTGTTTAGAAAAGTCTATATAGGCAACACAGAAATGAGCAACTGAGGTTAAAAGAAGATATGCAATTCTATAACAATTATACATAACTTGGAATAGGTTGACAATTAATAGAAAATTGCAACAGAAGCTTATTTTCAGATGGAAACTTTTTTTTAAAAAAAATGCAATGGATCTCAATTCAGGCTAGTTGGTCTAGTGGGGACATGATAAAAACGAAAAGAAAAAACTGGTTCATGAAATATGCCTAAGGAAACAAAGCAACTAATCAAAAACAGAAATGTTCTACCTATATATCAATGCGATGTTCTCTTACAATGTAAGATCTGATTCTTTGAAGCATCAACTTGTCTCGAGAATATTCACCCTCGATGGGATACAAAGAGACTTTATCTCTCTGCAGTGAGAGATCAGATTCTGGATCAGTTAGAATGATAACACTGCTTCGAGGCATCGTCACCTATTAAACAGATGTGATCATACATTAAACTGAATTATACTAAAGCCAAACAACATAACAAATGTTATAAATTTATTGGCAACAAAATCTAGATAGACCTATCATATATTAAAATTCAAATTCTTACAAGCAATTTAATGTATTCTGTTCATGATTTCTTATAAATGATGTTCCACATGAAAAATTACCTGAATAAAATTGATAAAGATATTCAAAATGGCCATTGACCTCTGTGTCTTACTGTAGGAAACATTCCCAACAGTAACCAAATTTGATGATCTACTGTCAGCATGAGAATCCAATGACGTATTGTAAATGGTAAAGACAGTAACAAAGGCAACGCTTTCTCCGACATTGGAAGCACTGGAAGGATTTAGCAAATGGGTCTTGTTGAGAGCTCTGGAACCTGGGCCACAAGAAAACATAAATCACATATAAGTACCCAGATGCAGGAGAGTGTTTCAAATGCAGAGCAACTAAGTAAGTGTACTGAAACGATATAAAATCCAAGAGATGGAAATTACAAGTGCAAATCTTTCGGGGGCAGCAGAAAAAAAATAACAGATAACAAGGAAACTAAAAGAAACCTTGGCATTGCAATCGATTAGGCAAGCCTTGGCCAGCAGCCGGACCAAGAACCAGATGATCAGACTTGTTATTTCGTTTCTTCTGGGAACCTTGTATAGCTGAGTTGTTACGTAATTCGAGAACTGGGTAAGAAAAAGAATGCAGCAATACTTTACTTCAAGTAACCAAAAAATAAAGGAATAAATCATTAGCATCAAATTATGACAAGTAGAAAAGGGATTTTACCAGAGAAGAGATGAAAAATGATAAGCAGCAGGGAGAAACAAAGGAGGAAACGACGCCATCCACTGCATGAATTGATCTTTCTACGGATCTTAGAGCTCAGTGACCAAAACCAATACATAAAAGAAATTCTTTCGGCGAACTGGAAATAATTCTAATATGATTTTTATACCAAGCCAGAAAAACAATCGCAGTCCAATATAAATCGCTGCAAATAGCAAAAGAGAAAGGAGTGAAGAATCCCCTCCAAGAACGATACAGATGAGCTAGTAAAGGGCAGGGCTGAGACGAAAATTGCAGATCTGATGGTGCTTTTCAGTTTTCAGTCCAAATCTGACGGACGTTTGGACAGGGCTACTCGGGCTACTCTAGTCTTCTAATTTTCGATAATACTAACGACCTGTCGTCTGAAAAATATGTGGTTATCACTGTAAGCGTATATAAACGCCTGTCTCGTCTACATTCTCATCTCATGGATTTATACTATTAAAAATTACATTCTCATCTCGTGGGTTTGAATTATTAAGAATCAAACGAGAACTTTCAAAATTGACTTAACGACAAGTCGTTTCGTTTCCACAGCAAATAGTCTATTCATTACGTAATAATAGGAAACTTTTTTTTCTTTTACCAGCGGCCAATAACGGCTTGGCCATCAAATTAACCAACGGTTAAGCAGTAACAATATGTAAATCAGAATGTCAAATGTGGGGTAACAATCACATTGGATAAGGTAAAAGGTTTCTTTTTTCTTTTTTATCGGTCAAATAAAAAAACACACGTTGCGACCCGTTGACGAGGAATATGTATCAGATGGCATATTTTTATGTATTAATTGGACATTATTCGCAATTATGAAATAACTAGTTCATCTTGACGAGCCTCTCATTCATGCTAATTGCACACGCACCAAGTTAGCATGTCATGATACAAAAATTACAAAACCAAATAACCAGTTTTAAACAGACCTCTCCTGGGTCAAGAAAGATGGCTATTCAATCTCACTCACTTCCTGTTTGAAAAGGAATAGGTCTTCTCTCTGGCCATGATTCAATCTTCTCAAAGTATTTTACAGGCACCACACCATCGAAACCTTCAGTCAGTATCACCCTATTGTCTGATATGTAAAGCTTCATTCCCTCTAAAATCAACCAAACAAAGAAAAAAGAGGTTTACTTTATCAGTCTTCATCCATGTGATTAGCAAATCAAATGAAATATTCAGATTGTAATAGGAGGGTGAGAAGTTGAGATATTTTACCTTCTAGAGCCTTTTTGACGTTAAGATATACCAAAACATTAACGTCCCTCCTCATACCTGAAAGAAGATAATCAAGTAAATCACCAGAATATACAATCTTACTATGTTAGAAATGATTCATGGATTGAATAAGCAGCTTTGATGGAGATGATTAAAGCATATTCCTATGCCTATCAAAATATTAGTTCCCTTTTCCCTTATTTAAAACCATTCTACTTAACCTGCAAATATGCCCTAGCATCCACCAACTCGTGAATCGGACAGTAAATGAACATCTAGTGATGGTTCCACCAAGTTTCTCCAAGATTTATGAAATTTTAAGGAAGCTCATCCTCAGCAGATTTTATACCCAATTGATTTCTTTCTTAATATCCACACACAAGGAATATGTCTAAAATAGATGAATAGCAAATTGGTGAAAAGAAAAACAATGAAAGAAACTCTCCAAAATAACAATATTACTCGGATATCTTACCACTAATCACTTCACCATCAGTTGGCAAGCCGCATGAGAAGTGAACATGCAATCTTTGCATGCGCTTTAAGCCAGAATTCAATATGGATTCCACATTCTTCTTGTAGGTTCCATGTACACACACTACAATTGCAGGAGAAGAACAGTGAGGAATACAATTAGTTAAATCTACAGAAATAAAAAGAAGAGGAAAAGGAAAGGTATTGGTTTATAATATCTGGCTTTACCAGGAACTTCATCAGCTGAAAGGATTGGCTTTAGCAAACTCTCAGATTCAACTGCCTGGATACATAAGAAAACCCATGCAATCAAATTAATTCTCTAAATCAAACTCACTGACATGGGGGTTTGTGAGGAGGCAATATGTTTATGCACAATTTAGTGCACTAACGCTTCACAAGACAGTGAAAATGTTAAATAATAGGTGAAACCCACTTGATGAGCATTGGAAAAATAACTACATCAACAAGTCAATTCAGTATATATATATATTTTTTAAACATCACAAGTAAAAGTTAAGCATAAATATAATCTATTCAACCAAATTCCATTACCATAAAGCTATAGGTTGACTCTCATTTATACATCTACATTCAAATTAACCTAGTTGGACTACTTAGATTTACCCTCCAGTGCTCCAAGGAAATTATGACAGTCCAAAGAATTCATATGCATATTAACTAAATTTGTTATAGTATTATGGTGAATATATTACTAAGCATACTTATGAATGCCTAAACATAATGAATTCCAGATAGTTCAGCACTAGGATAAACATATGATATGTTCAAGCAAATAAAAAGACATTCCCATTTTATAAGGATAGGATTTATTACTTTTATTGTGTGGCCTTGGTTTGCACGTATCAAAAGCTCCCCATTTTCCTCTAAAAGGCTGAACCGCTGCTTGTTATCCTTTCTGACAGCCTGGAATTTCCAAAACATAAAAAAATGAAAATCCAGGCGATGTTATGCAAGACAAAACCAACCATAAGAGAAGCATCAAATTTCATTACATTAACCTTTGAGGATGAAACAAACAGTCTATACAGTTTGATATTATAATAAAACATTGAAGACTTAAGGTATTAAGTTCTAGACTATTACTCAGTACATATCCGGCAAGTACTTCAAAAATGATGATAAAGATACAAAGATAATTAGGGAAACTTATTTTCAGAACAAACTTCCTTAATGTCATCAACTGTATGTGCTCTTAATGGAATATCGGCAAATGTTTTCATATTCAACTTTAGTAAATCTTGAACTTTCACATATCCATCACTCCGCATATTCAAGCTTAACTCAGAAGCCATATGACGCAAAACACGTGTCCTGAAAATAGAAAAAAAAAATGTGATTGTCCATCTCAAGCTTCACAAAGAAAAAAATGTTAAGACCAACAGCATGAAGGTTCTTTATTTATCTTTTAGTTCAAATAAAAGAAAAGTGTGAAGGAAATAACAGCAAGATAATATTTTTTTCCAAAAATGTTTCTCCAATGTTAACACTTCGATGCTGATGGAATTAAGACCTTTCTCAATTTTGAATAAGAACAAAGTCGATAACAACTATATTTTGAAATTTCTCTCTCTTTTTTCCCCATTTGTAAAGCTTTTCACAATATTGAACAGAGACACAGCGAACTTTAGTTGAGACTTTACTTTCCAACAAATACCGACATCAATTAATTGTATCAACTACATCGAACAGACATAATTTTCTAAGCTAAAGGAGAATCCATAAAAGCTGCATATTGAATCATGCAGTGGAAAGAAGAACGGGGGAAACGGAAAAGCAATTTGAGCTTCCAAACACCAATTTCACATAATACAATGAAGACTAAATAATATTGAAAAAAAAAAAAGAAACAATTAAAATAACAAACAACGTTGTAAACTAAAGCATGCTTACAAGAGTCTGCCGAGAGCATCAATCTTATCTTTGCCGCCTCCACCACCTCGGCCTCTTGATCTTTCTCTATCGTTTTTCATCTCCAAGCCTCTTCCACTAGCCAAAAAATTGAAATAAAAAAAAAATGCAATTACATCTGCTGTAGAGATTAATTAATTAATTAAAAATAAATAAATAACAATTAAAGGAAAGGAAATGGAAGATACCTTCTAGTGGAATGCGCAGAACAAGAGAAAGAAGAGCTCGTATTCTTTGCCTTGTCTATAGAATTACAGGCAGGAGACCCAGGGATTAAGAACACAGAAGACACTCTACCACCGGTATGGCTAGTTGCTAGATAGGTACGGAAACAGCTTAAAAGACGAAACCTGCAAGAACTGGAAGAAGCCCACATCTGTAACCAGATGGTGAGATATTTGTTGCTATGACGTTTGTATTAATGGGATAGCAGTAATCACTCCATTTGTGGAGACGCCGTTTGTACGCCAAAACAAACGTCTTGGGCTGGATTTGACATATAAACGTATTGATAGGTTTGTCATTGATATATAAACATCCTGGGCTGGACTTTTGCCTTTGGGCCATTGTATTTTTAATTCAGATCGGGGGCCGAAGTTCTTTCAGATTATTTTATTTGATCAGATTGTCCAAAGCATACTTATTCCAGTATTTTTTGGTATCCTTATGTCTCACCCCGATCGATATTGTTTTATTTCCTTCAAATAAAGCGTTCATCATTTCACTTGATTTAGTTATTTACGATTTCTTTTATTATTGTATATTTTTAAACTATTTTTACAATATAATTATCTTTTCTTGTGATGAACCGTGTTTTACTGATTCAGCAGCATCAAGATAAACGTCAACGTGCCATATTGCCATATTCGTCAAAGGCTAACAACTGAAGCCAAACAACGAATAGTACATGGGACGCCCGTAATCATCAGTGAATTTTATAGCTCTGAAATTTTCACGCAATAGGCATGTTGGCAATGACACTGAAAAAATTCACGATCTAAGCAAACTTAAAATCTTGACAAAACCAAAAACTGGCACACATGCGAGTTTCAACCTAAATAGTGAAAAATTAGAAAAAGAATTTCTAGTTTAGGACAATTAGAAAAGAAGCCAAGAAAAGATAGACCAATCTGAAACATAAAATGAAGACCTTTTGTCACCTCTTTGAATCTTTGCTTAAAACACCTGCGAACAAGTCCTTAACTAAAAAGAAATAACAACTGACATTGGAAAACCGAGACCAGCTTTATGCAGGAGCAACTTCAGGCAAGTAACCAGAAGCAAATACTTGACTATGCCACAAGGGTGCTGGCAGTAGTTGATTCACTGCAGAAATAGTCACTTGATTAGAACTATAGCAAAGAGACAGACTACAAACTAATATACTAAATGAGGAGTTTACAATTCCAATTAAACAAGCACATACTGGGATAAACCAACTATAGAAAAGTGGGTGATAATCTGAGAGTAGAATAATTATGATCAACTCAAAACTGAGTCATACTTGACAGGCATGAGAAACAACTTACTCACATGCAACATTTTAGAAATATTTGCATAAAATACTTAAAACACGCCTGAGGTTTAGTGGTATTAACAGCTGAGTCCCTCATTGGTCAGAACTGAATTAAATAATACAAATGAATCACAGCAAATATGTCCAACCAATGTGAATGGAGTACAGCAACAAAAAATGGGCATCCAGCAAAAAGAGGCCATTGGAACCTTTAATTATGATTTATGGATATGAATCATTCCATTTAAAGTACTATACATAATTGCTTATTGATATATCCTTCAAGTACAACTGAAGGTAACCCTAAGTAGCATTTACCAACTTTTATCATACATTCACCATATTTAAATGTGAACTCTTTTGCCATAAAGATGCATAACACATGATAAAACATTATATAGTAATTATCATACAGAATTAAAGTTATATTTGAGACATTACCTAAGATACAGTAATGTAACAACAGAACAAAAATCAGCAGGAAAAAGCAAAAGCAGTCTTTTTCTGATCATATAATTGCTCAATATTAACTGAATGTATATTCATTTCAGAGTGCTTGAGAGAGAGGGGCATATACTCACTATTTCCATACTGGTGGAAGCTTCTTTGTCTTCTTGTAATAGCGAGCTAGGCGGTGGATCCTGCTCTCAACCAAAATCAACCTAAATTTGGAATCTTTATCCTTCCTGTTCCTCTCCAAATGTTTCCTAATGGCAACTGCTTTCTTGATGAGGTGGTACAAATCTTCAGGTATTTCAGGAGCAAGCCCTAGTAAAGTATGAAAGAATCAATAGATGCAAAATATAAGCTAACAAAATTGACCATCAGCTATTATTCTGTAGCTGAAACTGGGAAAATAATAATAATAATAATAATAATAATAAAGATAAAATTAGAAATCTACCATGTGCCTTCAATATCCGCAAAATCTTGTTACCAGTAACACTCCTCACTTGGGCAATACCATGAGAATCACGAAGGATGACACCAATTTGAGATGGAGTCAAGCCTTTCTTTGCAAATTTGCAGATGTTATCCTCGACCTGAAATCACAAGCACACTCGAACTCAACAAACATTCCAAAATGCAACAAAAGATACTAGTGAAGAAGATAATGGTAATTACAATTTGGAATGTCAAAAATCAATTTTTATTGCAATTCACTAAAGAAAAATAAAATTTAAAATGCTCAGAAAAGGAACATCAAAATATAAGTGAAAATTTATTAAGGTTAGGTTACTCACATCCTGAGCAGATATCTTCAGCCAACTGGGCGGTGTCCTCTTATAAGGCAAAGCGGAAGCTGAAATACCCTTACTGTAAAACAGACGACGGATAAATCAAATAAACAAAATGGGCATTTTAAGTTTCAAAAGGATAATCATGGAATTACAAGGCAATTTGGTGAATGAAGAACAAACCCTCGACTGTGCATGCGACCCATGGTGGCGGACTGAGGTAGTTGCTGCCTCTTGCGCTTCCTTTAGCTTGATCTCAGAAACCCTAACTTTAGAAGCTACGACATTTTTATAGTTTTTATTGCTTTTATTTAATCGCCTTGGCACAATGTCATTGGGGTTTTGAGCTCTCGTATCTATCCAGCCCACAGTTATCATACGTTCGGTCCGAAACGGACCAAACCATCAAATCAATTGGATTAAACTTAGATCTATGGCCCAATTAATAACAAGCCTGGTTCGTTCACTAGCATAAAAACAATGGGCTTTCACCCCAGCCCAAATCTCTTTGTCCCACTACTTTTTTTCAGGCCCCATTTATCGACATGGATCATGGAAATCCCTGTATGATAAGTCAATTCATAGCTTCATCAGGACAGTACACAAGTGGGGATAGAAGCAGTGCTCTCACTTGCAATTTTAATATTTCTTTTTGGCTAAAGGCATGAGAAAGGAAAATTTGCAGCCAGCTTTTAACAAAAACATTTGATATTATTCTCTTTTCAAACTTGAAAGAGCTTGGAAAAGTGTAATAATGAGTGAATAAATTAAAGCACAAAACCCTCCATAAGTGTTATAGCTTTTTCTTCTGACTGGCATACACTAACCTTTTCAGCTCAACCAACTAAAAGAATAAAAATCAAATAACAGAGGAGGGGAAATGCAGAATTATTAAATGGACAAATGCTTGTTACCAAGTAAACTAAACTTACATTTTTGAGGTGCTCAAGCATAAAAGAAAGCAGAGGCTTGGAGTGTGAAAAGAAGAAAGGTGGGTCTTTCTCTGATAATTTATCTCTGCCTCATGGTAGTCCATAGAATTGGGAATATAGTACAAAATTTTAAAGTGGAGTTTGTCTTTGTTTGTGGAAAAGAAATCCAAATATAAAAATCCACCAGCCCTGCCATGTGAGGATCTTCTCTCTAGTGGATGTGCAATGTGTAGACAGAGTCACATAAAGGGTCCAGAATAACAAAAGGTATAGCTGTAAAAAATAGAGAAAATTGGAGATGCATATACAGCATACTTTTCTAAGAAAAGCAAATTAATGAGCAATCCAGCAAGGATTGTGAGACTGTAGTTCAGTTTTCTTCAGACAAAAGAGACATTTCAATCAATTCTTTTTTTCTTTAAATTGGATTTTGAATCATAACAAAAAGAAACGTTTTTTCCCCATTAGAGTCACAAATCCAATCATGACCAGTCAATCCTTAAGTTGTTTTCTATGGTAGGTAAGGAAATTTGGTATATGGGTATTTGTTAAATTATCATTATCAGCTATATATGTCCTATCTATGCAGTTAAAAAAATGGAATAACTTAACTTGTGATCAAGCCTTATAATGAAACAAAAATGGTTTACTTTTGGGAAATTTCAGCTTTACATGTGATCATGGACAGCTGGTGAAATTAACTATAAAATATGTCCTTTAGATTTTTCTGGAATAATGGTTTTGATTTCACAAGATCAGAATTGGAGACAGAAGAACATGAATTTAAAGTTCACATCTGTCTCAAGAATGAAGAATGGGTCCATTATCAAGAGTGCAACCACTTCAGGGTACATAGGGCCACCACACCTACCTTAATGGCTAAATAAGGGAGTTACTAAGCATGCACCTCCTCAGCGATGCAATAATTTACAATATCTCTATCTACGCATCTCACATGTTTGAAAAAATTCCGCAGAGAACTATTTATGACAGATATTGGTATTTTAATGGTTGGTTAGTTTTAGGTGGATTCAAACAGCTTCATACTGATCTAAGTTCGAGTCCCAGTCATATATCCCTCGATTCGAGTCGGGTTCTAATTATCATGTGATAAAATGTTTATTTGTGATTTAAGCATGCAAAGCAAAGACAAAATGAAATAACAAAAAATGAAACAAGCTTAAATTTTAATCTAGAGATTCTTAACGTCAATGCAAAAATGATTGAAATTATGATGGTGTCGTTCAGTGCATTATACAAAAGAAAAGGGGTTTCCATTTTTCATCAATCGTACCTCATTAATTTAGACAACAAAAAGAAATATGTCCAAAAATTTCAAATCAAGGAATTGTGGGGCAGAATGCGTATTATGTTAAAACTAAAAATTGAAAATTATTCAAGGCTCCTTGGTCGCCGACAATCAACATACTATTAAAATCATATTTATCTGAGTATTAAAAATAATATTATTAATCATAATATTAAAAATAATACTTATTTCGTTATACTTTAATAGCAATAAATAAATATTTTATCTTATTCTATTTTAAATATTCATTTAAAAATTTAAAATCATATTAATTATTTTTTTTCTAATTTTACCTACATTTATTATGTTTCATTTATTTTTATAGTATTTACTTTTAAAAAGAGCAAATGAGACATTCTATATTATAATTTTAGAAAATAAATGAATTTTAATTATTTTTTTAATTATTATGAAAAGAGTAAATTATTGTTGTTAAAGTGAACTGAGAAAGTATTAACCGTAAATTTTTTACTAACTGAATTTTGGTACGACTTTATTGTTTCTATATTTTTTTTCTTATATATTTTGTTAACTATAGGAATTAGGAATCTTTCTGGTAGGAGTCATCATCAAAGCTGTAGAAATTTTTTGAATTTTTCTAAGCCGTACCTAAAGTTAGTCCACCCACGCAAGGAGCAACCCAGATCCAGACGGAGTTTGAGTTGGGCAAATTATGGAATTGACGATCAGGACCTATACCAAAGTGGACCCTACATCATGTCTACGTACAATTATTGCAGAAATAGAGAAATGACGGTGTTGCATCTACTCTGGAGCCGATTGTACTGGAGCTTTTCCCCTGTCCCTATATCAAAGAAGGGAAGTCCATCGAACGGTCAGCACGCATCAGAAAAATGGGACCCATTATCGTTTTCAAATTTTGCCTATAAAAGAAGTGCAGAAAGAGTGTATGTACTTGGCGACCATTTATTTCCACTCTACACAGTCGCGACTGAACTAAAGATTCGAATCCAATCCTTTTTAACTTCAAAAGCCCACACATTTTCCCACACTTTCCATCTCATTTTCTTCCTACCCAAACATGCATCGTCTCCTTTTCTATCTCTTCCTCTTTCTCTCACCAACATTTTCTTGGGCTGCAGAACTCGAACTCCTCATGCAAATCAAGGCCTCCCTCGACCCACAAAACCGGTTCTTGACCTCCTGGCAGCATAACGCAGACCCTTGTGGTGGGTCTTTTGAGGGCGTGGCTTGCAATGAGGAAGGACGTGTGGCTAATATTTCTCTCCAGGGGAAGGGTCTGTCCGGTCGGATACCTGCGGCTTTAGGTGGGCTTAAGAGCTTGACTGGTTTGTATCTGCATTTCAATGCACTGACTGGAGATATTCCCAAAGAGATTGCTCAGCTTAGTCAACTGAGTGATTTGTATCTCAATGTCAATAATCTGTCTGGGCAGATTCCACATCAGATTGGCAACATGTCTAATCTTCAAGGTCCGTTTTTAAGTTTTTGTGACGTTAGTGCTTGGCTTTCTTAAATTTTGTTGAAATTTTCTGTTCTGGTTCTTCCCTTATTAGTTATTGCCATTTGTATCTCTGCGTGAGACATATGGTCAATTTTTCTGCTCTCTTTCAGTTGCTGCATTTGGGTTTAATAGTTCATGTAAAAGCCAAAAAGGATGAAACTTTTTCATTTAAACAGTTTCAGTCTTATATATTACACGTTTTTTCATGGTTTATTGGCATCTATTTTGTATAGTATTCTTTTTTCTTTGTAACTTGGTTTAATCTTGTTAATCTGTTATTGATCTTTTTCTGTTTGAGTTTCCTAGGCTATATTTGAACTGGGTATTTAAAAAATTGAACTGTTTATCTCGAAAAGCCAGAATATTGATTATTTTTCGATGCTTCTCTAAATGAATGGAATGGAATGAAGCTCTAGCACTAATTGCAGATGCTTGGTAATCTATTACTTTTGTTCAATAAATATTAATAGCTGAAGGCAAAGAGTAAAAGTACTCCTACCTGAATGATTACTTGAATAGTTTCCTCATTATTGCTTGAATAGTTCCTTTTTATTTCATATTATTTTTTAATTTGCAACTTCAGCTTTATTTGTTGCTTAACGTTCGGTCAATCCTTCTAAGCTAAGCACGCTGGTGCCTTTGTTTGTTCCGACAACGGGATTCACTTCCTATATCATTGAGCTCACCCACTAAGCAACTTATCATGTTTAATATTTTAGTAACTGCAATGGGGAACTTTTACTAGACATCAGTATGGATCTCTTGTTTGCAGTTTTGCAGCTGTGTTACAATAAGTTGACTGGGAGTATACCAACGCAACTTGGATCTCTAAAGAAACTTAATGTCCTTGCTCTACAATATAACCAGCTTACTAGTGCAATTCCTGCAAGCTTGGGGGATTTGGGGTTGTTGACAAGGCTGGATTTGAGCTTTAATGGCCTTTTTGGTTCAATACCAGTAAAATTAGCTGATGCTCCTATGCTACAAGCCCTAGACATTCGTAACAACAGTCTCTCTGGGAATGTACCTCCAGGTAATATGCTTTCCCGAATTATGAAATTATCCTTGCATCTGCTTTCTTTTATGTCTATACTGATTTCAGCTGAGATGGAATTGAGATTTAACTTTACTTCTTTTATTTCCTTGGTGATGAAAAATGAAGCTCTGAAGAGGCTGAGTAGTGGATTCCAATATACCAACAACCCTGAGTTATGTGGAGATGGGTTTGCTAACTTGCAAACATGTACAGCTTCTGGTCAACTCAATGCGAATAGGCCTGAACCTTTCAAACCTAATGGTACTCTGCAAAAGGATATCCCGGAATCTGCAAACATACCTTCTAATTGCAGCCAAACTCACTGTTTGAGTTCGTCCAAGAACTCACAATATGGTGTAGTATTTGGTATAATTGGAGTATTCATTGTATTAACAGGCACTGGACTATTCACATTCTCATGGTACCGTCGGCAAAAACAGAAGATTGGAAGTGCTTTAGACATTTCAGATGGCCGGCTTAGTACTGAGCAGGTCAAGGAGGTTTACAGGAAGAATGTCTCTCCACTTATCAGCCTAGAGTATTCCAATGGCTGGGATCCCTTGGCTGTTGGCCAGAATAAAAACGGGCTATCTCAGGAATTTCTAGAGAGTTTCATGTTCAATTTAGAAGAGGTGGAACGAGCAACTCAGTGCTTCTCTGAGGTGAATTTGTTGGGGAAGAGTAATTTCTCAGCAACCTACAAGGGAACCCTTAGAGATGGATCAGTTGTTGTTGTAAAGTGCATCACCAAAACAAGTTGCAAATCTGATGAAGCTGACTTTTTGAAGGGGCTGAAGATTCTGACCTCATTGAAACATGAAAATCTGGTGAGGTTGAGAGGCTTTTGCTGCTCAAAAGGCAGGGGGGAGTGTTTTCTCATTTATGATTTTGTCCCAAACGGAAATCTGTTGCTGTATCTTGACATAAAAGAGGGCACTGGGAAAGTTCTTGAATGGTCCACTAGAATATCTATCATAAATGGTATTGCCAAAGGTCAGTATAGCAGCTTTGATTCCACCACTAAAGTGACAGAAATTGTCGTTGCCATTTTCCTTTCATTGTTTTTTTTATTGAGGATGTTTCTCAGTGTTGATGCATTCATTTTAAATGTTCAGAATTGCTGAACTGAGAAATATGATAGTCAAGTGGTGAATATGAAACACATAATCATCTTCTTGTTGAGCTGACTGAAGTATTTTTCCTTCCTAACCAGGTATTGGGTATTTACATGGGAATAGAGGAAATAAACCTGCTCTTTTTCACCAGAATATATCAGCTGAGAAAGTGTTCATTGATAGACGATATAATCCATTACTCTCATATTCAGGCCTGCACAAAATTCTTGCAGATGACATTATCTTCTCTATGCTAAAAGCTAGTGCTGCCATGGGATACCTGGCTCCTGAGTACACAACTACTGGCCGTTTCACTGAAAAGAGTGATGTTTATGCATTTGGTGTGATTATACTACAACTCCTCAGTGGAAAACATAACGTTACACCATTGACTTGCCACGCAGGGGAATCATGCAATGTAGAAGACTTTATTGATGCAAATCTTGAAGGAAAGTACTCAGAATTAGATGCAGCCACACTTGGGAGATTAGCTCTTCTTTGCACTCATGAATCGCCTAATCACAGGCCGAACATAGAAACTGTGTTGCAAGAACTAAGTGGAATTACTATTGCTCCTTAAACATACATTCAGTTCATTTTGCCAAAATTTTCAGAAGTGAAGAGGCATGACCTTTGATCATCACTGACAACTAGCTGATATTGAAACTTTGTTTCTAATATTGATCTAACTGCATTGTCCTTTCATGAAGACTGAAGTTGTAAACGTCGAGTTTATATTGTTTGTACTAATTTTCAGGCAGTTGTAATGAACTAAATTTAGGCAAGGATCTTTATAGTTATTCTGTTCAAAGTCTATGGTTACCAAGGTTGGAAATTCAAGATTTTGAATGCCTAAAAAATCTTTTAAGGGATGGCAAAATGACCCATTGGAAATTGTTATGTAGCCGGAAATGGCCAACCAATAAATGGAAGAATGGTGCCTGCAAAACGCCCAGCAAAGCGAACCTCAACTTTTAACCAAAATGACCCATTGGAATTCATGCATCCTAGCCTTGGAATTTAGACTAGACTGCCTAACTTAGCACGTGTGACATCTAGCTAAACAGCAAAAAGGCTCTCGAGACAGAATCTTTGGCATTATTTGTTACTTTTTGCTTGGCCTGTGAACCTCTCTTGTTCTTTTCGTTTTGTCTTCTCTTTTTCTCCCTTTTCTTCCCCTAGGTTAAAGTGTTTAAATAGTAAAATAGAAAATCAAAATTATTTTATGTACCTATTTTCCCCTAGGCTGATAAAGGGCTTGCAGTCATGACGTTTGAAAATCGTCACCTCATAACTCTGGGCCTTGAGTACTTAGGTTCATGCTCTGAACCATAACAACAGGTTTTTTCGGTTACGGGCCCAATCAGAATATATTATTATATATACAATATTTTATTGATCATAAGCTTTTAGTGAACAGAGTAAAGTATATGCAGAGAACAAAAGGAGAACAAAAGGATAGCTTTAGTGCCAATAATGTAAATATACAAAAACAGAATACAAAGTATGAACTATACATTCATACATTTTAACATTGCTTAACATTTTGTAATTTCAATGCTAATAGGTGACCTGTGAGTTAGGTAGAAGAAACACTATTCAGCAAGGAATAGATCTCCTTAACTTGAGGATGTGACTTATCTTGAACAGAGAATTCATGAACATTACCTTCTAATTCAATCCAACTGCAACCGGGAATTTTCTTCAAGTTTCTTTCTTTCATCATTTTCCGAACCCTACTAACTTCATTCCACATATGAAGACCAGCATATATATTAGATAAAAGCACGTAAGAGCTCGAACTAGAACAGTCTAGCTTAACTAGATGCTTCGCCAGTGACTCTCCAATGCCAAAGATTGCATGTGCTTTGCAAGCGCTAGCCAAAGTCCTCCAAATTACATCGTTCGGTTCGATTGGCATTTCGTCCACAAATTTTCTGGCTTCTTCAATGTGCCCTGTTCGGCTGAGGATGTCAACCATGCATCCATAGTGTTGCAGTTTTGGCTCCACTTTGTAAACTCTTCTCATAAGCTCAAAACAGATCATACCTTCTTTCAGCAAGCCAGCATGGCCAAAGGCATTTAACAATCCGATAAACGTTATATCATCTGGTTTGATCCTCATCCTCTCCATCTCCATGAGTAAATCAAAAGCTAATTCTCCCAAGCCATGAATGGCCAACCCACTAATCATAGCATTGCAATGATCTACAGTTTTTTCTTTTATACCCTCAAAGACCAACATGGCATTATCTATGCTGCCACATTTAGAATACATGTTAATCAGGGCAACACCAAGTTTCTCCTCCAGAGAAAACCCATTTTCCTTTAGATAGCAATGTATTGCTACCCCTTTTTCAATATGCCCCAATTGAGCAATCGCAGTAAGAGCAATCAACAATGTGGCATTATCAGGAGACAACTTGCTCTCTCTTTGCAAAGCATAGAATATATCTAAAGCCTCCATATAATAACCATTCTGCAAATAACCATTCATCATGACATTACACACAACAACATCTTTTTCAGGCATGTCATCAAAAAAACGCCTACCAATATTCACATGGCCTAGTTTTGCATATCCATCAATCATGTTAGCCCAGCTAACCATATCCCTTTCTGGCATCCTATCAAACAAAGCCTGAGCATCATCCATCCTTCCACATTTTGCGCACCCATCAATCATTGAATTCCATGAAATCAGGTCTCTTTTAGGCATTTTCTCAAACAACTCCCAAGCAAGCTGAAGTCCATTCCCTGACTGCATATACCCGCTGATTAAAGAATTCCAAGATATCAAATTCCTCTCTTCTGTGGGCATAAGCTCAAACAACCCACGTGCTAGATCAATTTTACCACGTTTGACATAACCATCTATCATTGAATTATAAGAAACTGTGTCCTTCCTTGGCATTGTATCAAATACTTGACGTGCGTGTTCAAGGCACCAGCATCGCAAATATAGAGTCATCAAACAATTTTGCAAGAACACATCCGACCCGAATTCCATTTTCCTCAACAGACCATGGATCTGCAGTCCTTCCCTAACCAAACCCAAACGAGCACAAGCTTTCAAAACCAAAGACAATGAATACTTATCCACAGAAATCCCATTCTCAAGCATCAAAGAGAAAATGGAAAGAGCTTGTATTGGGTCATCTCCATGAGAATACGTTTTGATTATAGCATTCCAGAGAAAAGGGTCCTCTTCTTTTGTATCAACCAGGAGAGCATGATGAGTAAAGAAGATGTAGCGAGCAAATTCTCTAAGTGGAGATTGTGGTGAAGAAGAGAGTGAGAGTATGATTTTAGTAGTTAAACAAGTGTTTTTGATAAATCCAGTGGTTATCATTCTCGAATGGAGTTGATTTATATCGTTTAAAGTCTTGCATTTTTGGAAGAAAACTAGAGTCGAGAGCGGTGAGTTCCATGGCTGTTGATATGAATTGGTAAAGATAACCATAAATTCAACTGCTTCTTAAAGCCGCAGTTCCTAAATGTATCTTACCTCGAAAAAAAAAAAAAAAAAAAGCAGTGGTTATTCATTCCTCGAATGGAGTTGAGTTTATATTCGTTTTAAAAGTCTTGCATTTTTGGAAGAAAACTAGAGTCGAGAGCGGTGAGTCCATGGCTGTTGATATGAATTGGTAAAGATAACCATAAATTCAACTGCTTCTAAAGCCGCAGAGTCATTAAATGTATCTTACTCGAAAAAACGAAAAAAAAAAAAAAAAAAATCTCACTTTGCATTGGAGAACTATAGCAAGAGATATTTGATCAGTTCAAAAAGAAAAAAACAAAAAAGATAGGGTTCGCTGTAACGGGGTTCTAACGTCTAATCCACGCGTCACGACAGAATTTAACCGGCCCAGATTGCAACATCGTTGGGCCTATCTAAGGCCCAGACTTAGAGTTCCGAGGCTGTGGCTTATAGTCAGATCTTAAACTAATCTTGGGCCCAGACTCATCCCTCTTCTTAAAGAATTCGAATCATTTCTATTCAAACCAACTCAGATTGGTTATCCCTCTTCTTAAACTAATCATTTCTATTCATATAGAGAGATACATGGTTTCCATTGATTACACTTGGTATCATGCCTTGAATTTTTAAAAAGGCTCGATTCGAGTTGGACACACCACATATCTAACCTTATAATGGTTGGTGTGTGTGATTAACTGCGGTTTAATGTGGTTAAATTAAACTAAAAGCTTACAAATTATTTAATTATTGAAGCATGAAGTATATATTTTGGACTATCAATGAAGACAATTACTTACTGAAATTAATTAGCATTAGTTGATGTATCATAACAACTAATTAAATCTGTGTTCTGTCTTTTAAGAAAAAAACAAATAGTATCGTTAAAATGCCATAAAATAATTATTATTCTATGAATCAAGAACATGGTACGACTTCAATAAGATGCATCATACAATACAAATTTAGTCTATACATAGTTAAATAATTAATACTTCAACCAACATGTCCTATATCGTACTAAATTAATTTTATCAGGTGAATAATTAATATATAGTTTGGAAAAAAATGCAAAATAAATAATTAAAAGAACATGGGTTTGATGTTTGATTTTCATCCGTATACATATTTTTATGTTTTTGAGTTTCTAATTAATTAAAATTTATCAACTATATATTTTTTAGTAACTGTCGGTATTAATTTAGATATTATAGTTAAGGTATGACTAATGACTTGCATGTGCTTGCTACGTATCTATTGCACAAAGTGTTATAATATATATTGCCACAAAGTGTATAATATATAATATATATATATATATATATATATATATATAACTATTAGTTTCCTTGATCATTAATGTGAGGAGTATATATAACTATTAGTTTTCTGATCATTAATGTGAGGAGTATAAGATTTCGGATTCAAGTTCTTTCGAACTTAAATGGTCGAGAAAATTCGAATTGGAGATCTTCACATAAATAAAATGACTCATTAAACTATATCTGATATATATAAAAGACTCTACGGCTCCCGATAAAAAAAATCACTCAGTTTATAAATTTATTTAGCAAAATAGTATTTTACAGGATAACTTAGATTGGTATCAATCTAGGAAAAAATTTGCTTAAATTAGTTGTTGGGTTTGGTTGAAATAAAATTATTTTACTGCAAGTAGGAAGCCATTGACTTGAACAAAGTCACACTGAAAAGGGTTAGCTGCTTTTGCTTTTGATATTGCAAAGATGACGTTGTAGATAAAGGGAGCTACTATCGTTAAGGTACTACTCGACCATTTCAATGTACGGTTTTTCTAATTCAAATAACATTTGCATTTTCCACTATATATTTAATGATTTGTCAATTTGTATAAAGGTGTATTGCTTCATATTTTGAAAATTGAGACTTCGAATAAAATATTTCAATTTCATTTTAATTATTTAATCTAAATTAGGGTTTAGATTTTAATTAAATTTAAGTTTGTTGGTGATTTAATTAAATTTTTAAATTTTAATTAAACTAAGAGCTATGGGATCCAAATTGTAATTATCAATTCAAGATCTAGTTGTCAGTTTAGATAAGCTCTTGTATAAATTAAGGCTATTAGAAACGTAGACCTACTTATCTTATCTATTTTATTCTTAGTTCTTATCAATTTGCCACTCCAATGACCTATTTTAAGTCTTCGATGGTTGCATTCCATCTTCTTAATATGTCCATTTATATTGTATAATACTATTGCATTTTTATATATTGATCAATTACTGTCTAAATAAATCTGCTAATTTTATTTTATTTTTTCTTTCTTTGATGCGACAGCTAATTATTTTGGTTGATTTATTTTATTTTTCTTCTATATTATTCTCAAAAAAAAAAAAACGAAGCACTTGAATTTATTTAGTAATGCTTGCTAATTGTTGAAATAATAATTTAAAAATTAATGATGAAAGTTGAAATAATGGCACATTGCCAAATTTGCCAACGTAAGTCCCTGGTTTAATAATTATATATATATATAAGCCATCATCTTCTTCAAGTAAGATGGAAAAGAAAAAAAAAAAATTTGAATTTCAAAATTATTTTTATTTTTATTTATACATGTATTTCCACGTTTAAATATCAAAATAATTATCTACACAGTATGCATCATTATATCTATAAAGAGACATTGATTTGTTATTTCATAAATTACGATCACTAAAACCTAAATTTTCATTAATTAAAATATTTGTGTATGCACATCGAAATATTAAAGAATTAAATTTCTTGGTTTTTCTTAAATACTAGTTATAAGATACATGCACATTGGCTAGTTTAAAGAAAAGACAAAAAAGAAAATGTATCAACTACTTTTTCGTATACAATTACCAAAATCATCGAATCATACAATTTTTGGCTTTTACCAAAATGTATCAAGACACGCTTTGGACACGCTATTCTTTTTTTTTTTTTTTTTTTTTTCTTTTTTTTTTTTTTTTCTGTTTTTGCCCAATTTAATTACATTAAACTCCTTGTATAATTGAATTTAAAAGTTTAATTACACATTAATTTAACTTACCTATTACTAATTTTTTATTTTTAATAATTAACTTCACACTTTCACAGACATTTTCAAAGCTTCCTTCCTCTCTCTCATCAGTCTTGCACTTTGAGGTTGGTTTAAATTTTGAACGAATCGAGTAATACCGCTAATAAATGGGTTTATACATAGAAATGCATCCCCACAGAGGCCATTTTTATTCCAAGTGCATCAGCAAGTACAGGCAAATGTCAAAACACGCTATTTTTTTTTTTTTTTTTTTCTGTTTTTTGCAATTTAATTACATTAAACTCCTTGTATAATTGAATTAAAAGTTAATTACACATAATTAACTTACTATTACTAATTTTTATTTTTAATAATTAACTTCACACTTTTCACAGACATTTTCAAGCTTTTACGTCTGCACTTGAGGTGGTAAATTTGAACGAATCGGGTAATACCGCTAATAAATGGGTTTATACATAGAAATGATCCGCACGAGGCCATTTATTCCAAGTGCATCAGCAAGTACAGGCAAATGTCAACGGTTGCAGAAACCCAACATAAAATCTCTCTCAAAAGCCATTTAAAACCCGAAAACCACTGTTCCATTTCACTGTCTCTAACCTCCAGAGAAATGAAGCTTGTTTGGTCTCCAGATGCTGCTCTTCAAGCTTACATAACCACCGTTCAATCGGTAAGAGAGGACTCTCTTATTTTCTTTCATTGATTATTGTTTATAATTAGAAATTCGTTAACTGTTCTCTTTTTCCAGTGTCAGAATTTCAAAGAACCCGGCGTACCTGAGCTCCTCTCCGCCATGGCCGCCGGCTGGAACGCGAAATTGATCGTGGAATCATGGACTCACGGTGGTCCGATAACAACCAGCATCGGGCTAGCTGTTGCTTCACTTCGTACAAGTGGTAGACATGTATGCGTAGTCCCAGATGAACGGTCCAGATCAGATTATGTAAAATCCATGCAAAGCGCCGGCATGGTAAAGACGGAAGTGATCGTAGGGGAAGCGGAGGAGGTGATGGCGGGGCTTGCGGAGGTTGATTTTCTGGTGGTGGATTGTAAACGGAGAGATTTCGTTAGGGTTTTGAGGTTGGCTAAGTTAAACCAAGAAGGTGCTATATTGGTACGCAAGAACGCGCAGCAAAGTTACCTTGCCGGGTTCAGATGGCAAGGAGTGCTTGGGAGAGGGACACGTGTCGTTAGATCTGTGTACATGCCGGTTGGGAAAGGATTGGATGTTGTTCATATAGGGAGTAGGGGTGGGGGTATGAGTCTGCAGAAGAGTCCTAGCCGTTGGATTAAATGTGTAGATCAAAAGTCCGGTGAGGAGCACGTGTTTCGTGGTTAAATTTTTGAATTTTGATAGTCTGCAATGAACACCCATCAATTGAGGGTGCGAGCTATTTCCCTTTCCTTGTAAGATTAGATCTTGTGGTTCAGATATCGTATAGCAGTATCCGATGGTTGGTATCCTTTAATTTTGTGTAGTATTGTACAGCAACTATGGCATCAAACCCTTGATCGAGTATTTTTCTTTTTCTTGCAAATTATTTTCCCTCATTTCTTTGATTATCTTTCAGCTTTTTAAATTTATCATTTTGTTCAAATAATTTCATTTACGACCTTCCAATTCTTTCAGACAAAAGGAATAGAACAAATAACGGTAACATATTGCATAACAAAGTTAGGCAACTTAAAATGTTTAAACCCATCAGTTGTTTCAGTTTGCCAAATACAAATAACTTTAGCCTTTAGCCTTTAGTCTAGCACTCTACCCTGCCTTTTCTTTGTTTATTTATTTACTCCAATATTCCCGGCTCCGGCTTCCCAACTCTTCGAAACGGAACATTGAAGCCCTGACTCTTCGGAATAGATTCTATGTATATTTTAATTTATTTACTCAATCTAACATTTTCAGCCCCAATTATTCAAAATATCAAAGCCTTGACTTTTCAGAATAGATTTGATGTATATCTTAATTTATATATTCACTTCAATATTTTCGGCACAGCTTCTTCAGAACATTAAAGTTCAGAGTATTCGGAACATTGAAGCCACGACTTTTCGGAACTTTTTGATATATATCTCAATTATGTATTCACTCCAATATTTTCAGCGCCGACTCTTCAAAACATCAAAGTTTCGACTGTTCAGAACATCGAAGCTCTGACTCTTCAGAATAAATTCGATGTATATTTTAATTTATTTATTCTCTCTGATATTTCCGGCCCTGACTCTTTGAAACATCAAATTCTCAACTTTCAATGTATATTTTAATTTGCTTATTCACTCCAATTTTTCCGGTGTTGAACGTTCGGAACACATTAGATATATATATCAAATCTATTTATCGTAATAAATCTTGAATTTGTTTATCTCTTTTGAGGATTTTGTTCATTTCTTTACAAAATTTTTGTTGCTTCATTTATGGTGACTTTAAATGTGTTTTATTGGCACAATAATGGAGGATCAAAATATTTAAAAGTTATCAGATTGAGCAATATGAAGTCAAACACTAACTCAGCCCAATATGTCATAAATCTAAATCTAATACTCATAAAAGTGAAACGCAAAAACGACATATGCTATGAAGAAATCGTTTGGTTGCACAAGTGTCTTTTACAAAGAGTAAGAAATTAAATACATAATTATCAAGTAATTTATTTAAATTTAAATGAGAAATAAACAGTAAGGACAGTAAAATCTCATGATATTCATAGTTAAATCCGTCAACAAACGTAATGGAACATACATCCTCAAGATAACTGAAAAGAAACATTTGCTCTATGATTTTAGGCCTCGGAGTTCTCAGATTGGGCTTGGCTGGCCGCAGTTATCAAGATTCAACAACCTATATGAAGCCCAAAAAAGAGACCGAACATACAATCAACTGGACCTGACTTTGTCTAATGGATTCAACTCAAACGAGTCCATTGGATTTCATTATCTCAAGAAATTGATAATTTTTTTATGGTATTTGCTTATGAATTCCTAGATTTCATGCTTGGTAGCAAAAAGAGAAAAAAAAAAAAAATCATAAATTTAATTTTATAAAATTTAATATAGCTATATCAAGTTTGACCATTTGTTTGAAATTTATTTATATGAAACATATACGAATTAATTGAAAATTAGCAGTAAAACTTCCACTATAAAAGAAACATGATTCAGCTAATCATTTTGATATTTAAGTTAATTACATAGAGAAACACTGGATTTCTTAACAAAAAAACATAAATCCAGATCAAATTTACTTTTACATGTCATTTGATATTTACAATTTTGTCTCAGGCTTTGATCTCTCGCGATGGGGAAGTGATGCGGTAGACATGCTCCTCGCCGGTGCACTTATCAACTGTAACAACCCATTTACTTCTTTTTGTATGCCCATCTCCACAACCAACCTTAACACCTATTCTAGTTACAAGCAAACCTTCTCCAATGGGTAAAAAATGAGTCTTGAAATCACTATTGCATGATCCCTTGTGAAGGGCATTGTACCCTACTACAAGTCCCTTGCTGCCATCCTTTCCACACTCTTGTGCAGCTCTAAAAACTCTTTTCCAATCACAAATATTGCAATCAATAAGTACAAAATCTGCTTCTTTATAGTCATTTAACAAAAGGGTTTCAGCATCTCCTACATCAAACCTCACAGAATCTGCATAAGGTACTAAAGCATTTCTTGATTCATTAAAATCTGATGTTTCGGATAAAATACACACTACTCTGCCACCTGTTTGATGTGCAGCTGCTATTAATGGTAGTGTGTTGGTCCCTGCAACTCCAGCAGATGCAATCACCATCAGCTGTGCATTGTTTCCTGCAGCTAGAGCAGATATGAACTCAGCTGTATCAGGCTCTTTACCTCTTTTTCCCTATACAAAGAAGACCCAGATGAGAAAAATAGAAAGAAAACAGGTTTTCTACATAATCAAATACAGAAACATTAAGGAAAAAGAAAAAAAAAAAAAGACCTACCATTTTAAGAGCTCGGAGATAAGCTTTGGTGGCATTCTCAGCTGACCAACAAGCCATAATTCTTGTGATGAAAGTAAAAGTGTTTTTGGACTTTGTTACTGAATATATTGCTTCGGATAAGTGAAGCATACAGGTTTATATATGTGAGAGATGGGAGAGTAATTAAAGTCTCGTGTGGGTCTCACATTAAACTAATAATTATGCATGGAAAATTGGAAACGGAATCAACTAGGGCAGGCTTTTATTGAAGAAATTCTTGCCGGCCAACTGGCATAAATGAAATAATATAGAATTGAAACCCCATTGACAAATACATGCAGCCTAACTCTTTTCAAGTATATATTATATTTCTTTTGGTTTAGCCGGATAAAGAGAGCGACGCACTCGCTACTTGACCTTGTATAATTTATTTGAGCAAGGACAGAAGTGGTTTAGGCCAAACCACTTATTCCTTCTGGCCTCCAAGAAAATGGATAAAGCAGAAGAAAATACTAACTTAGATCAATTTATACTACCTTAATCTTTTTACTTGTCTTCCTTCTGGCCTCCAAGAAAATGGATAAAGCAGAAGAAAATACTAATTTAGATCAATTTATACTACCTTAATCTTTTTACTTGTCTCTTGATCATTCCATGCTCTTATTTTACCCTAATCGAATGAAATTTGTACTAATGGGATCGATCATTCCATATGGAGAAAACAGGGAGAGAGAGAAAGAATGCCACGAAATTCGCCTGAATAATATTTAAACAGAGAGTAAAATATTATTTGTCCATCCAAAAATGAGAAGTCTTTACAGATTCATAAGAACAATTAATATTTATGTTGAATCCTCAATTATAATATCGCAACTTGAACGTGGTTGCCTCCATGAATATTCCAGGAAAGCACAAGCAAGCAGGTGTTGAATCCATGTACTGTCCCAAAACCAGTAAATGGAACCCGTAAGCAATGATCAAACATGTCCGCTTGCTGCCAACTTGACCACTAGCAATCCTGTTATTAACCCCTAAATCATGTCCTCCTCGAACTTGAAATTTCAACGACTTCTAGGCGCTAACCCAATTCATTTGTCGTTAAATGCAAAAGAACATGTTACTTCATTTAAATTTGTGTGCATAACACTTATTTTCATGGCCCTCCAACGATATTTAACCTGTGAATTGATTTCTGAAAAATGTGAAAATATATGTTACAGAGTTACCATTTGATTAATAAAGTCAAACCAATGCCCTTTTCGTTCTGGTAAAACATAAATTAATGAACCGCCAAGGAAAACCTTCAGTAGAAAAGAACTGTTATTGGTCCCAACAATATAAAAATGTGCGTGCAGGAAAATAGGCAAGACAAACCGCTTGTTGGAAAATGCTAAAATAAACGTTCATGGATACCCTTTTGTTCCAACAGGGTAACAACCAGCACGAATGTGACCTGAGAGAGATATTAATAATAATAAAAGAAAAGGAGTAACAACCAGCACGGAGATCTAAGTTGGATCACCATGCTTTTAATGCAATTGCATTGATTTTTGCAGCCTACCCTCAAATATAGTAATGTTAGCCTTCCTTGTATTTAGGGATTCTCTACAGAGCAAGGTCTTTGTTCGGTTTTTTGCTTTCTGATTCATATCAAATTACAGAAAATGCCTTTTGTTCAACAGACTGAAATTTCTGTATAAATTGCATTAGGCAAGTTCGCAATGGGAAAAAAATTAGAATAAAGGACCAGAAACAAAGTAATTCCAATTATTATTATTATTATTATTCTGTCACAGTGCAGAACAAAACCACAGACAAAAACTCTCAACAATCTACAATATCCAAAGCAAATTGCAAAGACAAACATATATCAAATGCGTAACTTGCTGCTATGTACAGAGTCTAAGATTGTCTAAGTGGATAAAACATCAATCGGTTTACTTGAGCGAAGCAAATGCCAGGCTCAGTTACTACCATTTGCCGCTTCTATTATAGGCAAATATGTAAGAAGAGCTGTTAAAATGTATCTTTTGATTTATTCAATGTTGATCCTCACAACATTTTTAGTTTTTTGTGATGAAGTAGCTCCAGAGTCTCGCGGCTGCTCTGCTGATGGAAGTGCCCAACCACCCAGAGTTGTCATCCCCTTCCACTCGCTCTTGCTAGATCCTACTTTGCCATTGTATTATAAATAAATAAATAAAATGGGCATGTCAAATTACCCAAAAGAAAAAATCAAACGGCAAACGTGAAACTACATAGAGAGATTTACTACAATTAAATGATGATTTTCAAACAGCACAACGGATTATAGATTGATAAACAAAACAACTTTCATTACAGGAATTTGTGATAGATAACGTAATTCATATAAAAACAATGACAGGTATATCAACCTAATGCCAAAGAAAAGATTTTAAATGACATGGGCATACTAGAGAGGAGACACGTGTGAAGTACAATTTAGTGTTTGGCACGCAAGATAGAACAATTTCTATTGGCATGCGCTTGGGACAAATTAAATAAGAGGAAGATACACTTGTCCTATCCCAACCTAATTTTTTGTCCTGAATAAGCAGTAGTCAAGCTGTCCCATCCTCGACTCTTTGAGATAAAATCGTGATCGATCAGTTTCAAAAATGCCCTAATCAATGAAGGCCCGGCTACATTTAACTTTTTGTTTTCATTTTTTTAATCTGATTTCGCAAATAAGACACATAAATCTGAAAAGCAGCACCAATATTGAAATAAAATTGAAATTAAACACACTTAAAATTGGATTAATAATTTTAAAATTAAAAGTGTGGAATGAATATTCTAATTTTTACTTAAAAGCAAAATAAACACTGAAAAAGACGCACAGAGTAAAAACAAAATCTAGACTAAGAGCATGATCTTGTAAGCAGGTGACCAGGGGTTACCTGTAGTGCCATGCATATCAAATTGACCACTCCAGCCAGGCAGTTGTCTTTTAACGTTACCGTTCCATTTTGCTTCGAAACCAGATAGTTCATCTGGAAAATCATTGCAAAATTAGTTTTTTTCACCCACAGAAGTTCAAGATGCAATCTTTAAATGACAGAGCAGTGGCAGAAGAAACAAACCTTCATTCAAATTATGTAACGTTTGGACTGTATCCACCTTGCCTTCTGAATTCAGTTTCCTTGTGACTGAATGGCCCTAAATAAGGAACACAACCGTTTCAATCTCGATAAGAAAAAAAAGTGTGCTTTAACAACCTATGCAATTATTGATTTGTTCCATCTCTTAAACCAACTAGATGTAACCCAGGATCAAATATGGATACAAATAAAGATAACATATAGCAAAGGACAGTAGCATGATTGAAGGGTCACATCAGATTCAAGAAATATTATGCCTGCTAATTTCTTTAAAGCACCAAAATATTCAAGGGTCGATCACTCTCCAAATGATCCAAAGAAAAGAAAAATTAGGGGTGCAACAAAACACATCATTATCATGAATACTTGACAGGCAACCTAGTGTTGCAATTAGATTATAACAACAACAACAACAACAAGCATAAAGGATGAAGCAAAGTGCACGAAAAAAAATTAACACGGAAAATTTTCCATCTGATGATATCACTGACAAGATAATAACCTTATCATGGATTCCTCTGGAGATCCTATGTGATGCTTGACCCG